TCCCATATCAGAACAGAATTCAATGTATCCGACTGGCAGGGGGCCGGACTCTAACTCTAGATTGGGCCGGACCGGAGAAAATCCAGTCACTAGCAGAGATGTCTATGACCCTTTTCTTCTCCTTCGCGGCTTCCGTCTGCCGCTTCATCAGCCAACTAAAAGTCGACGACCCAGACGCTCAGCTTGAAATCACCTATCTTCGAGATTGGATCCAAGAGCCAAAACTTCACTGTGTGAAAACCTATCTTTCGGTTCTCGATAGGCTGGTTGCGGGGCTTTCGAGAAAAAGTCTTGCAGCGACACACTCGAGAGGTTTTGCATGATTGTTGGGCACATCATCCCTCTGACAACTCCTCTATCAAAGGGATCGCTTGATCAACTGTTGGGAATCAAGCAAAATTCCGTTGATATTCTTGTTGGATCTCTACATTCAGTCATCAACGTCCCCGCAAGTCCGACCTCAGTGTCACGACTGTTCCACCTTTCCTTCTGGGACTTTCAACACGACTCTGATACGGAGAAGAACCTATTTTCGGTAAACAAGAAAACAGTTCCACGTAGTCCTTGCGTGGAGAAGTTTGATCCTTCGAGGGGAAACGTTGGACATGATAATTGCGGCATAGGGGATGTCACCAAGCTACGCCAGACATTCGAGAAGCCAACCATGTCCAACCATCTCTCTCCAGAGGTGCAATATTCTTGTCTTACTAGGTGAATCATTTCGAACATACCCGCGCCATTCTTCAAGATAATAGGCAGGTCCATAGCTTTCTGCAAGCCCAGTTGCTTCATTGGCTCAAGGCGCCTAGCCTGCTCGCAATATTTATGATTGCGTGGGATTTGTCAAGACGCTCCCGGACCGGAAGGGCGTGCCCCCGACATCCGTAGCACTTTCTTATGACTCTACGTCGCTCACTTTGGGCTTAACTTACGGCTGAATCCTCTTACGGGAGATGAATATAAAGAATGACATCAAAGAGCTCCATCGCCATTGTGACAATGTCACCAATATCATCTCTTCGCGCGACTTAGCCTTACCAGTGTCTGGCTCCCGACATATGGCTGTACGAGTTTGGCAGACTGTGGCAGCTACCAAGAATAACAAAGACGCTCGGAAGGAGAACTCAGAGAGCTCCTTTCTGGACAGTTGCTGCCAGAAATATTCTGGTCTTAGAAGACCTTGGTCGAACTGCTACCATCGGCAATCGGAACGTGCAGATGTGGAATGCAGGATCAGGTGAACGTCAATGGTCCACCGACCTGAGGAAAGAAGTGTTCAGCTTGCAGAGCTTTCTTGGAACTAGATTTCTCGTTTCAGAACCCCTTACCGGAGTGGACGTGGAGATTTTTTGCTCAGACACGGATCACTTGACCTTCTTGTTAATGAACCGGAAAGAGACGCAGTCTTGGCATAAATATCTCTTTCCTCAAATGTCGTTTATCGAGAAAGGCACTGGTTTAATTGCGGTGGCATCATATTCCTACCTCTAGAGTGCGTATACCCTTACTTTTATGAGACTATGAGCTACCAATATAGGATAGCCGTTCAGATGCGAATTCGCAGGTGGGCAAGACTGTCATTAATTTGGCGATTTTTCTTCTTTACTTGGTAAGACGCTGAGGAGCAAGACTTTGGATTTTCAACAACTTCAGGTCTACTTACGGTTGAGTTTGAGCAGACATTATTTGTGGACAGTTCGGTGTTTCAATTTCTTGTTCACTTGAGGATTGCTCTCGCCAAGAGCGGAAATGAGGCAATGCTCTAACACATGGGTACTTACATAAGGTTCCTTACATAAGGTTCAAGGATCATTTGCGCAAATAATAGGAGCTGAGGCTATCATGAGATTTCTGATCCGTCTGATGATGACCAGATTATTCCCTGCTGGCCTGGAGTTGGACCGAATTTTGTTTCGGTCGCTGAAGCTGCTTGCGATATTGGGTGTGCGCGATGTACGTTGTCAGTGATAAGTTGTCGTATCGTTTCTGCCCTGCACGGAAAGTGGAGAAAGGCGCTATTTTCAGCAGCGGAAGGATTACGGCGCTTACAGAGATGCGCAAGCACTCTACGAGGCAGCCATCGCCCACCCTACATATGGAAGTCGGTAGAGCAGTGTGGTTGGGAAACAAATGCAGCCCGTCCCGTGACAGATTCTCGCCCTCTAGAGGATTGAATTTCTAGGTCGATGTAGGCTGGTAGACGTTGAGCAGGGGAGGTCCAGGACGTTGAAGGATGAGAGAACAGATGGAAGGCTGGTGGAAACGGCCCCGACTTCGGGACTTCGGGGAAGGCTCAATGGCTGCCAGACCCCAACTCATGGTGGGTTCCCAGTGGGGTGAAGCGCCCCTAAAAGGTTAAATCATGCCGCCATAGGCAGGCAGTCGCCCCAAAGAGCCCTCCCAGACCCCCGTAGGCCCAGTAGCCCCCCCAGAAGGACCCAAAGAGTGGGAGGCAAGGCCGGGTCAGGTGCTGCACTGCCTTCAAAGTTGTCAGTCACATCCCTGGACGATGGATGGGCGATAATCCACCCCAGTCACGCAACACACTTTCTGCGAAACCTCCTCTCCTCCATCAGTCTCGATTTTGCTCACCCTCGCCGTCAGATACACCTGCCTCTCGCCGTCCTCGAGTCGACTCCCCGATTACTACATCTCCCATAGCGACAGCCCATTCTTCTGCGAAAGCCCGGGGCAGCACGATCCGGGGTACTCGGCAGTTCTCTAGCGCCCCCTACTCTTCGTCATCGATCGAGGCTCGAGGCTCCTCTTCCCTGCTCCCCAGCCGCACGCCCAGCGCTCGCTTGCGACCTCCCTTCCTCTCCCGCTTCGCCGCCACCAAGACACAGAATCGACTCGATAGAATACTGCCGCTATCATGACTTGGGAACTCAACCGACGACGCATCTCGCGCACCATCAATGAAAAATATATCTTCGGTCGCATTGTACGTGCTCTCCCCCCCGGCGACTCATGGCAGCCCCGATCCCGCATCCCATCCGCATTAGGCCAGATCAGAGCCAGAAACATCAGCGCCATCGAGCGATCATGTCCTATCTGAACCCTTTCCAATCGTCCTCCCTTATCACACCTTCACCTTCTAAATCCCGTATCGCTAGGGTGTCAGTTTACTAATTAGAATTTCTCGCCAACAGCCGCTCCTGCATACCATCATCTTTTTTATTGAAATGGCGCTTGCTGCTCGCCTCACCGCGAGGTTCAACTCATATTATGATGAACGGCCAAGTATGACTACCCAGCGACCTCCAGAACACATCTCCCCCATCGGAATCATTTACTAACCTAGCCCATCAAAATAGTCATGACCATGATGGTAACCAACGCTATTCTGGGAGGGATTGCCGACACCGTCGCCCAATCCATCAGCGCCATCCGCGAACGAGCCCTTCGTAAGCCAAGCAATGTCAACAAGCGTATGGACATCGAACTCGAGAACAAGAACAGCAGCGGCCTCTTAGACCAAGGCCTGGCCCTCGACTACAGAGCCTCGCCGACCGGCTTCGATTTCGAGCGTCTGACTCGCTTCATGGCCTATGGTTTCTGCATGGCCCCTGTGCAATTCAAGTGGTTCAGTTTCCTCAGCCAGACCTTCCCCATCACCAAGACCAGTGCCTTTGGTCCCGCCATGAAGCGAGTTGCTTTCGATCAGTTTATCTTTGCACCATTTGGTCTCTTCGTCTTCTTCACATCCATGACTCTGGCTGAGGGAGGCGGCAGGAGGGCCGTCGCCCGTAAGCTTCAGGACATGTATATCCCAACTCTCAAGGCCAACTTCATCGTCTGGCCCGCTGTTCAGATTGTCAACTTCCGATTGATGCCAGTTCAGTTCCAACTTGTGAGTATCTCAACACCGATGAAATTTTGTCCAGTCACTGATATATGTCCAGCCTTTTGTATCTACTGTTGGTATTGCATGGACCGCGTATCTCTCCCTTACCACCTCATCCGACTAAAAACGATCAAAATATCATCTCGATTCCAACCCGGGTCCGGCGTCCTAACCCCGGTGACGGAGGTCGAAGTTATACATACAGTTATTGCGCTAATGGGCACATCGCATGGTGTTGAAATGGAGAAGAAGGGAGTCTACTGATCTCCCTCCTGTCCCTTCTTGGATGTTATTTTCGTTATCATGCGTGCTTGCAGTCTGGCGTAAGGTCTATGATTGGGTTTTTTTTATTTTTAGTGCCATGAGTCTAGATTTTTGACTAGGTCAATCCGAAGAGGTTTGGCTCGGTTCTCTAGAATTAGTTTGGGAAAAGCACCGCGGTGGGCGTCTCGCCCGCAGACATAGAACGATCACTTTGAATATTATCTTCTGGCACCACTGCTCTGGTCTGCAGGCTGTTATTAATCGCATTGCTAGTACATAGGTAGTTGGGCCTGCTCAACGGCCAAACCTGCGCCGCATACATAGTGCGCATGGTGTGGCCTATCGGCTGAATTTAGTTCTGTTCTGTAAACCTGCTCCGGGACAAGCTCGTGCCCTCGGTTGCATGCTTGGCCGCCATTCAAAGTCCCCGTCCGTCGCCAGAATCCGGAGGGCGGTATGGCGCAACGAGGCCAATCATGTGAGGGTTGGCTTGAGATTTCTCATGTTAATCGGGCGGGGGTAGCAGTTCCTTGTCTCCGGTTCCAGGTTCTGCACGCTCCCGGCCAGTAGATGTGAACCTCTGTGGATGGTGCCCGTACGACATCTATTGATGGCGGCGCAGGTGTGACGCGCCTCACCTGTTCACCCCACCACAGCACCTGTAGCAGCCCACTGGCATCAACTCCCGCGGCCGGGGGGCAGCGGCCTATGGCGAGGTCTATCTATCGCCAACAGCTGCCACTAGCTCAGGTATGTAGCTGCGCTCTTTTCCCCACCATGGCCTGACGAGCCTCTTCTCTTTTCTTCTCCTTCTCCTCCTCCAACCACCTTCTCACTTCCTACCTACGCAAGAATCTAATTCATTTTTTGCGTTAATTACATCGCAAACATGTCTCTGTCCAACAAGCTCTCCATCGCCGACGTTGACGTCAAGGGCAAGAGGGTCCTAATCCGAGTGAGTCCTGACCTGAGCTGTTACTACCCCTCCATTGTTTGTTGCTGTCTGCCCCTCCATCACCATGGTGTCATGGTGGGGGAGGCGGCCTGCTTGCCCACGACGAGATGGCCACTTTCTGCCATTCGCGTTTGCCAACTGAGGAATTCCTCGCTCGAGTTGTTTGCAATCGAATTGGAAGGAGGGCCATGTTGTGATTTCCGGTGGCACGCCACAAAGTATCGCTTTCGTTCGCGCCAGTTGCTAACCTTGTCGTTTCTTTCCTAGGTCGACTTCAACGTTCCCCTGGACGCAGACAAGAACGTCACCAACCCCCAGCGTATCGTCGGTGCTCTCCCCACCATCAAGTACGCCATCGACAATGGCGCCAAGGCAGTGATTCTCATGTCTCACCTTGGCCGTCCCAACGGTGCCGTCAACCCCAAGTACTCGCTCAAGCCCGTCGTCCCTGTCCTCGAGAAGCTCCTGGGCAAGTCTGTTACCTTTGCCCCTGACTCCGTTGGCCCCGAGGTTGAGGCCATTGTCAACAAGGCCGACAACGGCGAGGTGATCCTTCTCGAGAACTTGCGCTTCCACATTGAGGAGGAGGGCAGCGCCAAGGACGCTGAGGGCAAGAAGGTCAAGGCCGACAAGGCCCAAGTCGATGCTTTCCGCAAGGGCCTCACTGCCCTCGGTGACGTCTACGTCAGTAAGTCTACCATTACCCCCTATTATTTCTCAAAGCAAGTTTCTTACCAACCCCCTCTTCTTAGACGATGCCTTCGGCACTGCTCACCGTGCCCACTCTTCCATGGTCGGTGTCGACCTGCCCCAGAAGGCCTCCGGTTTCCTCGTCAAGAAGGAGCTCGAGTACTTTGCCAAGGCCCTGGAGTCTCCTCAGCGTCCCTTCCTCGCCATTCTCGGTGGTGCCAAGGTTTCCGACAAGATCCAGCTGATTGACAACCTGCTCGACAAGGTCAACACTCTCATCATTTGTGGTGGTATGGCCTTCACCTTCAAGAAGGTTCTCAACAACGTTGCCATTGGCTCGTCCCTCTTCGATGAGGCTGGCGCCAAGACTGTCGAGTCTCTTGTGCAGAAGGCCAAGGATAAGAACGTCAAGATTGTCCTGCCTGTCGACTACATCACTGCCGACAAGTTTGACAAGGACGCCAACACTGGCAAGGCTACCGATGCCGAGGGTATCCCTGACGGCTGGATGGGTCTGGACTGCGGCGAGGAGTCCATCAAGCTCTATAAGGAGGCCATCAGCGAGGCCAAGACCATCCTCTGGAATGGCCCTGCTGGTGTTTTCGAGTTCGACAAGTTCGCCACCGGTACCAAGGCTACCCTGGATGCCGTTGTCGAGGGTGTCCAGAAGGACGGCAAGATCGTCATCATCGGTGGTGGTGACACCGCTACTGTCGCTGCCAAGTACGGTGTCGAGGACAAGCTCAGCCACGTCTCAACCGGCGGTGGTGCCAGCTTGGAGCTTCTTGAGGGCAAGGAGCTGCCCGGTATCACTGCCCTGTCGAGTAAGTAGGCGTACTCTTCCAACTAGGGAAGACTTGTTGACCAGATGGCTGGAATCAAAAGGTCGGCAAGATAAGGCTAGTCTGTAGCAATCGCTGATAGCGCTCGCAAGAGGGAATACGCCCTATTATGAAGCATATGTAGAAAAAAAATAAAGCAAAAATGATGACCGTACAAATATCCTTGTCCTACTCGATAACTTCTATCCCATGGATTAAAGACGTGTCGGTGACCAACACATGAGACTTCACGGACTCTGTAGCAGCTGTTTTGTATCGGGGCGTTCATATTTCTCAAGGAGGCATGAAGAATGCTTGTATCACCCATGCATGCCGGCTGAGGATCGTAGTCATTATCTCTCGTCTATTGAATCGTTGAAACTTCAAAAAGAAACCCGAATTCCCAGTTTCATCCTAGTCATTGATTACTTTCGCTTTCCCGTCCGCTCGTTCATCGTCCTTTCGACTCCTGAACCTTTTTCAACTCCTCCCTGTAGGTAAGAAAACCATTTGTTAGCACATCTCGGTCTGGTACTGCGGTAACGAATCATAGACATCGGCTTTGGGAGGTGTGTTGGGCAGAACATACTTGAGCTGCGCGGAGAAGTCGTCGCTCGTGTCGTCGTCGTCCCAGCTCTCCTCCCAGAGGTGCTTGGAGGACTCGCCCCCGCTGGCGGCCTGGGCAGCGGCTTCGGTCTCGTTGTCTGGCCAGTCTGCAGATTGTCGCATGACCTCGTTAGCATTTTCCCTTTCTCTGAAGCTTCTCGGGCGGCTACTGCCAAGGGGATGGAATCATCGAGGATAGGAAGATTCCATATAGAATTGGATGCTTTCTCTCCTTTGGGAGGACGTACCGTCAACGGGGAAATCCTCAAACTCGTCGTCCTCGCCCAGGACGGTGGGCTTGGTGGGCTCTTGTTGCTTCTGGTCCGCGGGGGCGGCAGCTGCGTCTGCAGGCTTGGTCGTCTCTGATGCCATGGTGTCGATTGTGAGGGGATCTTGCGTTCCGGGAGGTTGGATTGCGAGAGATGTGTGTGCTCTTTATTGGAATGGAGAGTTGGGGAAAGCGGGATTCGGCGTGCTGGTGATCGGAGCTGTCTCTCTCTGCTCGAGGGTTGGCGTTGGTTATGTAATACAGGGAGGCAGCGATGTGTCGTCGACACCCAGAGCGGGACCTACCCTATACAACGCTGAGTGGAATGCTGGAGAACTCTTGCATGAATCGCTCAAAACGAACTACGAATTGACGATGCTAACAATCTGATTTTTACAGCTAGTTGGCGAGGATGGACAGCTCCAAGCTGCACCTATCGGCCGTCAAGGCAAGATCCGACCAACACAATCCGGGACATGTTGCAGGTTGGGGTTCGCTAGTGGCAGAGCATTCCATGCCGCGGTGGGGAGCAGTGGCTCATTGGATGATTTGCACAGGCTGATGTGAGATCCAATCGTTGGGGCATGTGGCACAGCTAAGCCTCATTTCTCCCTTGGATATCAGAGATACATTACGGGCGCAAGTGTGAGATTGTGGGACGCGCGCCTGGGAGAGAGTGGCTTTGGGGTCTAAGTCAGAACCAACGCTCCGCTGTTTTGTTCCCTCGCCCGTGGTGCAATCGGCCAGATCTAGGTTTACTCTATTCACCTTAGTTTCCCCCATAGTGGCAAGTCTGCTATATTTTCCCTCCGAGGAGCCGTTGAGCAGGCGAAAAAAAAACCGAAACCGTTACCGATGGGGAGTCGGGATTGATTGATCCCCCCACGTCTCTCCCAAGCACCGAGAGCAGCACTGCATGGTGCAGCCAAACGAATAAAGCAGGAGAAATTGGCCCTCCTGCAGCTCTCGGATATAAAACGAAGCCTGAACGAAGGATCACAGGAGCACGGCTTAAATTGCAGAGAGTCAGCATCTCTGTTCCGCACTCCTTCTCTTATCACCCCTCATCCCCGTGCCGGTCGTTCCGTCAATTGAGGCGGCCCATTTGCGAATCACTGTCGCTACCATGAGCCGATTCGGAGGCTGGCTGCGGTCCAGCGTCAAGAATGACCCTGAGGCGGAAAATGCGGCCGCTGCAGCTGCCGAGAAGAAGCAGCTCGAGGACCTGGCTGATGCGATGAAGCATGCCCAGCTCATCATGAATGATGACCTTGATGGTGCATACGCCGCCCTTAAGCAGGGCGATTCGGTCTTCCACAGCCTGGGCTCCACCGTCACCTTCTTCTTGCGCTCCGTTCTGGGCATGGAGAAGCAGGTCATGACGGATACGTTGGATATGCTATACGACTGCGAGACCAAGTGCGGCGATGGGATCCGGACGGCGCAGAAGCGGGGTCGACGGAAGGGAAGCATCTATGAGCCGGGTGCCGAGTACGAGCTGGTAAAGTCGCAGACGCTGCTGATGGGCGCCGTCGTCGGTGTTCTGCAGGAGAGTCTGGTGGAAGCCATGAAGAGTTTCTTGAAGCTCCGCAAGGCTTACGTGGCGCTCGATACAATCATTGCGGCCGAAAATAAGGCTCTTGGGTTGGACCAGCAGGCTGCTTCGGCTGTCCCACCACCTGGCCCTGATCATATGCCCGGCCAGTTTGATGATGACATGGCGGAGTTTGAGGGAGGTCCCGCCAAGAAGGAAAGTGATGACTCTAGCTCCGACGAGTTTATTGATGCCAAGGAGGCACCCTCTGGATTGCAGACACCAGCTGCGTCGACGGCCCTTACGACACCGGAGCCTAGCACCCTAGGAATTAATGCGGACAGCAAGCCCGGCGAGCTGTCAACCAAGGATATTGAGGCCATGAGCAGCCTCAGCCTGGAAGATCCGATGGATGTCTTCGTCCATTCTGGCGCCAGCATGGGTTTTGGCACCATGATGCTGCTCTTGACCCTGGTCCCCCCGTCCCTCGGTCGCGTACTGTCTGTTGTAGGTTTTCAGGGTGATCGAACAAGGGGAGTCAAGATGCTGTGGGAAAGCACCGTGTATGACAACATCTTTGGCGCTGTGTCTGCCATGGTGCTCCTTGGTTTCTACAATGGTATCCTAGGCACGGTGGACATCCTCCCCCACGAAAAGGACTTTGACGAGACCGCCCAAACCGTTGGGCCCCCTTCGGAAAAGTGCGAAAGGTTGCTCAAAACTATGCGACAGCGATACCCTGAGTCTAGACTCTGGCGTGTCGAGGAGGCCCGTCTGCACACCCATAGACGTCAGCTGCACAAGGCTATCGAGGTGCTTTCGTCGGGACCTACTTCCAAGATGAAGCAGGTGACTGCGCTCAACGATTTCGAGCTCTCCATCGACGCTCTCCTGGCCCAGGACTGGAACCTGATGCGGGATAGTTTTCTTCGATGTCTCGAGAACAACGAATGGAGCCCGGCAATGTATTACTTCGCAGCTGGGTGCGCCTCTTTGGAGCTATATCGTGATGCTCACCATGGTGGCGACACACATGAGGCGAGGAGGCAAAAGGCAAAGGCGGAGGCGTTCATCCGCAAGGCGCCGTCGCTGACAGGCGCAAAGAAGTTCATGGCTAGGAAGCTGCCGTTTGAGGCGTTTCTGCTAATGAAGATCAAGCGGTGGGAGGAGCGAGCCGCCGCCCTGAAGGTTGACCTTGCTGATGCCGTTGGCACTAGCCCGGCCATGGAGCTGTGCTACATGTGGAACGGCACTCGGCGCATGGGTGAAAAGGAGCTCGAGAACTGCATCCCATGCCTCTCGTGGGAACGCTGTACGTCTGACAAGGTCGTCGAAACGATTCGAACGGAGCAAGATGAGTTGGCTTGCTGGGCGCTGTGCATGTCCACCATTAAGAGGACCCAGGGCAAGTTTAGCGAGGCCAGGAGCCTGCTTGACGAGAACATCATACCCCATGATCCGTAAGTTTCAACACATGCCAAATTTCTCTTTATCTATCTAACATCGTCTTCTTCAGATCTGTCTTCAAGGGCCCCACAAAGAATGACTACGTCCTCCCCGCAGCCACATATGAGCTTGGTGCCATCGCCTGGGAAGAATGCTGCGCTGATCCACCGGCCGGCGAGTCGGACGTTGCATCGTATCGTCGGAGAAAGGCCGATGAATGCGAGGCGCAGTTGACCAAGGTGACGGCGTGGGAGGCATTTTCACTGGACTTTCGCATCGGTCTGCGCGTGCAGAGTGGGATGGAGACTTTGAAGTGGTTCAAGACGAAAAATGGTTGGGCGTAAAGGAATCTTCTTGGGAAAATGGAAAAGACCGGCACATCTATAGAGAACAGCTTGCATATGCGGGTGATGATATATTGGGCATATTCACCAGGTACACGACTATATTTTGTCTGCAGAGAAATGAATAGGGACTATACAGGATAAAATGCACACGCTAGACTCTGGAACCCTCTCTTGGCTCCTCCAGACACTTTTTAACCGCGTTTGCTATTGCCTCTTTCCAAACTTTTTCTTTTAGATAACACTATGAACAAAAAAACCACCTTTGACTTGGAAATAGGCTGAAGACAGGAACAGGGATCAACCAGTCTTTCTGGGCGTCCTCTTCCTGGTGCTCCGCCTCGTCCCAGTCCCGTTCGTCAACGCATCAATCCCATCCTGGATCAAGCCAGCCCCCTCGTCCACCTTCTTCGACGACCGCTCCTTGAGACGGTGCTTCTCCGCCTCGTCCTTGACGTCCTCGAGGACGTCACCTCCCCGACTCGTGCCGTTGACCCAGTCCAGGAACCCCCAGGCGCCGTAGTTGGCTTTGCCCTTGCTCGCGTAGTGGACGGCGGTGCGGCGGGCGATGCCGCCGAGGAAGATGCCCGGGACGATGGAGTAGCCCGAGGTGGCGAGGGTGCCCTCGCCGGTGCACAGGGCGGTGAAGAGGATGTAGGTGAGAAGGTGTGGGCGCAAGATCAGGGACGGGAGGAGGACGGGGACGAGGTTGAGGACGAGCAGAGGCAAAGGGTGGTCGCCGTAGAGGTTGAGGGAGCAGGCCGGGTTGGCGTGGCCGTAGCGGAGATGGAGGGTGGTGAGCGGAGAGCGAGAATTAGAGTGGAGGAGGAACCGGTGGGTGTAGTAGGTGAGGCCCTCGCGGGCGGAGAAGAGGATGAGGACGTGCTTGAAGACCTGCCAGGGGAGGGGCAGGGTGGTGGAGGTGCGGAAGAGAGGCTTGGAGGTCGCGTAGTGGAAGGCGTAGGTGAGGCCGGCTTCGGTGGCGGTTAGGAGGAGCATGTTGAAGACGGCGAGGGCGAGGAGGCGGAGCGGGCGGCGGGGCAGGGAGGCGGCGCCGGCGAATTTGATGGAGGCGGCGAGGCCGGGGAAGAGGGTGTCGAAGGCGAGGAAGAGGAGGGACGGTATCAGCCAGAGGAAGATGCGCAGGACGAAGAGCGCGGTGGCGTGGATAACGGCGGCATCGTGGGTGAGGACGAGGGTCGACCAAGTGGCGTAGAAGAAGAGGATGTTGATGGAGGTCGACCACGAGGGGGTGAAGATGGTTGAGACGAGGGGAATGGAGAGGAGGACATCCATCGTGAAGATGTGTATTTCGACGGGACGATACAATGGAGGGTTTTGATTTATGATTCGAGTGCTGTTGTCTTACTGTCCCATTGTAAATGCTGGCAGGCACCGTCGTCTATTGGGATACAATCGTGAGGTAGGTCTCTGGGAACTGGACACAAAGAAAGGATCTCTGGGCACTCAATTGGTTCGCTACGTAAGAATATATACACTTGGAGGGGAGTGAGAACAAGGTGCATCCATAACCAAAACTTGGTGGGTGTCTGGTGGGAGTATGACGTTGGCGGGCGATGACGTCGTTGATGCATCCATCAAAACGCGATCTTGTGCAAGTCAGCTTGCTCTTGCTGATAGGGTGTACTGAACTCTGCTGATAGAGAATCCCTGAGGGGTAAAAGGAAAATAGAAGAGAAAGGCGAGTCGCTTTTTATTTGCTTGTTCTTGTTATCTTGGACTTTGCTTTTTGTGATGTCTTGAGGTTTCTTTCACGTGAGGCTGTACCTATGTAATTCAGATAAGATAAGAAGATAAGATAGATGCGGGTTCAGAAACAGACTTTATAGTCGCCATGCCGATACCTATGTATCTTTGAACAGATACCGGCTGCCTTGCCTCTTGTCATGATCGATGGGAATGATGTTCTTTGAATCTCACAAACATCATCCTGCCATGACGGGAGGTACCCCAGGTTGTGATTTCTGACGGCTTTATCCGTGGTTGCTGGCCATCCATCCATGTGATCTTGAGAGGGCCAGATACAACAGCTTTCTCATTCGACCAATTTATTTTCCGAGGAGATTGCCGCTAATCTTGTTATGTATGTATTTCGCTGACTGCATATTACAGGCGAGAGAGGTAAGCTGCATATAGGTAGACATGCATGTGTATGCCATGTAGCTATGTCGGTGTGCATTGCATATGCAAGTCACGGAAATTGATGACCCGGTTGGGCGTGCTGGGCAGCATCGACATCAACATATGGAATTTACCTTCAAGGTTGGCTCATGACAAACGGCTCTTTGGAAACGCTCGCTTTAACTTTGGCAACGCATAGGCACGAGTCGCACTAGCAACGGGGCAATGTTCTGGAGCGTATTCCACATGAATGATCGACAAAGTGCCTGCACAAGAACGCTATGACCAACTGGTCGGTTGGTCTCGGGCAGCTGGTGGCATCGTATCGTGGCACTAAGCAGGGGCACTGATCTCCGGACTCCTTTTCTTCTGTGTTCTCTCACATTGCTTTTTCTGTCTGCTTATTATTAATCACGGTTCCCTCTCTGCTTGCTGCGTCCCCAGTATCCGCTTCGTCCGTGGCTCTGACTCGTGGAGGGAATTTAAAAAGAAAGCACATGGTCCCGCCGTCAGGCAGATAGTAGTTAGTAGTTCGATAGGTCACTCTCATTAACTGGAATTGCTTTTGGTTGCTTGAAGCATACTCGGCGTGATTGGATAAACGGAGTCAGACTATCGCTCTGCCTGCCGGCATGCTCAGCAGTTGAAACATGTTATCCTTTGGCTGGCAAGTACTACTATCACAGAGAGTGGCCATACCAGCGCTGGCCCCTGAGCGTCGCGTGAAGGCGGGCGGGTGAGGGGACCCCCTTTTGTCACCCTGGAACCCCTGTCCTGTCTTTTATCGAGTAATTTGCCCAACCGCACAACCTGCACACTTACGTATAGTGGATGCATGGTGCTCCCGCGTGCCGAACCTCCCTCACGAACCTCCGAGAGGTGAGGGACACAGGATGGCAGAACTGGTCATGCTTGCGCTCGGGGGATAGGACAGACGACGCGTAACGTAAGAGCGCCGGTTCGTTTCACACCGGTAATACGACTGACTACCGTGTTTGACACTGGCGCATTTCACAAAATTCACAGCTGTGAGTCGAAATGGCTGGTCGAGCTGATCCCCGGGGAGGATGGATCGAGGGCCGGCCCTGTCCAGTAATTAGCGGGGATGGTGCCTCTGTCCGCGTGCCTTACAGTGTCTGGTGGATTCAGGTCCAGGCACTGCATTAGGGGAACCTGCACTACAACACACTACGGCTGATCCTGTGTCGCATCACATGTACGAACGCAGTGTGAGTCTTGACGGCGGTTCGTGCAAACAAAGGGATGTCACCCTCCGTGCAAGCGGTATCAGTAACACGCATGCACAGCAGCTGGAGGGCGCTTATCTACGCAGTGTGACAATATCCAACCCGCCTGTGACCCGGGAACTGGCTCACCTCGGTAGTAGTACCCGTCTGTAAGCGTGCAGTGTTTGTCTGGAAGTCACTGCAGTGTCTCGCGTTCCACTGGTTCTCAGCACAGCGGCGGTCGTGCCTTCCTGTGCCCACAATTGCCCTGCGCCGCCCCATCGGCCCCGCTTCAACTTAATTTGATCTGGGCGAACGAGCCCCTTGAACCTCTTCCCAATATCACCGTCGACTCCCACCAGCCAACGCAACTTCACCTCTCTCGGTTGGCCTGCCATGATTGCCGTAATTCGCTGGCGCCTATCCGATTTTTGGGGATTCTGATCCACTCTCGAGATTTCCTTCTTTCGTTTCCATCCTAGCATTCGTTCCTTTTGCTGTTGTTGCGACAGGAAACCTGTGCCGCTTCCCTCCCCCCGTTTGCCTGCCCACCCATCTGGATCTAGCGACCTCTCACCCACACCAGGAGACAACTCAGACATACCTATCACACTGCATACATACATACTACGTAGCATCTCACCCATTGAGTTCATCTGGGGTGCCGTGCCGCCGTACTTGTCCCGCGCTCCTCCTCATCGCCCAATGCGCTGATCGCCAATAGACCCAATGCGAGTCTGCATGCCTCGCCTGGGCTAATTCTGCGCCAGCCCTTGACCGTCACCCTGTCCCGTCACCGGTCAATAGATAGATCAGGAGCCTAGTTGCCTTTTTTTTTTCCTTCCCACTGTGTGTCAATCTGTGCTTTGCGCCGACTGGCCTTGATCTCTCCACTACTTCGCCGCATCGCGCTGCACGAATACCACCTGCCACGCACCACCACACACCTAGTCGCATCGACGCAGGGTTCGCCTGGGGAATTGACTGTCATCTTGCAGATAGACAGTTCATATTGGGACGCATTCTGTTCCCTCCTGCATTGGGGCGGCCCAGTATAACCTAGACTAGCGGCTGACACCTAGAGACACGCTCCTATTACACACAGCCCCCCAACCGTCGCTCTGTCTTGAAGCTCGGCTCACCGGTGGCCAGAAGAATCCTGTCAAGACTGCAGCCATGGACGTCGACCATCTGCAACACCGCTCCCAGCACCCCCCTCACCACTATCCGTCCTCCTCTATTGCTTCCGACACGCCGCCTCCGATACCGACTCGAACCCGCTACAACTCTACAAACCACGCCGCTTCTCGTCGTCGCATATCCCAGCACACCTTCACTGGCGGTGTTGCAGCTAAGCGCCAGAGCATACCTCCTGCCGCCAGCCCTGAGGTCATCTCAAGCCTGATCACCAGCTTGAGCGGTATCGCGAAGCCTGCCGACGATTATTTCGAGGCTGCTACTTCGGGCACACCATCGCCGCCGGCACCTTTCTCCAGTCTCACCCGCCCTTCTTCGAGTCAAAGAGGCCCCTCTGGCGGCAGTTTCGGTGTTGATTACGGCGCATATTCAAAGCCGAGGTACCCCGAATTATCAAGCCCTATCTCTCTCGACGAGCTTGCCGCCTCCCCTCCCATCGTTCGCACCTCCAAACCTACCAGCGGCTACTCTCCCCTCAACGCTTCAAAAAGTCCCAAATCCTCGCGAAGCGCCTCCAGCCGTGACGGCGGCTTGCGATCCTTTATCCGCAGCAGCAGCTCTAATTCACCCTCTCGACCGTCGTCAAAGACATCTGCCAAGAATGATGACACCCATAGTATTGGTAACCTCTCGATAGAACGCCCCCCGGCGCCTTCTGTCGACCAGGAGCTCAATCATAAGCGGTCTTTCGACAGCTGGGGAAAGAAGACCGGCCGGAGCTACAAAGGCTTGATGTACATGAGCTCTAGAGAACGATTACGGGAAAAGGAAGACCGGAAGCGCTCTATGGACAGCAACGGAGGCGCGGGTCTCACTGGGGCTAAGAGCAACCAGAGCCTTTCGAAACCGGACCCGTCCCTGGCCGAGATGGCGATCAGCGAAGAGCCGGCCATGGCTCACAACATCTCGCCGGCCCTTCGGCAAGTATCCGCAAGCCCTAGGTCCATCCCAAACCGGGACTCAAGTCTCAAAAAGATGAACAACCCAACTCCGAAGCGAGACAGCGGACGTCGTAGTCACAGTAATGAACCTCGAGCTCCTTCAACTGCTCCGGTGGCAACAGCGAGCAGCAACACCGCCGAGACACCCGCCAACTCAGGCCGGAAGCGCGGATCTGTGAAGAAGTCCCCTCCTCAGCTTGATCTCACCGCCTCATCGGCAGGCCATAGCTTCCTCCTGGGACCAGGCGAGGCAGCCGGGTCAAACAATGTCGAGACCCCTACCACACAGCGATTCCTCGATACTATCCGGAGCGACTATCTTGCCTTCGACAATCACCGAGCCGGTTTGGATGCTACAGACGGCGCTCCTTATCCAGCAGTGGCTCAGAGCCGGAGGCGATCTGATCAAAGCCTAGAGCATGGAAACCGCCGCCGATCCGGTCAGAACCAGAACAAAGATTCAGCTACAGATGATGGTAAAGGGAAGAGGAGCAGTTCTAGGTTGAAACGACTCTCACGGCCGACGAGTCCGGCTGTCGATGGCAAGACATCGACTGATGTACACAGAGATACAGATGGTGGTGCTCCTTTGGAGCGTGTGGACTCGACCGATTCTGTCGATGATGCTGTCGAGGCGTATCTGTCCTCACCGCGGCTAACCCAGAGAATCAAGCATCCTCAGACGGGCAGGGTTATATGCTTTTCAGAGGTCGGCGACCCGGAGGGCTCAGCTGTTTTCTGCTGTGTAGGAATGGGACTTACTCGTTACATTACGGCATTCTATGATGAGCTGGCACTTACATTGAAGCTTCGTTTGATTACTCCCGACCGACCTGGTGTCGGAGAGAGCGAGCCATACGCAGACGGGAGCACCACCCCGCTTGGTTGGCCTGGTACGTTCCCTCCCTGTCAACTACTTCTCTTGTGATGATACTAATCTACTCGTTCCAGATGACGTTTACGCTATTTGTCAAGCTCTGAAAATCACAAAGTTTTCCATTCTTGCCCACTCAGCTGGCGCAATCTATGCACTGGCGACTGCCCTCCGAATGCCCCAGCACATTCGAGGCAGAATCCACCTCTTGGCACCTTGGATTCCTCCATCGCAGATGAACGTCTTTGGTGGATCACAGGCTCTCCCACCTACGCATGCTATACCAACGTCGCAGCGTATTTTACGAGCCCTGCCAACGCCGATGCTCAAGGTGGCCAACAGCAGCTTCATGTCTGCCACAAGCACATCCATCACAACCTCGTTGCCAAAGACGCCAAGGAGGACTAAGCGCAAGTCTCAAAACCGAGAGAATAACTCGGCTCCTACTATTCTACCTCCTCCGGACAAGGAAAATATCGGGGTGGCTGTAAAGGATGCAGCAGAGATGGCGAAGAAGGGTGCTGAAACCGCATCTAAACGCACAGGTGCCGTGGATCGTGATAGGAATGCTGCAAATGGAGACCGGGGCGAGGACATGCGGACTCAAGAAGAAATCGACGAGGATGCTCTTGCAGACGCGGAGCGTCAACAGGTTTACGATATCCGATTGACGCATGCCATATGGGGGCTTGCAACCACTGGAGCAAACCCTGCAGTCGACTTATTGGTCTGCTTGGAGCGCCGCCACACGATTGGTTTCCGATATGTCGATATCAACCGGCCTGTTATCATCCACCATGGAAGCAAAGATACTCGTGTCCCTGTTGACAATGTCAGGTGGCTTGGCAGGTCCATGCGGCGGTGTGAGGTCAGGGTTCTCGAAGGTGAGGGCCACGGACTTATGGCAAGCGCAAGTGTGATGGGCTCGGTGCTCATGGAGATCAGTAAAGAGTGGGAGGAGTGGATGAGAGTCACGGGCGCTGATGGCCGCAAAGAGAAAGAGAGAGGACGACGGACTGGTCTCCATCGATGAGAAGAAAGATGACGCTGGTCGCCTGATGGAGCGAACATGAACAACGATACATCTTGGACCCAGCCTCGAAACTAATAAGCGGCAATTCGAGCGACATGCAGCAAAGCGGCCACAATTACAGCCGGTGGCAGTCCTATCTACTCAACCCGTCAATGGGCTGTGGCTGACCCAAGGTCTAGTTTTTGGCATTCAATCGAAACTGCCAAGCTACAGGACAATACTTCATGACATGAGCCAGCACACACATGGATTCTACGAATTTCTTTTTGAAAAATGTCGCCCTTGATTTGGAGGTGAAAATAAGATGTATGGTGCGGGAAAGAGCTGGGATCTAAAACTCACGTTGGGAGGCGGAGCGGGTGCTATACTGTTAATTAAATATTTGCAGCACCTGGAGATGCGATCTGGTATTCCAAGAATAATATAGAATAGCATCTAATGTAATATGGTAAACTTTAAAAGTAAGCTCTCGTTTTGAAGTGGCATTCTGTAGCCTTGAAACTGTGATGGAGATGGAACTGAAACATCCACTTGTGTGGGGCTACAAGGAGCTTCGTACAGGGTAAGTGGCTTTTTTTTTTACTGATTCAGAGAGCAAGGACATCTGACGTAAATGGAACGAGCTTCACATTCAAGCATCCTGGAACCTCCTCAAATAATACCCATTGGTTGAGAGGAGAGCACCAGCTCTCCCTTGAAATACGCCACCATGGATGTGAGCAAGATGGAAGGTCTCGATGATTTCGAGAAGTCTCTTGCCGCGGAGCAGGCCGAGCGAGATCGAGATGGGGAGCGTCGCGAGCGAAAGCATCGTCATCGACGGCACCGAGATGAGGAGAACGATCGAGACCGCGACCGCGACCACGATGGAGATGGGCACAGGAGCAGCAGGCGAGGCCACCACCATCACCACAGCGGCGAAAGCGACCGTCGCAGGGAGGAAGGTGACAAGGACGGGCACCGTCACAGTTCACATCGACACCGACGAGAGCGCGACCACGATGACGATGAGCATAGACGCAAGCGATCGCGGCGCCAACATCACCATGAGAAGGAGGGCGACCGCCGGCATCATGAGGATCGCCACTCACACAAGACGAGCGACCCCAAGGAGGACCTTCCAATTCCCGACGAGGAGAAGCCCTTGAGCGAGAATGCAGTTGATGTACCCAAATCCTCTGCCGCAAGAGACTCATGGATGGTCGCGCCGTCGGCCATAGAAATCGATTACAAACACCGCCCAACACAAAAGACGCCGCCGCCCAAGTCGCCCCCTCGACCTCAACGTGTGGTTCATGCTCGAGAGCTTAACCGACACCTCAACGACGAAGAGTTCCTGGATGCTAAGCTCGCACCAGGGAAGAAAGAAAGGACTGCCGATTACAAGTTTGGTGATGAAGGCTCCTCATGGCGCATGGCGAAGCTACGAAATGTCTTCGCGGCAGCAGAGGAGGACGGCAAGGCAGTGGAAGATGTCGCTTTGGAGAGGTACGGCAATCTGGAAGACTTTGACGATGCGCGGGAGGAGAAAGAAGAGTTGGAGCGCAGGAGGCTCTACGGCGCTGATTACGATCTCAAGGAGAAGCCTACAGGCCACTTATATCAGAGCCGAGTTCGGGACATTCGTAAAGGAGAAACACCATTAGGGCAGCAGAAGCCCACACAGGGAACCATTATTCCAGATGAGGTCCCGGCAGCGGCCCAGGCCATAGACCAGACTGCACTGAACAGGCTGCGAGCACAGATGATGAAGGCGAAGCTTCGGCGGGCCCCTAATGCAGCTCAGCTGGAGGAGGAGTACCAGCGTGCAGCGGCGGCCTTCGCCTCTAATGGGCCACCCGAGGCGGTGGTTGTTGGCGCGATGGAGAGCAGGCTGCTGGCTGGAACACGAGGTGAGGTCAAGGCAGTGACTACGAGGCGTGGCCGTGAGAGAGGCAACGTAGAGGAGAACGAGGATATGACCATTGAGGACATGGTGCGTGAGGAGAGACGGACCAAGGGCCAGGCTGGCGGCGAGGCACTTCGGCAGGCCGAGCGCATCGCCAAGGATGTCAAGTACACCGACGACCTGGACTACATGGACGACAACGCAGCCAAGCTCGCCAAACGAGTCCACAAGAACGAGACCAACCTGAAGAACATGGCCATCAGCGAGCTCCAGAAGGTGAACCGCATCCTCGACTCGTGCCCCCTCTGCTACCACGAAGACAAGGGCCGCCCTCCCATCGCCCCCGTCGTCTCCCTCGCTACACGCTCCTTCCTCACCCTCCCCACCGACCCCGAGGTCAGCCCCGGCGGCGCCATCATCGTGCCGCTCACCCACCGCAAGAACCTCCTCGAGTGCGACGACGACGAGTGGGAGGAGCTTCGCAACTTCATGAAGAGCCTGACGCGCATGTACCACGCCCAGGGCCGCGACGTCGTCTTCTACGAGAACGCCGCGGCCCCGCACCAGCACCGGCACGCGGCGCTCGCGGCTGTGCCCATCCCCTACGAGGAGGGCGCCATGGCCCCCGCCCACTTCCGCGAGGCGTTCCTGTCGTCGGACGCCGAGTGGTCGCAGCACCGGCCCGTCATCGACACGCAGAAGGCGGCCGAGGCGGGCGGCATGGGCCGGTCGGCGTTCCGCAGGAGCATCGCCAAGGAGATGCCGTACTTTCACGTGTGGTTCACGCTGGACGGCGGGCTAGGCCATATTGTCGAGGACGGGGGCGGCAAGTGGCCGAAGGGGGACATCTTTGCCCGCGAGGTGATTGCGGGCATCGTCGGTGCCGAGCCGCACATCGCTAAGAAGCAGGGGAGGTGGGTTGCCGGTGGTGAGGGGGCGCGCGTGGAGAGGTTTACCAAGGATTGGAGGAAGTATGACTGGACGAGGGTGTTGGGGCAGTAATTGTCTGGAGTTTAGGGTTGTCTTTGTATATCTATCCCTCTTCTCTCCGAAGTATGGGAGTGTTTAAAAGGATCATGAAAGGATGTAGCAGCATTCCAATGGATCACGTAGTTATCATCAAAATGAAATGTGGTCATTGTGTTGATTCATTATCTCATACTATAAAAACGCTACAGACTAATTTTATTTAAATCCTCGCCAGAACCTTCTCTACTCGGCGGCGAGCTGCCTCTTGCTCCACTGGTGGACCAGAGCCGTAGCGTCAACCTTTCGGTTGACCTCGTCGAAGAGGCGGGCGGTTAGGAACCGGTAAATGTACAGGGAGGCGCCGTTGTAGGTGATGCCGTGGGTGCTGTCGGTGAAGGCGAACATCTTCATCTTGTCCGGGGTGACGCCCTCGCCGACGAGGAGATCGATCAGGGCGGCGGCGTGCTGGTAGTGGACATTGTCGTCGCCGGTGCCGTGGAGGATGGAGAAGCCGCCGGCGACGGTCTTGAACTTGCTGGTGTCGTGGACGCGGGTCTCGAGGTAGCCGGCCTCGTTGTCCTCGAGGGTCTTCATGTACCGCTCCGTGTAGAGGGAGTCGTAGAAGCGCCAGTCAGAGACGGGGGCGGTGATGAGGCTGGTGGAGAAGATGCCCGTGTTGATCTCGAGCGTCTTGGCTGCCAGGTAGCCGCCGTAGGACCAGCCCCAGATACCGATCTTGTCGACGTTGATCCAGCTGAAGCGCTCGGCAAGGTGCTCGGCGGCCCAGATTTGGTCCACGGGCTCAAGCTTGCCGAGTTGACCGGTAACCAGGGAGCGGTAGGCGCGGCCACGGTATCCGGTACCACGATTGTCAACAGTGAAAGTCACGTATTGCAGCTCAGGGTCTGAGGAAATGTACTGGTTCCAGTTGTAGGCCTGGAAGCTCCTGGCCACCTGCTGGGAGTTGGGTCCGCCGTAGGGTGTGAAGAGAACGGGGTACTTCTTAGAGGGGTCGAAGTTGGGAGGGAGCTGCTGCTTGACGCTGAGCTTGTAGCCATCGGGGTGCTCAAGGTCGAAATAGGTGATGTTAGGGAGGTTGTACTCGGCGATCGTCTTGTACAGAGCGGCGTTGTCTTCAATAGTGCGCAGGGGCTTGGAGGTGCCGTTGGTGGCGTAAAGTTCCTGGTAAGGGACATCCGGTCCTTGGTAGCTGAGAATGTAGTATCCTCCTCCGGTTGAGAAGGAAGCGGACCAATAGGCAGAGACCTTGTCATCGACGAGAGGGGTAATGGTGCCGTCCTTCAAGCTGACCTTGTAGACATGGCGCTCGGTCGGGTGATGTGTGGTTGCCGTGTAGTAAACCAGACCGCGCGTAGTGTCGACCTTGAGGATGGAGGCGACCTCCCATTCGCCATCTGTAAGCTGGATGGCGTCGCCGCCGCGGACGGGGTAGAGGTAAATGTGATTCCAGCCCGACTGGTCAGACACATCCACGTAGTAGCTTGCGTTGGAGCTTGAGTTTGTCTGGACAGCGCCGACGTAGGAAATGCTGAGCGTGTTCTCCAGCCAGCCATCGGAGCCATCACGCTCGCGGATGTCCTGGGAAACAAGAGTGGTGGGATCAACTAGAACATGTTTATCTTGGTCCTGGACACGGTTGAAAGCGCGGTAGATGAGGGCGGTGTGGGTATCAGTGACCCAGGCGACCTCGCCAACAACAAGGTTCTCGGCTTCAAAGGCTGTGATGGGAACGTTCTTGTACTCGCCTGACTCAACGTCGAGAATGTTGAGCTCAACTGTGGGGTTCTTGGTTCCAACCTTGGGGTATCTCAAATCCAGCTCCTTGGGGTAAACAGGGGCGATCTTTTGGTTGTCCATGTAGTATGGAATCGTGTAGGTCTCAACACCGGTCTCGTTGAAGCTGAGGAATGCGATGAACTTGGCATCGGGAGAAAACCACAGAGTGTTGGTAGTACCGAAGATTTCCTCTTCATAGACCCAGTCAGGGACGGCATGGAACTGGTCAGGGCCACCGTCGGTGGTGATTTGCTTGATCTCTCCTGTGCCGTGATCACGGAGGAAGAGGTTGTTTCCGCGCACGAAGGCGATCTTGTCGCCAGAAGGAGCAATAACGGCATACTGGATATCGCCGACCTGGTCGTCGACGAGGGCTGTCAATTCGCCGCTCTCCACATCGAGAACGAAGTAGTCAGCAAAGTACGAGTGGCGATACTGCTTGGTATAGTTGGAGGCCACGAGGACACGAGTGGTGTCGTCACTGATCCAGGTCTCATAGGTGTCGGAAGGCAGCTTGTCGGCAGTAACAAAAGTCTCCGTGTTACCGGAGACAATGTCCTCGAGCACGAGGTCACCGTTGCTGTTGGAGGTGATGAACTGTCCGTCAGAGCCAGCGGCAGACCAGGAGACGGAAGTGCTCTTTGCGGCGATAGCTCTACTGGGGACGGTCTGGTTGAACTGGAGAAGACGCTCGCCACCACCGACTGGCTGCCAAGGATTCCGGGGAGGGTCAATGGCATTGGCTACGGTGGACAGCAGCAGAGCTGCGGCGGCAAATGAGCGATAGAGAGCCATGGTGAAAGACGCAGGAAACCAACGGGGCGGGTGGTGAACCGGCGCAAGGGGCTGGTGTTCCTTTTAATCTGCTCCGGTATGTCTCAACCGAGAGTCGTGTGTATTACACTCCTTGAGAAACAGCCTTAAAGAGAGACCACTACTCAGCCCCGGGGAGAAGCCAATGTTGGAATGAATGAATGGACACTGAGAGTCCGCGCGAGGAGGCACAAGACAAGTCCGGCAGAGCGTGAGGACTGGTCCCTCCCCCTCATTTATAATGACGTCCGGACCAGCCGTCCACGGTGGATGATATTATGATAGGCACATAGCTGTTGGGATTGTCGGACCAGGATGCAGACCAGAATCATGGATAGACAGCCAAGCCAACCAAAAGATGGACCTACCAGCCAGGGTTAAGGCAGCAGACAAGGACCTTATCTCGAGAGGAGACGGCCGGTGTGGAGGAGGGGCATTGGGTACATGCGAGGTACCGCCTGATGCTACTGCCACAGCGGTAAACAGCATTACTGCCGGGTAGACGAGCGGTAGCATGCGCAGGCAGGTGCAAGGCAGGTGCAGGCCGCCAAATTACCAGCTGCGGGGATGCAGGAAAGACCGCTCCCTGCGCACCTTCCATGGAAGCTCCCTCCTCCAGAGTCCAACGCCTAGAGTCGCGCCGCGGCAGTTCAGTCCATTAGCACAGCGGTCGGGGCACTAGCGTCCAGAGCTTATTGGGGATAAGCCAATGGCCCCAGCGGCCTTCCACAGCGGGTTTAGCCCCATCGATTGCAGCTCCCTTGTTGGGATAGAGCCACGGCACGAGCCACTGAGAGACACCGCTAAATAAACGCACAGCACCTCTCTTGTACGGTACAACGGTACCTGCATCTTCTCCTCACGCTCTGTCCAAAAGAACCCTGCGCCCATCGGTGGAAAAGCAAAAGTCCATGGATCCAAGTCTCGCTTGGCTGTCCGAATATCTACCAGTCTGCTCATTCACCCGCTTGTCAGCCAGGCCAAGGTCTTGGTAGCCCCCGATCGGGTAGGTAGGAACGGATGTATTTCGACATTGCAACCGTAGGAACGGAAGGGGAGCAATGTCGGGGGACTGCATGCCTCTGCATTTCAACTATGGCCCCCTCTCTTCTCCAATACTGACTTCTCCTCTCCCGTCCAATTCCAGTTCTGATATTTTGCGATGAGTAGCAAAAGCACGGGAGGCAAACTCTCCCGGTTAGTCTCGGTGTAATGACAAGCCAAAAGTACCACCCGTGCTCAACCACCATCGTCGATGATTGCGTCTGCCCAAATACACCTTGCCTTGATATGATGCCAGACCATAAGCACGCAATTAGCAAGCAGGGTGGAGGCCATGTCTGTCGCCTGAACAGGATAGGAACACACTGGAGATCGTCACATCTTGATTTTAAGGTGCAATACACCATGCTTAAGTTTCTATGCTTACCGGTTGGTGTCACCACCCTGGTCCCTCTGCCCTCTCCCTCTGCACTTTTTAGCCACCCTGTTAATCATCCTTTTGGTCGTGAGTGTTTCATTCTTTATTGCGCCTTGCCAGTCGTGCCATCATCGGAACTCTACCCGAGAGCAGCGAAATGATAGATCAATGGTGCCATAGTGCATGTTTCCGCCTAAGCCTGGTCTGATTTCGAGATGGCGACTTGGGTTAATTCGGGTTGGATTTGCAAAGGAGAGATATGTCACATTCGGGCTCATCAAGTATCTCATAGTACCTACAGACAATGAATTGGGCTCAATGACCGACCCGTCTGCTGAAGTTTTGCAATGTGCAATGTCTCACCTATACAAAGAAACCCCATCTTTATCCCATAGACGCAGTCATCATGCTCTTTCACCAGCATATGTGCAAAAGATACCGGTCGCTGCTGACCACAATCCCTGTTCAGCATTCTATACCTTCAATTACTCATACTCGTCTGCACTGCAATTTCACTTGTCTCTGGAAAGGCTGAGGAGATGGCACACATGATGCTTTTCTTTCACGTAAGACAACCTAATGGAGATAATATCAGAGGATCTGGTCACGACCTCTGCGCCTCGCCCTGTCTTCGTACAGGGCCAGTATTTGCTCAAGCGGATGAATAGAAAGCGTGGAAGTGGTTATTCCAAATCCATGGTGGGCCAGTTCGACGCTGCTGCTCTCTCATAAACAATCAAGCTTCGGACTTCGGCCACTCCTCTTTTCGCAGCCAAGCCGCCAACTGGTGGGGTTCTAGGCTCTCGGGGAATAATTCAATCTGCATGTCATGCATACGTTCATCCGCCACTTCGTGTGGATGAGACCGTCTGCACTGTGATCATGTTGGTCGACACATCTGACATGAAATCATTCGGAAAGGGTATTTTCTCGGGCAATGGATCAGTGGGCTCTAAATTTGGCACTGTGTTTTCACCACAAGGGAAGAACCTCTGAACATACTTACGCTTCGTGTAAGCCGCCTTTCGCTGGGAGTGGGCGAGAGAGGCACGAGGCTTGCCAAGGTCAGCCACTCATCATTTCAGCTTCCGTCCCTGACGATCATTGATAGTAGAAAGATCTTCCTGCAGGGAAAACTCCTCTCACTTTAATTAAAAATAACCAGTGCGTTCTAAGCTCTCGGTAAGAGCCGTGGCTGTTCCACTTCGAACCGGTGACATGTACCTGAACACAGGCTTTTGGATCACGGCCAGCCTTATTCCAACCCGACTCGAAGCAGAAGCCGTATGTTTAGCTACGCCTCATTGTTTCTAAGAAAATCTCTGCAGCATCGAATAGGATATGAATAGCCACGCTCGTCAAGTATATAAACTAACCGACACGGTGCGTCTGGACATTCAAGAAGACTCGACACAATCAGCACAATATCAAAACTTCCATTTCCTCATACATTACTTTTACTGGACTACAGCAATTTGTCTCTCAATCATCAGCAACCCCCGACACCACGATTCAATTCACAATGGTGAACTTTACACAGCTCTCAGTGGCCACTGGCCTTCTCCTTCTCAACATCCCGGGCCAGGCTCTCGCCACAGAGACTGGTGAATCTCGCTCCGGCGTGGGAAACCATGTCAGGCGAGACATTGACTCTGCCGCCCTCCTGGCGGACCTTGACCCCCGCGACCCCTTCTTTGGCCTCATTGGTCTAGCCGCCAAGGGTATTGGCAAGGGCGTCTCGGCAATTGTAAAGCATAAGAATAGCCAGAAGAAACACAACAAGAAGAAGCCCGTTGGCAGGCCAAGGAGGAAAGCGACCCCAAAGAGGCCTGCCAGGGGACGTGGACCTGCCCGCAAGCCAGCGCGGCGCAAGGGAAAGAGAGCAGTGCGTGGATTTCGAGGATGAAGCCTCGCCCAAGCATGTGTATGCTGGTAGATTGCACCGAGGAATTTTCTTAGGTGAACCTGGAGGGATGCCAAGACGGATTTGGTGAGGGGGAACGTCAAGGGCTATTCTAGCTACCTTACTAGAAATAAAGACTATTTTGGCAGGTTTAATTCATATGAGTGTGAGGTGTTTGTCGAGTGGGAAAATCTCTTATAACACGTATTAGCCACACGACGGGCCATTGGATGTGCTTTGGCCCAAAAGACGTCACGAGAGACGGGGACTGGGGCAGTTGGTCATGTAATGTAACCCCGGACACTGCATGAAATGCGGTCTGACGGACCATTTTACGGCCTAATAAGCAGCTCATGTGTCTCTCCCAGTGCCAATCCGAGCAGTAGATCGGCAGGGCGGATGGACGTGAAGCCTCACCCCGCAACAATCCTCACGGCCAAGACATCCAGTGCCCTTGCTTATTGGCTCTGGACCGGCCATCACATGAACTACTCGTCATGTAACCATCGCCCACATATTGAGTTTCCCCAAGCAGAAACTGATTCAAACCCTCTATGCGGACCGCAGGAAGTAAACCACGTCATCTCCGTGTGCGGTCTTCCACTGTCTTCTTATAAAGCGAGCATCCTAGGGTATTCCCCGCGCTGCAAGTGCAAGACCTCTTCTCAATCAATCAGACGATAGAGTCCCGTTTCTCGAGAAGCTAAGAAACCAACCAAGCAGCTTTATTGTATTTTCAAAAAAGATCAAATAAAAAATGGGAAGAATCACTACCTCCCTTGCCTCGGCCCTCAGTGCCGTCCCCTTGTTGTTCTCCCAGGTTTTTGGGGCTCCCACCGATGTGAATCATGTCACCCAACGGTGGGAAAACCCCATCGCGGACGGATGGTATGCCGACCCAGACGGCCTGAGGTTCGGAGATGAGTACTGGGTCTACGCGACGATATCCATCGCGTTCGACGACCAGACCTACTTCGATGCCTTCTCGAGCCCTGACTTGGTGCACTGGACGCCCCATCCCAAGGTCTTCTCAGCAGACAACTCCAACTGGGCCGAGAAATGGTTCTGGGCGCCCTGCACGATCGAGCGTAACGGCAAGTATTACTTCTTCTACACCGCCAACAATCCCATCGCCAACGAGGGCAACGCGGGCATCGGCGTCGCCGTGGCAGACACCCCGGCCGGACCCTTCAACGACCTCATTGATCGCCCGATTGTCGACAGGCATTACAACGGGGGCAACGCCATGGACCAGCAGGTCTTCATCGACGACGACGGGACGTACTACCTCATCTGGGGCGGCAGCCGCGTGAGCATCTCGCCGCTGAGCGAGGACATGAAGTCGATTGAGGACTGGGCGGACGGCTCCGGCCCCAAGGACATCACGCCGAACGAGGGCTTCGGGGAGGGATCGTTCATGCTGAAGCACAATGGGAAGTACTACTTCATGTGGTCCGAGGGGCCCTACGGGGAGCCGAGCTATCGGGTCGCGTACGCCATGTCTGACTCGCTCACGGGGCCGTTTGACCGCATTGGTTTGATCCTCTCCACGACTGATGTGGCGGATGGGCCTGGCCATCACTCGGTGTTCAAGGACCATGATGGGAAGTACTATATCGTGTACCACCGTCGCATCATTGGCGACAATGTGGCAGATCACCGTGTCATTGCGATTGACCGCTTCTACTTTAACGAGGACGGAACCATCAAGCCTGTTGTTATGACATGAGGGGGCATATCAGGAGCAGTACATATAGCTAGGTGTGAAAAGAGATATTGATTAAAATTATCAATCAATATGATAGTGCCGTGTCTTGATTGAATGGACAGAATGGTGCCGCCGTCAAAGAATTCTCGTCTGTAGATTAGCTACAGGGTAGTTAGTCTGTGTTGGAAGTTGATAAGTGGAGGTGGTTGGAGATAAGGGTCTGCGGACAGCGATTGGAAGACCATGCGAATCGCCAGGGAGATGTTAGTGCTGTCTCGAACGAAATTAAGATAAATTTATTCTTGGAAAGATAAGAAGATAGCGCCCAATCAGCCAGCGAAGATTGCAGGCGCGGTCTGTGTGTGCGCTTCGGGTGGCAGGTATGAGTCAATGCCAATCAGTCATAGCGACGGGGCCCGATCGCACCTGCTCTTTATCGCGGGGTTGAAAAACCCCTCCACGGCCTGGACTGCCAGAATTTCTGAATGTCAACACCCCACCACCCAACCGCGTTCGACCAGCTACTCCCCTCCCACCATGGCTGTGATTTACGTTGACGAGGAGAAGGGCATTGATGCCCAAGACACTGCCGGCACAGAGGCTGCCCCATTCAAAAGTCTGCCAGAGGCCTTCTACCGCCATGGCGCCGAGCTCGAGTACCAGGTCAAGAAGGCCGGCGAGGAGGAGTTCAAGCCCGCGGCCAAGGCTGCCCTGAAGAAGGCCGTCAACTACGTCGCCCAGCAGAAGAAGAAACTCGAAGCTGCCGCCAAGCGAGCCGAGAAGGAGGCCCAGGAGGAGGCTGCACGTGCTGCTGTTCTCGAGGAGGCTAAGAACATCAAGATCACCGACGACCCTGCCCTTCCCAAGCCCGTATCGATCCTCCTCGATGAGACCGACCCCGCCAAAATCGGAACCCTGCGAAAGAGCAAAGACGAGCCCAGCGAGGGCGTTGTCCGGGTCAGCGTCCAGGGCCGCGTCAACCGCGTGGCCAAGCAGGGTGGTCTCATCTTCGTCACTATCCGCCGTGGCCTGAACCTCATGCAGTGTCTGCTGTCCGGACAACTCTCCAAGACCTACGACGCCCTGACCCTCAACCGAGAGACGGCAATCGAGATTATTGGTGAGCTCTGGGAGGTCCCTAGCCATGCTCACGCACCTCTCGACCGCGAGCTCCACGCCGACTACTTCCGAATCATCGCTGCCGCTCCCGGAGGAGATGACGCCTTTACCAACCAGGTCCCTGTCGATGGCGATACCCAGACACTCCTCAACCTGCGCCACCTGACTCTGCGCCACGAGAAGCCCGCTGCCATCATGTTCGTCCGCGACGTCGTCGAATCTGCTTTCCATACTGTATACAAGGAACTCAACTGCAGGAAGGTCAGCCCACCGGCCCTTGTCCAGACTCAGGTCGAGGGAGGTGCTACCCTGTTCAAGTTCGACTACTACGGCGAGACCTCCTACCTGACCCAGTCGAGTCAGTTGTACCTGGAGACTGTTCTCCCTGTTCTTGGTGATGTGTACTGTATCGAGAAGTCTTTCCGAGCCGAGAAGTCCCTTACCCGTCGCCACGTGAGTGCAATTTCTGGCTGTTATGGCCTCCCCTACTCTTGAGAGGAGCAACCTGCTAATTGTCTGATCTGTAGCTTTCCGAATACACCCACATCGAAGCCGAGCTCGACTTTATTACCTTTGACGATCTCCTGAGCCATCTCGAGCATGTCATCTGCCGGGTTATTGACCTGACACTTGAAGACCCCGTTGCCGCCGAGGCGATTAAGAAGTACAACCCCGATTTCGTCAAGCCTGCTCGCCCGTTCATGCGCATGCGCTACGCTGATGCGATCGAGTGGCTGCGCGAGAAGGGTATCAAGAACGAAGAGGGCAACGACCACACCTTTGGAGATGATATGTAAGTTTAATTTGAGGGTTATCCTTGGTTTCGGGTCTATCTTGAAGCGCAACCCGAAGACTGACTTGACCTGATTCCTAGTGCCGAGGCCGCTGAGCGCAAGATGACTGACGAGATCAACCGCCCCATCTTCCTCACCCACTTCCCTACCGAGATCAAGTCCTTCTACATGCAAAAGGCTGAGGATGACAAGCGTGTGACGGAGTCGGTCGACTGCTTGATGCCCGGTGTCGGCGAGATCGTTGGTGGCAGCATGAGAATCTGGGATTACGAGGAGCTCATGGCGGGCTACAAGCGCGAGGGCATTGATCCCACGGGCTACTTCTGGTACACTGACCAGCGCAAGTACGGCTCTACGCCCCATGGTGGCTACGGCCTCGGTGGAGAACGGTATGTCGACCCTACATTCTCGTGATTGACTTGGCTCTAACATTGGGTGCTGTAGATTCTTGGCCTGGCTGCTGAAGCTCTGGACAGTCCGCGAGGCATGCTTATACCCCCGTTTCATGGGCAGATGCACACCATAAACGGTAACGAGATGAACATGATGATGACGGATGAATGGGTGTAGGTTGGGCAGACATTTGCGCGTTCTATTAGACTATAGACATGCGGCTATGAAATAAAAGAAATGAAAGAAATTCAAGAATGAACTGCTTGGCTGTTACATGAGAGTTCCTAATCTCGTGAAGTGAATATGGCTCTCGTATGGCAACGCTGCTATCGGGAGGCTGAAGGATTGGCAGGGGGCGGTGAGTGTTTGCGGTCTGGTCCATCTCAATAAAGTCCCAATGGCGAGATGGGCCGACAAGGTGCCAAATATGTCTCAATCCCTCAATACAGACCAGCCCCTCTACGTCCTCTTGAACGATACACCACCAACTGGAGAAGAGGAATAGCGGCAATGGCAGACCTGTCAACAGACAAGGCCGCGTTGGACCAGTACCTCGAGGACCCGCGTTTCCGCCAATCGTTCACTCTCCCACCAGATCCCTCTCGGGACCGATTTGAGCCTCTCGAGGTCACGTACGCAGACTTTGGCTATCGCAACGAAGAGAATCCCCAGGAGGAAAATGTGCTCTTGTTCTTCGCACCTCTCATGTCGTCACGCCTGCTGCATGTTGGACTGGACTCGATCGCCAAACAGCACAAAGTCCGCATCATCGACCCCGACCGCCCGGGCTTTGGCGGCACGACGCAGGTGAGCGATGACCAGAGGATGCATGTCTGGGCCGGTAAGTTGTCTTTTTCTCCTCCCTCTTCGCAAGATCACGATGGATGGTCTCAATTGAGCCAATGGGCGGATCAGCAGTGCTAATCCCACCTTGTGCCAGATGTTGTCCCAGCTCTGCTCCAGCATCTTGGAATCCAACATGTGGCAGTGGCCTGCCATAGCGGAGGGACCGTGTATGCCATGGACACGCTTCTGCATCATCCAGAGATTCTGCATCCAGAGAGGCCATATCTCGCCATAGGAGCGCCGTGGATTCTGCCCTCCCGCTCTGGCATCATCACCATGTCCATCACACAAGCGCTGCCCTCAAGTATCCTCTCACACACAGACAAAGTGGTCTCCTTTGTCCAGACATCTCTGTCGCCTTCGCTTGCAAGCTCCTTTGGCATTAGTCAAGCGGCGATGAAGCTGTTCAATACGCCCAACCCAAACCTGGACATCTCACCAGAAGACAGCCCGCTGGCGCAGTGGGAGGAGGCACTCGAACCGCGCATTGTTCAGCATATACACAGAGAGGGTATCCCGGGCATTTCGTCCGAGTCGATTGTGCTCATGCAGAAGCTGGGAACATCTGCATGGGGCACGTGGAAAGATTACGACGAGCTCATCCCACGTTTAAGAGCGGCACTACGCGCGGCAGGGAGGACGCTGTTCATCGACACTTTCTTTGCCGAGTCCGACTCCATGATAGGAGACGCATGCACCGAGGGCCCCGACTGGTTCGACGCCTGCTGGAAGCGTGAGGACCCCGAAGGCCCCATTTCCTATAGCAGCAGCGTAATCCCCGATACTGAGCACGACAAAATATGGACTCTTCGAATGGGCCTCCCGCAAAAGGTGTTGCGAAGAGTCGGCCGGGAAGACTAATCTACCGACGTGCATGGACTGGTGCGACGGCTTCCCCCACGTCGACAACCCTTTAATAATTGACACGGCTGATGATGGTCCGCGTACGTATCGGCATTGCAGGTCGCCCTTGACGGCAATTCTCCCGCTTGGCCGTCTAGGCACATACGGTCTACGCGAGCCTCTTGGCCCCTATTTGATATGTCATGCCGGGAAATCAAGATTAAAGTTAGAGCCCATCTCGGCCAGATTGAGTGGTAAGCTTCATCTCGAATGACATTCGAGCGACGGTTGTCCCACTGTTGCATAATGTGGGCGGACGGAATGTCAGGGTTACAGCCTCGATGCTACTCTGCATGTGGGAGGAGACGGGGCAATGCGACACAATTTGCCCGCCAACCGATTGATTCGTTGGGTTGGGTGTTCGCATTTACCCGTCCCTATGGCGGGATGAGACGAGAGAAGTTCATTGCTCAGCTGCATAAACCGAGCTCGGTCAACAGGGGGGGTCTGCAAGGCAGTAGATAAAACTGTCACCGATACGGGGGATTGATCTCCGCCAATTGGACAATGGATTGAGCTCTTCCTCGAGGTTGTGTCCGGTGAGGGCAGCAGCGTGCTGGGGTCAGACTTTGTTTAAAACCCGGGACTTCAGCTCTTCAATTCGTCTCGTAGGATCAGGCCTCACTCTCGAGTCTCCTTCATTGTCTTCTGTGGTGATCAAGAGAACAAGATTTCCCACTCTCCTTCGTTCACAATCATGTACGGACTGCCACTCCTCGTCGCGGGAGCAGCTCTCTCGGCTGGAGCTGCTGCCGCGGACTCGACGTCGTACCTCAAAGTCATGGCTGATTCCTACATCCGACGTGGTGTGCGGGCCGGCTATCACTACGGCGAGGCTACTCTATACACGGGCCTGGAGACCACTCTCACCCAGACCAAGAACGAGAGCATCAAGTCGTGGTACAAGAACCAGATCGATACCGGTGTCCTCGGCGAGGACGGCAACCTTATTGACTGGAACTTGACCTACTACTCGCTCGACGACTATCGCATCGGTAACAACCTGATCTGGTGGCACGAGCAGACGGGCGAGGAGAAGTACGCCGCCGCCGCCAAGGTCATCCGCGAGCAGCTGAACCGACACCCGCGCAATGCTGGTGGCGGCTTCTGGCACCGTCAGCCCAACTACCCCAACCAGATGTGGCTCGACGGCATCTTCATGGCCGACAGCTTCTACTCCAAGTGGACCAGCGTCTACGACCCCGACAACTCCACTGCCTGGGACGACATCATCCTGCAGTACGATCTCATCGAGGAGCGAACCCGCAACCACACCACCAACCTGCTCGTCCACGGCTACGACCACGGTAAGACAGCAGTGTGGGCAGACCCCGTGACGGGAGCTGCGCCTCTCGTCTGGGGCCGTGCCGTCGGATGGTACTACATGTCCCTCCTTGAGGCCATTGAGACGTTCCCTGAATCGCACGCTGGCCACGCACGCCTCGTCAACTACTTCAAGACCCTCTCCAAGGGCCTCAAGGAGGCAGACGAGAAGGACGGCGGCTGGTGGCTCATCCTGACGGACCCCTACCCCGGGGCCGCTGGCAACTACATTGAGAGCAGTGCCCACGCCATGTTTGTCTATGGATTGCTCAAGGGTATCCGAACTGGTCTCCTCGACAAGAACGAGTATCAGGCGGTGGCGAGCAGCTCGTACAAGGCCATGATTGACAAGTTTGTCACGGAGAACGATGACGGCACGCTCAACTTCATTGAGACTGTCCAGGTCGGATCTCTCAGCTCCAACGGCACCTACGAAGTAAGTTTCCGCCCCCCATATTTTATCGTTTGATGTACAGGACTGACTCGATGAACGTAGTACTACATTGGTGTCCCGAGGGTTATCAACGACAACAGGGCTGGCGGTCCCTTCTTGCTGGCTGCCGCAGAATGGGAGTTGAAGTGCAAGAAATGAATGGGTAGCTGCAGATTGGTTTTCTTATAACTAGATTAGCTCGCACCTCAATTGAATCAACATCGGTTCCGGCCAGACCAGACGTCGGATCCGTTCTTCAGTCCCCCTAAACTCAATTCTCTCTCCACACCTCCTCCAATCCATGCTCCCACCACTTCCCTCGAGTCATGACCAAACATCGGATCCGATATGCTTAATCGTTCCACTCTTACCCCAACTCTGAGCCATCTGGCCAGCCAATCTCGAGCCATCTGCCCCGCTGTTGCACTCCTACCCCAGAGTTTCGGCTGCGTCCTTTCCCCAGAGGTCCATGTATCTGTCAGATATTCCAAGATGGACCAGTACAATCCGCCATGCAACCATGTCCAAGGCGAGCTACAGATGGGAAGCTCGTTATTCCGCTCCCTCGCCATTGGCTGGCGCCATGATCCAGCCCCCTCCTTCTCCGCCATTTACTCAGTGGATCTATGACAACGTTCCCAGTTTCCCCATGCGGAGACCTTTGGGATCGGCGTTCGTAGCGCATCGTAGCTGAGCGTTGGCGTAGAACCATTTTCTGCCTTTTTCATGAGCGTGTTTGACGATAAATAGCTTCACTCTCCTCCTCTCTGACCAGCTTCCTGACCTCCTTGTGTCCCATCCGCCATCTCCAGACCTCTCTCCCGCTACCTGGCCTGATATTCCCCCATTACACGGCACTGCTCAGGTAGTTCTTGGTCCATGATGGATTACGAAAAGCAGAGCGACCCCAAGCTGGCCGAGAACGCCAATTCCACCGAGCATGAAGATCGGTTCTCCGCGAAGATGGCCGGCCAAGCCCATGTGCCAGTAACTCTGGCCTCATTTGCGCATCTCGACGAGAAAAAGATCTTGCGAAAGGTGTGTTGCTCACCAATGTCCAATGTGTCCTTGTGTTGAACTCAAATTGCTGACTACCGTGTTAAGATGGACTTGCGCCTGATCCCTATGCTGGCGCTTCTGTATCTATTATCTTTCCTTGACCGTGAGTTACCCTCCGCCGTACAACTATTCTTTCAATTTTCCTAATAACCCTTTGTTGCGCGAAATAGGAGGAAACATCGGAAACGCGAAAATCGAGGGTCTCCAAGAAGACCTGAACATGACGGCCGACCAGTACAACTTGTGTCTGACTGTCTTCTTCTTCACCTATGCATTCTTCGAGGTCCCATCCAACCTGATGCTGAAGAAGCTCCGTCCCAGCCGCTGGCTCCCTCTTATCATGGTGTCATGGGGCGTGGTGATGACCTTGATGGGGATCGTGAAGAACTATCACGGCCTGCTGGTTGCTCGATTGTTCCTCGGTCTCACTGAGGCTGGTCTGTTTCCTGGAGTTGCTGTACGTCGTCCCCTGCCTATCCACTATACATCACCATGCTAACAATCCCAGTACTACTTAACCATGTGGTATTGCCGCCACGAAATCCAGCTCCGCCAGGCCATGTTCTTCTCTGCCGCCTCCGTCGCCGGTGCCTTCAGCGGGCTCCTCGCCTTCGGCATCGCCAAGATGGACGGCGTCGGCGGTCTCGAGGGCTGGCGCTGGATCTTCATCCTCGAGGGAATCGTCACCGTGGTCGTCGCTTTCGCCTCCTTCTTTCTCCTGTACGACTTCCCCGAGACAGCGAGCTTCCTGACCGAGGAGGAGCGACAGTTTGTCATCTATCGCCTCAAGTACCAGGGCCAGACGACCACGCAGACCGACGAGGGGGCGGTGCAGGTCGCACAGGCTGAGGACTTCCAGTGGCGGTTTGTGTGGCAGGCTTTCAAGGACTGGCAGATCTGGCTTAACCTTTTCGTGTACTGGGCTGTAAGTGTTCCCTGCTATCCAGATCTTGAGAGAACGCGGTTTTGGACTAACATATGCATCACATCAGATTGTCTGCCCATTGTATGGAATCAGTCTGTTCCTTCCATCTATTATCAACAGTCTTGGATACACTTCAAGCACGGCACAGCTGTTGACTATTCCTATCTACATCACGGCTTCTATTCTTGCCGTCATCGTCGCCTGGTCTTCTGATCGCGTTGGCAAACGAAGCCCATTCATTATCGGATTCCTCTGCATGATGGCAGTCGGTTTCATCATGTAAGCTCATCCATAACCCTCCCCACTTGTCCGATCTGTAGACCGTGTTACTAACATGTGGCCAAGGTGCATTTCATCCGAGAACCCTCGTGTTGTCTATGCCGGCGTATTCATTGCCACCTGCGCCATCTACCCTGCCTTCCCTGGAAACATCGCCTGGCTGTCAAACAACCTTGCAGGCAGCTACAAGAGAAGTGTCGGTATGGCCATCCAGATTGGAGCTGGCAACTTGGGAGGTGTAAGTCAAAGACCCATCATTATCCGGCTATATTAATCCGACAACATTGCTGACTTCTCAACTTTTTAGGCCATGGCTTCCAACTTCTATCGTCAGAAGGACAAGCCACGATATATACTCGGGCATGCTCTGGAAATTGGATTCATCGGGGCAGGACTTATTGCGGCTCTCACCCTTGTTGTTTCGTACAAGAAGATTAATAGCAACCGGGAGAGAAAGATGGCTTCGGGCTCTACGGGCAATGTGTCGGCTGAGGAGCTTTCTGCCCAAGGTGACAAGGCTGTTACATATAGATACATGTATTAATGGTAGAGGCGGAAGAGGTTAGATGGGGTTGTGTGATAGGTTGTGATTGGAATAAATGGAATTGAGCGTGCCCTTAAACGATTTGATCTTCGCAATTGCTTCATCGTGATGGCAGCTCCAGCTGATTTCACCATGGATATGATAGCATTTGATTTGTGTATACCACCTCAAATTGATTTTCACTGTCCTGTACAAGCTGCATTTCATCTCTCCTCATATTAGTATTAATTCTCAGGGCTGGTCTCCTCGACACACGTTCAAGCGCTGCTCTGAGGTTACTCATGCATAGAGGTTCTACTATGGAGTTAAACACCAGGGAACTCATTGTATTTCTTGAAAAAATCTTCGTTTATTGCAAAAAGCATCATGACTTCTTCTTTCCGCTTTAACTTCACTTCTACATCCTTCCATCTATCTGTTTAAACCAACCCGATGGGAATCTAGGGTTGCAACTGCAACAAGACCCGATCTAGTTACTAGTCTTTCGGCAACATTGAGTAACTAAGAGCCTGATATCTAACTGACTGATTTGCTTTCACTGGCCAGCCTATGGAGACGCGGCTGTTCTCCTCCTTAGATAATGCCTCCTAATTCGTTTGGGTTCGCGTCTTGCTGTTATCCCATCATTATCTGCCTCCGTACTAATCTGATTATTGGGGTCTTCTCTTCTTCTTTTGCGCTTCGTGGGTGCACCGGTATCAGGAGATGCTGATGCAGATTGGGGTTTCTCACTCAATGACTTTTCTGAATCGGAGGTAACTATGCCATCGGATTGGGGTCTATCATCCAATGGCTGTTCAGAATCAGAGGGAACTATGCCATCGGAATAGGGTTGACCGTCCAATGATTGCTTAGGATCGGAGGGAGTTATGCCATCAGATGGAACTTTGTCTTTGGATGATTGTCTCCAATTTTGACTGCCACTTTTGGGGTCTTTGCTTGAGTCCTCTCTGACAGGGGAAACGGATCCAGCGCTCGATAGCGGAATACTATTTTCAGCCTCATTTTCGGAGTTATCGCTTGATACCTCTTCGATAGGTGAAAGACCTTGATCCTGTAGCCGCAAGTGTTTTGATGGAAGCGCGGTCTCTTGTTCGAAGGTTTGATATTTCCACTGGGCGTTAGAGCGATTACCACCTACGACGTGTATAAACCATAGAATAAGGTTAACAGTCCATTCGTTGTAAACCTTCGGGTCGCTTTGACAGTGATTACTCCAAGGGACAGAAACATATTCCAATAATCCGTTGTTTGCTAGACTTTCTCGCAGGAGCTTGGGATCTTCAGAACCTGGTGTCTGTTAGTTATAGTGTGCTCTGAGGACTAGGTTCACAACTTACCAGGGTCTTCGCCCAGAGGGCGTACCCGGAAGAGAAAAACTTCTTCGCAGGTAATGATGCAAGCGTAACGACACAAGAACTTAACACAATAGGTAAATACCTGCATGATCGGCCACGATGTGGTATTCTTTACGCCTCGCCATGTCCCAGACTCATTGATCACTCGTCTTTCCTTGATCCACTTGCTCTTCCACTTGGCGGCTACTTTGTATTCCTTGAGAAATTTCTCTTGTCCTTCTTCACCCGGAGAATCTGGGTAGCTTGCGATAGAGCCTGAATCTGGTTCCAACCGGTTTAGTGATCTGCGTCTATTCTTTCTCCTTTTGGAAACAGAAGCTCGTGTAGGCTGTATTCACGTCTTTCGCGGATGCGGTCCAGGAGGGCTCAAGGTGATACCGGCCAAATTCTCCCCTTGGTCCCAGATGAGGGGACGATACGTTTCCAGAATGGGATCGAGAGCATACATGACAACCTCTTTGTTCCACTTGTTGAATAAGTTGCTTGCCCGCTTTTCGTTGACAACACTACGATCAGAAGGCCGAATATGTGAAAGCTTAAGCTCTCTGCCTTCCCGATGGGCTTCTTCGAAGAGTTTACCTCCAAATACCTCCCGAAATACCCGTAAGTCTTTCATTTCTGCCCACTCTACCACTTTCACAGGATTCGCGTAATCCTGGTTGGTCGTATTAGAGAGGCTACTGTTCTTCCCTTCTGTACCACGACCACGCTGATTTACTGTCGGGTTTGGATGAGTCAGAGATTGGAATATCGTCGTATGAGGAGCCATATTGCTTTTAGACGAAAGATAAATAAAGTTAGAGAAAGTATGGTCTATAGTGTTGTGCAGAAGCGAGGCCTGCTTGGAGAGTTGCTGCCACGGAAACGTGACGTTTCTTGCTCTTCTCTGATTTCTTCCTGTTTAGTGCGACCAAGAGCTACCACTGTTTATCTCGCATTTTTGTTGACCATTGGACTTAAGGCATGATGAATTTGAGTAGTATATGCTATTGACACCTCGTGAGGGTTGTGTCAGTGCGGCAACCACGGCCTTCAACTTGCCACGAATCAGGCATGGCACAGTGGCATTGAATTAGTCTATGAGAATGGCCTCAAAAAGCACAGAACTATTTATAGAGCCATGTCTAAATTTAGGCGGAATAAAAAAGACTGATTGCTATAAAAAGCTCCTCCGCAGCAGCATCGTACGTGTACAATCGCGCTGATGACTGGTTCTGCACTAAGGAAACTATGCCGAAGAAACAACGCCCTCTATCAATTCCAAAAGAATTGCCACCCTGCGATGGCCCTAAACTCAACCTATTTGAGCACCATGATTGTGAAATTGAATGGATCGAGAGGATTGGGTGGGAGGACGGCGTGACATCGAACGAGGGATATGTCTTCCGTGTCAAGATCAACAATGTCGAATACGCGCTGAAAGTGGTGAGTTGTTATAGAAAAGATTCATCATCTAATAACTTGCATTTAGCTGATCATCATACCTTCATAGTTCAAGTTCCATAACCCCATCGGGACTAAGTGGTCATGGGGAATGTGGATTGGATATGATGTGCCACTACAGACCGTGGCGTACTATAAGGACCCGTTTTATAACGAATGCCGAGCGTATGGCCGAATTCGCCGGCCGCTAAGGGGGAAGCGAAAGCTGTCTGATGTGGCCGTTCCATGCCATGGCTTCCTTTATCTTAGTGACCGAGACCAACAATATCTCGACGACAACGGGTATGAGCTATGGTCAAGTATTATCGACCCCTCCTACCAAGAGAAAACCATTGAAGGATTCAGGTACCGAGCGATCGTAAAAGATCTGGCATCATCAGACCCTGGAATCACAGGGGATAATCTGGGAAAGGTTTTCAACCGCATTGTTGCAATGAACCAGCACAAGATCGTCAACTGTGATATTCGACTGGACAACTTCAGAGACGGAAAGATCGTTGACTTTGGCAATTCTTTCACCTCACCTCATATAATCATGGATTCATTGAGGGCTGCAGATATCGACTTCCATAGGGCTTGGGATCGTATGCTGTTTGACGAAATGGTGATTGATGAGCATATACCAAACCCGAAAAGAGTTCTGGCCCTTCATCCCATGGATCTCCGCCCAAGATTCCTTGGTGGTAAGCCATTCAAATACTGAATCAGGAGCCACTGGCTGTTGAATATATTCATCGGATCAGATTCACGTCGCAACTCTCAAAAAATGACGTCCGCCTGAAAATCCGTGCCCAGAAATATAAATTCTTACATTTCAGTTATTTTTCAACCAGTGCTCGTTTGAAATTCAATTATAGACATTTTCATCAAATATAAACTTGGATCATAAGTCAAACATTCTTGTGTAAAGGCTATAGATGATCATTTATTCGAGGCTTCTCACTCATACACCTATGGTCGTAACAAAGAGTGCGTCTGTCTCCATCTGATTAGCATCAATAAAAAGCTTATGCAAGATCTGCACTTGCTCCTAATAAGCACCCCCCTCTCTACCAAACAGGTTTGCTGAGGCCACTTACAATACGCTTGAGTCTTCATTTCACGTTAAATACAAAGAGTGGAAATTAACCCCTCAGTATCTATCAGGCCGAGGACACACGTTTATATTCTGTAATGACAATATTAATATATCCAGTATTATTGAGCCATGACCGGAGGCGTTCGGAGAAACTACTACGCAGCCACCTGGGCATAGTCTTTTTCACTTTTCACTTTAAATTCCTCAAGATTATATACCCTAGGCAGTAGATAGGCATTTTAGGTTCGTATTAATCGCTTGCTGACAGCAGACAAAGCTATTAGGGTTTTGCGTTAAAACAACTGTTAAGTCACTGATAACTTGGTTGAGAAAACAATAAGGTAGGCTGTTATGTTGGTAGAATAATATTAAGTTGATCCAAACACTATCCCTCGTACTGGCTATAAACCTGGCGTCCGATGTTACATAGATGTAGGCATCTGCCTGCCTGCTTACCTATATGTAAGGAGAAACATAGTACGGGCAACAATACTATGATACTGAAACCTTGTAAGAAGGTTCATATATGCTAGTAGTGACCAAAAGCCAAATATTAGTGAGTGAGTCATACAACGATGATACATTACCCCCACCTACTTTCCCACTTCCATATTGAAAGCAGTCTTTCCTCATGGCGCACACCTAAAGCATCCTCATCTCCCATCACTAACACAAAGCATTTCTGCCCTGCTTCTTTCTCCAATATCTAATGACTAAGAACCACCGAGGCACATTATCGAGGTATGCCACTTACTGTTAAGGTATCCTGCCTCGTCGCCCTTGATAAATCCACCACAATGCCTCCCCCGATCATCCACTTCAACGGTTTTCCTGGTATAGGCAAGCTCACCATCGCTCGCAAACTTGTCACCCTGCTTGAGCCATTCAAGGCCAAACTCGTTCACAACCATCTGCTCATTGACCCGGCTGGCGCTATTCTACCGCGTTCTAGCGCTGACTATCAACCGCTGAGGTGCGCAATCCGGGCCGCCGTCTTTGACGCCCTGGCGGTGTCCCGTGACACCTTCGACTCGGTCTTCGTCTTCACCGATTTCCAGTCCGACGACGAAATTGGCAGCGCCGTTATGGGCGAGTACCGCGCCATGGCGGCACGCCGTGGCTGCACCTTCGTCCCTATCACCCTCACCTGTAGCAAGGAGGAGAATCTGCGCCGGCTAGTCTCTTCGGAGCGGTCTGTTCACGGTAAGCTGACCGATGCGGAGCTGGTGGCGCGCCTCCGTGATAATGCTGTGACGCACCAGTCGCCAGCTGACCCCTTCCAGTTGGAGCTTGACCTCACGGAGTTGGATGCCGATGCCGCGGCGCGAATGGTACATCAACATATTCTAGAGGTCTGCGTCGAGTTGGGCATGGAGTGACATTAGCTACCAACGCGCGTAGGGGGGTTGTGGATAGGCTGGGGACACTGTTTGTATCAATCAAACATTGTTACGGTAATCCAACAATGTTAGATGGCTAGATGATCTGAGACCAATCTGTCGCCGTTGAGCAGCTTGGAATGGCCGCGATGGCTTCATCTACTAGCTACAGTGCCTCCGGTAGGTTACGGAGCTGCTACTACTTGTTCCGCTGCTAAGAGGTCTGACTTACCGGCTTGCAGCCACATCATTGATCGCATTAATCAACATCACGGCAATTAGGACCTGTCTTACCTGCGAGAAGTAGCCCACGGCTGTTGATTGCATCCATGAGGGCTGGGGTGGATAGGATCTGACTTACCTACCTACTCAAGCATGACAGCTAAACCATCTGGATGGCTGTTGTGAGCCCTCTGACAGGCTTAACAAGCGACCCGGAATGTCTCAAGTATTTACCATTAATGGTGAAAGTTTCAGTCATAGTATTAGCGCTTAATAGACTATCCCTAGGATTGTCTACAAACCCCTTGCTGCGGCGAATAATACATGTAATGTGCCTTTTCCCGTCACTAATTAGACGATAGATGCGACCCATGTGCAAAGCTGACAGAGTGCTCCCCGTCGTCGGAACCGTGCTTAGCATGACCCGTGCTTGTAAGTATATTAATCAACTTAATCTGGTCGTTGATCTTCATCCGCAGGCTCAAAGGCAAGCTGAGAACCTCGCGAACCACTTTTTCGGCAACAGGGCAGGCGTTTCCCACTACAGGAAACTTGGCATAGGGAGCCATCGTATGTATTAACCTGGGATAGTATATCATGGTCGGAAATCCTTGTTGTTTCAGGGCATTTCGAACGGCCTCTCGTCTCGAAAAGTTTTCATCCATCTCATGCCCCTCTGATGGTTCCTTAGAACATACGCGAATAGTATATGAAGCCCACGCGGAAGTGAATCCTGCTCTAGTTGTAGGTGGAATAATAGGGGCCAAGTTGCCTAGCAACGTCTGGCTCTTGTTGAGCAGTTGGGTGTATTGTGCCGCTATCTCTCGCCTTTTCAAAAGGTCTGATTTAAATGCTTCCAGCTTCACCAGGAGAGCTGCTGCCTGCAGAGTATCAAGCCGACTATTCAGGCCAATCCGAAGACTGTCGAATTTATCATCCTCAGATCGCCCGTGCCTGGATAACGAACGGACTGTCTTTGCTATATGAGCATCTTGGGTAAAGATAGCGCCCCCATCACCAAGGCACCCCAACGGTTTGGAGGGAAAGAAGCTCGTAGTTGTAATCGTGGCCATAGTTCCGACCCTCTCTCCTCGCGGTGAGGTGGCACCGAAGCTTTGTGCGGCATCCGCAAGTAGCCAAAGGCCATGCGATGAGGCTGCGGAATGAAGTGCGTCATAGTTTGCTGGGTGACCAAAGATATCGACGGCAATGATCCCGACGGGGCGGTATCCAGAAGAACGTGCCAGCTTGACACCCTGGGCGATGAGGTTGGGATCGATGGTAAATGTTTCAGGCTCGATATCAAGAAAGATGGGCGTCGCTCCAAGCAGAACGACAGGCTCAACCGAAGCTACAAAAGTAAAAGTAGGGACGAGAACAGCATCCCCAACCTGAATATTAAGAGCCATTAGAGACAGCGTGATGGCATCTGTGCCACTGGCGCAAGTTACAACATGTGATGCCTTGGAAAACTTGGCCAACTTCGTTTCTAGTTCGTCAACTTCTGGCCCCCCGATGAAGGTGCCCCGATCTAAAACTTTGCCTATTCGCTGATTCAAAGCTTGTCGGAGGGTAGAAACTTGAGAGCGGATATCCACAAAGGGCAAACTTTCACCAGGGGCTGTGCCCAACGTGTTGCTCACCAGCTGGCCTTCTTCAGAGGCCAAGGTCAACTGACAGGCTTCATGCGGCCTTTTCAGCTCGAAGTACTTTTCGCCTGTTCTTCTGCAAATCAGGTCTGGGCCCAGCCGCTCGCCAGCGCGGCTAACCCATCCAATCTGGGTCGCGGGATTTCCCACAACGAGTGCATGAGGTGGAACAGACTTGGTGATGACAGCCCCAGCACCAACCATGCAATATTCGCCGAGCTCAACTCCACATATCACAGTCGAGTTCGCCCCGATGGTTGCTCCTCGTCTTACTTTGGTGTCTAGAAACTCGCTCTTGCGTTCGACTTCGGCACGCGGCGTCATCACATTTGTGAACACGCACGATGGTCCACAGAACACACCGTCTTCAAGTGACACGCCGCTGTAGATGCTGACATTATTCTGGATCTTGCAGCGGTTACCGATCACCGCACCCCGGCCTACCATGACATTCTGGCCGATGATGCAATCCCGGCCAATCTGGGCACCATCTAAGATATGGCTGAAGTGCCAGATCTGAGTGCCCTCTCCCACTTTGCCGTCGGCCTCAACTACCGCCGTCTCATGAATTTTAGGGGAAGTGAGAGCCTTCATTTTCATTTTCGTGACGGGCAGAGTCCCTTCAACCTTTGTCAGTCCCAGAGGTGAATGCTTTGAGCATCGATGGCTGGGAAGACCGTTGTCATCCATTGCCGTCTCAACAGTTGCTAGAACGTGAAGCACAGAGAGCCCTTCAAATATGTTGGCGACGGGCTGCCTGTTTTCCTGAATGCACGAGAGAAACTCTTGGCACTGCGCAGCCAAAGGCTGGGCAGCTACAAGGGGCACTGCTTGTCTTTCCCCTTTCTCGGCCTCTGGAAGGCCATTTGGCCAAGCAATTTTGTGTCGAAAGAGCACCAGTTTAGATTCCCATGGCTGCATATCATCGAAGACAGCCATACCGTGGTCTCCAACCACCACTAGCTTTCGTTCTTTAAAGGGGTATGCCCAGGACACGGAGAATTGTGCATGCGCTCCATTAGCAAATCGGAGATGCGCTGTGACACTATCCACGATGCCCGGCGTCAAGTAGCCAATACCCTCTGCTGTAACAGACTCGGGGCTTTCGCCTCCAAGGAGCGCCAGAATCATGGAGACGTCATGTGGTGCAAGGCTCCAGAGCGCGTTTTCAACATGCCGGATCCGACCAAATGCGAGACGAGTGCTATAGATGTGGCGGATTTTGCCAAGTTGACCATCCGAGACAATAGATCTGAGCTTTATGAAAGCTGGATGGCAGTGAAACAAGTGCCCAACCATGACAACCTTGTTCGTGGTGGCCGCGGCGCGCATAAGGCGTTGCCCATCGCTTACAGCCAAGCCCATTGGCTTCTCAACCAAAACGTGCTTTTTAGCAAGAAGTGCCTGAGCTGCCAGGTTAACATGGGACGCTGCCGGGGTAGCTATAGCAACTGCATTTATGGTGGAATCCTTGAGTACAAAGTCCCATTGCATAGCCGGTACTCCGTATGTCTGGCTTTGCTTCTCGGCTCGCGCGGGTACTTCATCAACAACTCCAACCAGACATCCGAGCTCTGCAAACTCTTTGATCAATCTGGCTCCCCATTCACCGCAGCCGATTACAACAACCTTTATAGTTGAATTCATCTTGTAAGTTGATAAGATAAGAATGCGTTGAAAGTAAATATTTCTCAGGCTTTAGGAAATCCTAAGTTGTGTGTAGTGAGATCAAGCCTTTGAGACAAGGACGGATTTGCCAGACAAGTATCAAGACTGTTATCGTCCATAGCAACACCTGCTCAAATCGACTAAGGCGAGCTGACAAGACGCCTCTTATGGCCGATGAGGCTCAAAATCAGCTGTTAGCGTCTTGCATATGCATGACCATCCCATGCAACCCTTTCGAATGGGGGCGTGAGCGTGTCATGCGGCCATTGGCTGCCCAAATCCTACGACCTCGGGAGGTTTCTAATGAGTGTAACCTTAGCATAAGTGACGTGACCAAGCTGGGCAGCTAGCAAATGGGAGTGAGGTTCCGTGAATTTTTTGATGGACCCAGCCGCTATCGCTCATGACTGCATGATAACAAAACCAGAAATCATGATGAAAATGCACATTTATATTCGATTAGATAATAAGAGTATAAGCAAATAAGTAATTTCACCCAATACGGCGCTGCTGCTTACTTTGTGGACCTATCTCTGCAGCGAGAACCTTGAATAAATTCTGCATTTCTAGACAGTAAAAAAGATATGGAGTAGCTGTTTCTAACAGCATAACATAAACAGTTTAGGAAAGGAAATGCAATCAAATGATGATAATACTATAAAGGAATATATGTGCAGTTGATGAAGACAGTGCTCGGAATTGAAAGCTGAGAATAAAGAGCGTGGACAATATTAGAAGAAAACACCCTGGAGATTTTCGCCCGTCAGGGATTTATCCAGAACTTTTATACGAAATTATGAGCTCCTAGAAGTAATAATTATCTTATATGTTGTCATCAAATCAAAATTCAGCGGGTTTAATAACTACACCATGTGGACCATATCTCCCTGGTAAACTCCAACAAGGAAGCCGTCCTGAGTGCTTTTTTGTTATCCTGGCGTTTGAGCAAGCCGTAAGGATTTTATTTCGTCTCAATATACCTCGCCTGATGTTAATCTACAAAGAACAGAATGACCCTTCACGTGTGGGTAACATGGTGGTCTATCGCTTAATGAGTTTTCCGCATCGAGTTCGGTTTAAGAATGAGATTGAGAATCTATTTGCGCAGCTCACAATCCCAGAGGTTGAGTGGTACAGACCTCCATTGGGCCCTATAATTCCTTCAAATATTCCGCACCTTTAAACAGATCCGCTGGTAGCCCACACTGACTTACACGTACATTTTGACAAGCGACCAGAAACGTATACTTGTTCCAGTAGAGGCTTCGCTTTAAACGTCGTTTTTCTTTCGGCGCAGGACTTCGGAAGCTTGTCCGGCCATCTTCTTCACGAGGTCTGCAATCTTTCTGAAAGACGGATCGTCTGCCCCGGGAAATCGTATCAAGTTGCCGTGCTTAACGTCAAGAGCGAGTTTCTCGTGCCCAGGAAGGGTGGCTGATTGGCAGTTTACGACCTTGAATGTGTTAATACACCTCAAGTTTCTCTCCAGGGAATGGTTGATCATGAGCATACCATCATGGATAAATCACTTTCCATCGTATCTTGTAGCTCCATCCACAGCTTGTCAAGAACCCTATCATTTTGGCCAAACCTCCAGCCTCTCCTTTCGCGCATTTTTCTCTGTAGGTACTTTCTGACTTTACCCATTGATGTGCTGTAGTCCGCGTCTCTTGTTTCGTAGACGCAACACACAGGGAAGTCGAACTCGGGTCTTGAACTCAATTGCCTAAAGTCTTGCACTATCTCCTCCAATTCGCTGCTGTCACTTTTTAGAAGGCTTACGAGGTATTGAGAAGTGTCCTTCCCGAGATGTTCTCCGATACGCATCCGCAAGTTGCATGTTTCGTACAGTATAGCGTGACTGCCCGAAAACGGGGTGCCCATGAAAATAGCACCCGCTGTTTGCAGCGGAATTAGAGAGTATGGGGACTGATGGTCTTCAGTCACGGCCTGAGAGAACGCCTGTATATTATTAGTTGATGGTGCGTATGAATGTCGGAGAACCAAAAATACTTTAAGCAATAGCAGCCCTCCAAAGCAAGCAGCAATAAAGATAATAGGCCGAGTTTCACCGTCCTATCAACAATCAGCTTCAACATAATAAGACTCTGATAGGGTCGAGATAATACTGGGCCTGTTGAATCAGGTGCGGTCCTCAATTTATATAGTTGTCTTAGCAACTCATCGGCATGCTCTGCCATATTCTTCATAGCCGCATTTTGATCAAACCCAGAGTTCCACTCGTAAGTGAATATCCTTGAGTTCGGAATCACGGCCGGCAGCATTTCCGGGTCTTGGAGCCAATGTGCTCCTCTAGGCTCTGCCTCGCTGGATGGCTTCCAAATGTAAGAAGCATGTGTCGTCCCAAGGCCGTGGATGGCAACAATACTGTGTCTATATCAGCCCCTCAAGCCGAATCCAGAAACAGACCGGTCGACCTACTCTACGATAGCTTTGCATCCATGCGGGAACTGGGAGGCTGTGTCCCGGGTAGAACGGAAGGTTTGGGACTTCTCAGGCACGGGGTATAGCTGAACTAATTCGGCCTGGCCTCCTTGTTTGGCGTACCAACCCTCGGGCCCTTGGGGAACCTCATATGGTTGGGCATCATGACGCTCCACTATGTGAGCCCCTTTGCTGTCCATGGCGGTGACTGTCATAGAAGGCCGGAGAACGCAGGCATTAGTGGGCGGTGCTAGTTCGAAAACGATATTCCACCACAATCAGGGCTGTCTAGAGAAGCAGGCTGCTCAGTATGAAGTGCACAGCAAAAAGACCATGTTTTTGAGCGGTGGCGTAATGCATTTTTTTTTTTTTGTGTTGCTGAGGGAGAGCCAACAGTGGCCTCAGCCACAACACAACGGTGTCCGACTCACCCCCTACAATCTTGACCGCCAAGTTTCAGTTGCACATATGGGGTGATTCAACTTGATCATGTCATTGATTTCACTTTGCCTTTCTAATCTAGTCTATAAAAAATAATTATGTTTTCCATTTTCCACCTGGCTCTTGGAAGCACGTGGTGGTAATATCAATGTATCAATCCATGTCCGTCAAACGGGGTATAGGGTGTCCTCCTTGTCTAACGTATTAAACGGTGCCACGCAGTAATGACGGCGGTACCCGACTCATTGTCACTTTTCCTCTGCTAAGCACTTAACACCTCATACGCAGCTCTGACGCAGCGCCTGGCTGTCTGATTTGCCATTGGCAGCGAAGTGTCCATCTTATTCATGGTGAAGGCCAGTGTAACCCGCCTGTCGCAGTCCATCACCACCAGCGAGCCGCCCCATCCACCCCAGTAGCACACTCGGTTTCCCGTTGGCAGCCATTCATCGTCAGGGAGGCTGCCACCCCCAGTCAGGGCGTAACCCAAGCCCCATCGGAGCGGTTTCTGCAGGACCAGATCTTCGCCGCGGGAGTGTTCCTGGAAAATCATGTCGACTGTCTCGGGGCGTAGGAACTGTGTTCCGTTGGCATCCAACCCGCCGCGAGAGATGGTAGAGAGAATGGTGGCGAGCGATCGAGCATTCGAGTACGCGGAAGCCGTCATTGGCGCACCAGCGTTACGGATAGGGTTTCTCAATGTCATTTCAGCAACTGGCCCCAGCGGGTAGCGACCAACCGGAAGCCTGGCTGGATAATCATCACACACAATTTCAGCCTTGTTGCCCTGGAACTCGCTATTGTGGAAGTAATCAACCCTCAGCGCGTCCAAGATCCGGGTCTGCACCAAGTCTGCCAGCGTCATATCTGTCGTCCGACTAACCACCTGCCCAAGGAGATGACGCCAGGTACCGGTGTGGTAGCCCGAAGCCGTGGTGGGTGGCCAGAGAGGGGCTTGGCCAGCTAGAAGGGTGGCCATCAGATTCCCATCAGCAGCTTGTTGGGTGGTGATACGCTGCCTGATCCCGCTCATGCCAGATGTGTGAGACATGATGTGGCGCAGCTCTATACCCTCCTTGCCGTTGGCCGCGAACTCGGGCCAGTAGGTCGACACCCTGGCGCTCGGGTCCAAGATGCCAATGTCGACAAGCTTCAGCATGGCCAGTGACGTAACCGACTTGCTGCAGGACCAGATCGGCACTGTCGTGTCCCGGTTCCACGGTCTAGTTCTTTGTCTATCCTCGTAGCCACCGTAGAGATCTACGAGCATCTCGCCGTCCACATTCAACGCGAACGATACGCCGATCTCATCACCGAAGTTGCAGGCGTCTTGGAGGATGGAGCGAATCTCGTTGAATTGAGGTGCGCAATCGCCGTGTATGTAAGCCATGTTGGGCTGTGTGTATGCAAGAAGTGAGCAATGCAGAGCTCCTTTCCTTCACTTGGAAGCTGACCTGGGCAAGGGCTTTTAAAATGCTTAGAAGGAGAGGGTTGAATTTTTCTATCGATCGCACAATTTCGCAAATAGACAGCCCAAGACCAACTAACTGTACAGGGGCGGGCACATATGTGCGAATAGCTAAGCTAACCCCCTTCACGACTGCGGCCTGCGTGGAGGTGACTGACTACTTGCATTGCCCCCCCACCGATTCGTAGATGAGGAAAACAGGGCTGACTACTTGAACTACAACCTTGTGACCTGGAACAAAAACCGCCTGTTCATCTGGTTGGCCCAGCTCGTTCTTCCACTTCCCTGGACTAGCTGGGATTTGACGTCCCACTTTGATCCAGTCTCCTCTGACACCTGCTGCATGAGCTTTTTGAAAGACGCCTCATTGTGCCGAAAGGTGAGTTTATTCCAGGTTGCTTGAGTGGGGATGCCGTGCACATGGCCAGCAGACTCTCCAGCAAAGAACGATCCCTGCACCGGTTTGAGCAAGCTCACAATTGTTTTGCAGGCGGTAATCTGGTCGTCCCAGCTGAGCATGTGTAGGAACATGTCCATGTAAGCCATATCAAACGACTGGTTCATCTCATCCAGTGCTGGACTCTGATGGAGAATATTTGCCTTGACGAAGCGAGCTTTAGTGTCTGAGTCCTTGAAGAGCTGAAAACCGGCCTCAAAGAACCGCTCGTCTAGATCCAACCCGACCAGATTCTCGGCTGGGGCACCGTCGTGGATGAGTTTGCGTATATCTTGGCCTAGGCAACAACCGACGTCGATGAGACGGTCACCGCTTCGAAGTCTCCTTAGCACAGTTTTATGGAGCTCCTCGTCATGGGCCATGTGCAGCTCTGTGAAGAGGAAACGGCCAAGGCAGGGCATTGGGTTGACTTCCCAAGCCAGATTGCGCTAGATTAAATATGAGCTCATGCGCCCAGGAGGCACAGCTGTGGAATAAGGCTTACTACGGAGATGAGATGCTCCTCGACGTCCTCCGGGGCCACACGTCCATATTCTTCCAGCAGCGCCCGGAAGGCAGGAGAGAGCTGGCCTGGAGATTTGTGAAACCACTGCACATCACGAGACCTCAGATCCGGCGTACTACTCTCGCTAGAACTGCTAATGCGCACGTGGTTGTGCTGAGGCACATCTTGGTCGTCATCCGACGCGGTTACAGGAGATGCCATGGTCACAGGCAAGGGCGAGAGGGAAGACGAAGTTTCGATGCAAGTTACGACTGAGTGCGCAAGTGTGGAAGCCGTTGGGCATCATAATAAGTAGGCTAATTAGCATCTTTGCTCAGCCTCCTCAGTGGCTGATTCACGTATGCAGACCCTCAATCAGAGTCACGTCGGGCCCAGAGCGGAAACGGTGTGTAAGTAGCCCTTGACGTGTGCTACGTAGACACGTGAGGGTGAGAAAATTAAAGAAAAAGCAACACTGAAGGGGGGTCGCTCTAGAGCTGAACCTCTTGGCTGTGGCTTGTCTCTTCATGCAGGCGCCACACATCCTGCGCACAATTGTGTTCAGCAACAGTTGTGGTCAGCAACAGCTGCATCTAACAACAGCGGTGCCTGGCAGGACATGTGTCCTCTACTGGGCATGGTTTGCTGTCGTATTGCCCAACTAGCGGTATAACCCCTTATTATGCTGGCTGTTGGTTCTTTGGGCCTCCCCAGAGGGCCAAGACAGACCCCTAAAAGCCTTGATCTGATTCGTTTGGAACAGCCTCCGTCTAATACGGTAGAGATGTTTCTGGTGGTCAGCAGCACATTTTCAATGCGTTGTCTGGAGCGCTACACGCTTGGTTTTGGTTTCTATCGTTTCATGACTTCAAGGAGCACCCTCGGAATTATTAATCAACTAAATTGATACTGCAAATACATGAAAATTCAAACTACATTATGCGACTATTACGTGTCGCTACGTCGTGCCTGCAACATAAGACTCAATCCCAAATAAAAAAAGCAGCTCGCTTTCCCATAATAACACAGCGGTTTCTGAACAGGTTGGATGCCTACAGCTCGGTGTTGAAATATTCTTCAGATGGATCCTGGAGTAAATCGCTGGGAGCGAATGAAAAGTCTTGATCACCAGGGAAACTCGCCTCTGTCTCGAAAAACGAAAACGCAAATGCTGAAGAAGGCGGGTTCTCGGAATGATTACCATACGGAGAGCTCTGTGTTGCTCCACCATACGGAGAACCTCGTGGCAGCCCATTATACGGGGATCCCTGTGGCATTCTGCTGTATGGGGAGCCCTGTGGCATTCCCGTAGGGATAGAAATGTAGTCGGATGACACCATGCTGGGTCCGCCAACCAGGACATGAGAAGTTCCCAGAGAGCTACGGCCTCCAATACCAAGACCGCTATCCGCGGAAGGAATTGGAACTGCATCACTTCCCAAAACAGGGCCTCGAGTGTTCCTCCAAGAATCAAACACTCTGTTGAGTCCGCGTACAAAAAGGTTTTGGATATGGTATCTCTGAGCGTTTGACGAACTGGCCAAGGCTGGGTCGCTTTCAAGCTCCTCAGCTAGAATGCTTTGGCCTCGACGATCAAAGAACTCCTGGAAGGCACACATATCCTCTGAAAGCTCGGAATCCATATACGGTGATCTTGGAGCCTGACTTCCTTGGAAAAGAATCTCCCAAATGTGATACCATCTCTCATATTCGGACAGAGCCTTCTTTGATTTTGTAGAAAGCTCTCGACTTTGCTGATGCGAGATCCCTTTCAGTTCAGCTGTTGGATCTCGCTGGCAATAGTCCCCATTTTTGTGGGTGACATGCTCATCATGTTGTTCGGCGTCGGCAAAAATTTTAAGGCAACATTCGCAATAGAATTTCGGAGTATGCTTCCTAGCCAGATGCTGCTTTACGTCCTGCACTCTCATGAGTTTGTACCGAAAGCAGGCACGGTGATGGTCGGCATTCTTTTTCCAAAACGGACAGGCCCATTGCTTTCCTTCGGCCTCGGAGTTTAGTCTTTTGCATGGTGGCTTAGATGGGCTGGGCTCTCCATCTTCGCCGCCATCAGGAGGCAGAGCTCTCTTGCGTCTTCTGGCTTGATTGGCGTTGAATCCAGTGCTATCATTGGCTTTTGGTTTCAAGGCCGAATTATCTCCAGTACCACTTTCTTGTTTGTAGCCAGAGGTTGCACCTCGAAACTCAGACCAAAGCCGTTCAAAGCAACCGTCTACAATGTGAGAGTCAGACTCGCCCAAACTCAGAGACTGCATATCGTCAGATGACTCGTCCAAGGATAAAATATCCGAGTCGAGATACTCCGAGGATGAATTACGGCTCACGCTTAAGCGCTGTCCGCCCTGGTCACACGCGATTGGTTCGGAATCGGGAACACCACTACAAGAACGAAGCGATTCTTTCGACGGTCTTGGATCTAATTCTCGCATTAGTGGGCTTCCAGAGTATTTCAGAATGTGTCATCCCCTTACCGTATATGTGACGCGCTCCTTCCAGATATCCTTTCACAGACACCGTCATACGGCTAAAGCCAGATGGGTTGATATCACCTCGATCTGCATTCATCCAAACCAGCATGTTCCCAATTGTCTGGGACAGAAACAATATGGTCTTCCGTCCTTCAATGAAAATAGCACCCTCAACGAGTGTCACATCTGATGCGTGGCAGAAGTCAAGCAAGTCGGAAAGAGAATGCATTTCAAGCCCATCACAGCCTTTGGGCCGCGCAAGGACAGGAAATCCTACGATAAGGGGTGGCATTCCAAGGTATTCCTGCCATTCACGCAACACCGGAGCTCGTGCAGGTTTTTGGATGACCTTGTGGCATATACTGAAGTGCGCGGTGGACCCAACACGCTGTGCTGGGACTTGTTCAGGGTTATTCTCGATGGATGGGTGACAAGTGGCTAAGGAGTTTCGAGATGATGATTGCAGAGCAGCCATCAGCCAGGCGAGCTGTTCAGCACATTCTGCAACGGAAGCTGCAGAACCCGATACCGTTACCTGGAATTGCTTATTCACAGCATTGGCACTCAGTCTTGTTTTATCGGGTAGTTCGCCTGTTCCTGATGAGTGTTTGGACAACTAGACAATGACATCGGAAGTTAGAGAAAACATCACATACCCGAGTATTTCTTGCCAGAGGCAAGATTAGCAATAACGAGAAAGGCATCCAGAAAACTTGGTCCATTGAACGACCAGGTTTGCTTAAAATATTGCTTCACAGTTACCACTTGAACGTATGAAGAGGACGCTACAAGGACCTTTTTTGCGTCTAAATCACGTACGGGGTCGTTGTAGTCTCCTTGGGGGTAATCGCGGTAAGCAGCTGGCTCCCATTGGAAGTCAATCCTGCATTGATGGATCCGTGGTGCTGAGTGCCTGCTCAAATTACCAGTAGGAAGTTGTCGGAGTACCTTTTCATGAATGCGAGTTTGAACCGAAGTCTCCATTTCTAGGATTGAGTTTTGTTTCAAACTGGAAAGAAGCCACTCATATGCTGGGTTCTCGAGGATGAGTGATTTGTAGGCTGCAACATTACTTGTGCGGATAATGGGTTCTTCTGGGATGCCTTGGAATAATTCGCCCGGATTGAAGATCGGAGTGTTCTCCATGGTCTTTTGCTCCCACAAGAACATCTTATCCTGCAACGACATTGCTCTGGGACCACCCTTCTCCGGAATCGCGGTTTTACAGTCAAAGAGCGACTGCAAGTGGCTTGCTATATCACTTTACAAAATCATGTTAGGCTCAAATATGCGAGAGACATTACTTCGAAGAAGCTTACCTGTGGCGTTGATAAACAAAGTACATTATCTCCCAGTGCTGTTTGGAGCTTTCGGCATTGCCAAGTTTGATAGCAAACGCCTTCAACAGCTCCGGAAGCTTCTCCGATACTTTGACCCATTTGGGGTGATCAAATGTCTGCTGCAGGGCACGATATATTTCCTCACAGAGAACCGATATATAGTTTTCTATTCTACCATCGGAGACGCTGGAGGCAGGTGAAAAAGTCGTGTGCGAATCGCAGTTCTCAGGGTTATTCAAGTCAACAGGACCGGGAACTGGCGCACAAGAACCATCATGTCGAGATGCAGAAACATAGGCAGAGTCGGGAGGGTCTGTTTCTTTTCTGACATTCTCGACATCGCGCGCGGATATTGGAGATAGCCATGACTTGTTGGTGAGCTCAGCCAACAGGGCTTCGCTCCCCTCAGCAACTGGGAGTACCTGAGAGTTGTCACAGACTTTGGCCCACAGTTCATCATAGTATTTTCTACTGGCCAATGTTTGGTTCGGATCGGCTCGACGGCTTTCGCTCGTTCCCGGTGCCTGCTGACCCTGTGTGATCAGACAAGAACAAAACTGCATATAGTCTACTCTATCTCCTGCCCACTCCTATGAGCCAAGAAGATCGAGTAACCTGTTAGCTAATTCTAGCATATTAATCACGCCAAAGCTCACCACGGCCGATGGGACCAAGTACGACTCCACTTCTCGCAAGCACAAGGGATCCGTTCTTCGCTTAATTTCTCGTTTGTAACCTTCAAGCAGAGCCTTGAAGTTGCTTGACTCGTATTCAAATAGAAGACGTTGTATGACGCCATTTAGGATGAAATCAAAGTTGGACTGCGTTGTATGTTGAGTGGGTGCTTTAAAAAGAACAGTCCATGGAAGCTTGCTTACGCAGGTGATACTGCAGTGATGCTCATTAGCCTTACGGCTCTTGAACGATGCCCCCGTAGGGATTTCGACTTTTCCTAAATTGCATTCTGTTCCAAGTCCTCCATCGCTTATTTCGGCTCCATCCATCTCAGTAAGGATAGGAAAACGTGTTTGTCGCTCCAGCGGCGCCGACTACATTCAATCAGGTGAGCCGCCAACAAAGAATCTCAGGAACAAATTCTAGCCAGGGTCAGTCCGTCAGACGTCACATATGCCTTCTGCGCGTTTCTTACCCTTTGTATCCAAGTTCAGGGTATATTTTCCGACCGGGGTGTATGTATCTCGACGAAAGAAACTTGCCTAAATTTGCCTAGGCCTCGGGAACTCGAGTGGAATATATAAGGGGTCGAGTCCCTGACCTCGATTGACGCTGCGGGGTTTTCTATTCAAGATTCTGCTAACACAATTGTGTGCAGAGTCCCTGATTGGTGCTGAAAACTCTACATACATACAGCCTTAGGTCAAATGCGACACAGCAATGTCAGCGTGTGTGGGGGCCACAGAGGTGTAGGTGCAGCTCAGTGCTGATTTTCACACATGTGCACCGTCTCAGTGGCAAATTGGGCTTCAGCCTTCTCGTGTCAGGAGAGGACTGAGACAAATACAGGCATGATATTCAACAAGGGATGGATGGATTGACTAGCATCGCGTATAGCCCAGCCATGCTATGTGAGCATCTTTTCAAAGATTTTGAATTGTGTTCTTAGTAAATAAGAGATAGATTTCCAAAGATAAAAGTACATACAACTCATCAATTTCAACTTGATGCTCCCGCGGATCTTATCCTTCCCTTTCCTTGGAGTGGCCATGGACACGTTAGCCAGGCCCCTCATTATTGTTGGGGGACGCATCTCTTTCTAAATTCAAACCGTTCAGCGAAGCAACGGCAGATGTTCAATAGTAAAGCCTAGAACGTAATCCATAACATCAATAGTCCAGGAAATCTCTCTGAGTGTGTCCTCTTAATCGCCAATACAATCAATTAGATTATGGGTTGAGAATAATTAAATATAAATGAGCTTCTACTCGTTCTCTGGCAAAGGGATGTAACTTATATGATAGAGATTTATTCGGTAAACAGTCACTCCGGGAAGGCGTACGTTTGTAAATATGTAGGAGAGTGTCGTGATTTCATTCTTAAGGCCCCTGAAGGGACATTGGTGTCTCACCCATGCTGTTGGAGCTTCTGGGGGAAATGGAAACCCCGAAGAGCCGGATGTCTTTGTGGTATATGGGGAAAATGTTAAGGGTGCTATCATTTGGTAGCTCAAAATCGCCCAAAGGGTCTGCCTAGATGAATAAAGTCGGGTGTACGATACGTGTCACCAGCGCTCTGAGTAGCAGCTATTAGTGAAAGCTGATCGAGGCACGTTATACATTTATTTTCAATGTACACCAATCTGTAAATACTTAACCTTATATTGCGTTTAAGCATACTTGATTTGGCGACCTCGACGGGAGGGCTTATGTTCTTTACGACATTGCTGCTACCCCTTGGTTGAAATGTGGTTGGGCTCTCTACCTGCCTGGCTATCCCAAATAAACAACCACCACATTCTTTCGCTCCAACGGCCTATGCTGCGGGACTTAATAAAACCAAGCTACCTGAATATAAATCATCCAAAATCTTGGGAGGAATGCTCGATGGTACAGCGCCACCAGGGCCGAGAAAAGTTGTCCAATCTCACTTGAGGTATCAAATTTGGGAATGTTGCTACTGTTGCATATCCCAAGTCTCGAAATTGGCTCGGACCCTCGGTATCTATCTGATGACACAATGGGGCGAGTTTTGCATTATGCAGCTTGAAGCGAAAAGTGTGTTGCGTCACATGATGGCATATGGAGGCCTTTGTCCAGGGGGTGTTGCCATACGGTGGAATCGCTTCGCAAAAGAGTGTTAGCGTTTTGGAAATATGTCCAAATTATAATGTGATTTTGAAAGTCAACTCGGCTGATTTAAAATATACAACTGGTTCTGATCCAATAACCTTCCATGTCGAACATTTCACGCCTCACGAACCCATGCACAATCATTGGCAATGAAGGGTATGTGGTCTGAGATTGTATCTGGATCACAAATAAATCATAATCACATGACTCCTAATTCATCTTCAGAAGTGGCTGGATGCTGACCCCAGTGTATTTCAAGACACTCACGAGATGCACAAATTAGCTTGATGATTGGTAGAGAGTGTTGACATGTTCGAGTAGTTGAGTGTAAATTTCCATTATCCACAACCTATTGAAGCGCTCAAGTAAAATGTCTCTCAGATGCGGGTCAGTGTTAAGGAGTCCCACGTTCCTTTCTGCAGTCCATGCTACATGGCCCCATCACCTCCCAATATCTTGGGTTCTCTGAGGCAGCTCCCCATACAAGTCACGGCATAACCATCAGCCAAATACCCGCCACCAACCTCAGGGGAACTTACCGCCTCATCCCTAAGCATGTGTCTGGTGCGTAATTACCTGATTCAAACACACACCTGTCAGCCCATTTGACGTCGCCAAACCTTGAGGATATTCTATATAATGTTTAGCAACTCGCCTAGGAGGCATGATATGAATCAACGAAAAGCCAGTCAACAATTCTTTCATTCACTCAATAAGAACAATATCACCAATCATGCCTCTTGAAACCCCCACTGCCGACAGTCTCTTAGACCTGTTCAGTCTCAAGAACAAGGTAGTGATCATCACCGGAGCCTCGGGCCCTAAGGGTATTGGTTATGCAGCAGCTCGCGGTTGTGCAGAAATGGGAGCCAACGTGGCTATCACATACAACACACGTCAGCAAGAAGCCGAGCAAAATGTTAAAGACTTGATCAAAGATTACGGAGTCACAGCCAAAAGCTACAAACTAGACGTGACCGTCTTTGAGGAAGTTGAGAAGTTAGTCAGCACAGTTGTGGCCGACTTTGGACGTGTTGATGCGTTCATTGCCAAGTACGTCCTCCTCCCTCTCCATTGAGTCTTCCTGCGTTATGACTAAACTTTGAAACAAGTGCCGGCGCAACTGCTAATGCCGGCGTCGTCGATGGGACCAAAGATGCGTGGGATCGCGTTGTGCAAATTGACCTTAATGGAGTGGCCTATTGCGCCAAGGCTGTTGGCCCTCACTTCAAGAAGCAGGGTCATGGATCTTTCGTTATCACAGCTTCCATGTCGGGCCATATTGCAAACTTTCCTCAAGAGCAGACATCTTATAACGTAGCTAAAGCGGGCTGCATCCACATGGCCAAGTCGCTGGCGAACGAGTGGCGCGATTTCGCTCGTGTGAACAGCATTTCTCCAGGCTATATCAACACTGGCCTCTCGGACTTTATTGGCCCAGAGAGACGGAACCTGTGGAAGGGCATGATTCCTATGGGGCGTGAGGCAGTTGCCAAGGAACTCATGGCTGCATACGTCTATCTTGTGAGTGATGCGAGCAGCTATACTACCGGAGCTGATTTGGTTGTTGATGGTGGATACACTGCTCGATAATTTACATTTCTAGTCAAGTTTGGTAGTTCATAGTTCTATTTCTGTTTTGAAGAACAAGTTGAGGGCCGTTATAATATGAGTGTTGTGCCATCATGGGTTGAAACCACATACTTAGATATGTGAAAGAGAGAACTATAGAGCCGCTTTCGACGAAACGAACGACACAGTCGCCTTGGTGTGTTCAGCAACTGACAAGAGAGTTCCATTTATTTTATCTCTCATCTCGCCTCGTATTGTGGCAAGCCGTTTCCCGATCTTCAAGACTTGGCACTTGACCAATATTTGCCTATTCGCCTTTGCTGGTCGCAAAAACGTGACGGATAAATTTTGAGATACGCCTCCAAATTCCCAGAAGCCCTCTCTTGCCAGAGGGGCCGCACACATGGTTGTGCACATGTCGTAGATGAGCGATATCGCGCCGCCGTGTAAATTTCCCAGCCTGTTTGATAAGTTTGAGCCGCCTTTTACCAGAAAAATTGCCATCGTCTCCTCTTCGCAACTGCTTACAGAGACAAGGGTTATTTGATCGCGCATCAACTTATCGTCCATCGCCTGTATCGATGTCAGCCTTACCCATGCAGATTTGATCATATTATCCGCTGGCCCTCACATCTTGGCCATCGGCTGATGCTGGAGAGGCATAGCCCCGAATATATGCTCTGATTCGTTCCGCGGGGTCTGAAATCTTTACATCGAACGCTACCCCGGGGATGGAAAGCAGATCTGATGAATACCTCGATGCATCTGCCATTTTGTCAGTCGAAGCTGATTCGTCAGGTCAAACAAGAATTGAAGAAAAACCTGGATTTAAAATGGAATGTCAGTGCGCCCATATTAAGCCTTTTTGACCCCCCAGCTCTCGGCTTCGGGGTTTTATTTGCGAAAACTAGCCGAGGTTCAATTGCTGGTGAGCAGCCGTCGACTGATAAACTCTGGCTCTAGATACATAACTGTTCCATCGAGTCTACGAAAAAAAACATGAGAAATATGCCTTTCAATCATCAATAATTTTCATCAACTTAGGCTCTGCTGGTTCTGTCAGCTCACCTGCCCGCGCGGTTGTTCACTGCCATTTCCCCGTAGCCACAATGCCGAGTACCGAATGAAGAGTTACTATAGCATGAAGATATCTTCCTTGGTATCAAAAATACAGTAATGAATGGATATTAATCCAAGCAACTGCGGGGAGGTAATGATGTTTGTAGCTGCTCGTGGCTCTCCTTCAAGAGACTACAATCATTAGCCATATACTACCCTCGATCAATACGCCTACATTTGTGTACGCATTGCTGGATACATCTCAAGAACGCTTGTTATAAATATTTTAGAGTGTATATTGTAAATTTCTTCCTTTGCTCTGGCTTGCTGTGGCGTGCGAGTAGGACACCGCCTACTCCTCAACAAAGTTTCCACTCAGATTGTCTCTAAGTCATTACTCTTGATGCCGACTACAGAACAACACGCTATGTTTTAATAATCAAGTAGAAAACTCAGGCTGGTTTCTTCCTCCATGAGAAATGCATTTTATGTGAGAATCTCTGGCTTAAGCAGGCAGTTGGCAATAGATTAAGAAGAAGGTTGAATGCTAGCTAATCATGTCCATGCTGTTGTGCGGGGCCTCGGAAAGTAGCAACGGACAGCACAACAAATCATTTCCCAGATGAACCAAAGCCCAGAGAACACCCCTTCAAGAGCATTTAACAATAATGGTTATAACCGACGGGGCAGCAGTTCACAAACGCAGCCCTGATGGTGCTGGTAGGATTCTTGAAAATACAGAACTATCGATTGTTAACACCTAGAGTCTCGAAGATAAAAAGGGCACTTCGTACGTCACCACTTTCCTTGCCGCCGTAAGCCGTGCAGCATCTTGACCGCATATCCTTGGAGCCGCAGTGGCACTTGACGTCCGCGGCACTGGCAGCTCCGGCAAGGAGAACGACAAAGAGAGGGAAGACCTTCATGATGGTTGTCTTGGTGGAGGGTTCGTATTTGAGTTTGAATAAAATGATCTGGAGTTGTAAAAGCTTGTTGATCAAGTTTTTTGAGATCAGGAAGTTCAGCACGGTATTTATACATTAGATTTGCTCGAATACGCATTGAGATGGAACGTGTATGTGTCAACCCGCATAATACCATGTGCGGCTGTTACCATTTCGGGTTCCCATTTCTCGCTTGTGATACGAAGATGGTCTGGTTTGAGGTACTGTTCGGGCGATTTAAGTGGCAATGAACTATTTGTCGAAAGCGGTGACATTCCCTAGGCTCAAAATGAAGCCAGGTACACACCCAATGTTGATCAGTTATCAATCTAAACAGCATACTTGAGCCCATGATGCAAGTAATAGAGGCGAACCTTGGATTTTCCTCGAACTATTGCGAAATCTTTCCACTTTCCCTCTTTTCTCCTGTTCTTCCTCTCTTTAATTCTCCCCCCCGTTATATACTTTGCGATATAATTCTCACCGCTGAAATTAGAAAGAGTAGCATTGCCTACGGGGTGGCGCCTCGAAAAGACAAAATGTTACTTTCCCAGGATGGCATTGGCCGACAAGCTGCCCATTTCGGGTACCGGAACGCTTGAAAATCTCGGAGATTACGTGAAGAGGATATCCCTACCGAGCCTGAGCTATTCGGGATTGAAATCATAAGTTCTACCTGATATAGCAATTTCTCTACCTAATGATTTACTAGATCGTTACCGCTCTAGCCAACAGACCACACCACTACTTGTTTGATCCAGCCCCCGATTCTTGGACTTACAGGTTGTGAATAGTTGGGTCATAAGAAACTTGCTTCATCTGCTTATTTGTTGGTTCTTCCAAGCTAGTAAAGTATCGTATTGAAACTGTGATCCACGCGCGAGAGCCACGACTAATAGCATAAATGGGAAATCCAGGATAGAGTTTTCCTTTCCTTCTCCTTCAGTGCCAAGCCGTCTTCGCATTGAAACTGGAGAAAAACACTATACCATGCTTTTCAACAGAGCATCGCTTCACCAAAGATCTTCCCGAGCATGGACAGAAGTTCCTACTAAATCCTTCGAATGCATGAACATCATGGCCCGGCTCCTAGATTGCTTTTATCAGAATCCTTGAACCAACGAAGTACACGCAAATATTACTGACATAGTGAGTGTCACATATCACTTAAAATAACACTCGTTATCCATGGCGATGATACGAGAAGTGACTGAACAAAAACATGCCAAGTATCATACGTTGGCATGGGTACCACTAGTATTTGCCTAACAGCTACTAAAAAGCAATAGTAGTAAATGAAAAAGGGACATGACTGCTCCTATCTATGAAAATAGCGAGAAACAATATATACAGGCATTTAGTCTGTGAATCTGAAATGATCGTCGAGATCCATGTTCGAGAGCGGCAGCGAGAGCGGCAAAACGCTTGAAGGAGCGTGGAAGCTAGGGCTTTTTGTATGGATAATTTAGACTACTAGGGAATAAGATGAATGAAACCCAAAGTTACCAAACTAATATGTCTTGACGAAGCTACCCAGAGCTCGAGCCATGGCCCATGGGAGGATATAGGCACGGTATTGGCCTCAGAGGGTTAATCGCGTCCAGGGATTCAGCTCATCACTGGTGGATCCGCCGTCGGACGACGCAAGTTACTGATGTAAACAGACAATACATTGCGCATTGACCGACATGCAGGGCACTAAAGACTCCTAGGGCTCACTCTCCTCAAGCAAAGGCAACAGGCAAGCAGGCTACACAAGTAAGAAACATATCAGCACAATGAGTGGAATCAACCCCAACATAAACCTCCTACCAGCCAAACGGAAGGTGAGAGCATATGTCACAGATGCCAAGCAACGGGCCGAGACCGAGCCCAGCACTTTACATTGTTCTTCCTGCGGTTTAGACTGTAATTTGTGCCCCAAGGCAGCCAATTAGGTGGTGGCCTCGGGTGTAAGCACCCACACTAATGGCTTATCACCGTCGTCAAGCAATTTGCGGTTGAGGTCATTGATTTGTGAGCTATTTTCAGGCATCCTTCGTTTGACTGGGAATAAAACTCCCGAAATTCCGAGACAAGAGCAACATCGAGGGCCCTGGATTCTTCCACAACTGTGCCCCAACTGTTTCAAGTGTCTATTGCGAGGATATTACATACAAATGTCAAGAGCGTTGGAGAATCAGTTTGTGTGACGCGAGGTATTTTGTAAGATGAACTCCTGGACTATGCTTACTACTTTCGGCAAGACGGGGGCTTTCTGTGACTAGATCGTGAATCGAATTTTTCATCCCTGAATTTGCCCTTTTCCATTGTGTTTACGAGGACTGTGACTGACCTTGAGCCCAGGGTCGATTCGTTGTAACGCGACCACTCTTGTGTACAAATCCCTGTGCTCATCTTCCGGGCGATTCTATAGATTGAGTCTGTGTCAAACACACCTTGATCCGACCGACCAAAAATAACTATGTTGAAAGATACCGAGAAGCGCGCCGATCCTTCGGTTGGCGAGCTTCGTACAAACCCCGTGGATGAATCGAGAGTACTGAACAGAGAGACCAAATTCCGCAGTCTCGATAAGTTCGCAAAACTTCTCGGTGCTGAAATTCAGGGCAACGATCCCATCGCGCCAGAGGAGAAGAAAGACCGCCGGTACTTCAAATTATTTACCTTATGGTTCTCAATGAACTTCAACCTTCTCTCGTAAGCTGGCCATTTCTCCCCTTCCAAGCTTTCCCGTAGCTTTTGCCTCATAACTTATCACCTGCTGATTTGATGTATATTCTCTTAGCGTTTCTACGGGCATGTCAGGCACTCTTGGCTTTGGACTGGGCCTTCGAGACTGTTCGCTCATCATCCTCTTCTTCAGCCTTATTGTGGCCCTTGTCGCGCCGTACTTGTCGCTATTTGGAGTCAAACTTGGTATCCGACAGATGATTCAGGCTCGGTTTTCTTTTGGGTAAGTCATCACTCTGAGCATGACATTCAGCCCGACCTTAACGCGCTCACACGTACCCCCTGTCGGATACAGCAAGTACGGTGTTGCGATTCCGCTTGTCCTCAACATGGCAACTATTGTCGGATACGCCATTCTCGGAAGCATTCTCGGGGGGCAAGCTTTGTCTGCTATTAACCCTGAAAGCCTGTCAGTGAATGTGGGTATCGTCATCCTTGCAGTCATCAATCTGGTCCTCATCTTCTTCGGTTCGAGAATAATCCACCAATTTGATCTGTATGCCTGGTTTCCCACCCTTCTCGCCATTCTCGTTGCTGTCGGATGTGGCGGGAACAAGTTATATAACCAGGTTGACACCGAGCCAGCAACGGCGAGCAATGTCCTCAGCTTCGCCTCTCTGATTGCGGGATTTTTCCTTTCCTGGGCTTCCATCGCTAGTGATTTCACAACCTACTATGATTCCCAAGCGCGCAGGTAAGTGCAAGATGATCTCTCTCTCCTGAATCTGTCAGAGACTTAAATGCAGAACGCTGATTCATGGCTTTCTCTATATAACAGCACTTCGGTATTTGCCACATCTTACCTCGGCCTCGTGGCTTCAAGCGTGCCTTTGATGGTTCTGGGCGCTGCCATCGGAGGCGCAGTTCCAAACATTCCAGCTTGGGAGGAAGGCTACACGAGCAACAGCGTGGGCGGCGTTTTGGCCGCCATGCTCGAGCCTGTGGGGGGCTTCGGCAAGTTTCTCCTTGTGCTCCTCGCACTGAGTGGCTTAGCCAACATGGTCGGATCAGTCTACGCCCTCACGCTCAATTTCCAGGCTTTATTCTGGCTGGTACGGATCCGCATCCCCCGCTTAGTCTTCACCCTCGTCGCAACCGCCCTCATCATCCCGGTAGGTATCAAGGTGGCCGCTGATTTCTTGTCTTCTCTGAGCAATTTCCTTGGTATCATTGGTTATTGGTCGGCTTGCTTCTCTGCCGTCGTGCTGGTGGAGCATTTCGTCTTCAGGAAGGGCCTGATGGAGAGTTACGATCTTGACTCCTGGGATAACGCCAAGGCCCTGCCCACGGGCGCACCAGCTATTGTGGCTTCGATATGTAGCTTCGGAATGGTTATCCCTGGCATGTCGCAAGTCTGGTTTACCGGACCTGTGGCCATGTACACAGGCGACATTGGATTCGAGATGGCTTTCGTCCTGACGGCGGTTTTCTACGTACCCTTTAGGTACATGGAGAGGAAGATGATCGGCCATTAAGAGCTACCTGTGTCTAGGTCAAAGCGAATGTATGGCAAAGCGTATTTAGCTAGAACGAGCCACGTAACAAGAATTTCAAGAAGCAGAAACCGTCGCGAGATTGGAACTCACGATGATCGAATCTGTCGGTCAATTTGGAGTGGCCTGGGGCGTGGCCAACGCAAGTAAATCACCTCTATTTATCCTCTTTCCGTGTGTTCCTCATCATCAGAAAATAGCTGAGCCTCTTCATCCGTTCTCCAGTCATCCAAAAGCACTTCATTCTCCTGCTGCAGCTTCTTATAATCCTGCCTCTTCCGATACTTAGCCATCGTCAGGCGTATCAGTCTCCTCGTAACCAATCCCACCCCAACACAGACAATAACCACAAGAACCAGGGAAACCCACTTCCGCCAATCCTTGAACAATACCGGATATAATCCCATGAAGACCTTGACACCGAATTCCGCCCAAGTCTTCTTGCGAGGCCGATCAGGCATCAGACCGTGTCGCATGAGGTCTTTGAAACGCGGGCCATTTGGCCCGGATACGAAACGTCGAAAACCGAATTTGGGCAGGACTTTCTGGCGAGGGTCAGAATCCGGATACTTGTAATCACCCCAGAGACCTTTGTAGTAAAAAAAGGATGTGAGGTTTGACGGAGGTGATGTGGACGTCTGATTCGGGGGCTTCAGCCATGTGAGGGTGAAGGAAGTTGTATCAAGGTGATAGAAATAGGCGGATTGGATAGGATCCCACTTCGGTCCTTCATCGCAGAAGTCGATCAAGGCTATATCGTGGATGTGCTCGCTGTCAATATTTCGTAAGTAACAGCTAAACCCATTTAGCGAGGAGAGTAAATACCCTGGTTTGGCATAGTTTGCGTGCGATCCATAAGCGCTGTAAACAACGGGCTTTGATAATGTCAATATTCATATGCACCAAACATAATGGATACTTGAAAACGAACCCTTTCATCTACTTTGGAAAGTTCCGGTTCATCCCAATCATAGGCTCTCCCATCTCTATGTTGGCTGTAGTAGACTCCAACCGGGCGTCCATCGCGAAAACGAACCATATTATGTTCCCTAAATGAATAATCAGCATATCCGTTCTAATGTAGGACAGTGAGGGACAAAAGCTACCAGTCGCCGACGTGATTGCCAAAATGCATATCTATATCAGCCTTGCTAGCACTGATCAATGAATTGAGCGGCTTCACGACCTGTGTGATATTTGGGCCCTGGTCAAAAGAGTAGAAATAGAAATAGAATGCGTCGAAGTCCATGAACCTGTTTTCAACGAGAACAACCACAGAGGCAATAGCGCTCCGTAGCTTACCCTCATGGTCGGGCGTTTCGCCCAGCATCCAGGCCGGGCGTGAAAGAGGGTTGTCGTTGGAAGTCAGAGCTACCTCATCTCCATACTGGTTAAGAACTTCGAGGTTGTCCAGGTCAAGCGAAGGCAAGCCACTGATAGGCTTCCCGTCAAGTGAAGGCGTCGTTCTCTGAATGTGACCTAAAATGTCGCTAGGCCTGAACGGGTCTTGTGAATGCAGCCAGACAAGAGGAGCTACATGAAGGTTGGATGTTAGTGGTGTATGGAATAGGGCTGAGCTTCAGACATACCATGACGTGTCACATATTCGGGATATTCCTCGAGTGCCAACTTGGCCAGAGCGAACGGACAGAGTAGCAACAGCAGAAGCAGACGATATCTCACTATGAGAAGGTGAAAAGAAGAGCCCCCAGCCATCCTCGATCATGCCCGTACCCGCGCATGCTCCCTCGAAGATGTTGAGAAACAAGAAAAATGGAATTGAGCTATCACCAGTTGGCTCAGATTCCTTATTTGTGCATGCGTCAATAAAAATCAACGGAGAAAAGAAAGCAAAGATACGGCGAGTTTCATGCAATCGCGGAGCTCGGGACGGCCGGAATGATCGTTCATTGGGTAACGATGCATATTAATAAGTTGCAACGTAAGCCGTCCAAGGGAATTGTAGCCGGGTCAGATCCCACAGAATCCTACAGAACCATCGCGATCGCCTTCCATCAATCAAAAAGACAAACAACAATTCTACTCAGACTTGTGCCATGCCTTGTGATGTTGCGTCAAGTTGTATAGCAATCCTCCGATTTACCCAAGGTACGGATGAGGCTCGAATCCATTCGGACCTGAAGAAAATCGGTTCTTCTCTGTTGTCGGCATGTCGGCAGGCCCCACGGCTTACGGCTACGTCATACCTCTTCCGTTTCACGTCTAAATCTAGAATTGATATGATTTTATTGAGTCCTGAGATCGAACGGAGAATGGATTGTTTGAATAATAGGCTGGTGGGATATTCACAACTAACTAAGCTAAAAGAAACGGTTTCAAAGAAATAGAGAACTAGAAGTCAACAAGAGGGCTAGGTACAGCTATTAAAATCATTCTGCCCACCCAGTCCGTCAACGTTCACCAACATAGACCCCTTATTGACCAGCCTTTGAATGGCATCCATGGTGAAGCAACATTCATGCCATTGCTAGACTATCTCCATCGCCACAGCCCGTCCTTCATCCCATGCCTCTCCGCCCATAATGCCATGGAGATAACAGTCCCCGACCACAGAATAACGCCCTTTTGCCTGCGGTCGAAGGATGAATGGCACATGGCAGCCCGCAATGAGCACAACCTTGTCGCCTTTATCCCTTCCAATTTCAACGGACTGAGGGGCCTGGCCTATGTACCCTTGGGATGTAATGAACCGCTGTGATCGGAATCCGTTTGCGGCTGCCGATGCGAAGAGTTCAACATTACAACCGAACCCGGGCGAGTTCCAGTCGGCCATGATATCCTTTATTTTTGCAACGTAAGCTTCAGAGTGTGGGTCGTTCCGAGGTTGTTTGGTAGAACGGGCCAAAACCATTGCCTTGGCAGTTTGATTGAGTACCGGAGCGCGTACATGCCAAGTATTTCCTTCTATATCGCACGTGGCGAGGCGGGACAGAACACTAACTCTAGATTCGTTGGGATAATGGCGATATCCGCCCCGAGACAGAACTAAGTTATGGGCCTCGACGAGACACTCAGTGATTGGGTCAGCGACCTTAGCAACTTCTACTTGTTCTTTGATATCCGTTCTGCAGGTGCCGACTTGTTCGATTGAGTCAAAGATGAACCCGCGCACAGACAATATGTGAGAACCCTGGATTTCCCGAGAGCGGAATACTGGATCGGAGTGGCCAGACGCGGAAAAGGTGCAATCTTCCATACGATGTGATGGAGTGCCAAAGGTACTTCTCGTTTCATCAGCGTTCCAACGAGGAATCCAAGAGGCGGAGCCTTTTGGGAGATCCTTGGCTAAATTTGGGACCGAATGAAGCAATAGTGGCCCTTTGCCTTCTTCAATGGCGTATTCAGCAATCCGAATGAATATATCATCTTCGTTGGGGCCGTACTTAGGTTGAAGGGATGGGTGATCAGCCTCCGGCGAGATTCCTATAAGAGCGTAGATTAGGTCACAAGGTTTTGTTGCCTGGCTCCCGTTTGTAAATGCAAGCAACGTAAATAGTGGCAGAGTTAGCAGCCTTTGATCCTGCCCTTTTTTTGAGCGTTGAAAGTCAAGTAAATAGAGTCGTGATGAAGGGCCTGTGTGATCAAGAAAATGCCTCCATATTTTGAATGCAATCACACCAATTATCGAATCAAGAAGGGTAATACTGAAAACATCAAGATCGAAAAGTGTGTTGCCATGAAATAATTGGCAGTTATTGGATACATAGCACTCTTGGAGTGTCCATGCTCTCTGGAACCACGAGTTTTCTGATATTCTTGTCACTGGTTGCCAAACATCGCTATCTCGAGCCGGGAGATTTGATTTTTGGAGGTAGTTGTCAACTTCGCTTATGAAATCCCTCGTGATGGCGCGAGCGCCGGCGAATTGTGGTAATATTCCGTCCCTCTTCGCTTCACATAGATGATGCATAGCTTTGTTTGCCTCTTCCCAGCCATCAACCTCTTCAAGGTAAATGAGAACCATGCGAGCTGACTGATAGATGAAACGCATGAGTTGCACCTGGGACGATTTCTCGTCGTTATCCTCTTGGTTTAAGCAGATTGCATCCACCCAGATGCGAAAGGTACCCTGGCGACGCCGCCATCTTTTGAGCGCGACACTGAGGTTTTTCTTATCTTGAGCATGTGACCATGGATATGTATCGGGATAGTTGCCTCTGCTTTCCCCCAGACATAGGAGAGGGCAATGTACTCTGGAGCGCTGTCAAGTCGGTATGTTCTTAGTTTCGCTCTGAGAGTTGCTTCGAAATCATCAGCGTCGTATATGGTGAGTAGTCGGATGCTCCTGTGACGCTGTATTGGGCTATGCTCATAGATCGGAAGAGCTGGGCCGTGTGAGATGGTCATTGCGTCTACCTTTGCTTTCGTCACTCCTCGGCCACTTTAATCCATAAGATCGCAGGTAGTGAAACTTTGAAAGGGGGGGCATTGCATGAGGGTGAGTGGCTTATATTGAGACAACCTAGAAGAGTTACCCATCTGTGTGCGGTAAGGCTTTCTTATAAGGTTGAATGCCTTTTGTGCACATTTCTGCATAGAGCATGTAGTCGATGATGCCAATTCAAGCACCACGTTTCTCTACCACAATCTACTTGAAACAAATCAGTACAAATCGCTCTCAAGGAACAAGCTGCAGAGAGCCACACAAGTCAAATGAAGTGCAGTCTGTTGAAGACCTGGAGATGAGTTGAGGGAGTCTAGGGTAGGCATTGAGTGGACCAATCAGAGCTTGCCCCAATAATTAAGCTTCTAATTGGCTAGCGTTGTTGATGCCCAATGGGCTATTGGGACGCTAAACTTGAATGGGAACGCCCCTTTCTTCCATCACGAGTTTTTTTCCCTCTCATCACCACTGTCGCGTCTGCTGCGATATCCGATTCCCGCCGCGTGTAGGCGCGGTGCCGTTCATTCGAGCATAATTGCATTCCATTCATTCATTTGTTTCATAATTCCACATTCCTTCCACCAGCTACCAAGATAGCTCGCTGGCTGGTCGCGTATCGGGCTGATGAGCCTACGCGTCGTCAGCTGTCCCCGCTCCTTTGAATCAGCCAACCATGCAGATCCATAACATCATGTATCTGCTTGTGGCGCTGCTGCTGCACATACATGCAGTACACAGCTTGCCCGCCTCCTCTAGTGACACTCAGACTGTGTGGGCCACTCCCCACGACAGCTATTCATCTTCCGTCGGTGTCCTCGGGTGCAAGGTCAACACAAACCGCATCGCCTACTGGCCCCAGTCCATTGACTGCGACAACATCTGCATCTCCCTTTCATACGAGGGTCGTACAGTCAAGCTGCTGCGCATCGACCAGTCCCAGGGCGCCTACGACGTCAGCTACGATGCTTGGAACTACCTCTACACGGGCAAGTCGGCAACTGACGCCCCCGCTGCTGGCGGTGCCGTGGAGATGCAGACCAAGAACCTCAAGGCGTCCGAGTGCAAGGACCTGATCAAAACGAAAGGCAATGTGCTACCGCTCAGCGCTGCCAATAGCATGAACTTCCTTGCCAGCTGCCTCAGCACCGACACCTGGGTTGGGAAGAACTACCGCCTGTATAACATTGCAGACTCGGTTTGTTCCTTGGGCAAGGATGAGAGCTGCGAGCTTGACTGGCCAAACGCTAACCAGGCGAAGTGCCCTTCTATGTTGGGAGACACGTCCAAGCTGGAGGGCTCCCCCGTCTATAACATCAGGTACCCAACTGGGCAAACTGTCCTCGCATCAACCAACGAGATTGTGGAAAACGGTAGTAGTGCAACTTTCGCGCTATCATCAGGTCCACGGAGCATGATGATGCTCATGGCATGGTCCGCTGTTCTCAGTTATTGGATATGCAGTTCATGATCCCTTTGTTGTTGTTGTTGACCTTGATGTAGTGATGACTCGAGTATGTCTTAATATTTTTCTTTTGCACATGATACCCTGCATGTATTTCTCATGATTTTGTATAGTGTGTGGGCCTCAATTATCAGCTCTCCCCTGCACATGATTTCCCGCGACACGTGTACTGGGAGCATTCTGTCTATATCATGAGCCTTTTGTATATTCACTGTCACTGTGTATGTTAGACTGCCTTCTACGGGGTGGCTTATTACCCTACAAGCGTGTTGTACATAATAAATAATAGTATTCGGGTAATTATCTCAGATAAAAAAACCATTTTCCGTGGAACATGGCAGCTGTTGTTGAGTTTATGCTGGAGCATACGTGCTGCCAGCTATGTTAGTCCCTAGCATGGATTCCATCATACTGGAGGGCTGTGCAAAGCGTAGCAAATCGTACCGTCTTATCGAGCTTTTTGTTAAATATAAAGTCTTGTCTTAGTCTCAAGCTCAACTTTCTCGACTATGGTATCTCAGGCAGAATATCTTCTGAACTTGGCGTTTCCAAGAAGTCCTCGGGAACTTGGTCATATGGAGGGGCCTGCTCACTCTTGTCAGCTAAGCTTCAACATGGGATCCAAAGATTGCTTACTTGAATTTTCTCCGCCCACTTTCTTACGCTCTCGTAGTTTTTACATACATGCTTGGTGTTGAAGTCGGGGAACGCCGTTGGGTTATTGGGATTTGCCCAGACTTGACCTAGGACACCCGTGTCGACATTGCACATCAACACTTGACGGATTGTGTCGAGACAATGAGCTATCGAAGATAGAGAGTTAGACAAGAATGGTCTTCCTTGAGAGGGAACGGAGCGGTCGGTCTAACTTACTGACATGTCGGCGGAGGATTGGCTCCTCATTCTTGAACGCGTGTTGACCAAGGAGCTTGTAGTGGTCGTAATTAAAGTACAGAGACTTTCGGAGTAAGTTCTTCCAGTAAAGTTAGCCCTCGAAGGTAGGGATGCAAGAGGTCTGCCGTACCAAGCAATGCAAATGATGCATTCCCTCGACATTGACAAGGAATCCCCCTCCATATTTGTCCGCCCGCTGTACAAATGAAGAGTCCAGGCCACTAGCGAGCCCGTCCTCTCTGGAAATAATCCCGGCTCGAGCTGTTAAGTGGTCAGCGATGTAATACATGCAGCGAATTGCGAGGTTCCTTACAATCAACTCCAAGCGCTTCCCAGGCTGCATCGACTTCTGGGGATCCTTGTTGCCGATAAATATTCTCATCCATAAATGAACCGTCAAACGTATGGGTTCTATATGTGATGGCAGTATCTCGGAGGAGGGGAGCTAGAATCTTTATAAGTATTGAGACATAATAAATGAAGCCGCCCTGTACAGGACCATGAGCTCACCTACACCATGATGTGGTATGCGAAGCGCAGGTTTGATCAACCTTGTGATGGAATTGCGCTTCCATTCTTATTAACAATGTAGAAATAATAGCAAGAATAAGCACCAATGACATTAGTGAGACCTTATAAAGGAAATTGTAACTCTTGACGCCATGGCCATGATGAATTCCGCCTGACTCTCGGTCTGGAAGATATCTATCATCATCTGAATCGTTGGATTCATTGATGAGGGGTTCATGAAGACAGTCTTCTTTCGGCATTGTGGGTGTGCTTCGTCGAGACCGTCCCTCTTGCTTGAAAGTCAAATGAAAGGAAGAATATGTCGTTGTGATGGAAAACGAGTAAAAGTAGAATGGAAAGGACTATAGAAAACGCCTGCTCTTGGGCTTCATGAGAAATGAGTGCCAGTTAGTTCGCCCTGGTATTACCAGGCAGGGTTAATAATCTCTGCATTCCTCCCGGCGAACTACTATTTTGGGTGCTTCCATATTTAGACTGATAGAGCGGCATCTTCGCGGGGATAATTGTCCAACACATGATGATCTAAGACGCCACTTCGTGTTCTAGCCTCAGATTTAGCCCTGATCTTCCCGTGATTCTCACCATCCGGAAGTGCGGGGTTGCCGGTGAGATTCAGATGTCAGCTCTCGGGGAAGCCTTGACGCCTTCCGGAGATACATCGGCCGGCACCTCGACCACTGCCTAGTGTATTCTTGGAAACACGGAGGTTTGCGACGCTGTATTTGGTTGAGAAATACGGCCCGATTTTAGATTTAGTAAGCATTGGACGTTGAGAAAGCGGCACCTGGCGTTGACGCGTGAACACCATTTCGGGCCGGAGAGACGACATCTTTGGAACTCTCAATCGTTCTTCTCGATCTGGGAATAGATAGAAGTTCTCGATAATGTTCTTTCTAACACTAGGATAAGACATCCAGCTTTTGATAAATACCAGACGAATTCCCTGTTGACCATTCTATCAACACAACACATCACATCCAGCTTCTTCAACTACAAAGCTCTTAACCACCTTCTTGAACCATTTCATCTTCGTCTCAAAAAGATCATCCAACTACCAATCTTCACCATGAAGTTCACTCTATTCAGCATCTTCGTCGCTCTCCCAGCCATCATGGCTGCTCCGCTCGCTGCACCTGAAGCAGCGCCCGATGCGGCTCCCGCCGCTGCCCCCGAGGCTGTCCCCAATGACTACGGACAGTACGCCAACTACGGAGACTACCCTCCTCCCGACGGTGGTTACGGAACATACGCCGACTACGGCAGCTACTAGGCAACTATTGCGATCCTCAAATCGCATTTGGAGGATTTCGATAGAATCGTGTGGATTATCCTGTCAACATTTAGGATTGGGAGAAATTGTTCGAGGATGATAGACTTGAAGGAACGTGATTATAGAACTCTCTGGGCTTTTGTATATCTCTTCATATTACAAGACAATTGTTGACTGCTTGAGACTGAAAATCCCGTGCTCCTTCTCTCAACTGACCATCATAACATGTAATATGAAATATGCAGCTACCATAGACCGATTGCCAACCCTAGTTTGATTTTTCCATCACATTGTGTTATCCAGTTGTACACAACGTCATATTGAGGAATTCTGTAGCCCGCATGTACACCTACGTTGCTGATGCGCCGGTACACTCAACGATTTGTCCCACTCTTGGGCCGCACCCTATGGAGGGATAAATTGTGTTTCTTAGCGCTCACGTGTTGTAATGATCAAAGGAAATAGTACTTTGAAGTTAAGTGATTGAGAGAGTCTATAGTATGATGTAATAAACAAGGAAGTATTGGGTAAATAATGTTGAATAAATGAAGGAACCCAGACATTCTGTATATCGGCCGAAGCCGAGAACAAGAATATATAAATAGATTATCTTCAGTATTCTCTAAAACCAAAATGGAATGTCACTCCACAGGATTGAAATCGGAACATCTAGAGCTGTTGCCATTTTCGATGACTCTTACAGCTCTTCATTAATCACCGAGACCTCAGCAAAGGTTTTGATCATATTGCTGAATTCCTCAGATGAACCTCCCAGGACAAGAGAAAAGAAGGACGACAAGGTGCTCGTCAAGATCTTGCCCAGCCGCTCGCCATCGATCGCCCCAATTAGAGATGCCGCTTGGGCCTTGGCTTCCGCAGGCAGGTTCAAGGCGTCGAACAAACGGGGCATGTCCGTATACGACCCGTGCAAAGTCCCATTCAGCGCAAGCTCTGCCTTAGGACCCCGCAGGCTCTTCCAGAACTGAACCCATGTATCGTCTTCCTGACGGTGATTGGGTCGGCCTAGTAGAAGAAAAGGTTCCTCAATTCCCTCGGAAAGAACAGGATCGACAAGTCTTCCGTCCAAGTCAACACCTCCAAGAAATTGGCTATCTGCCTTGATCACCGAGGCAGCGCTGGCACCTCCCAGAGAGTGGCCATATGCGACAAGCTTGGAGAAATCAATACTCTCACGGACACCAGCGGGGAGTGATGAGGTACGCTTGAGGTCGGAGACAACGTAAGACAGATCGGCAGCTCGGACCTAACACTATTAGTACGTCCATTCTATTCGATCTCACTGATGGCAGCATATCTTACCTGGGTCAGTTTCTTGAGCGATTCAGTATCCTCTGAAATATTGGCCGACTTGATAATCATTCCATCCGGGAACTCCACAAGATCAGCATCATACGGGTGGTCAACAGTCACCACGACGTAACCCTCGCTAGCGAGCGACATGGCCATCAAGCTGTACATAAGCCGAGAGTTCCCCGCGCCTGAGGAGAAGATGGCGAGAGGGAAACGCTGATGTGTGCCATTGCGGCACTTCTTGACTGGCTTGGCCACATCGCAGACGTCAAGCTTCATATCCGAAAATGTGTTATTCGGAAGACCCAAGCCGCTAACCTGGGTGCCGTACCACGCTGCAGTGGCTGGAGGAAGGTAGGCGACCTCCTTGTGAGAGCAGGACTTTGCGACAGGCCAGAAGATGGATGTCAGGAGTCTTCGAGGATGGCGGTTGTCCGCTGGAGAGTATGGGTCAACTCGGGAGTGATCGGTCATGGCATGAATCTTCAAGCCAACTTGATAAGGCCCTTCAGGACTGGGGAGCAACAAGGCGTCAGCTGTGGCCAGCAGGCCGAGTAGGAAAAGGCGAAGCATTTTAAGAAGTAAGGGTGTTGTTGCTAAGAAAGGTGTAGATGATCGTTGAGAATCGAAGTGCTGCAGCTCTGGACATCCGGTCGGATCCCAAGCCTTATATAAAAACAATTTCATGATGACTTGTTAACAAAGGAGTTCCGCAGACTGCTGAACCTGCGTTGGCGACGCATAGAGACTACCCAAAAGGGTAGTCATCAAGCGGACTCGCGGCTGAGAGCCCCAATTACCGGGCAGTGCAAGGGCCTTAGCATTCAAACAGGGCCGGAAACAATGCAGATCCAGTCTCAAGGCCCATTTTCCTATGTTGGCCCGCATCATGCAGATCAACTCAGTGAGTTTAGCGCCGCAAGATGGCTTCTCTTTTCGGCATGGTGTTGTGTGGCCAGGCTTGAAACCGCGCCTCTTCATTTCGTCATCTCAGCCGAACTAATGATTAGCGATGAGAAAATACTTTGCCAAGGGTTTACTAACAATTGCGGATATGCAAAGTTAGTTAGTTAGCAAAGCATTGCGAAACACTCGTGAGGTCTTCGTTGAGGATGTGGTTGGAGATAGCAAAAACGAGTTTACTCATGATAAGTGTACGAGGATATGAAGAAAAGAGTGTCAACAATCTCGTATTTGTAGTCTAAAACACTGCTGCTATCTCCTGTTAAGTTCAGTCGTAGTGTCATTCTCATTTCCATCCTGACCGATCCTAATGTATACCTAAGGTTGTTGCTGGGATAAGAGGCTGGCGTGGAACAAGGTCGAGCTTGTATGATGATCTGGAGAACGCCTGTCGGATCAAATTTCGCTTGGAGTTGCGAGATGAAGACGGCGGTTGCGGCAGAAAGCCAACATCGATGAGAAATTCGATGTTCTTCGTGATAGCTACCTTTAATGTGAGAGGCGTGTTGCGGGATAACTTGACATTTGACCCCTTCTCAATAATTGCGTACGGGTGGGCATTCTCAGCCTCCAGAATGTGCATCACAGGCCACAGAACATGGGACTCTCTGTCAACGTCAACATCTTTCCGGATAGTCTGAAGCCACTCTGCAGTTCTCTGGCCCTCCAGCTGATAACCCATCCCACGAAGAAGTGACCAGAATTGGCCCCAGTGTATTCCATCGTCGATCAACCTTAATCCTCCAATCGCACAGGCTGGGTTCAAGGCCGTCTGAATGATCGTATTAGCTACAGTTGCCACGTCGGCCACTTCAACCCAAGTGTCAGCCATGTCCTCGTTATAGGAGCCAGCCTTGACACACCCTGCAACCAGTCTCCAGAGGTAGTCGTCCGCATTTGGGACGCCTTCGGAAGTTGTCCCAATCACGCGGCCAGGGCACACAATAGCTATGTTGGCTGGCTTAGTGCTCTTGCGTCGGAGTGCTGCGCGTTTCACTACAGCTTCAGCAACGTACTTGGCTTGACTGTAGCCAAGCGCATCTGCAGAGCTGAGTTCTCGTACGATATCCTCCTCTTGCTCATCGTTGCTTGTCTTCTCCCGACCACCGGTCACATACAAGAATCTTGTGCGCTGGGAAATTATAGCTAGCTCTAGCAGATCGATGGTTGAGGCCACATTCGTTGCTTTGAGCTCCTCGTAGCTCTTGCCCCAGTGAACGACAGCTCCGTTGTGGATGATGATATCCATTGAGCTTCCATCAGATATTTTAGCCCACTGAGTATCATCAAGCCCCAAACGAGACAAAGATAAATCTCCAGGCCAAACCATCAGCTTCTCCTGGTGGAAGTCGGTCCACCACAGAGCCTTCACGGCAGAGTCGACAACACGATTTCGGGCGTCATCATCGGAAACACCTCGCGCAATTGCAATCACATTGGAAACTTGGCGATGCTCAAGCAGTTGCCGTAGAATTTGAGTGCCAATATATCCCGTAGCACCCGTGAGGAGAACTGTCAGGTTTCTGCTCGCCATGGCATCTATGCCGCTCTGTGTCGATTGGCGGTTCTGAACTTCAGCAATCCTGGAATCAAGAAGATTGATCTCTTCTGTTAGATCGATGCCTGTATGGGTCGAGTACTCTGTACCTGGGGTTGATGGTGTGTTATTCGTTGTAGTGGAATCATCCGCAAAAGCAGCATCACCCTTTAAGTCAGACACTGCTCGTGATAAACTCCGAACGCTCGTGCTTGGGTCCATGAAAAACTTCATGGGTACTCGAACATTGAATGTCTGTGAGATGAAATAAGAAAGAGACATCATATTGATGGAGTCTATGCCACATGACTGAAGTAGAAGGTCGTCGAAGGCTGTTGCATTGGAACTAGAGTTGGACTTATTATACCATGCTGGAAGCATTGTGAATATTTTTTCAGCTAGTGTATAAGCCACCTGCTCGCTCTCCGTTATTTGCACAGAGTCTCCAACTGCGTATCTTACTGATGAAGCCAAATCCCGGTCTGCATCAGTAGAATAATAAATTGAGGCACCAATTTCACGAAGTCGTTTTCTGTCTGTTTTGCGGGAGACTGTAAGGGGGAGCTCCTTCATGCCGAAGAAGGCGGTTGGAATCATATAGGTAGGCAAATGCTGAGCCAGCTTGCTCTCCATTTCCGTGTTAATCCGGAGCAAAGAGGCATCTAGGCTATCGCAAACGCCGGTTCCTTGGAGTTGTTTCTTGTCCATTTGAAGCGGCCAGAACGGGATTCGCAGACCCTTCTCCTCCCTGGGGAGTGAGAAGCTCAACAACGGCTTGGGTTGCTTCTTGTTTCATATAATTCTGAATCCAATACTCAACTTCCCCCGTTTCAACTCGCTGGCCACGAATTTTGATTTGTCCGTCCTTTCGACCGAGGCATAGAAGGGTACCATCTTCGTTATAACGAACCAGATCTCCTGTCTTATAAAGCCGCCCTCTTCGCCCTGGGTGATTTGAATTTCCCTGAAGTAGCCACACTGGATCTTGAATAAATGCAGTTGCTGTCTTCTCCTCATTGTTGATATAACCAATACCTGTGAGTGGCCCTTCCAGCAGAAGTTCGCCTGTAGCACCCAATGGAAGCAGGATGTTGTGATCATTCGGATCGACTACCCATGTAGTTGCACCAACGCCTCTACCGATGGAAAGAATGTTTCGAACGTTATTGTTGGACTCGTTGAAAACGGTGAATGGAGTACATTCACTGGGACCATATCCATTCATCAGCCTCATCTTTCCCCACCAAGGCTCAATATCCTTCAACTGTAAGGCTTCTCCGCAGGCAACGAGTAACTGCAAAGTTGGCGTTTGTTTAGGCCTAATTAGACGGATCACTGATGGTGTGAGGAAAACGGTATCAGCCCTGAAGGATGTGATACTCTCCGTTAGGTAATATCGTCGGCTATGTTCATCTGGCACGCACAAGCATCCTCCTATCCCCAATGTTGCAAAGAGGTAATAGAGCGAAACGTCGAAGCTATAGGACGTGAAATCGTAGACCCGCGCCTGGGATTTGATCCCTACCACTTTCTCCTGGTGGTTCAATGCTGTGAAGAAGCTTTGGTGCGATATCATAACGCCTTCGGGAGCTCCTGTGCTTCCGGAGGTGAATATCACGTACATGACGGAGGAACAAGGAGTCGCCGGAAGCTGCATGGTCGATGGACGGTTCAAAACGGCTTTCCATAAGGTAGATTCGACAACGACAACCTGCGATGCCAACCCTGAACATAATGTGAGGTTGAGAGGGGAGCATAAAACGAGAGTGATATCTCCTTCATCGCCTGACTCTGTGTACAGGTCTCTGAGAGTTGTGTCTAGTTCAACAAGAGGCTCCATTGTAGTGAATTGGTAAATAGCACGGTTTGAAAGCGGGAAGAAAGACGGGTAATGCTCGAGCAATTACGGTGGAATGTTGGATTGACCCCCAAGATCTGTAAGCTAGGCACTATGAACAGTCTTATATCTGGTTTTTTTAGCAAGTCTTCATCGGTAAGCTGCATTATGATAGCTGGCCCTGCCAGTCCAGGGTGACAAGCCTCAGTTGGGCGTCATGGTGGTAGTCACATCAGGGGGCTTCGCAGTACCATTAGATGGATAAGTTCGTATTCTTCTCGCACCCATATCGAGCTGAAAAAGAAAATCAGCCCCTGCATTATACTCTCCTCCTTGCATGGTGCAACTTGTTTATGGATCTTCATGGGCAATGCGAGAAAAGAACTTAGACAAAAGGCCACCGACTGGGACACTTGCATTAGTTCCGGCGATGCCGCTCGCTTCCAGGACTTTGGGTGGTGATATGGCCACATAGCTTCATCTGCAAGTGATCTAATTAGATGAAAGCCATTTCTACCTTGCATGAATGCAATGGATGTGCCGCGGACCACTACCTGAGCTATGACTTGGTCTGCATGTTGCAGGGAGTAGTAGCCAAGGATCAGCGTACTGATCCACAGAGAGGGTCAATCAAATCATCAGACGCTGCCTGTAGTGCATACGCGCTCAATCGATGAAGCTGAAGTTACCAAAAGAAAGCATAGTGAAAAAAACCAGCCATCTCGGTATCCCTTGTCGAGAGCGCAGAGGTAATGCAACGCATTAATAATGGGCATGTGTATATCTATGCCGACGTGTCCGTAATGGACGTGGAAACAAATCATACCAGCAAACGTATCAATTCCTTCAATTCAGACCATATCTCTCTTAAACTTTCCCTGCTCGTTCATCCCAAGACACAATGGCCGAATCCAAGAACCTCCCTTCTCCAGCCATCATGATCAACCTGGGCACTGAGGACCTTGAGAAATCAATCAAGTTTTATACCGCCCTCGGATTCGTCCAGAACAAGAACTGGCCCTACGATCAGATCGTGGCCTTCCGCTTCCTAGAGCCGAACAACAACCTTGGCCTTGTGATTGCCCACAAGGAGCGCCTCGCTGACTTCCTCCGGCCGGGAACCCAGGTCATCGACGCAAAGACCTCCACTGAGGTTATCTTGACCCTGCTTCTCAAGAATAAAGAGGAAGTTGACAGGGTCACCGAGCTTGCCGCTGCTAATGGCGGCGTGGCTGACCCATTCCACGAAGAGAACAACGGCGCTCACTTCAGTATCTACATTCGGTCTTTTGCCGATCCTGATGGCCACATGTGGGAGGTGAACGCGGATATTGATGGCGCTGTAGCATGGGACGGCCACTACCCCAAGGGTCGCAAGTTTTGAGCGAGTTAGATAGGGAAAGGGTTCTCAAGTAACAGGGTGGGCTTATAGGCATGGATTCAGTGCATTAGTCCCGAATACTGGCCTCAATTGATGATCAATAATCAAGAAAGATGATTTCATAGCTGATATCCCATCTCAGTAAACCTCCACCCCAGTTCCTTTCAGTTGATGGCCCCATGTCTATAACCCCTTAAGAGTAAATTATGACTTTTTCCATTAGATATCCGCAGATATTATATCATAATCGATGTCATTGTGCCCCTGGACTTGGGGTAGACTCAAGGTTTGTCTGAGTCAGGGCTGACGAGTGACATCGCCAATCAAAACGGACAAAAGTAATGAGCCTGAGACATGAATAGCCGAATTTTCGGCATCAGCGGATGAGTGATTGCTCCCTAAGCGCCGAGGTGCAGGCGTGTCGATGCTTTGCTCCAGTGGAAATTGTATGTCTCAGAGATCCCTACCATATCCTGACTGATGGGCCCATGTTATCTCATCTCCTCACCATTCTCTGACCTGAGCTGAACAACCGCAACTGGATACCATTCACTAGTCGTGGCGACACTTGTCTCAGTCCTAGGCAAAGGGCCTCACATATTGACGCTAGCAAGGACCGGGCCGGCAACGTCAAGGTGGTGATCACCACCTCTGCTGTCCATGGAAGCAATTTTCATGCAGGTCGTCTTTAGTGCGCAGCTGATCTGCACAGGGATGCTTCGCTTGACGGGATACGGGCAGCGACAGATACAGACCCCAAACTAATGTCAAAACTAAGAGCATGGGGGAGAAAGCGAAGCACTTTTGTAATGCTTTACGGCAAGATGATTTACGTCCCACCGTCGATTTCTTCTCTCTGGCTACCGCGTGCAGAGCATGAAGCGGAGGCGAGTCGACTATTGAGCTGGCCAATGCATGTCCGCATCAGCTTGCCCCCGTCGGGCCGTGATATCGAGGGTGTGAGAGTATCACTATTGCGTCTTGGTTGTAAATTACTTGGCTTTGGTCTCCACGGGTTATCATATTCTACGACGCTCGTGTCATGATCAGTACTTTTGTCTCTTCCGGTAACTGGGTCGATACCATTATACATCTGTCTTCTTCTTTGACTAGATTTTGAAGACAGCCTCACCCCTGTATTGCCCTTCTTCCTGTGCTACCAAGGGGTTGGTCCGTTCTTTGCTCTCCTACATTTGTCCCCAAATCCATCATGGCCAGTCCATCGCTATCAAAGTCTCCTCTCGCATGCCGTGGCGAGAACGAAGACTTACTAGAAACTACACCACTCCTCGACAATGCCGACGCGCAGGACAGCAAGCCCTTGCCAAAGGGCCAGATCTAACTGCTCTGCTACGCGCGGCTGATGGAGATGATCGCGTTCTACTCTGTGTTCCCATACCTACCCCAGATGATTCAGTTCAACGACCGCCTGCCTGAAGCCGAAGTGGGCTTCTACACAGGCGTTGTAGAGTCAGCCACCTCCATAGCCGAAGTCTCCGTGCTGGGATTCTGGTGCTATCTGGCCGATCGCATCGGGCGTAAGCCAGCGCTCGTCTACAGCATCATCGGCATGGCCTTTGGGCCGGCTTTGTTCGGCCTGTCTAGGAACATCACGCAGATGGTATTCATCCGCTTCATCTCCGGGCTGTTCTCCGGAGCCGGCCTCATCATCCGGACCATGATCGGCGAGCATGCTACGTCGAAGACCGAGGCACAGGCCTACGCGTGGTTCTCCATGTCCGACTTCATCGGCACCTTCATCGGGCCCATCCTCGGAGGCTCCCTTGCCGATCCAGGCAGGCAGTACTCGGACCTGTTCTCCGGCATCGAGTTCTTCGAGAAATACCCTTATGCCCTGCCAGGCCTCGTCATAGGAGGCATCAATATCACAGGTGCCACCATGTCAGCTCTATTTCTTGAAGAAACACTAGACAGAAGCACCGCACGCAAAGTAACTCTCGAGCAAGACCACGTCCCAGAATCCGCACCACAGCAGATCACCTCGTGGCAGCTCATCAAATCACCCGGCATGCCTGCCGCGCTGTCCATCTACGGCCAGGTCATACTCATCGCCAGCTTCTACATCTCCATGCTCCCCGTCGCCCTCTTCACGCCAATCGACCTCGGGGGCATCGGCTACACAACGCCGCAGATCTCCATCTACATGGGCGCGCAGGCCGCGAGCCAGGCGCTGTGGCTCCTCGTCGTCTTCCCGCGCCTGCAGCAGCGCATAGGAACCAGGGGCGTCCTGCGCGTCTGCTCGCTCGGCCTGCCCCTGTTCTTCTCCTCGTTCATCCTCATGAACGTCCTGCTGCGGACCGGGGGCACGGCATGCACCGTGGGCTTCTGGGCCCTGACGTTCCTGAGCACGTTCGTCGGCCCCGCCGTCTTCATGTCGTTTGCCGGGATGCAGCTGCTGGTGAACGATGCGACGCCAGACCCGAGCCTGCTGGGCCGCGTCAATGCGATTGCGCTTATGCTGTGCGGCGTCATCAGGATTGCGGCGCCGAGCATCGCCACCGTCGTGTATGCAGTTGGCGTGCGTGGTCAGATTGCCGGGGGGTATCTTGGCTGGGTCGTGAGCATTATTCTGTCCACTGGTCTGTATTTCAATATGAAATGGGTTCCAGATTTCTGAGCCGGTGTGGAAGCCATGCCTTACAGTACTAGGTGATCAAAATGGGGAACGAGATGATCGTAGTGGAGGGAGAACAAGGTTGGGACAAAACATTAGGAACAAATGATGAGTGAATACGGCTTACATTTAATGTCTAATGAGTGACGGGGAAAGGCGTATTAAAACATTCACGGCAGCAAGGGAACGAAATGATGATGGAAGAAGAATAAAGTCGCATGTAATTTTTAAACCTGTCTCGCTCAACTTTCCGTGAGTCTAAAGACGCCTATATACATGTAGGTATTTGAATATGTTCATGACTGCACCATCTCTGGTACATAAATATGTGCGGCAGCCCTTCTTCAAGGTCTGCTCTTGTCTGCGCCAATCGGCACTTATCGCATCCCTGGTGCGACATCAATATCACCTGGAGTTGATCATCATGCACCGGGAAAAGTGGCCAACGATGGGGCACAATGATTGTCTGTCATCAATCAGTGATACCTGTAGGCCAGATATCATGAGTTGACAGTATCCAAGCAGTAAGCTGATCCATCCATGTTCTCGGCCCGCTAACAAAAGAAAAAGAAAAAGAAGAGAACGAAGGACGTGCATATCAGCGTAACAGATGGGATGCCTCCGCCATCTGTGTTATAGTGCTTGTGATGGGGTGCTCATGCGATGAAAAGGAAAATCCAGCCCCTCCTCTGGACGAGGCGGCCGTCTTGGGGGTGCCTGTTTAGAGGCTCCCGTTTTCCCCTTGGTTGTTGCGGATGTGTCCTGCACTCGGTCTTCATAAAGAGGGACCAGCCTCCTAATTGACGACAGCGAGGAGAGCGAGGCGTTTTTCCGGTGTCCAAACCGGCGCCGGGGCGGGGGTAGAGGAAAGTCCTCCTCGAACACGGACATCTCCTGGGAAGCCTGTGGTGCCTGTGATACTTGCGATGCCTGTGATACTTGCGATGCCTGAGACATCTGGGATGCCTGAGAGAGCGGTCTCCCACTCTGGCGTCTACTTGACCGACGAGGGGGGAATGGCGGGCTCTTGGGCGGCTCGGGATAGAATGAAGACCCATGGGGGCTGAGCGGGCTTCTGGGCGGCGCGAGATACATCGGCGACCCAGGCAAGCTCAGCTCGCTGTTCCGGCTGGCCAAGCTCGTAGTCGACGATCCGAATTTCCTATAGCGCGATGCGTAGGAGGAGACGCTCAGGGGTCTCTCGGCGTCTCTCACCAGCAGCAGCCTGTCCGTGGAGAAATCCGTGTCATCCGGCCTAGTCGCCGTGTCGTTTGGCAACGGCCATGAGGGAGACGACTCTGCTACAGGCGAAGATGGCTCGGAACCGTCGGCGCTGTAGATGGACGAGGCAGGCGAGCCGCATCTCCTCATCCGGGCCTGCGTGGGACCATACCAGCTGATGATGCGCTGGCTGAACTCTGAAGTGATGTTCGAGGGTGAAGAAATGTCTGATCCGGAGGAGGCATCCGAGACGGTTGATGCGTTTGAGATTGTGGAAATATTACTGAGGTTATGTCTATGCCGACGGATGAATCCAGCATCCTCGGTGGACGGCCTCGGCCCATCCGTGTCTAACAAGTGATACCTGGGTCCAGTGTGAGTCCTCAATCACCTGAAAATTTGGGGAAATATTGCTGGCGCAGTACAGGGCAGAGGGAGAAGGGGGGGATTGCTAAAATCATTTGCGAAAACAATAAAATTAAGGTAGAGAAAGGTCACTTACGGTGTTCCGGCGATGAGGCCGTTGAGGGGGTAGAGCCCATCCTCATCTGCAACAATGGGCTCCTCGGGAGAGAAGTCTTCCTTGAACTTTGACTGTCGGGGTGACTGAAGATTCCCAGTCATGTAACTCATGGTTATGGCGCTGTCGTCGAGATGATCGCTGGGTCAAGGGTTCGATGATGCCGCTGTCGTAGTCGTGAGCCGCCCCAATCCATACACAAGCGCACAGCGCGACAGCCCTTTGAGATAAAGTCGTCTAGTGATAATAGCACGGAATCAAGCACGAGAACTGGCCAGGTGTGTGAATGATTAATATAAACTGTCGCCGGGCAAAGCACAGATCACTCCTTGGGTGGCGTCATGCTGGGATCCGCTATGCGAAGTTCCGCCACCAACGGGAAATCTAGGTGTGACCTCCGTCTACCTAAGGCCCTCTTGGCGACGAGCTTGGAAGCTCTTCGGGGACCCCTGGAGCGGTTATTCGTGCCCATGGCAGCTGGCCTCTCCACCCTCGCGCAGATTCAGGTCATTGTGCATTGCGGGAGCGCTTCCTTTGGCTATGCAACTGTCATTGGGGGCTGGCATACACAATAGTTGCATGATTCGCTCGGGAACTTCACGGTATTCGGGACTACGTTGCTATGCTGTGTGGCATTTGTGATCGGTTTCTTCGGCTAATACTTGACAGCGCCCCCTGACCTGCCAGATAGAGTTGGCACTGGGATCGCACTCTGTAGACTCTGGAGATAATCGTAACCGCCCGCTCTGGTTTGTCTGGACCAAGTCCAAAGAAGGGATGGGACAAGACCAGGGAGGGCCAGACCAGGCCAGACCCGCTGGTCGGGGCCCAAAACAAGCGCTTGGTACTACTCATAAGAAACCACCACACATTTAGACCCAGTGGCAAACCAGCCTCCAAACTGGGCAGATCGTGGGGATGCTTCAAGGTCAGCAGTGTTTTAGGTGCCAGATTCGCAACAGACGTTCCGCTGCTTGAGTTTGCCTTAGATGGTATAGTTCCCTTCGGCTCATCGGTCCTGGGTAGGGTTGGGAGATGGGGAGCAGCGCACGACCAGGATCCTGCTGATGGGGTTTCATTTTCTGCTGCTCTTGTGCCCTGGTTATGTCAGCTTTCAGCAAGGCGAGTCCGTCAACCAACGCATGAGCATGACGACGCCAAACCGGATCCGCCCAGGACCCCCTTTACGGCAGTAGAGCCCGAGCATTGAGAAACTCCTCTCTTGCGCGACTGTCTGCTCTTCAGGCGGTCGCTAAAGAAGAAGGTCTCATCACACACGCCAGTGAACTCACAATCACCACCACGTACGCTTGCTGATTTAGGCTGTTCGGGAGGGCGGACAAAGGGTTGGGACCAACACACGTGCAAAGCGGTTACATTACTGTGGGACAGGGACGGGTCCTTCCAGCACCAGCTAGCATCACTGGCGATCCTCTGTCTGTGTTCCCTCGCTATCCGAAGGCCAGATTGCAACAATCCGCGCTCTTTTACCCCGAGATGCTGCATCGAGTGCGGTGGACATGATAAACCGCGCAGAGCAACATGCGCAACGTATGATAGTCCGGCCGTCTTGAAGATGCCATCGTCTGGATAAAATCAGCCAATCCTCAAAATAGACACAGGCCTCCCTTGTGGCCCCTGCTTGCCGCCTGGACAATGACGATCGGCATGAAACGCTGGCTAAGCCCCCAACAGAACATTCTCCGCCCTATTAATGGCTACTCCCCACAAACCACCAGAGCGGCCCAAAAGCGCTTCGGAAGAGCCTGTTTTGAAATTTCCAGTCTCCAGGGCAAACAGAAGAAGGTCATCGATTATCTCCTGTGAGACGCGCATCTTTATGCGGCTCTAAGCGCGTAGCCGCCTTCATCCAGGGGCGAGTTTGATGATCTCTCCACCTTGTGATTAGTTTTCAGCTACCTACCCTGTAGAACGCTCCTCGTGATGAAGAAATGCTCAACAAAGCTCTCGACGCCTCTCAATCATCGTTTCGGAGCTACTGATCGTGATTCTCGTCGATCTGTGCCATTGTCTCAGTTTGGGGGCCAATTTTCTGCAACTCTCGGGTGTCGCCCACTTCGTTGCTCCTGAACTGCGATCCCACCAACAAAGCCTTAGCCAACATCTACAACATCATGACAGCCATCCATCGCAAGTGACCAACACGTGGGTCTAAGACCTGCATTCTATCTATTTCAGTCTGAGAAGAATAAAAACTAGAGACCTTTGTGATACCTCATTGGCTGGCAACGTGGTACTACAGATGCTCGCGAGACACGTAAACAGATGATCTAACCCCGCCTTTTTGGGATTGTAGCTGAGAAGGCCACAGCTTGAGCTCTTCATTGACTTGTGCTTCCAATCAGGGCTGATTCACGTTCAATTAGGCAAACCCCGGTGATCACACGAGCAACTCGGGACTTCAGCTCCCCATCCTAAACCTCGCCATCCAAGATTCTAGCGTGTTGATGTGACGTGTGATGGCATCGAGTCTCCTGATTGAGCTAATTAGTGGCATCTTACCATCCCGCGATCACCCCAGACCTACCCCAGTCAAGCTCCATGCGACGCCTTTCCCATCTTGGTGAACCCTTAGTTCGAAGATGGACTTAAAGTAATGCTGTCTCTTCAAGCATCAAAGAAAGCTACACGGAAAACACTCATCGCTTCCTCTAGCGCAATGGCAACATGCCTGAGCAGGTGGCTAATTGAAACACCTTGTACGACCTGTTCAGGTGCGCTGAGCTCGGCATGGGTATCACGAAAGATTTGGTGCGCTCTCTCCTCCCACCGAAAACAAATAGAAAATATCGAGTTTGTGATTGTCTGGATAGCTAGCTATACAACTGCGATCTTCTTTGTCTCGGTGTTGGCCATCGTGATCGGTTTCTTGTCCTGCCTTTGACATGTGGCTTGAGCGCCGCGTCTGTGCAGTCAATTGCCCATTGGGTTTAAAAATAGCATACTTGAATCTGAGAAAACCCACTGCAAGGATCCTTGGAAAACACAAGATAGGCGTACGTAATTCGGCAATGCGCCACTGCCTCGCCACACTCCATCAGGGAGCCTGTCACCATCTCCAGGCGAACAGCATCCATCCAATCAAGTAAAGTGCCTTGTTCATAGCCCAGTAAGGCAAGCAGAGGGAATGACTAAGCCCATCGTTTTGCCCGGTTGTTAAGGACTGAGCGTGGACGGATCTTGGTTGAGGCTTCTACAAGCTACGGCGTAAGTTTCTCAGGCATCTTTAGTTAAAATATCTAAAACATGGGGTCGACTGCAGCTACATCTCAAGTAAGGAAGAACTATCTAGACAATGTTGACACACTGCGGGACATCATCCTCAACGATCACTTCGGTGGAGACATGGCGCCGGAGATCGTCGACCAGTGGTTGAGGGCTCTCGAGCCTGGCAGGCAGTTCCCCCTCCCGCCCAATATCAAGGGGTTCTACGGTGGAAGTCTCCGAGAGTCGATGCCTATTGAGATCGCGCGGGGCTCGTACAAGCACATCATGCACACGACAGACGACACGGCCAAAGTCGACAAGTACGCCGGGCGGATGCTTATAGCGCTGTCGATACTCGACCTCGAATCGCTTGTTGCGGATGATCCCACACTGGGTGCGCTCGCCTTGTGGCATAAAGCTCTTGCCCAGGTCCGACTGCCCGACAAAGCTGGGGAGCTCGCTCAGACGCTGCAGCAGTACCAAGCAGTCCGGCCAAGATCCAACTTGTCAGACAGCAAGCTGCCTGAAACTCCACGCCTTAAGATCAGGCTAGAAGAAGTGGCTAGAGAGCTGGGGAATACTGGGGCATTGGATCGGATTGCCGACTGGGATTGTTCATCTGCGAGTACGTAGAACAAGGGGAGGACCCTGTTCATATCTCGGCAAGACGATATCGCCTTGAACATTGAGGGTTTAGCCCCCCCAAGTCAAAACTAAAGAGAAACGCCCTACTTATATAATTTTCGGATATAAGGATCGCGAGTATAGCGGCAGGGTGGAGGGTCGCCTGGTCGTAGCGCTGGTTGAGAGAAGGAGTAAGGCCTGGATCTTGACTTGGCAACCTTCCACGGCAAAGAAGAAGAAAGGCCACATGTTTACATTCGCGTCGGTATTTTGAGAACAGCGGACAGGCAGATCTAGATGCACGCTTGAAGACTCAAGGACAGCTTTATGGACGCCTGCTTGGAGATTCGAGGACATTTGCAGGGAGGCGCGAAGAGAGGTTGGGAGGGAGTTATTCGTAAGGACACGGAGTTGGAAACTGGAAGCGAGATCGGAATCTCTTCGGTGGCAATCATCCACTACTGTCACATAGAGTCAATGGAGCATAGTCCTTACTAGATGATTATTCAGACAATGCTGTCCGTCTTGCTGTGCCTAGCCGATGTTATTGTGATGCTGTGAACGATGATAGCGAATGGGCAGGAGAAGCCAGGACTGACGGGATCATACTGTTGGATAGTATCTGGAGCGTATTACTCTCGCGCAGAGATCGTCGGTTTCGAGGGCTGGCTGCGGCAGGCTGTTGCCTTATATGATCAACGAATCTCAAGGCAGGGCCGAGAAAGAGGAATAAGAGGAGGAAGCGATGGAGGAGTCGGACTTCGGGAGGTTGAGAATCGAAATGGAGGAGGCTCCACGAGATGGCATGTTGGTTTTTGTCTTTGTACGGGACCCGGCGCTTAAAAGCAACCGAGAATGGGTTGTAGGTTTTAGGGAGGACTCGATGGATGACATGCTGCAACGAGTTTGCGCGTGTGAAAGACTAATTAACGGAGAGTCCCAAGGATAGTGAAGAGGGTAAGACTGGAATCAATGATAACAAATCAAAATTTTGTTGATCAGCTGATGAAGGGCTCGGCTGCAGGAAACGAGACACAACCAGCCACAACAAGGCAACCTGCCCCTCCAGCCTTACGGTCCGCAAATGTTTTTGTAAATTAAAAAAGTCTCAAGTAAGATTCATCACACCAACACAACATGAGACATTAATGATTGAGATGGCCACCTTCCGCAAATTTCTGTTACGATTACGACAAAGGAGTACGAAGTGCTGATGCAAAGGGGGGGGAGGCTAACAGACCGAGTGTTGGGGGTGTACTTCTGTTTCTGTCAAAGATGCAACGACTGAGGGATTAACGGCATCAATGTATTGACGTAAATAATTTTCAATAATAAGTAGAGCCTGCGTGAATTCCCTAATAGCCTTGGAGATTAGATGCACACAGCGTACATACATTAATTGGAGGCAGCGTGATGGCTGCATCAATATGCATCTTGCCCCGCTGAGATTCAGTGTTTTTCCTCTTTTCCGGCGAGGCTTACAGGTGCCAAATCAATATTGCCACCCTTTTCCGGAGACGAAAATCCTCCTGAAGTTTTGATGTGGCCCAGATGTTGCGGCCCAGGTGTGGTGGCATGCTGCCGTTCATTATCCCCATTTGCTCTGAACTCATGGTCGATGCTAACGATCCAAACAACGGAAAAATAAAATTCTTTCTGCATTAACTTTAAGAAATAAACTCTTTCAAGAAAGAGCTCGGTATGACACGGTTCGTCTCTGATTTCCTGGCTTGCTTTCGCCTTGGTCAATGTTTGTGCTCCCCCCGAGTGCACCGATGTGTGAAAGGTCTCACGCTCCCGGAGGTACACCACCAGGCTGTGCAAAAATAGCCGCCGGCCACGTAGGCAGCCCACTCCCAATGGCAGGGCGCTTTTCTTGGCCTTCATTCCTTCTCCTTTGATGAATGTCTGAGACAGTGGTTTATAAAACGCGACTTAACGAACATGCATCGCAATCATAATCTTCCATCAACCAAGCTGATAAGTGTGAAACTTGAAGAATAATCGAACCGAACCGAACCGAAAGAATACTCTGGTCACTCTGGGGGACAGCTTGCGGCTCTCAGAGCACCCTCTGAGACATCAACGGAGATGGACTCGACTCAAGCCTGGGAATTGCAGTCTCCAACCCGCTGCACGTTTCCCCAGCATTATCGTTTGTGTTTTTCCCGCCCTGATTAAGTTATGACAAGCGGTTCGAGAATCTAGGAAAATACTTCTACAGGCCCTATGCCGACTTGAAATGGAAATGGCGCCGTCATTTACCAAGCTTTGTGACCAAACCCCGATGACGTCCCGACCCGGCTACGACACCTTCCCTCAACGACCCGATGTAATATAGCAAAAGCGTGTACGGACTTCCAATTTGATGACGTCCGTGCAAGCTTTGGTCAGGGGATAAAATAATAAGAGACAAGGTAAGGTTTCTGTGGAATGAGTAGTTCTAAAGCACGTCACGGCAAAGTAACAAGCGGGTTTGTTTACACCACTCCAGGCATCAGGGCCACATCTCGCATACTCCCGCGGTGCAATCCCCCGTGCAGCTCTAGTGAGGCTCGGAACTTGTTTGGTCCATAATCGAAGGTACATTGAGCCCGATGACTGCATAATTCCGTGCCCCCCCTCTTCTCACCCCCTTTCCCTCGTCGGCAAGCCAGTTCATTTCCCAATGAGCTCTTGATTTTGTCTCACCGTTTCTTTCTTTTTTCCATTGAAGCCAAATGCGTTGTGATCCACACCTCTCGCCAGGGGACGCAAGCATGCGCGGCCGCGTATGATCACACCGGGAACCTGAGGGAACACCTTCAACTGAGCAACCAGCCTACTCGGTTGGCTAGACTCGCTTTACGCTCTATCACTATCCCCTAGATCCCGTAGTCTTGATCGTATGGTTTGCCTTGGAGTGGTACGTCAATTTACCTAAGTGTAACAAGCAAAAGGCTGAGGCCAAGATGTTGAGGGGGCTCTCCATCCGTGCCCCTTGGCTGATATCACATCATCGACTTTCAGCCAGCCACAATAAAAAAGCACATCTCAGTGGCCGCTTCGTATCTCCTGGAATGTAAGCCTATGGAAATGACCCTCTTCAGACGTGTGTGTGGGGGGGCTGATATTGAGTACATGCCCAGACCAATACCTCTGCAGGGGCGGGAGGCCTGCCGGACCTTTGCTACGTGTCTGATCAAAACAAAAAGGAAGAACTTTTCAACCAACGGCCACAAGCGTGTCTAAGAACTCGGTAAGTTGATACAAGTGCAAGCTCTATCGTTAATACAAAGAGCGGCCGCAGCTACGTCAGGCTACAAGAATAATTTAAGTACTCTCCAACTCTCTAGCAGACACTTGACAGCCGGGAACTAGGGAGTAGCTTTGAGCATGCGAGCCAAGCCCGGGCAGGCCGGGAGATTGCCACCGGCAGATCGCTCACGGCTGGATCAAGACCGTAACACAAAGTTCTTGGCTTGGAAGAAGACCCCTGGAATCTCTCTGGACCCTACAACTTCCATCCTAGCGTTCTGGTCTGAGAGTCTGTAGCATTCAGCTGGGGCGAAGTAAGTGATTGGCTCGGAGGGACTGAAGGAGCTACCTGAATCGCGTGCGCCCGCCATCAAGTTTTAGCTCTTGAGCTAATGTATGCTGTTGTGGATAGGGAAGGCTGGAATCCGAAGTAGTTTTCTCTTCGCCCCCGGGGATTTCGAGCCATACTCTAAAGCTGAGATCCAAAGGGGTGATCTCCTCCTCGGGGAAAGGGTGCAGCTTCCGCTGGTCCCATCTTGGTGGACCCCCTTTTCAAAACCGAACGACGTGCTTGGGCGCTTCCCCAACATTCTAGTGCTGCCCTCTCTGGATTCGACCAAACCATGACTAGGCACACTTTGAAACAAGACGAGTGTAACGTAAAATCAAGTTCCCTTCTATTGGATGGGTGGGGTGAGCTGATTCCCAACCCAACAAGACCAAACAACCTCGTCACATCTGGCTGGCGGCCTGGGTGGTAATTACATAAGGCAACTAGTAAGCCAGCAGGCCTTACCTTTCCTTTTCTGTTCCGCACTGACCGTTCTCTCATGATAGATCATTATAATATTTCTTTTTAGACGGTAATGCCTGTCGAAGTATGTCTCTAGCCCGCGTTCTAGTCTCGGATCGGCTCTTCCCTCGTGGGACTGGCGAAAGTCGTGGGTGGAAAATCCGACGCTGTAAAGCAAACCGCCTGCCCGAACACGATGTAAACAAGAAAAAGAAACGAGAACTGGGCGCGACCGCCTCCGGTGGGAGCCATGGAGGAGTATAAAATGCCCTCTCTCTTCCCTCTAGAAGCCGTAGTTCATCACGATACTTCCCATAGGCTCTTTGCCCACCCACGACGACTCCTGTGCCAAGACGAGACGAGTCTACATACTTCGGCCCGAGCCATCTTCCATCATGAGATCCTACCGAGTGAATAGGAGGTGCACCGGGTGCCAAATTAAGTACATACCCTCCTCTGACCTTCCACAACCTCTAGACTCGTACCAACGATGGGCTGACCAGGTATGAGAACAGCAATCGTTCCATCCCACCCGCAATGCAGATGTATCTTTGCTCCGGAGACGATCCCATCAGTGCCTTGTTGCTCCGCGCCGAGTCTATAGTCTGGTTTCCAAGAATCCCGCGTGTCACCGAGAACCAACATCTCCCGACCGTCAATAACGTCGCCATTGGCAATCGGCACCCGCTGCCGGCCACCGAAGTGGACAACGACCTCCGTAGCATTGGAGCTTGGTCTGACGGGGTTGAAGCAAGCATACGAGCAGCTGAAGCAGCAGCTACAAGAGCAGCAAGGTATGCCATTCAAGGCTCCCGCATTTCTATCAGCTCGTTCTTGACTGACAGTAACTCCTTGTCAGCTGTGTCCCTAGAGTCCCCAACCACCGTCGAGCGACCGATACCCCCTGAAGAGTCCTTCTTCAACGAGACCTCCATAAAATGGGCGAGGGTTTGGGATACACTGTATGTTGGATGGAGTTTGTAGGACTTGGGCTTTCTTGTTTTGTTTCGACGGAATGACTCCCTCTTGGGTTTCGCCAGACTGGCATCTGCTAGCGTTCCCCAGTGTTGCCGTAGCTAGGCACCGCTTTCAACGCAGCAGCTCCAGTTTTGACGACGGTTTTTAGTTTTTCTCAGGTGAGATACTAGTTTAATTTAAATGACCTTATTCTCTTTTTGCTCTGACTTCGGGCGAGGGCAAATCTTGTGGCCCTCTCTGCTATCTTGCACGATGCAAGAATCCTGATTTGTCTCCTTGTTTTGCCGTCTTCTGGTAACTGGCACCGCGCAGATATTGTAATGCTCTGAGGAAATATTCAGGATGACAAGGTATTAAATTAAGCGGAGGTCTGTCTGGTGGAAGCCCTGTTTACCAGCCTCCTTGACCATTTTGATGGGGGATGTCGTGCTACAAAACAAACCGTAAGCCCTGACGCACAAAAGCCTCCCCCCCTGTTTGTTACCTCATCGTACGGCTTTTTGTATCACCCTTTCCCTTCTATAATAGACTGGCGAGTTCTCCTCCTCGACACAAACCCTCAGTCTGACTTAGCACCCGTTCGCTATATTGGCGCTGATAACACTGGTCTTCAGCCTTCACTTGTTCTTTTATTTGGAACCAGAGTGAGGAGCCGCTCGCAATGTGCTAAATTTGTCACGTGAATACGTATCTTTCCATTGGCTGTCTCATGTCTAGGTTATTTGGACAACCACGAGAGGGCTCATCACCGTCTAGCCTAATCTAGCCAGCACATCCCACCAGTCCTGCACCTTGCTTTTTCCTCATGTCATTCTTGTTTTCTCTTTTCTCCCCCACTGTTGATGCTGCCCTGGACTCCGAATTCGTTGCTAAGTCGATCTAGTTAATGCTTACGGGCGTTCCGGGCTTCAGCCAGCGAATGTTGTCGAGGATTCCCTCCATCCGAAACTCCTCTGACAACTCTTTCTCGTTCTGGGTAAAGTGGCCCCAGGATTCGTAGTGCATGGGAACAAGAACATCAGCTTTAATGTCGCGAAAGAGGTGAGCAGCCTGCTTTCCGTCCATGGTGATCTGCAGCCCTGGCATCATGGCCTTGCCCAAGTTCATGATGGCAATAGCGATGTGGAATTTGTCGGTCATTTTGGCGAGATCTTCCACATAGATTGTGTCCCCAGAGAAATAAATGGCATTTTTCCGCCCGTTTGTGGCCCCAAAGTCTTCGGTGTGAATGGTAAACCCGACGCACTCGTGCCCCGGGACGTGTACACATGGCGTTGCCGTGATCTCGAACGTCTTACCACCAATTTTGACTACAGTCTCTTCCCAATCTTTGAGGCCGATGACACTAGGACGAGGGGCAAGATTGTTGGCTCCGTCCGGGGTAGTGATGACGCGGCGGCCATCAAGAAGCTGACGCCCGAGTTCATCTAGGTTGTCAGGATGATTCTCATGGCTAAGCAGCACTGCGTCGATGTGGGGGAGCTGGTTCAACTTTAGAGCGGGACCATTGCTGACCTTTAGCTCGCCTCCATGCGGAAGTGGCCAGGAACTTCCGGCTGGGGAGAAGAACGGGTCGGTCAAGAATGTGATCCCGTCAATTTCGAGGATTACGGTAGCAGTCCCAATGTGAGTCATGGTGACTTTCTTCGGGAAGGTTGAAGTGATAGCCATGGTTATTCGCGTAAAGGTAATTTGAAGTAAACTGAATCAAACTGGTGATTCTGCACATGCCAAATAAATCTCTTGGCTGGCTTTTATATGTGTCCGTTCAGGCTGCTGACCTGGAAGTCGGAACTGGTGAGCATGTTCCCAATCCACACAATTAACTCTGATGGACAATTGATTTCAAATCACTTGAAGTATATGTATATTAATAACCCCTGGATTGTAAATGGTTCATCTTTACAACGCGTCATAGCGGGATGGTTATGTTATGTTGCACGGATGGCTGAGGTTATACTGCCACGGTGCTATCCAATCAGCGCTCTCTTCTCAATTACTGAGTTGCGAAAACATGACGAAAATTAGGCGAACTAAGCTGGATCCAGTAGTCAAACCCGCCGAGATGACGCTACTTTCTTCGTGGAGGCCCCGGGCTTTGTGCTTATTCTATCCTGGCTCCTCACCTCGCCAATCTCAGCCTCGGTTGTTCCCAGTTAACACACCCCGATGCCAAGCTCTGCGACTGCGTCTTATAATTATTTGTCTTCTGCGACTCACCCCATGGCTATTGGGTGATTGCGGGTAATCAAAATAGCAGGAAAGAAAATTACGACTCTACTGGAGCACATTTAAACGTCACCCGGCTCTATGAAGTTCCGACAGACCCGAGTTTGTCACAACTGCCGGAGGCATAAACTTGGTGTATGAAACAACCTGAGGAAAATTTCTTCGATCATTCCATGCTGACTCTATGGTTCAATTGTTGAGTGTGACGGCAAACGTCCGGGCTGCACTCAATGCGTCCACACAGGACGCCAATGTGAAGGATACCCCGGCCTTCTCTTCGTACAATCCTCTTTGACTGCTCAGAGTCACTCTTCTTCAAAACCTCGACAAAAAGGCCGGGCAAGAGTTAGGCGGGAGCCACAAGACCATAAGCCGGCTATCACTCAGGGTACATCGCCCATAGCATCATCTCCGCCGCAGTTCTCGGGCTCGATCAAGGCCCAGTCTCCTCCATGTCCCGCTTCATACGATGACTGTTTTCGACCTCAAAATTGCGGCGAGCTCTATCTGTTATGTCGGCCCCTGCCTGACACATTACAAGACACTATATCACTGGTTGTTCGAAGCTATGTCCCCATGATTGAACTGCCCTCCGGCCTTCGATCAATAATTTCCCAGTCGACGCTGGTTTGCGGTGCTTGGGTCGAAGCCCTTCCAGATTTAACTCGTGGAAGTGGAAGCCATATTGACGAGTGTCTAGAATATGCCATAAAATCCCTAGCACTATCTATAACCGCCAATAGAACGAGCAAACCTCTTCTCACACCCCTATCTAAGCACTACGGCAAAAGCCTCGGCCTGCTTCGCCGAGCTCTCAATTTGCCAAGTGATTCCCACCAGAACGAAAAAATAGCGACGATGATGTGTCTCGCATTGTCCGAGGTGAGCACTTGCTGAGTCACTATCCGTGACTTCACGGATACGACTGCGAATAAACAGACAGGCTGAGTTATTGCTTGACTAACGACTACCAAGGCTCTGTCCCCGGTGGCCCCAAACAGCTGGTTCATACATCTACGTGCCATCAGTGAGGTAATGCAATCATGCAAGCCTGAGGCCTTCAGTGTTGGTATACCACACAAACTGTTTACCGGCATTAGGCCACTACTGGTAAGCTTAGCCCAAGCTGTCGTCTCAAGTGTTCAATGCCAAAGCATAATACTCAAGGAAGGGGCTTCGTCAATTCCATAGTCTTCTCTGTTTTTCACTGACAGCATTCTGATTCTTCTTTCTCGTAGATTCTAGAAGCCATGGCGAGTGAGAAAGCTACCTTTCTGGCTTCAGACGAATGGAAAACGATGCCGTTTCAACACAACGGACCTTCCTCGATGCAAGGTTTTCTCAGCCAGGCAGCCATTATCCCTGAAATAATGCAAAAGGCAGATCGCTTAAACATTGGAACACTTGAAAAGGACGGAATACAAAGACTTATCGAGCTATCAGACATGGCTACACAGCTTGAGGCGTCAGCCATCACATTTGAGATTGAGCCCAACGCTCCAGCGTATTGGCCTTCCTCACAAAGATCCAAGGCTGCTGGAAATGGCTACCCACACCTTCGTTTTTCAGATCTCAACGCTGCCAACGCTTTCACCCATCTATGGGCGTTCGAGATCGTCTGCCTTTCTAAGATAAATGATTTGCAAACTGCATTTCCACGCTTAGGCGATATAGGACATTCCTTCTATGATGATGATATCTTGAGAGAACCAAATATGCGTCGCCAACGGTGTGTCGATCTTGCCATCAGCATATGCCAAAGCATGAAGTATATGACGAGAAACGAATGGATGATGTACGGGCCATCGTGTGCGGCTTTTCCAGTCCGTATGGCCTTCGATGTGCTTGAAATGGATGATAAGGGGAGAGAGATTCTATACAATTTGAGTCAATCGGCCTTGAAAGACATAGATCACCGTTTTCTCCCTTTAATAGGCACTCGAGTCAAATAGAGAGATCGCTTGCTGAGATGTATTCCCTTTTTAATTGTGGTACTACTTGATTCGGTCGGTATTGTTGAATGTCATGGTCTTGTCCACGGTGTTTAGAGTTCAAGAAAGCAAAGAAGAAGAAATATGATGCCATTTTTATTGAATGTCTAACCCGTAAAACCTATGTAAGCGAACGACAGATAAGCTGATCGATTTAGAAGACCAGATGATGGTAGCGACCGGACCGGGTATATAAAAGAAAGCCAAAAGATTCGTAAGTGTTCATGAGTCGAGCGATCGTCAGTTTGCCACTCCCGTAGCCGTTCTATATACAGAAAAGTTTGAAAAGTATGTACGAAAAATTGAAGATGATGGCTGGATAGCTATCGGAACGGAAAGGTGAAAAGTCCTTCGCCAAAGCGTTCTCTTGTGAGCCTAGCGACACTTGGACTTGGCCAAAGTCCAGCCAGTGAGGCGGTTTGCAATATCGGAGACGTAGCACTTGGTGCTGCTGAACCCATTGTTAAAGTTTTCATAGTCGACAGAGCCGCTGTTATACATTCGAGCAGCAGCGTACAGCGCCCGGCTGCCCGCGCTGCCGATGGTCTTCAATGTCTTTGCGAAGCACTGCTTCAAGCCATCGCCATTGGAGGTGCCAACAACGCCGTCCCGGATCATCAGCTCGATTGTGGCAGCGGAGCATTTAGCGACACCGTCGCAACTGCCCTTGCCATTGTGAGACTGCATCAGGCCGGGGTTTTTGATTGGGTTGTAGGATGTGGGAACGCGAACGCATCCCTTGCTCTCCTGCATCATGACAGCAAGGATGATCCGACTGTCCACTTGGGTTTCGTTGGAGACTTTCTGGATAGCCTTGTTGATGTCACTGATTTCTGTCTCCGAGTTGTCCTCACCCCATTTATTCCAGGTGCAGGACTGGCGGATCAAGGGCAGGTTCTGCTTCCAGAGCTGGTCGTAGGTACCCCAAGAGTCTTTGTTGGGCCAGCTGGCACTCTTGGTCCCGTCCCCGGAGTAGACCTTGTAAGTGTCACTAAGGGTCACCGTGGCCTTGCTGGTTCCCTCGCCATTCTCACCAATCTGATCCTTAAGATCAGGGAGCTCGGCTGATAGGTCCACCGGCAGAGCAGCTGCAAGAGCCACAAGGAGGGTGGTGGAAAGGAAAGCGACGTTGAAGAGCATTTCGATCTACAGAGTCCGGCTGTGTAGATATTTACTTAGGGAATGTATGGAGACCTGAGTTTCCGAGAGAGTTTGATGCGTGAAGATGACTGAAGCCGAAGGGGAGGGGGAACTACCATTATATCCTTCTCGCAGTCTTTCCCAGGTCAACAGAACAAAAGGGCAGCTCGGAATTACTTGGTACATTACTAAAGATGGTAGGTATCTGATCCACACCGATACCAGTACATGTGTAAATGGTGCCTTCCGAGGACTCCATATTCTTCCCCTCTCAAAAGACCTGCTGGTACTTTCCCTATACAGCGATAAGTCGACTGATCCTATGGAATCCTTGAGGGCCGGAAGCGTGAACGGGTGCATTGCATGATCCAGTTGCAGCTGGCGGCTAAGACGTTGGTCGTCAAAAGAATGCTAGCCAAATGTGACCGAAACAGGGCGTAAACTGCGGAGAGCGGATCGAAAAATGGAAGCTCCTCCCGGTAGCGACATGGATTCGCCAAAGGGCATCCCTCCCATGCTTGAGGGGAATCTGGGTGCGACCCTTAGGGAGACAAGGCTCATGGATGGCCCGCTACCTGAGCCGAATTCTGCCAGGAACGGACCCTGGGTTACAAAATGGCGAGAAAGGATCCTGATTTGTCGTGCTAGGAACGGGGGGTTACGTTTATCTCAAGAAATCATTCCATCATGTTGGCAGGCCGCCCCCAAAGGCAATGCTTATATTTAGCGCCTCCCTGTTATAAGGCAATAGGTCAACCTGATGTGCTTTGGCACCTTCTTCCAATACGGTGACAGATCCCCTCACGATGGGTCTCTGTGCTTACTTAGGAAGGCCACAGGAGGTACCGGGTCAAGCCATGTCCAGGACCAGGGGATTCCTATTGCTGAACATTCCTCGGTAGGAAGGGCAATCTACCGGAAGATCCCAGCACTAGGGACAGGTACGAAGCGGACGCAACTGCCCTTCCTGCCGAGATCAGAACTTCATTTGGATTAGAGTGTCCAAGCCGAGTTCATGTTGTTAACACGTTTCAGAATCTACGCGGGGAAAGAACGATTTCACCGTTCGGTGTGGTGAGTGGCCCCATCTGCAATACTACCTTGCAGGATTGATGCTACATTCCATTTATGTAAGAGAAGCTATTCCTAGAACCGGCCGGGACGGGATGCCTGAACTGAGGGGGCAATGCAGAACCGAACCAACCCGCTTCTAGTACATGGGTTAAATATGCCTCTGGCCCTGCTCTCGCCTTGTGTGATGCTTGGCGAACATGCACGGATAACTTGGAGTTCCAACTTTGACTTCGGAGGCTGCAGTTGTGCAGGACCGATGTTACATAGTACATTGAGCATTCGTATACCCCTGCTCCAGCTCAGCGTTTAGTAGATCCTTGTCCACGCAAGTACGCTGCGCAGGCCTGGATAATACCGCCGCCGGAGCCGTGAGCGACTGGCTAAAATGTCTCTCTTCAGGCGGAAATGGAATTTTTATGCCACGCAATCCGGCTGGTTCGTTACCCAAAAGCCCGAAGCAATGACGTGTTGTTGTTCGTTCACGTCAGTAGCTGCATGGCGCTCACGCAGTTCATACACAGCCTGATGAGACAGCGTGTGTGGCAAACCGTGTGCATGCACGTACATCCAATTACTATGAATGACTAATCCTAGTGATATTAGGTGTTCTTTGTCCGTTGTGGAGGGAACAGCTAGAAAGAGAGGAGCAGTGATTGTGTGTACATCCAGCAGTTTGGGTATACTTGATGAGCCTTCTACAATGGTAATGATAACCATCGATGAATAGCTAATTGGTCAATAGGTTTGTCTGTCACTGCACAGGGAACTGCTAAAGAAGGACCATTGGATGGTATTTTTGTAATTAAATCCAAGGTATGAAACATCAAGTTCACGACCACATGATGGTGAGAGCATACCTTTGTTCGCTCCAAAATCAGATGACAGTTAGTTTCAGCAATGTTCTCTTACAGTGCAGAGTTTTCGGTCATCAAGAAAAGAACATGTTGCAGGATTTTATTAGGCAATAATATTGAACCTTATCTTCAATAAAACATCTATTCATTTTGGTCAATTTTGGTTGCAGCAAAATATGTATTTAGCAAACTAAGTGTCCAGTAACGGTCATCGTAATTGCAAACTGACGGGGGAGTTCTAAACGTTGAAGGCCAGAGAATGTGAATCATCAGAACAAACGTTGAATGTGATTCACCAGAACAGATGTTGATTGTGAAAAATACTCAACAAATAATCAAACATGACTGCAACACTTTACTTTGTACTGTTTCAAGGACTACTGATTGTCGTAATCTTGAGTACACACGGCGATGGTCAACTACTCAAGAAGTCGAAAGTTCTCTTACTCTCAACCTAAGTAAGGTGCTACTTCTCTTCGTGAAAGGGAGTCCGGGATACGGATGAAAGAGTTCTTCCGAAAGTTCTCTTACTTTCTACCTAGCGAGGTGCTACTTCTGCTCGTGAAAGGCAGATCGGGAAACTGATGAAAGAGTTCTTTTAGACATGGTAATATGTGCTCGTAACAAGGCCAGAGCATGCTTTGCGGACTATAAGTATGGCAGCCTCTCTGCCCTTGACATTCATTGAACCATATCTTAAGAGATCACACTCAGACTTTCGCATCCACCAAAAAGTACATTGAAAAAGTTAGAAAACCATATCGAGTATATCACCAAAATGTCTCAAAACCCTCACCAAAAATCGTTGGCGGCAGACCAAACTCCAAACGAGATTTGGGACGCGATTCTAGAACCTTTCAAAGCAGAAATCCCAGCTCGGTCATGGGCCAGACCTGTGACCCAAAACGATCCTGAGAACACCAGAACTCTTGCTTCAATGTCTAGAGTTTCTCACGCATCCCAGCCTGTTGCGAAGCAATTCCTATATCAAACCTTGGACTTGGAATCACTCGAAAAACCAGGAGTAAGCGCAGTGTCGCTTCTTAGAGCACTTGCTGATCAGCCCAATCTGGGAAAGCACGTGAAGATGCTACGTCTCAATTCGAGCAAGATTATTGCATCTGAGGGGGACGGGATCAAGTGGAACGAACTTTTTGAGAGTGTTGAGGCAAGAATTAGGGCACCGGGTCTCAAGGGCGAGGTCAGACAATGCCTCCAGATGTGGCTAGATACCACAAGGAAAAGTAGAGACTTCTCTGACATTGCAACGCCTTTTGTTTCGCTTCTTCCGGGACTCCAACTTCTTGAATGTCAAGTGAAGAGATGGGATCCTTTAGTAGGATACCTCAAGAACTTCCCTTCGCTGACTGAGGTGAGACTCAAGGCCACCACTGAGACACAACCAGTCAGCATTGTCGAGATTCTACCAGCTCTGATGCATCCTACTCTGAAGGTAGTTCGTCTCGATGGGTTTGGCTCAGACAGGAAATTTGGCGGAAATTTGAGGTCTAACGACAGCGTTGAAACTGTTGAACTCGGAGATTCTTATGTCAATATCGATGGAATATCTGGAATTTTCCAACTGTTCCCAAACATGAAAACCTTTTCCTATGAATTTGGCAGCCCTAAGAGAATGGGTGGTTACGATCGACCGCATATCAAGGTCAGAGACCTTGGTGAAAAGTTAAGAGAAGTGGGAAGAAACTTGGAATCTCTGACAATTGACACGGTAGTTCTTTTCCAATTGGACGAGAACGACAACAGCGCCCTCGGGTCGTTCAAGGGCATGAAATCACTAAAACATCTTTGTGTCTGTAAGCCTTTCCTTATTAGACAGGAAGAGGGCCAAGACGAAGCTGGAGCCTGGAACAACGCCTTTCCTTCGCAGTTGGAGTCAATCCATTTTTTACCAGAATCAAGGATTTCTGCCGCCTCCTTTGCGCCCTGGAAGGACGTGGGATTACTCAGCCTTGTCAGAAAATACCTTTTAAACAAGGAAGGGAGATTGAAGAGCCTCAAAAAGGTTTCAGTGGAGCTGCATAGCTCGGAAGCTCAGCTCGAAGATGAGAACAGGGAAGTGGTCAGAGATTGGTTCGGTGAATGGAAAATCATAAGGAAGAAAGAATGGGTTTCTATGGTGCCATCGATTTTGTATGGTGATAAGTATAAACCGACCATTGTTGAGTTTATACGGCCCTAGAAGCATGCCGTCCTCTCTGGTTGAATAGAGACTGATCATATGGTATCATCAATCTCGAGCGCTGCTTAGATTAGGCAAGGAAAGTTCACCAGGATCAAATGGTAGTTATTTAATACAAAGGCCTCTTATGTGCCAAACCTTTCTTCTGCGCTAGTGAGCCTACTAGAATGAAGAGTTTAGCTAACAAGTAGATCTTGCACTTTCATCAACTTTAGGTGATCACTATAAACTGGATAGGAATTATGCCGAGTTGGCAATTAATTGCAGTATCTCGTGTAAGTAATACTGTCGGCCAAGTTTGTCGAAAGGCGATAGATCCGTCAAAACCGGCCATTTAAATCCTTTCATCGTCCTATCCTCTTTCTTTCTTGTATAGGCCTTTTTGATGCTAGACGGTCCAACCATTTTGTTTGTTTATATTCTATATAAGCATCTTCGGAGTCCTTTTGAAGAACTAAATTGCCGAGGAAAAATAAAAACCGTTCACCACAATATATATTTTACGGCAAGAGCTTTTTCTGTCCATTTCGCACTTTACCGCCCTTGTACACAAGGCCAAGAATATCCCTGGCTTGACTTTCCCCCGAACATATACCAATATGTGTTTACTGATGATAGGTGCATTGTGTCTGTGGTTTCGCAACACTTGGTCATTCTTGAACCCAAAGACCAGTTTCTTTCTTGAACTCTCGAAGCCAATCCGGATTATCAGCAGGAGTTTGATTCCACGGGTCATCGCTTTAAGGCAAAAACAAAATTAGAAAATGCCAATCAATGCCCGTTGAGGATATTTGTTTGACTTGCCTGTCATAAATGATCCATCGTGCTTGATACTGGAGCTCTTCATCTGATGGTGTATGGCTATTAGGATTAAAGGGAGACATGGAATTGAGAACAAACCGACTTAGACGTCGCCAGAGGCCTCTATACACATTTCCATCATTGTTTGTGAGGCCTCGCTCTACTTCAACTGCAGGCATAGCTACAGACATTGGTGGGAGAGGGACTGATGCTGTTGGGCCGAGGCCCACCCGAAGACGAAATTGAGCCAGCCAGACTGTTGAACCGTATAATAGATCGATCAACAGTTTGCTGAGAACTTCCGACGGACCGGACATGTCCTTGATAATCATACAAGCCTGTCGCTGAAGGGCACTGTCGTCAGGATCCACGTCGAATTCCTGTAATTCTTTAACATATCCATGGAGAGAACCCTCTAATTTGCAGTCTTCAAAGATGTTATTCTTGCCGTGAATTTTCAATGGCGTGATTCGAGACCTGGCAGCGCTCTTCATCGGTCTCATTTTCGCCTTCTTGGTGATCTCTTCTGGTGATACTAATAAATCTCGTAACCAAGAAGGCGGCCGTGACGTAGAATCCTGGTTGAGAATTTCAGCCCCGAAGATAATACAACACGCTTCATAGTGTAATATTCCTGTTGAGGGCTCAGAATGAGTGGTCTCGGTATAGTTTGTGAAGAAATACTCCAGTTCAACCTCGATGAGCTCGAAAGCGTTCCCTGGACTATATGGCGTGCCTTGTTGTGTCGTAAATGGTAGCGGCGAGTTGCGCTCATATTCGATTAGATCTGGATGTGCCGTTAATGAAATGGATTAATACTAGCCCTGACATCAAACGCGACCAATGACTTACAAGGTTGTATACCGTTTTCAACCATATCGAGAGTAGCTTCGTCAAAGCCCCAACTCCCCTTCCAATCAGCCATTGTGATCCCTTCCTTGAAATGTCCAGCTAGATGGCTGGCTCTTTCGGTCCAAGTATCCATTTCAAGATCACAAAACCCACATCGGGAGCGTATCAGCTCATACATTGATTTCCACTCTTCCATCAATCCCTTCATAAATTGAGAGTTGTGTAAAAGTCTAAGGTGTTGTCCTAGGTGATCTTTCCGCGAGAATATTCGCTCCTCCTTCAGCCGTTTCTGACAAGCATGGTGATTATGTGTATCGAAGTGGGCTTCCTGCGGATCTGCCAGACCACAGTAGACACAAACAAGCCCCGACTGTGTACGAACAGTGGGTGAACCGGTTGGAGCACACTCCCACTGCTCAAGAGATAGGTGAAGTGACTTTTCATGTCTTTGTCATGTGTGTTTTGTCTTGAATGTTTCTGTGCAGAAAGTACACTGGTATGGGTGACAAGCCTTCACTAATGCTTCTTGAGGTTTGATTGTCTTCGCGACAAACGCCCGCCGCTTCTTTTTTCTGGTAAATCCAGGTAACCTGGTTGAGCCTCCGGATGAATGAGAGTATCCCGAGGCGTGAGAGCTTTGACTTGAGTGAGAGGTCTCCGCCCCGGTGATCGAGGAAGAGATGCTGTGTGATAGCCCATCTTCTAGCGCACTGTCCGGTGGTGCTTCAAGATCATTCGAAGCCCCCAGCAATGCGCGCGCTATAGCAGGAACACTGGCAGGTTCATGCTCTGGAGGCGAGTTTCTCCACCGTTCGAAAGGGTCCATCTGCTGAATGATTGGCGTTGGGGGCCTAGCATATGAATTCTCCCGTGGTGCTGCGTCCGAAGGTAATCGATTTTTTGACGGAGAGGCTGGTGTCCAGAGTTTCTTCCTCCTCCGGGCATTGGCGAACCATGTCAATATCTGCTTCTTGTTGAGACCTGATTGCTTTTGCATGATCTCGACATCTCCAACGGTAGGATAAGGGCGGTTGGTGTGAGACGAAAGCCATCTGTTGAGAACCCGAATAGAAGCCGTGGAGAATCGCTTCTGCGATTGAGCAGCCGTTGCTTCGCTGTCTGCCACACGAGGACTCGCGGTACGGTCTCTTGCAGGGGCATGAAAATCTGTGGGATTTTCCTGATTTTGGAAGGATTGTTGTAGAGTGCGAGGTTCATCATCACTTGAGTATTCTTGACTGAGCCAGTTCGAAATTTGCAACACTGGGTCTTCGGTTGCAAACAAATCGTTGAACGTAGGATCAGAATCTATTAAAAACTCGTCATCAGGCATCGGTGGACAGTCAACAGAGGAGCCAGGTAGTGATGATGGCCCAAAAGGTTGATCATAGTTGAAATCCCACTCCTCGGGACCGACACCGGCCCAGAGCGGAGAGGTATCTACCCGGCTGGAAGCAGTATCAGGAACTATCGGCAAATCAAGGCACTCTGAAGCCATGTGTGATGACGTGTCGCGCCTCTCAACGTGCCATCCACAATAATAGTTCGATGAGGGAGAGCCGTTGTTTTATTCAAGAGGATTCAAGGTTAGACACCGAGTGACGAGAGGTGATCACCAGGGGGCTGCTGGCTCCGAGTCCGCTGATGGTCCACAAAAGGCTTGTCAAGTTGAGCCCTTCGTTAAAGCTCACATAATTCCGCCTTCGCCATCGGTGGGGGGCAAGTGTGAGCCAATTGCTTATCTCCGCCAACTGTCGCTCTACTTATGTATGGCACATATCCATCTGTGCTTACAGTGCCTCCCTTCTCTTCACAGATAACAACGTAAGGGTCTCGCTCTTTGGGTTACGTATGCCCTGCCCATCCACATAGTTCCCGCCTATGGTATCGAAAGAGGTTACGATAGAATTGCGAAAAATGAGGGTGTGAAGCTGGAAACAGTCGCACCCGTTTCCCTAGACCAGGGGTCAATCGCCACTGTTTCGGTGTCAGCCAACTAGTTCATCACGCCTGCCTGAATTCGTGTAGTTCAACGTTGTTGAACCAAGGGTGCAACTCTGGTATCCACCTGTGATGTAGGTATATAAGAAGCAAGTAAGCTGCCTCCCAGAAACACTGCCGTGTTTCCGACCGAAGCTATCGGAAAAAATTCATCTACTCATGTCCTATCAATTCATCCACGTCGACAAGTCGGCACCAGACTTATCCCACAATGCCAAGAAGTACAGAGATCTCCGCTTGAAAGCTTTGAAGGAATCACCCGAAGCATTCACTTCAACCTGGGCTGTAGAGTTCTCATTCGCAGACAATGTTTGGGTTTCACGCCTTCTCGATCCAGAGAAAGAAACATTCGTATGCATCTACAACAGCCCTAGCCAAGACGCAGAGTGGGTGGCCCAAGTTACATTGCGTGGACCCCTTCCCCCCGCCGACTTCGACCTTCCGCCTGAAGCTGGCCAGGTCGTCATCCCGGGAGACGAGAAATGGCAAATGTTCAGCCTTTACACATCTCTAAGCCACAGGGGGAAGAAAGTAGGCTCGCGTCTCTGTCAACGAACTTTTCAATTTCTCTCCGAGAAGCGAGCGACCCAAGCTACGAATGTTTCCTTGCGTCTCATGGTAAGACCGGACAACGAGATAAGCATCCGGATGTATCGAGGATTGGGATTCCTAGAGACTGGCAGGTGTACAGTAGAAGAAGGCCTGAGGGCAAATGGCGAAGCGGAGCTGATCCCAAAAGGTCCTCTGGGAGAAAAGTACACAAGAAGAATCGGAATCATCATGACAATACGACTCCAGGCTGCTCGCGATAATGGTGCAGCTGACATAGATGCTTGAATTTTGAAGGATTTTAATACATCGAATCCAATCAGTATTGAGCAATTGTTTCAGAATATCAAATGGCCTGTGTTGGATCTATACGGGTTTAAGAGCCGCACGTTCTTCTTGCTTGAGGCTTGGTCGGGTCGATTCCGCGTAAGAGCAAGATCTTGTGGGGTGCTTTGAAGATATTCCGAAGCTGGCTCGACCACATTCGCCGACAATTGTTTCATACGGGCGATCTAGTGAAGGCGAGAGGAATGCCCTTTCGGTTGCTACTCGACGAATCTCTGCATTTGCTAGAAACATGCTTCGTTTGGGGCATATTGTTGAATAATATCGCACATACATCTCCTTCTTGACCAAAAAGCGAACAGCATGTTCAGCCGCCGTATTAATTTAGTTAATATAGTTAGATTAGTAGAAATTGAATCATTGAATCCGCTGGCCTCAGTAGTAGTAGTAAGTGAGAGAGCTATGCAGTTATGCGGCAGCTGCTGAAAGGGTAAATTCCCAAACACCAAGAATAACAACTTGGCACCATACCCAGTATCACAACACATTAAGCTGGCCTCAGTAGACGACCTTTCTATCTACCTTTATAGATAGTTCAGGTCCTACAATCTCACTATTCCATTACTTTCAAGATGATGATGAGGTGCCATTGGCGGTAATCTATGCCACGCCTTATCTGAGTAATCCGATATTTCGACGCCTTACCAATGCCCAAATCGAGCGCCACGAGTACAATCCTACTTCTCCCATCAACAGACTGGCCAGCCTCGGTGCTTTTTCCATTTCTAGCTAGCATGGACTCCGACTGCCTTTATGTGGGCAGCACGAACCCTGACATTGCAGGGCTTGGGGTAGGTAGCAAAGCCCACCCCTTTCACGGGCGGTTGTAATTGACGAGGGCTCAGATTGTCATCGCCTTTGCATTCCAGGCAGGGATGTCGCTCGTGCTTTCCATATGGTCGTTACTACTATGATGGCGATGCGTTGAGAGCCGTTCGAAGGATATTGTCCAATGTTTACCGACGAAATGAATCTTCGTGGGTTATTCGGAAACGCATCATCGATGACCTTCTTCTGACTATTAGCGACACGCAAACTGTCAACGGTATGGCGTTTCTGTTCAGCTGGGTCTCGGTGGTCTCTTAGCCCTTTGCCAAAATTTCGGGCTAATTCTCCTCTCAAACAGGGCTGAGCCTACTCATTGCCGGCCTCGCTCAATACAAATCTTTGAGCCTGTACCACATGCACATCATATATGATACGGTTAACTTTACGGCGTATGTTGAGGTTGTTTCCGCTGAGGGCTTCATATACTAATACCCGATAATTTCCAGAATCTCAATGTGCGGCGGTCTTGCAAACGTATTTGGCCAGGACAAGAAAAGCCAAAGCTCACGTCTATGTGTTTTCTTCACCTTTGGTGCCTTGTATCTGGCTTTCTCGATCATCTTCGCTACCAAGCTGCACTCATGGGATCTGAGTGGGTCAAGCCAATGCTACAGCTACCGTCTGATCGGGGACTCAGTCTATTATCCCCCATCAGGCGGCCTCATTTACCTTGGCTGCACCTGCTGCTGGTGTCTCTGGGTCCTCATCTGCTGCGGTTCGCTCCAGTCATCCTCTATATGCAAAGGTTACCAGGAAATTCGCAATCGCCTGAACCCTTTCCTAAGAATTAGGCTTGCATTTCTTGAGAGACTTGCTGCGAGTATCGTGCTGCTGGCCACGTTGCAGTACTCCGTACACCTGTACATGGTCATTGCCCTGCGCATATCTAATGAGGGGAATCTCAGCGGCGACTCTGAAAATACCTGGGGCTTTGGGCAGATTGTCGCCTTGTTGACGGCCTTTTCTACGCTAATAGAATGTGTGAGGGGATATTCTGGTAAGCATGACTGTTTGTCTCTTTTATGCCTCTAGTTTCTAACCAGCTACTGCTCAAGATTATGTTGAAAAAATCAAACAGCTCGAGGAGGTTACTGACACAGGGGAGGCTGCCGGCATGGAGGAGGCTAGGGAGGTGAATGCAGAGGGGCGCGCCCAACACGAGGGCCCTGCCAATAGGACAAGTGCTGAAACTGGATGACACAGCATTTAGCCATCCTCACTGAAACGACTCTTTCCCTGTCACACACAATTCCTGCGACTTGATGGACTAGCTGTGTCTTGTGGCTTACACTGACTTGCCGTTTGACCAACAGCTTACATGTCTCCAACTGCAGCCTTTGGGCTTTGAGTCATTCAGGCCTACTATCTAAAAGAAACGCTATTTGTGTTCCTCCAAGGCCTTCACTCATTTTGAACAAGATGGTTAATTATATTCATCCTGAGCGCCCTAAACAATTGGGTGAGATCGCGTCTTGTTAGTATCTTATTTGAGAATGAAGAACTGCGAGATATGTGTAGATTTAGATATCGCACATGTGGAGTGTGGGAGGCAGACATTTCGATCGGTTGCAGTCCTCACGAGAAATATTTAGCATACAGTTCAGCATAACTTAGTTTATCACGCATGATTCGTTTTGCGGCAACAGTTCTTGTTTTAATATTGAGCGGTCATGGAATCTCTATGAAATTAGGAGAGACTTCCAGTGCCATAATCGAGATATCTAATAGATAATACAGATTGATTAATAAGTTCCGAAAACTCCATTAAGTGTCGATCCATCTTAGAAAATGCAACGGCTTCCATCAACATAACTAAGCGAAGTTGCAACGATCGAGGCCAGGAAGGTAAACTCAAGAGCCAGGGGCCTCATCAAAGAGGTTTAATTCTGCCTAATGCGTTACGTTCACCCCCCCTTACTAATTAGGCTAACTCGGGGGATGATGCCCTCCCTGTTCTAGTGTGCCATGTTCTCCCTCACCCACTTGGTCGATATGTGCTCATGACAGTAAGTCCGGATATCGGAGTCCTCTCTCAAAAGTTTTCCCCTCCAATAATCTTCGCTACTCGCTCTATAGTTGGACGTTTGTTAAGGGACGACAAATTGCGCTTTCTATTGGAAGGAGTTGAAACCCATTCGATTTACGTCTGGCCAATTACCTCTTTAAAACCTCGAGGGCAAATAAGAAGTGCGTCGCTCGCCCATGGCCAGAAGCCGGGCGACGGCACAGATGATGGAGGCTTCCCAACTCCGCTTCACGACATTGAATCGAATTCATTTCTCTAAGGACAAGCCTTCATCGAAATCTCTTTCATTTCATTCCTTCACCCATCTCCCGCCAGAAATCAAGCACAGGGTATGGGAGCTATCGCTCCCTTGCAGGCGACGGTTCTTTACTCTACGCCTCAATCGCGAAGCCAGTAATAAGGCAGAAATCATTCATAGCTACAAGGCATCAATAGAACAGCTACCACGCCCCATTCCGCAACTAAGTATATACGTTAAGTCTAGAAAAGTTGCCCGTCGACTCTTTCGACTCCCTCTGCTAGTCAACACCGATAGCGACAGGCCTTTGACAATTTGGATCAACCCCGAGAGTGATCACCTCTTCCTGCGCAAGTTCGATGTGGATATTACTACCTTTGCCAATTTCGTCATTGACCTCAAGCGTCCAGACCCTCAAGGAAAGGGTATCCTTCAACATCGCTTTTGACAGCTTATGCAAAACATCAGTTCCGTCGCTCAGAGCGATGAGCGCGGACCTCGCCGGTGATTTCCCAAAAAAAAACCTCACAGCCCTCAGGAGATGGGTTCTGGGACTGAAATCCATTTGGTTTCTTCCCACATGCCGTCGAATTTGACCTCTTTGAAGAAGACATACGCCCCTACCAGTCAAGCCTCAAGTCACATACTGTCTTCTACAACCCCAAAGCGGCGGTGAAGGCCTGGGAGGCGATGGAAAATGAGATGGGTATCAGCAGCGACGCAGGGCGGCAGCCCGCCCGTCAAATCTCCCACATCCTCGCCGTAACAGCAAGACAAGGTTATCTTCGCTCGGCTTCTGCCGAGGTCAGGTGTGCTAGAACCATAGATGACTACTTGCAGTTAGAGCAAGAGAGGGTGGAGGATTTCTTCAACCGCGGTGGAGGCACCTTTTTCCCTCAGTGGCGGGAGAGTGAAGAGCAGAAGAGAAATCTCTTGTCCGCGGCTGGCTTTTGGATATTTCCGCGGGGACATTTGATACTCTAGATGAGAAATTGGCAGCCAAGGCATGTCAAAATTTGAGTGATCAGCGTCCTGGGCTAGGACTGTTCAATCTCTGAATGAGGAGAAAAAGGCCCACCCCTCATACCTAAGGCTTTGCAAACAAGGTCTTTGCCGAAAAAGGCATGTTTCAACCACTATGTCGTTCCGATTGAGACCTCGCTTGTTGGCGAATCTGCTCAAAGATATTAACAGCTTCCTGCCCATTCCCAGGGGTTTTCAAGATCCTATGCCACTCTACCATCATGTTCCGCTTCCGTGGACTTTGGATCTTTGCTGCTCTGGCCTTTGGTGATGCCACAGGAGTCATCGACTGCTGTGGGAGGGCAGGTAATAATACCGCCTGTGAAAGCGACAGATCGGCCCATAATGAGCGTTGCAACCAATCCAGAAGACCGATCTCCAAAATAAAACCGGCATGAGGTCCTACAACTGCCACATCCTTCCGTATTGAGGTGGTGAAGACCATGTTGGGTATTTGACTTGACAACATCGAGGTGCGATCCGAAAATGCAGACAGCTTAGAAATATATTCCATCGAGTACTTCGCGCCAACGCCGATGACGCTGTCCCTTTTCACTTCTGGTTCGTGTCTTGATTCCGAGATAATTGTGCACCAAGGTTTGCCTTCTAAGATACCAAAGCACACGTAAAAGTCGCTCGAATAATCATTGAGTACGCATTTACAATCAACGATCCCAACCCTGTTCTCAGAATTGTATAGGAATATTTCATCCTTGCCCAAAAGCTTAGGAGGCCAGCAATCAATCACCTCAATAGCGGTGCTCTGTAGCACAATTCTCAACCGCGCTGGAGAATCGTGCGATGGCGGGACTACATATGATTGAAGTCCCTGGCTATCGACGCCGACCTGCCCAGCTGGGTGACAAAATATCTTCTCGAGTCGAAACTCGCGTAGAATGGACTTGTCAACGCCCACCAACCAAGAAGAATTGTAGCGTGCTTCTTGAGCAGAAGATTCCCCAGAGGACGGATGCAGTGCGAGACATAATAGCCGGTCGTCCAACTCACAATATATCCAAGCCAGAGCAGGGAGAGAAGCATCGTCCTCCCTCTTTACTGGAAGTGTAAGGCGGAGGCCACGGCTAGTGATCTGTGGAGGTTCTGAGGGGATAAGTTCGAAAGAGCTGACGGAGTGATGAAATGCTTGTTGGGATAGTCGCTTATAGTCTCGCAAGCGCACAGGCTGATACGGGAGCAAGGAAACCTCATCCTGACCATCCTCAGCCAAATCCTGAGGCATTGATTCGAGTGCTTTATAGGCGATGCTCTTTCTAGCCCAGTCATCGTTGAACTTGTCGAGAAAGGAGGGTGGGTGGATAGCCAATTGAGATGAGGTTGCGAACTGCAGGGGTGAGGAAGCCAGAACTCCCCAAAGACACTCCCCCAAATGGGCCTCAAGTGTCCAAGTGAAAATGCTATAATCTTCTTCTTGCTGCAAAATTTGCTCTTGGAGTCTGATGAAGGACCTTACTCCCTCTCCATAGAGAAGCGGCATGTTGACATTAAACAAGCCTAGTAAGCAGTAGGCCATGTCTTCCTCTCTGGTAGTGCTTCTTCTGGAGGCCCAAGATAACCTTTCAGCCACGTTGCAGCTCTGGGGGCTTTGGCCGTGAAGGATCGGAATTGGGATGCCTGTAATGTCAGATATGTAAGGCGCGAGGCTTCTTTTTGTGCCAATCTCAGTCCAATCTGCGGCATAGAACTCGACATATGGCGGCGCAATCAGTTCCTGTAACGTCCATCCTCTCGTGAACCAGCGGCTTTGGGGAAAGTTGGCAGTAACGAGGCGGTTTGCCGGATAGGCCGTTGTCCATATTGGTGGAATATGCTGGTTGATCTGCTCGCCTGTGACTAGAACGTCTTGTAGGTAGACATAGCAGACGGCAGACTGTTTGTACCATTTGTACATGGAATTGATAGCCTCAGAGAGCTCGGCGCTGCTTTCCTTGTTGATACAGCAGGTGTCGACCCAGGCCCAGTCAAGATTGCCGACACGCTTTGCCATCTGGCAAAAGTCGCTCACCTTGCCATACCCCTTCTTGGATGGGGCGGACCCATTGAGGATATCGGCATACAACACCTCATCATCCCCCCAAGTATGGCTAAGAATAGCATAAGATGGGATGCTGGACCCAAAGAATTCTTGGAGCTCTCCAGACGATGTGTTGATGAGTCTCATGATGCCCCTGCCTCTGCCCGCCCACTGTCGCGCGTACGGAGGCCACGCAATGAGGCCACGCGTGAGTGCCGCGTGTAACGAGCCGAGTCTCGCGAGTTGGACTAAGACATCCAACCGGAATCTCTACCGCACCATTTTGATGGCCTTAAGAGTACTCTTGGTCGCGATAGCCGAGTTCAAGAGGAGAGTCATGAGACGCGTGCAGTACAGCCGGTGATTAGCCCCGGCCAACAGCTACAACTCCAAGCCTTAGAAGGTGGTCAATGCACATATACCCTTGATGGGTGCTTAGCGAGGTATAAGGCATGCTTTAATTTCTCGCAATAGTTATCATCAAGGTGTGCCCTTCTGGGCTTCAGTGCAAGCCAGAGTTTTCTTTAATATACTTTATCTAATATATCACAGGGAAATCCATGGCCCATCACAATCACAAACGTCTCTTCAATATCCAACATAGCAGAAACTACACTTACTTAGCCGGTATAAACCCTTTTGATCAAAAGATCAGAAGAAGAACTGAAAGCAAACAACCAAATTAAATTTTATCTTCCCGGATGGATAAAAGAGTAAGCTTATTTCATTCCTGGCTTGCAAATGGTACCCGTCGGAGGAAGCGTGCCGCCGTCGAAATATCTTCTGATAGCTTGAATGATGCATTTAGATGGGTGGTTCATAACACCGTGCTAAAGCAATAAGAATCGCATGTCAGCTTTTTAGTTGCACCATAGATTCAAACAATCAGCAAGGAAGTGTACAAACGGGGATACTCACACCAACTCCATCATGGAGAAGAAATCCGCTCCCTTTAAATCGAGAAGCAGATGTATATGCACCCACAAGCGGAGTGACAGGGTCGTATCGAATATTAGTGAAGAGGATTGGCTTGGAAGTCTTCACATCCAAAATCTTGTTGGCATCCATCATTTCCGAAGCTTTAAAGGGCCATCTCGTACAGGCGAGGCGGCGGATGGCTGAGAAGTCGGCAAAGGAGTTCTGAGCCAAGCTGGTTTGAACCATAGGATAGAGATCATCTACCGACTCGACCCGGTATGGTGAGTCTCCGCAGGAGATGGCAAACGTTGAGTGCCTGCCCAAGTTCCACGGACCCCAAATATCAGTTTGGGGCTCTTCCATGATTCGTTTCCATTCGCCATTAAATGCCGCCTGGAGAATTTCAGGGATTTTCCCCATGGTGGCGGGAGAGTATAGGTTTGTGAGGATTAACTCTTTCAACTTCCTGGCTACAGTCGTCTGGCCAAGTTGCACGTCGATGGCTTCCGGCACCTTGGCGTCCAATGGCACTGTGACATTTGCAGCCTCCTCAAAGAGCTTCTTTGTTGATTCCATCAAGCTGTCCGGTGTAGTGTCCTTGCCGTTGTGAGTGGCAAGAGCACATCCATGGGGAGCTTTAACACAGTAGTCAAAAACAACTTTGAGGAGGGCTTCGGTGTCCCGTGTTTGAGTCAACCATGTGCCGCTCAAGTAGTCATCTAGTCTGGGAATGCTATCAAGCAGCATCCTGTCAAATCGATCAGGGAACATGGCCGCAAAGTACTGGCCCAGTATCGCACCATAGGACACGCCCCAGTACTTGAGCCTCCCGCCCTCTTGGAGGCTGTCAACGATGGAAAGCATATCTCTCGCTGCTGTAACCGTTCCCATATGTGAACCATATTTCCGCATGCTGGCTTCGCAGTCACTTGCAAAGTTGCCGAAGTCGTCCGACATCCCTCCTTTGACCTCTCCCCATAAATCTTGCTGCGGTAGGATATCATGTGGTAACGGGTAGTTGATCCCTCGACGGCTTTTTGTAGATTCACTCTTCTGACAAGTGAATGGGATCGTCCGGCCAGTGCCACTTCCGCTGGTTAGTTCACAATAAATCCCCAAACACAGTAGTTAGCTTACCGAGGATCCCATGACACCAAGTCATACTCTCCGCCAAGGACTCTGCATTCCGACGGTCAGTTTGTGGTCTTTGGATGCTTTTATTTCTCAAGGGGCTCGTACTCTTGGTAAAGCTTTCCTGCAGTGGTAACAAATTGTATGCCGGAGAGACCAGGCCCTCCTGGATTCAGCAGCACACTACCTTTGGATGGCTGTGCGGTCGCTTTGATTCTGATAAGTGTTAGATCAATCTTTTCTCCACATTTGTCCTGGTAGTCGAGAGGCACGGGTAGCTTAGCACATTCTGAAATATTAAGGAAGGTCTTCTCATATTCCTCCAACTCCAAATTACCGCATGGTGCCCATTCCAGTTGGGGCGTCTTTGAGTTGATCAACCTTCTCTGCACCTGGTTTAACCCGAAGGCCTGAGTACAGTTGCTCAGGAGAAAAATACTAGAGCAGGCTCTCTCTAGTTTCATATTTGAGTTGAATAGGTTTGTGGGGAAGGGAGAGGGCAGTGTATGAGATCAGTTGATAATGGAAAGAATCAAAGCATTTGATACTCGTCGTTTGAAATCCCTTTCACTCTTTATATCAGCATGAAATATAAAGTTATATGTATTATGTATACGCAGGCCCTATTTCATCATGCACGATGCTTGGCCTGGCGCATGTCAGCAGCCAAGACCATGGCAAACAGGGTTAAACCGTTACAATCTTCCTGATTCGGACAAAAGAACAGCACCAAGTAATTAGCGAAGTTTTCTCACTAGCTTCAGACGATCGATTGGATCCATGTCAGCTTCGGAATGTATGAAGTTCTTCCCTTTATAGCCTTTTTTGGGTGAAGTTGACAGGCCTTGGCTGCTACACTGCCACCGTAGTTTGGAGCAGATGCACGCAAATATAATAGGAATCATTACCATCAGCGCCCCCATTGGTTGTAATTGGCTACCAAGGTAGACGCTCGCATTTGCTTGACTACTTCGGGCGAAAGAGCGCTTTGCGGAGTGGCCCAGCCTTCTCCATCAATCGAAATATCCAATGGATTAATATCTCCATGCCATACTACAAGCGGCTTGTCCTATGACTTCACTCTGGTCTTGTTGGGTCTTCCAAGCAACTTGTCAATATGAGTGCAGTTGAAACATCCATTTTGATACTCATACATACATAAATCAGGGCTCATGAAGATTCTAGTAGTTGGCCTATTTGCTCTCCGGGCCGCTGAAAATCCCCTCCTCGGTCACTTTGGTCTCAACCTTCATCCCCCACGGATCTTTGTCTCCCGCCCAATTCTTCTTCTTTCCAGCTTTACGAACCTTCTTGATGTTGTCGTCTATCACCTTTTTAAACCGTGACGGATCATTTGCAACCTTTTCAACAGATACGGTCAAGATGAGCCCTTCCTTGTTCTGCTTCTTGCCCAAATTCCATGACCAGTCTGCTGACAGCAGCACCTTGGGCTTGGATGCGTGTATCTTCCCCGTCGGATAAAGGCATGTTAGCAGATACCCAATGCGCCCTAGATACTGCGCCCACCACGCATCCTCAGAGCTGATGATGGATTTGAGCGACTCCCGGAACTCGACCTCCCTCGGTGGAAGCTCCCCGCGATACCTCGCCTGCAGCATCAACGCCAACCGGGCGCGATCTTGGTGCGACACGCCATGCGTCGACGACATGATGCCCGTGCTTGTTGAATACAACGCTGCCGTGGAAGCCGTCTCCTTGGACATGAACATGTGTGCGTACATCACATTCGCAAATGCATCAATGACGTGCCCGCCAAAATCGGGAGGGAACCGCCTCGTCCCGTCCTTTGAGGCCTTCGGTATACTGCTCCGGATATGGTCCTGGATCTGCCGCCGTGACCCAGGTGCAAAGCTCCGCGAGGCCACTTCCAGCGGGGCCTGCTTTCGGACGGAGGACGACAGCTGCCGGAAGAGATAGCCTTCCCTCACGCCGCCCTGGCAGAAATGGGCTTCCTTGATGCCGAGCGGGATCGCCTCTGCTAGCACGTTGACCAGGAAGGCAACGGCGGGAACCTGGGATCTCCGCCGGTCAGACACGCGGAAGATCTCATGGGCTGCTTTGGCGACTTGCTTGACCGCCTCTGTGTCCTGGAACTGTTCCCTCCCGACTGTGTACCCGTTGATGATGGATATCGGATACTCTCGACCGTGCGTCTGGTTGAGATACAGCAAGAGATACCCCCATCCTCTAAAGCCACCGCCCGACAGATAAATACGAAACCCACCCTCCCTCCTAGCCTCCTCGACCAACGACTCCGGTATCTCCAGCTTCTCATAAGCCTCCCTAAAGTTCCGCACCATCTCCTCGCGGAACTCATCCACGGCGCGCTGAGCCTCCTGCTTCTCCTTCCCCCGCCGGATCTCCTGAAGCCGCCTCGTCAACGCTGCCGCGCCATAGGGAAAACTAAAACTCCCCTGCGAACTCGTCCTGATAGTCCCGTTCTTGCTGATGATCCACGTAATCTGCGTGCTCCCGCCGCCCAGATCCATCACCAGCCCCCCCATGGTCAGGAACCCACTCGCGATCCCCAGCGCGCCGACCTGCCCCTCCTGCTCCTTCTCCAGCAGCTCGACCTCGAGCCCCGTCGCATCCTTGATGGCGTTCAGGAGTTGGACCGAGTTTTGGGCCACGCGCGCCGCCTCCGTTGCGACGACGTGGATCTGGTCGCTGGCCACGCCGAAGTCGACGCAGATGACCATGAAGCGGCGCAGGGCGTTACACACGGCCGTGATGACGTGGGCCGGGATGGGGATGTGGTCGCCCGTCTTGTCATCGTACTGGGCGTCGTAGAGGGATATAGAGGAGCGATAGACGAAGACGGTGGGGATGATCCTGGCCAGGGGGGCGGACAGGTCCGAGATGGAGAATCTGATTCCGTTGCTGCCGTCATGATCGCCGCGTCGGCTTCATGGTCAGCAAATGAGCTGCTTCAGTCTAGTCCGGGGGAGGATGGTTTTTTACTGCTTTGGGGGATGGGGTAACTTACCTTCCCATATCAACGAGGCCTACCAATTTGCCCCTGTGACCTTGCCAGGGTGGATGCCCGTATCGTAGCTCATTGGGCATCAAAAGAAAGGATTCATCTTCGGATTGCGGGGGAAGAGTCGGTGAAAGGGAGGGAGAGGAGGAGGCAGAGGGTGAAGATGATGGCGCGGTATCTTCTGACTCTGAAGGGTGCTCGATAAATTCAAAGTCGGAAAACTCCGAGTCGCTTTCCATAATTCAAGACGCCCGTCAGTATGATAAGTGTTAAAGGGCTGGGATGTGTTGCCGATGATCTATTAGTCTGGGGTATATCCACGAGCTGCAGGGCCAAAAGAAAGATAATAATAAAAATGCGATAACAAGAGCAATCGGCAGTCTACGAGATTAATAAATATCTATGAGAAGCAGCAGCTGCTCTGTGCTGGAACCGGGAAAGATGAGGGCGAGTCTCGTGCGTGATGTCAGCCGCCACTTCAGCCATGTCTTGAATTGGTTCGTGATTTGCAGTGTGACTGGCTCATGAGCCGTTGGCCCCATCCTTCGATTCTCCTCATTGTTAAAAGCACCAAATTCGGGTTGAAAGAGCTGCGTGAAAGGAACCAGAGCCCTGACAAAATCTTTGTGGGCTTGGTTTGTCTCAATGGGAGGAGGGACCTGGGGCAAACAATGAAGATGCTTGCTCGGCGGTGTCGCTCGCTGTCTCACCATGATGTAAGTATGTGTGGTGGATGAATCACTTGCATTGGAGCTATGACTGTGTCTTATTAATGGGAGGGGGCCTGAGAGCGGCCTCCAATGCCAATCCTCCCAGTCTCTGATATCATCCTTTGCGAAAGTCCAAGTCATGTCTCTTCGAAGAAAGTAAGGCCATTAACACCTCAGTCAAGTCACCGTCCACAAGATGCGACTCTGCATGATCAAAATGGCGCAGATTGGTTTATGGTCACTCACGGCGGGCAGGCTCATTGTCCCGGCCTCCAGATACAATCAAGCGAAATCTTCTTTGTTATCCCATTTTTATTTTCCTTTTGTCCTGTAGTCTATTTAGAAGATGGTCACTCACATCCCGTCTATTGCTTTCCCAGTGTCTGCCCCAACTCGTCCGCGCGGTGCGTCGCCGCCTTGACCGACTTATCCACGATCTGCTCAAAGCCCTCGGCCTTGAAGGTCTCCAGAGCGGCGTGTGTCGTGCCGTTGGGGCTGGTGACGTTCTTGCGGAGCTGCGCAGGGTCGTCGGATGACTCCACGAGCATCTTGCCGGCACCAAAGCAAGTCTGGCTGGCCAGCCGGGTGGCCTGGTCCCTCGGCAGGCCCAGCGCAACGGCACTGGAAATCAGGTGCTCGACCATGTTGAAGAAGTAGGCCGGGCCAGAGCCCGAGAGCCCAGTGACGACGTCGAGGAGCTCCTCCTTGTCAACCCACTCGGTCGCCTTGCTGACGCTCGCCAGCAGCGCAGAGACAAGCTCCTTCTCGTCCGCGGTGATATCCTCGCTCGCAAAGAGGCCCGAGGCGCCCTCGCCAACCAGCGCGGGCGTGTTGGGCATGACGCGGACCACGTGTGCCGTTCTTCCGTCGCTCGTCTTGGACCAGTTGCGCAGGCTGTCGAGGGTGATGCCGGCGGCGATGCTGACGATGATGGGGAGGGTGGTGCGCGACGACCAGGCGGCCCCGAGCTCCTCGGAGACGGTCTTTGTGACTTGGGGCTTGACGGCGATGATGACGATGTCGGCGTCGCCGGCGGCCTCGACGTTGGAGGTGGTGGTGCGCACCCCGGTGGCGGCGAGCTTGTCGCGGTTGACCTCCCAGGGCTCGGAGACGTAGATGTTCTGCTTGTTGACGCCCTTGGCAATGAGGCCGCCGATTATGGCGCCAGCCATGTTGCCGCCGCCGATGAAGGCCAGCTTGCTTTCTTGGAGAGCTGGAGCCATTTCGTAGAGCTGTTGCCGGTCGCGGGAGAGAAGGTGGGGAGAGGGAGTCTGAGGGCTCGCACGGTCGCGGAGAGAGGCGGGAGCAGAGCTGCAGGAGAAGTGTCGTTTCGGTTCGAGACGTCGAGGATGGCGGTGGCGATGGCGATGATGATAAATAATGGTTGGATTGGGTCCTGCGTCTTGTCGAAAAACTTGTCGCCGTGGCCAGTGGTGAACGACCCCGCGATCGGAGGGGCCACTGGCACTGATAGCACTGATAGCGGTCATGACAGTGGTTTTGGTGGTTATCGTCGGCTCAGCAGCGGGGCACCTCAGGCGGGTCTGTCGCTGTGGAAGCGCTCTCAGGCCACCGATTACGCATCTCCCCACCTGAACACCACCGTATGGCACCAAGGTCAGTGTTATCGCTCCGTTTAGACGCGGCTCGCAATTCTGAAAGTAATCTCCCGCTCTTAGATGTCCTTTACTTGCCATTTTGAGAATCTGTCAGAGCCCAGGGTCGGCAGATGATTAATGACGCATCTGGGGGGGAGCCCTCCATTGTCTTCCTTGCCTGCCTACCCTAGAGCACAACCAATGAAGGCTTCAGTTCGATATTGGGTAGATAGTGAAGAATGGCCAATGATCGCTTAGTATCTCGTGCGCGTCTCTCAAATGAAGGGCAATTCTGCGGTAATATCTATTCGGGAGCATTGCCGCAATTTTCAGGGTCTTTTCCAGTAGACCGGACGCCCCCCACACCGACCAGCTCCCATCCACCGTTGGACTGACTCTCATTCCCCGCACGAGGTGTCCTAGCTCCATCTTCACCAGTAATTTAGGGATCTGTGTGCAGCATCCAAAGTTCTTACATTATTCAAAAGTACAGTTCAAAATTATTCGTACATTGTCAAACAAGTTCCAAATCCCCGAGCAGAAATCACCCTACGGATCAGATGCCCGGAATAGATCTCGTATTATCGTGAACTATTTCTTCATGTGGAACACCTCCTTGACCTTGTCTCCGATCTTGGATGTGCTGGATTTTCGTCCTTGAGGGTGCTTCTGATCGGACGATGATCCGAGACCACCGGCTGGGTCTTCTCCAGAATCAGGTTGCGTCAGGTTATGGCCAGGATGAGCCTATGCTTTCATGAGAACTGACCAGAACTTGGAGCGAGTAATCAGTCACTTATGAGAGGCAACCTACCTTCTGCTCCTCCTCCTCTGCATTGTGGATGAGATCATGTGTCTCTCGGGCAACTTCGTCTGTATATCCACTCATGGTGTTGATGATTTTGATTTAAAATATGTTGACTGATTGAATTTCTTTGTGTCTGGATATAGAGTTTGACAGGCACAGACAAGACCGGGTAGCTATATACCTGAAGGGGAGCGTACGCTATTTCGTCATGTCATGTGCTTTTAACGTCATGAGGTTACCAGCAACATTGATAATGGTGAGGGGGAATATTAGGTTTGTATGACCCCGCCGCTTGGATCGGCAGATGATAAACCTCTGCGCCATCATATTGGGCCATCTTCTCCAAATACAACGCCATGCTGGCTGGAGGAGGGTGCATTGATGTCGCGGGACCAATTGATTTCAATCAGGACTACATCATCGTGCCTCTTGCGGTATGGCCAAACTCTGATGATCATTCCAGACCACGATGGGTGAAGCCATTTTCCTGTCAACCTTAGATGATATCACCCATACTTTTGAATGTGTGATTGGCTTAGAGAGATCATTCTAAGCCTATTTTGCGTCATTTCATGCATGGTACCAATCGCGAAGCTATTCGGAGTACGGTAGCAACGGCCTGGATTCTCCGAAGGAGTTCGTCATTCATCCACGCACATAATTGACTTCAAGTAAAGAACGAATTTCCGCGACTCATCTAGAACGAAACATGGAATGTTTCACTCTGGATTTCACCCTTGCCACGGAGTATTCCTTTAGAAGATAGATGCAACATCTAAACTGGCCGTCAGGGGCAACAGTCTGCTGACTATTTGATGTTTGAAAATCAATGCCATCCCATGACCGTTTGAGAGAATACTTAGACTGAAGAGTCCATCTATTCCACACTTATTAGGCCACGATATCATTGGTTTCTCTCAGCACCCGTAAATTCCGGGGTCCGCACTCGCGTTAGTAAGTACTAATTATAGAAAAGGTATGAGAAGGCATTGTCCTCAGCCATATTCCCCAGAGTCAAAGCTCACTAGATTCTCTCTATTATCACCCAATCAAGTCTACGGAACCATACCAGAGGAGGCGGGGACGAACTAACCAGGCTGCCGATGATATTCATGTACGTATCCCGATTCATGCCCCTCTTGCCCTCCCCTCCCAACTATTCTCAAAACTAGCTTAGACCAACACTTAGCACCCGAGCTCTCACGTGGACGGGAGCCGGGGCCTGAGGGACTCCGAAAGACCCGGCACAGTTTTCTAGCACGCTTCCCTGCAAACCAAAGAATATGGACCTACCTACATGTAGTTAAGGTTGATCAAGTTTCGAAAGCGAAACGCAATTCGAGAGTGACGGCGTCGATACAATACTCTCGTTAGTACCTTCACTTAGATTAGAACCTCACCGTATGTTTGCCAAGCAGGGACTTGGGATGACTGGACGGCAGGTTTGGACCGAAAGATCGGACTTGTCAGATGGATCAACCAATGGCTGATAACGGTGGGGCCATCTTGCATGCCTCGATGGATGACAAGCACGCCTTATCTGATGCTTAAATAGAAAACTCGGTCTGAGGAGCAAGGAGATTCAGGCCGAGGACAATTGAACGGAAATTTCCCGCATCACCATTGGTCGACAAGTCCCGAGGCGGAGCTGTTGTTCACGGAAACCCCACGGCCGCGCCGTGATTCGCCATCAACTCCCGCTTCCACCTGCTTTCGGAGGTTAGACTTTCCAACTTTACTCACTTGGCTCCGATAGTTGGCCCTCCTCAAAGTTCTTTACTGGACTATTTCAGCCCAGCTGACCAATGACCAATCCCCCCCACGCATTGTGAATTCCTCGTATGCGAGTTTCGCTTTCCTGTTTCTTAATGGGGATAAGGAACCCGCCGCTGGGCTAGTTGACATCCCCGGCTCATTTGCTTCTAGATGGCCGGCTGCAGTCCCGGCTCCACCGGTATCGGGCGAGGAGCTTGTCGGAAATGGAGCCGTTAGGGAGCCAGCCACACCGTGAAAATCTATATCAGTTGGGTTTCAACTTGGATGAGGCTTCGGGCCCTCCAGCAGGATACTACTAGCTCTTTAATCTATCTGAATATCAACACGTGTGGTTCTTCGTCCCATCTTTGTCCCACCTTCACCCAATCTCTTCATTACACTAGAAGAGTTTGCCATGTCCATCGTAGAAGAAGAAAATCCTGGAGCCACCAATTCTGGCGAGAAAAATGTTGTGCGGGAGGTGACGGTGGAGGTTGAAGCCCAGAACGAGCGGCCCATGACAATAGCCGCTGAGAAAACTGCGAGAGGGTGGATGATCGCTCTTGGTTCATTTCTAATCCTGATTCCATCATATGGTACGCTATTTGGCTCTATCATTTCCAAGATCACCGGACAATCGTGAGACAGAGATTGACCATGTTCTAGGTTTCATGTTGGCGATTGGTGTTGTCCAAGCCTACCTACACGCCAACCAACTATCAGATTACACAACCCGAGACATAGGATGGATTGCAGGAATGTTTACGTTTCTCGCTCTCTTCCTCGGTATTCAGGCTGGCCCTATTATCGACTCCTTTAGTGTGCGCCTTCTTGCACCCATCTCCGTTGCTATAAGCCTTCCTCTGTTCTTCCTCTTAGCCGAATGCACACTGTACTGGCACTTTATGCTCTGCATCGGAGTACTCGGTGGCCTCAGCTCAGCCATCACCGCGACCCTGGGTGTTGCTGTGATAGGAAAGGTCTTCCTTGAATACCGTGGATTGGCAATGGGTGTGGCCTTCTCTGGTTCCAGCCTGGGTGGTGTCATCTTCCCCTTGATGCTCCGAGCCACCCTCCCGAAGTGGGGTTTCGCGTGGTCGATGAGGGCTGTGGGGTTCGTGAGCACTGCGCTGCTGGTCCTGGCAACCGGCTGTCTGTGGCACTGTGACAAGTTGACTCTCATGGACAGCAACGAGCCGCTGGTCAACGGCGACATCCCCGACACTGTTGTCGGCGATCTAACACAGGTCACTTCCCACAGATCACGCGCCGATGCCCCTAAGCCCAAGAAAATGGCCATGATCAACTTCTCCGCCTTCAAGTCTCCTCCATTCTGTCTTTTGACGGCATCCATGCTGCTTCTGGACTTTGTCATTTTTGGAGTGGCTGGTCTTCTTCCCACAATGGTATCCATCAATGGATTTGGTGACGAGACGGGATATTATCTGGTTGCCATTCTGAACACATGTTCCATCGTTGGTCGCCTCTTGACTGGAATAATCGGCGACCGCTTCGGCCATTTCAACGTTATTATCGTGACAGTCGCCTTGACTCTGGTCTGTACCGCCATCACACTTCTCCCCTTTGGAACGACACATGTCCAAGCTCTCTACGCCTTCTCTGCCCTCTGGGGTTTCGGGTCCGGCTCATTCCTCCCTCTACTTCCAGGTATGTATCATGTCCTTCATGGGCCCTATATAGAAATCACCTAGTGCTAACGTGTATCTATGTAGTGTGTATGGGGAAGATCTGTGATCCCAAAGAGTACGGACGTTATTTCGGCACCATGACTTTTGTCAACAGCTTCGGTCTGCTCATTAGCGTCCCCATTGGCGGCCAGATGCTCGACACCATGGGCCCCACGGCCCTTTCAGGTTTCTACGTTGCCGTCATATTCCTCGGTGGTGTTGCCATTGTTGCGGCGAGAGCTCTGCTGATTGGAACATGGTTCGGATTTAAAGAGAAAATCTAAGCCGGCATATCTATCAATATGGTATCTTTCAAGTGACAAACCTACATAAATCACGGGGAAAGGAGGAACAATTTGTTCATTCTGGAATCATGAGAGAAGTTGAAAAATTACTAATTACGAAAAATTAATAAGGCATAAGAGCAAGCGTTTGGAATCAACAGAAGGTTTCCTTCTTGGCGGGACTTGACATGCATATGATCCCCAATCCACATAGTTATATGACATAATATCACGAAGTAAATCTAGAAAGCAGCAATATGTGATGTTCGAAGCAAGTGGGAAGTTTGAAACGATTTCTTAGGGGGAAGGCTTGTAACATCGTAATCGGGGCGCTCATGGTAGACCGATATCATTTTCCAGTATAAGAAGGCATCAATAGGCAGAAAATGGCCATATTTGCCTTTAGAACACTGCTTTTGGTTACAAACCCTGAAATCTTTAGTTACAAGCCACCAGCCCAAGACGGATGGTGGTTAGACGGGCACTCAAGTCCACAAAGCGAGCATATCCACCAGCGAGGACCTCGAGATCCCAGAGCAACCCGGCAATAATAGCAAACAAGAGGCTCGTCAGATGCTGCTTCCATGTCCACATTCCCTGGCTGTTCCATCATCTCACGCCGCTCTTCAATCGGCCTGTCCATACAAAGTGCGCAAACAGTAGCGCTCTGCATCGTTATATTCTGCGACTCCAATTCGGGATGGCCCGCCTTGACTGCCAAAGAACAATTGGGTTTATGCTTGCCAAGTTCCAAAGCTTCAGGGCCGTGCCATCGGCAAATATCCAGGAAGAAGCATCTATTGCAATAGGCTTGGCAGCTGGATCTATGTTGTGACCTGAGCGGTTCTCGAACCATCGTCTTGGTCCAGCATGACTACAAACACATGGACACGTTAGCAAGCCGGCCACTGTGAAGCCGTAGCCGTAGCTCACCTCACAACATTGGCTATTACAAACGGAACATTTCGATATGCTCCCTCTGTCGCAAGCGCGCTGGCGAAGGTGGTTGAGGCGGTTTTTCACCGTGCCAGCTTCACTGCCGAAGAATAAGTCGCGAAGTCGTTTCGACGATCGGCTGACTCGTACAAGATCCGCGTAATGGAGGGTTTGGGCAATTATCTCGACAACTTCCAAGGGCAGTGTAGAGCTGTCTGTTTTATTATTCCTTCGCATCCAAAAACTCCAAGCCATGTTTTTTCGCTTGAATCTGGCCTGCATTTGCATTCGGAGAACCAGCTTGTATGTGAATCTTATGAGGAAACGAGTCGACGCCACCGTATAATCTAAGGGAATCAGAACTGGAAGAAAATATTATAAAGGGGTTAAACCCCTATAGTTCTACTCTGATAAAAGTAAGTACTAACTATTAATAGTAGTATAGAGTAGATAGTTAAAAATAGGTATTAAAAGGGAGAAATAATTACTAAACCTAGTACTAAATAAGCTAACTAAGCCTATAGTAATATTAATAATTCTATAGATAAGATATAAAATACTAAATAGAAATAAGTACTATTAAGGGAAATCTAAAGCAGGGTTCTACTTATATTACTATAATACCTATAATCTAGTTTTAGATTAATTTATAGTATAGATTACTTAGTTTAGAACTAGTATATTTATCTAGAGTAGTAAGCTTAATAAAATAGTTCTTATTACTCTCTCTAAGCTTTTATTATTTAATACTTATATACTATCTATAGCTTCTTAGTAAATATATAGACTTCTTTAATATCCTAATAATTAGAACTAGTACTAATAGTAGATTAACTATACTAATTAATCCTAATTATATTTCTAAGTAAAGAGTAGAGGGAATAAAGAGTATAAAGTTCTAAATAAAAGTTACTAATTCTTATTAATTAAGTATTAGATCTTAATAGATAAATATAAATCTTAGTATATTAATCTAGATAGTAAGATAGCTATATACTATTCTACTTACTATTTATAGATCTTCTTAAAATTAAAGTCTATTTAGGATAGAGTTAAAGAGATTATTATCCAGCTTTAGTATATTATTTTAATAACTAAGCCCTCTAGATCTAAGGATTCCTATTAGAATATAGCAAATAAACCGAATAATACAAGAAGGGACCCCGGCCATAATTTCGAAGCTGTAGATATGACCCAGCCGAAAGGGAGAAATTCACTGTGTAGTGTCTAGAGATTCTAGTGAAGACTCGCACAGCACTTGACGGCTGTAGCATGCGATGAACTACATAAGGGCTGAGCATTATGTATATCAAATTGGGAGCTCTCGTGAGCTAACCAGCAACCGAAACACAAATGTGCCATGGTTCCAGCCTTGCGGGATGGCTAAGTCCAAGAGGTTCACTATTTGCATCGCACAAGTGCGTAGCGGCTCGGGCGCAAGGCAGCATGCTGGTTATTTTTGTGGTTAGCGGGTTCATATTAATCAATTTATTAAGCATCTAACATGCGCTGTACGCCTATTGTTTTCAGCTGGAGAGGCGGAGTCACAAACGAGCAACACGATGTGACGCTGCGCCCCGCTTCATAGGGCGATTCTTTCTTCCCAAACCATTGGCGAGTGCTCATCAGTCCATCTATTCTATGAATGGATCTGCTACCTATCCTCGGATACCCTCCTCTTCCGCTCAAGGCGCCGAGGTGGCAATAGGGCTTGACGTGGTGGAAGACTAATTTTCCTGCCTGATGAAACCACTCGATGATCCAAAGGACAACCCTAATTTGATCTTGGATGTATTTATTTATTTCGAAAAAAAAAAAACCAAAAAAAAAAAGTAATTCTTTTTTCCCGTGCCTTATTGTTATGAAACACCGCAACAGCAGAAAAGCCACAGAGTAAAAGATGCCTCCCTATACAATTCTAAGTTCAATGTCCTGACTTAGGTACTAGGTAATTAAGCACAGCTATGTATTTTAACTTTCGGAAATAACGAGCAAAGTTCTGCCAAGCAAAGCTTTCTTATGCCTGTCCACAAGCTAGGCGGCTATTGCTCATGTTATAAGAGCAGTCCAAGGACGATTTCCATGACCAATTTGAACCAGAGTAGTCACCTCTTTCCACCAAAACTCGGAGTCATGGGCCAAAAACACAGCAAACCGTCCCGAAACCTGGGCAATACCGGCAGCGCTCAAGGTAAGAAAGCCAAGTAACAAAACCCTGGCTCACACTGACCTTTGGTTCCGTCTGCAGCTAGGCCAAATCCCCCACCACCAGATCAGCCGCCTCCAGCATATGATGCTTGCGCGAAAGCGACATGGTTGCCCCGAGAACATGTTCTGACCATCATCGAGAGCGTAAATCTAATCATGAAAGAGGTGGTGGTTGAGCTTGATGGCGAGCTCAATTCTCCTGATGTACTCGTGGCCGCGGGCCATATTCGCGAGAGCTGTACAGTGGCTGCCAGAACGGTTACCAGAACCAAGCTACCAAACACGACCTCCGAGTTTCTGTTCGATGATATCAAGAAGTGCCGTGCGGAACTTGTGGAACTAGGTTGCGTTCTTAAAATGGGTGTAGCAGAGGACAAACGAGTGGCAGTCATCCTGATCCTTGCCAATGCGGTGACGAAGGCTGCATACGGAGCCAAGTCAGATAGTCAGGACTACCGAACAGCGGTATGGGCTGCTCTGATAGGTAGATTTATGCACGAGCTTGCGGCGGGATTTGCTATTAAGAAGTGGGAGAAAATACATGGGGCTTGGCCATCTAAAGTTGGTGTCTTGCACCGGGGATTTGTTTAGCATATATCAGTGTAGTAGGCAAACTCATCCAAGTCCGTCCTCTCAGGTATAGTCACATATTGATCGTGATGAGCATGTGCCTATATGAATACAGGTAATGATCACACCAAGATTGGATGCGTTGAACGCAAAGAGTGAGGGTATGCCTCGGAGGTGAGAACTACTGGTGCTTCTCAGAGACGGAAGGTGGAATAGCAGAAGGAAACAACCTGATAGCAGGTGATCTGGAGGATCCTCCCAGTTTTTATTGCCATGAATGCCCCATTTAGAACTTCTATTGCACTTGCTGACAGTCTACAATCTACCCAGCTAGCTACTATGAATCTAGGTATCCTCCCGGCGGCGTACTTGCCAGGGCAAAGGAGAATCTCGCGTCTCAAACTTCCCTATGGATGATTTACACGTCATCCTGAATGGCGAACTTCTCAAACTGCCCGCTTAGAGACTGCGTGGGCGAATGGGATAGAATCTTAGCACTTGGATTCGGAATTTGGACCTTGCACATTCCCAGCCATATTTTCTCTCTCATGTTTCTTATCAAAAGCTCCTTTCCGCCTTAGAGAATCTCTGTATCTATTGCGTCAACCCTCACTCCTGCCCTTTCGTGTCACCCAAGCAAGGGTAGTCAGGTAGGTGCAAAGGCAGCAACTGGTTCCTGTCAACTTGATCCGCGACTGCCCATTTCATGACCTCAGATGAATATGACTTTCTGGTATCTTTCTTTGCCTGGATCTCCCTCCTCGACCACACACACACACACACAATCCCTCTCTCTCTCGCCGCCGCAGCAGCAACAGCAACCTCAGCAGCAACAGCACCAGCAACAGCCCCCAGCAGCAACAGCAGCATCAGCAGCAACAGCAGCACCAGCAGCACCAGCAGCAGCACCAGCAGCAGCACCAACAGCAGCAGCAACATCATCACCACCACCACCACCAGCAGCCACAGCAGCAGCAGCAGCAGCAACCACAGCAACCACAGCAACCTCAGCAGCAGCACCAGCAGCAGCAGCGGCAAGAAGAAGAAGAAGAGGAAGAGGAAGACGATGACGACGACGGTGGAGGTTGTCTCCCTGACCTTGGCGGCGGTCGGCGTCGTGGGGGTCGGCATCAGCTGCGTGGCGCTCTTTCGAGCCCGCCAGCGGCGCCTCCACGGCGCCGGCCAAACGGAGATGGGCAACCTCGCCCAGAAGATCCGCGGCGCCGGGAACAGCCTGGCTTCGGCAATTGAGCCGAAGCCGGCTGTTGAAGTGAGGAGGACCTCGGGGGGTCGGGCCCCCAGTAGCCGCGACGAGGAGGAGGGGGGTGTTGATCTCGGCACCGTGTAGTTTTTTTTGTTTTTTTTTTTGTTTTTTGTTTGTTTTTTGTTTGTTTTTTATTTGTTTTTTGTTTTTTGTTTGTTTCTTTATTGTCGGTTTTTTTTTTTCGTTTTTAATGAATTCTTTTGTTCTCCGTGCCTGCAAGAAACTCGTTCAACAGATTGTGTAACGATTCATGACTTCAACTATGGCTCTATACATCCATGCGCCACCTCAACTCAAGAGCCAGCAAACTTGAGGGTCATCTTCATCCCATCCACGAGCTTAGCCGACACTTGAATCATCTTAGAAAAGATCCACGATCAGTTAAAAATTAGTTTGAAGGGGTGAGCTTAGCGATTGGAACTGAACTCATAGAGTATAATTCCGACTTGACCCTGTATTACCCCTTGTTATTTAAGACTGGATAGCCTGTCTCACCAGGATCTAGATCGCTGATACTAGACTTACAGAAGTTATAGTAGTGAGAGGCATGTGCCTTAATGTCCACTTGTACACCGCATCAATATGGTGGGAGAGGGACAGGTAGGCATGGTTCAGTTGAACTTGGTAACCTCGCAAGCGACTAACAGAACAAATGGCACATCGAGACACTTCAGCGTTGAAGACTCAACACAATCAAAACAACATCCCAGTAGCATATAATATCAAACCAGATATCAGAGAATCTTTTATTATTCCCTAATTATTTGCGTTTCATAAAAAAAGAGGTCCTTACCTTACGTGGAAAGAACTATGGTGTGCCATGTTTTATTTTACCCACTTGCCTCGATAGTCAAAATAAAATCTGGATAAATTTTATTGTTTGCCGAGACTCATAAATGCTGTTGCTGTACCTACCTACTATTGTACATATCTATTGGTGTTGGTGCCAAGTCCAAGGCCGTAGGGCTGGAACTGAAATTCTCTGGGGTACCGCGATAAAATTGCAGATCAAATTAGACGGCCCCTCTGATCGGATAGAAATGATGGAAATCCACGTACGGGGAACTGAAGATCCATTTGGCGTGATGGGCCTGGCTCAGGGAGCTTATGAAGGCCAGGGGAGTTAACCCTATCTGCATCAAAATTCCAATGGCAGATAAGGGAAAATCCAGCAAATACTCACCAGAGGAATAAGAAGAAAAGCTCTTCATCCCTGATGAGCAGCATGTCTCGTGCCCAGAGACAGACGCGGATGCTCATTAGACGGTAGCTCCACTGTCTTATTACCAATTAGTGAATGATACAGGCTGACAGCCCCTGACACGTCTCGTATCGCGCTGGAATTGATTAGATAAGGAGACGAAAATAACTGAACCAGCAAATTAGTGGCAGTCTTCCTCTTCAGGGACGAAACATGGTGATCGTCTGCACCACTGATTGCCACCTCGTGTCAGCAGCGGGAGGCCCTGGATTTCGATTGTGATCCCTAAGAGCTACGCACATGGTCTGATTTGCCAGTCCGCCATCTCTGTATCACCCTCCCCTTCTTATTTGTGTTTATCCTTGGCCGACCAACGGCCACAGCCAGCCAGAATGGACCGCAAGTTTGCTCCCCGGCGCGGCAACACCTTCTGGTCCCGGGCCAAGTATTATCTGCCCATCCTCGAGTACGACAACCGGCGACGGCTCGCCCAGAGACTCTACCGCCGTCGCGGCATCCGCATCCTCGTGCGAAACTGGCGCCTGATCCTCGGTCTGGCCCTCCTGCTCACCGTCGAGACGTGGATGCACGTTCGCAACCTCACCGTCGTCCACCCGACCGACAACCTCGATCCCCCCTTCTACGAAACCTGCCAATCGCCCATCAAGAACACCCATGAGCGAGCCAACGCGACATTGGTCATGATGGCCCGCAACTCGGACGTCAAGGGCGCCATCGCGAGCATCCTTAACGTCCAGGACCGCTTCAACGACAACTTTGGCTATCCCTGGGTCTTCCTCAACAACGAGGAATGGTCCGAGGACTTCATCGACCAGGTCACCGAGGCCGTACACCTGAGCAACAGCGGGGCCACGGCCAGGTTCGAGCTCATTCCATCCAACATGTGGGGGTACCCGAGCTGGGTCGACAAGTCCAAGTCTCAGCGCAACATGCAGCAGCTCGAGGACCAGGGCATCATGTATGCCGGCAAGGAGAATTACCACCACATGTGCCGCTTCAGCTCTGGGTAAGTCTTGCCTTGCCGCCACCCTCCACCCGAGTGCAACCTGCTAATCAACGTCATGCCCAACAGCTTCTTCTACGATATCCCCGCCCTCCAAGAGTACAAGTGGTACTGGCGCGTCGAGCCCGACATCTCCTTCACCTGCGACATCACCTACGATCCCTTTTACGAGATGGAGAGGACCGACAAGAAGTACGGCTGGGTCGTGGCGCTCTGGGAAATTGAGACGACTGTGCCAACTCTCTTCCGCAAGATCTCCGAATACAAGAAGCTGGCCCGTCTTCCGACCACCCCCCAGTGGAAGTCGATGCTGATTCCGACCCGCGTGCCCTGGCCCTTCCGCTCGCTGTTCTACTCCAACAAGCCCGGGTACGACGTCAATGGCGACCAGTGGAACTTTTGCCACTTCTGGTCCAACTTCGAGATTGCCGACATGGACTTCTATCGTTCCGACGAGTACCGCAACCTCTTCCACTACCTCGACGATGACGGCGGCTTCTACTACGAGAGATGGGGCGACGCGCCCATCCACAGTCTCGCTGCGGCGCTCCTCCTCCGCCCCGACCAGATCCACCACTTCTCCGATTGGGGCTATATCCACGGCGACTTCCAATGGTGCCCGTACGGCCCTACCATTGACAACATGAAGATGTTCCAGGTGGCCAGAGACCTCGACGGAAAGAAGCTTGCTGATATCCGCACTGGCCCGGATGGCGACCTGGGCTGCAACTGCAAGTGCGACCCTGACATCTCTGAGATTGCTGCGAGGTGTTACAACAGCTGGCGATCATCAGTCGCATAAGTTTCTAAACGATGTAGCATTATAAACACGCGGGTGTGTGGCGTAGTGTGAGGCAATCCACCCGCAGTGTGGTTTTTTTTTAGAGCATTCGCATGCAGGGCTTGGTTTGACACATCAGCATTGAATGCCTCTCCGCGCCGCAGGGGCAAGCACTTAACATGATACTGATTTATATATACGACATTACAACGGCCGGGTTTGGTTGGGTTTGGTTGGACTAGACATGATGACATAGGAAGCGAGACGGATGCTTGGGGCCTTGCATGTATTCTATTGTGTAAACTTGGGCCCATGGCGAGTCCATTATGAAATCTCACGCTCCCGGCGAGGAGTTTGTTTCTTTCTTCACCGCTATGATCCCGGTATCTGCCTCAGCGTTGCCATTGACTGCGAATCATCCCCTATTGCCACCACACGCTTCGCGTGCGGCACAATAAACCACAACAGAAAGATCACGACTTGGCAGACTGAGACTGAAATCCATTACTCATACTCCCGCTTTGAGAAGCATCTCTCAATTCCAAACAGATATGCAACATTACAACGAGAAGTGGATTATTTTACTTCACTGTGCTAATATTATCATCAAGCCAGCCACTGTCACAGCAGTTTAATATCTGCAAAACATCGAGAAATCCTCCTAGCGTCTCCATTGCATGATCTTCGCTCCAAAGAGGCCAATGCCGTACGCGAATGCAACGGCACCCGCTTCTGAAGGATTGGCTGAATAACGTTGTAGGGCTGGTTTCTATTATCGGAAATTTTTGTGACGTGACGCCGGCGATTTCCCTTTGCAACTTCAAAACATCGAGCATTACACTCATCGGCCATAACCAGTCTTGTATTTGATTCATTTTCTGTCTATGAATTGGAATCGTGAGAAAAGTATAAGAGACTGCGTTGGTTCGCCTTCAAAGCGATCTAGTTAATCAAGCTTCACACTCCAGTTTTCTTCCCAGTCTCAAGACAACCACAAGCTATAAACCAACTACACTTCTCAGCTTTGCAATTTCTCTCCATTTTATTACTATCTTGTCTAGTACCCAGAACTCGAAATCAAAAATGCGTCCTACAGCTGTTTTCACGTACGCCATGCTCGGGCTCGCGGGCTCCGTCGCCGCCCAGGTCGACTCGTCCCAAGACGACAACGGGCTTGTCGCTCGCTCCCGTGTCAGACACGGTTCCGTGCTGACCAATATGATCAGGGGTGGCCGGAGCCCAGGAATCGCCAACATGAGCGGACGAAAGGGGCTTCGTTTTGTCTCTGATGAAGACGAGCATCAGCTGGAAGCTCGCTCTCCAATCCGATCGATCATCAAGGCCCCGGCGTACGTGACAAGCCGGCGAGGGCGGGGCCGTCGTTCTGTGTCTGATGACGACGAGCATCAGCTGGAGACTCGCTCTCCAATTAAACTCACGCCATCACGGCTTGGCAGGCTCAGGCAACCACGGCCTACCAGGTTCAGGCCTCTTGGCTCGTCTAAGAAGTCCCGGTCCGAGGACGACGAATTGTTTGAGAGAGGATTCGATGCCGAGGAATTTGAAGAGGAATATTAAATCCTCAACGCAGTCTTTTTTTCTTGTCGTGGTGTTAGATCATTAGCTTTCTAACTTGGTCTGTCAGAGTTTTCATTCAGTCTGTGTTTTCTTTCGCCCTTCTCTGTATCTATTCACCAGAAATTTTGTGGATTTAGGGATGGAGAGGGATCTTGTTCAGTAGGTTATCTTTACCAGTTTGTGTTTCCAGTGTTAGGTTTTAGGGGTGACATTTGCATCAGCTACTGTTACGCCTCTTGGATATTGTACTAGCCTCAGCTGTCTTTCAATACATATACTTGTTTGCGTGAGTTGGCTGTCCAATGTTGATTCTCCCAAGAAGTTAGATCTTAGCACATGCTGCCTCTTCAAGAAGCTGCCCCTTTACCTCACCCAAGCCTAAAGCACTAGGATGTGTACGGCGCCCATAGACTTCGTACCAAGTAAATTACAGTCTGTATCATACCAATTGTGCATGATTGTGATTAATTCACTCATTTATCAATATAGAAGAATGATCTAATAGCTACTTAGATCAAAGAGAAATTGGGGGACCCTTATGCTCTCTTTCTGATGAAGAGTCAACCCCCGGCGTCCTTCTACTTCAAAAAGGCAGCGGTGGCTTCTAATATGAAACCAACGGTCTCGTCTGGCTTACTGAGCATGGGCGAGTGGCTCGTTTCAATCTCCCGAATCGTCACATTGCCGCCGGCATCAATGGCTTCCTTGATAAACGCCCGCTGCGCCTCGGCAGGAAGAGCCTTGTCGCCAGTTGTGACGAGATACCACACCGGAACTTCCAACCAACCGGCATACGAGATATCAGCCCCCTCTGTAAAGGCCCTTGTAGAGTGTTTCTGGAGTCGGCCGACCCAGTAATCAGCCTCTTCCTTGGGGAGGTCGTGGTAGAACAGGTCGTCTGCCGGGACACGGACAAGAGCGAAGCCTGGATCCGATTCCTCCTCCCAAAATGGCAGCGGCTTGCCGCCGACCCTATCCAAGAAGACGGCTCCCGTGAGCATGAAACCGGTGGCAATCATAAAAAAACCTATGACGACCCCAGAGCCAGGATCGGGGGAAGAAGCCTTGGTCAAACCCTTCAGTGCACTGCTGCCGACGGCGCCGCCATAGGAGTGTACAACAACCACGACATTGCCGCCTTGGGAAGTTTCTTCGACGATGGCTTCCCTCACAGCAGCAACATCGTCAGTATAGCTGGCAGAAGCCGAACCCAATGTCGTGGGGAGGGTCACGGCAGTAGATTTATAGCCGTGGGTAGCGAGTCCCGAGACTACCTTTCCCCAAGTATCGGCCGTGTGCCAGGCTCCAATTACAAGGATGAAGGTAGGTTTAGATGTCATATTGAGATGAGAAGAGTAAAGTATTGCGGGTTTGAAGAAATAGTCGTGTTGCTGCAAGCCTCTCCAGTAGATTAGGTAGGTGTAGATATAGCGTGTAACTAACAACCTACAGTGGCATTCATCCAATTCAATTTATACAATCCCTTATAGCAATTGGCGGGCCTTACGGCACTCCAGTCAAAGAGACCGCCCGTTCCCTCCCGAAATCCCATGACGCAAAATGCAGAATTCTCCCTCTCTCACGGTGCGTGTGATGAAAGGTTGGAGCTTACAAGTGTCTCACTCAGAAGAAGTGCCATCGTCTATTTGGCCCAAAATGGACTGGTGTAAATAATCTAGACAGGCGATAACCGAAGAGAAACCGACAGCTGATGAGAGACTCGAAACTAACAGTTGCTGCTGGGAAACCGCGCAGTTAAAGATAGCGGCCGAGTCCCCTGTAACTGCCGGAGAGGCCATCTCTAACACCGATCTGACTCACTCCGATCCATCAGGTCCCGACGATGCAACCTCAGGGCGTTCCAGTACCTGCACCGGGCTCATCCTATTAATACGCCCTCGTTATTCTGGAGCATAAATTCCCTTTACTCGCAGCCGCGGGTTCAATCGGACTTATGGCGCAAGAAAGGACTCGAAAGTGCCACACTAGAAGCCGGGACGGCTGCACCACCTGCAGGAAACGCCATGTGCGGTGTGACGAGACGCGGCCCTTCTGGTACGTCCAGCCCCAATAACTTTGAGGCATCCCTGCCTGATCGGATCAAATACACGAGGTGGATCGGGCAGATCTGGGCTTCGGTCTCGGCTAACGATGAGGAATACTTAGTGTCAACTGCACCCATCACGGGAGAGTCTGCGGGTACCCGTCCACGGTCCCTCTGAGAGAACGCCGGGCAAAGAAGCTACCCGGCCAGCAGCAGCCGTTTACCCTTGGCTCGCATCAGTATCCAGACTCGGAGATGGCACAGGAAGACCGGATAGGGCAGCAATCGCTATGGCTCTCAGTATACTCTCTGGAACCAGCTTCGATCTCGATGCCGCTCAGGTCCCGGGAGCTTCTGAATTACTGTACGCGCCATCCCATCCTTTAATACCAGGCATATCGTCGTTACTAACGAACATTCCCTCTTACTCCAGTCCAGCAAACAAGTGAGCACGACTTGAAGTCACTTCTCGCAGACCAATGGAAGCATACGTAAGTGCACATCAAACCACCAGCTGGAATTCCACCTCACACCAGACAGTCTATCCCTCACTATAAACGATCCAGATGCCCTGCGGAACACTTTATTAATAGCTGGCTTGCACTACACGTGGAGGGTGGGCGACATGCGTCGGTATGAACAGACATACCTGTTCCACAAGGTCAAGACAATGCAACATGTGAATGGAAGCCTGACAACCCCCAACACTGACTCCCAATTCATGCATCTTGTTTGGGGGATCTCTACGCTGTGCCTAACTGAGGTATGTACCCCAAAGCATCTTTCCCACGCCTTGTTCGTGTCTATTAACCCCCCTGCGTCAAGTGCTCGTTGGGCAATACCTTGATTGCTGAAACGCATCGAGATGGCCTCATATCTCTGATGGACATCAAATATCCACGAACCTACCAAGAAAATATACCAATGTCACACAATGAGCAGCTTGCATATCGAAACCTCATCTAGTAAGTTAGCGTCGTTCCCTCAACATGCGAAAATGCTCTGCTCACCGCGAACACAGCACCTGCAGCATACTACACAGCATCAAGAGCCGCATCAAGGGCAGCAAAAAGCTCCTCCGCCACATCAAACGCGGCGGAGGCCCAGACCTCCCCAAGCTGATCTCGCTGCTCAAGAAGTGGAACACGCAGGGCATCGGCAGCATAGACATGATTATGAAATCCATGCTGTTCATCCCCTTCTTCCAAGCATCCTCGGACGAAAGCGCTTTCGGTCCTGTGGATGCCTCCTCCATCATCACCTCTCTAAGGATGCTGACGACCTCGGCGTCGGCTCTGCCTTCGCTCAGCCCCGAGCAGCTGGCCAACGACCCGGGCTGGATCTGGATCAACGGCGCTGCCTCAAAGCTGGCCTTTGCGCTCGTGAGCTCACAGGTCAGCGCGTCCCCACGCCACCACAAGGACGATGGCGATGAAGTACTCATCTCATCGTGGGGCGGGATCGCGACAGCTTCTGAGCTGTACCTCGACTGCATTCTGGGGATCTGGAACGCAGGCGAGCCGATTGAGTGCCGCGTGCTGAGGAGGATGATGCTCTTCCTTGCGCAGGACCTGCGAGAGACGCTCCAAGAGGTGGGAGACCCTGCCGCGCGGGATCTCTGGCTCTGGAAGGTCATGGTCGGTGCCTGCGCCCTGGCCAGGTATGCGTACCGCAGCGACGACGACGGGACGCTCGGGACGCTTGTCGCGACGTTCCAAAGCTTCCTGTTGATCTGGAGCGAGAGGACCTCCGTCGTAGAGTGGGCAGACGCTCAATCGAGGCTGGCCAAGGTTGCATGGCCGGTCATGCAGAATGGGACTCATCATGCAGGGGAAGACGTCTGGCATGAGGCGATCCCATTGAACAGGCCAATGCAAGGGGGATCAGCTCGACACGACAATGCGGGAAAGGGAGGAGACGCGGGAAGCGTGATCATGCTTTTTCTTTCGTCATTACTCTGAGAGGTATTGCAGTGCTATGTATTACCTGTTTCTTACCCAAACCAACGCTAACAAAGGAAACATGAAGGCTTCAGTCTCTGTTTACAAGCAGCACAAAGCACCAGGCCTCAGCCGTGGGGGAAGGCTGTTCACCAATCGTCTCATCCGTCCGTCGATACCCATAACCCCTCGCTCATTTCCTCACCGGCACCACCGCGTTTGAGGCCGGCACCGGCGGCGCGATCTTCAGCTGCGTGTTGGAGAAGCGCTCCTTCATCTCAAGGTCGTCATTGTGCTTGATCCGACACCGCCTCTCGCCTTCTGCCCCCGCCTTGCTACCGCGCGTCGTCGTCGCCCCCCTGCAGCAGTCGAGGCAGCTGAACCACGGCTTGCACCTGCGTATCGAGTGCGCAGCCGACAGCAGCGCGTTGACGAGGTTGTCCTGGCTGTCCTGGTGGCAGAAGCCGCACGAGCGCTTGTTGATGGGGCACGGCGGCACGGCGATGTACCCGAGGCGGTCGACGCCGTCGAGCAGCTCGGCGAATGTGTGGCCGGAGAACTGCAGGTCGTAGGGGAGGAGGCCAGCGTCGCGCAGGGCCTGGTTGTACCGGGCGGTGGTGGTGGCCGCGCGGAGGCAGCCCTGCATGAGGCTCCCCCAGTTCCAGCTGGTGATGGGCGACATGAGGGCGATGTGGAAGGCGTTGCAGAGCTGGAGCCGTTTTGACTCGAGGCGTTCTGGGGGTTGTTAGCATAGACACATACATGTAGAATGGCGAGAATCTCCTCTCTCTGAAGACAATGAAATAAATAAAGATTGGCCACTTACCAAGGAGTCCCTGGCTCAGCAGCGGATGCTCTAACAGTATGCCAATCTGCGACTCGGCACCAGTCAACGGTCCCCGATGCTGAAGAAGAAGCATCCACGCCACCTCGGCAAACTCAGCGGCCAGATCCGCAATGTAAGTGAACAGGAACAGGTAGCACAGGTCCTCCAGCCCGGGCGCCTCCGTCTCGAACTCGCGCAGCCAGTTCCGCGCCCAGCAGTTGCCGCAGTGCCTCAGCACCGCCGTGCACTGGTACTTGTCGCACACCTCGGCCAGCTTGGCCAGCAGATCAAGCCCGGGCAGGTCGGGGACGTCGTCGGTGGCGAAGTGCAGCAGCTTGCAGAGGAGGAGCATGGCGTCGCCGTCGTCGTCCGGGAGGGGCAGCTGGAACGGCGGCGAGGGTTCGTGTCTGGCGGCGAGGCGGGCGCCCTCGGAGAACTCGCCGCAGAACATGGCCTTGAAGACGGGCGAGGCGACGGAGAGGACCTTGGAGGAGACGACGAGGTCCCGCGTGTCCCTGGCGCCCTCGTTGATGGTCGTGTGCACCTCGCCCTGGGACTGGCCGGGGGACGGCGCGGCTGGGACGACGAGGACGAGGGAGTATGGGGGTGGGCAGGGAACCTGGAGGGCGACGTCCCCTCGGGGGTCGATTTCTACTGTTTCCATGGTTCGGTCCCTCTCTCGCTGCGTCAACGCTTCCCTCTCTTCTACCAGGTGGATATTGGGGGAGCGGAGGGGGAGTGGCACGGCGGGTGGTGATGGCTCTTCTCCCGCTGGAGACAGGTGAGTCGGTCAAGATGCGGGAATGGGTGGACGGTTGAATGAGTGAATGGATTGAACTGAACTGAATCGAACAGAAAATCGATTAATTGCTGAAGTATCGTCCGTCCTGCTGTGGAGCTCCCCGAGTTCTGCGTTGTTCACCAGTCCCACCGCAATTCGAATTCGGGGGACCAAGGGGTTTAGATACTCGGCTGCCAGGATCAAGGATGCTTCCCGTCCAAGCCTCTGGTCATCTCTGGCTTCTTCTCTGGGGACACGCGACGGACGCGACGGGCGGCGGGGACTTTTCTGCGGCTGAAACCGATGCTGGATGTGGATTTGGCCTGCATGACTTGCATGGCAAATCACAAATGAGAGGGTTTGTTTGTTTTTGTGCGTCCTCTGGCTCTCATACGCCACACGTAATGCAGTTGCCCGGTATTTCCTGTGTATGAATATGTGCGTATGTCAGTCTGTCGTCTTATGTTGCATCCAATCTCGTCCATTCATCGCGCATAGAAGCCCAGGTACCTACATCCATTCTGCAGATGGCCCGCAGCATGAATATTACCAGCCATTAAAACTCCTTTGCAGCTCTCTTGCAGGAGGAGGCGTGTCACAAGTCCCACCGCCTACAAGGAGCCGTCTCTCGCTTGCAAAAGGGGCGTGACGCTTAGCTGAGCCAAGAGAAGAGCAGAGAAAAAAGGGGTTTTTGGGACGAGAGGCGGCTTGCGATGACAACACACACCGCCACGGCCTGCAAACCGGAGGTTCCATCGAATGGGCGGGCAAGTAGACGAACAAGGCGGGCAGATGGTTCAAGTGTCTATGCGAGCGGGCATCTTGCAGCTCCCTCTTCAATTGACGGCAAGTTTGCAGCTTGGTGCTTCCCGCTGTCTCGATTTTTTCCTCGGCCCCTCTTATGGCCACAAACACAACATATAGCAAAGCTTGGCCGCTTTTCTGGCCCTTTCGAGGTCGTACATAATTGCAGAGGCCAAGCCCGCCGGTCTGTAATTTGCATCCGTCCAGGTCAATCTCCGTCGCCAGGCCCGTATGCAGCTCACATCATGCCCGCTCACCATGCAGAGCACGTCTTTCGTCGCCCAATTTCCTCGTCATCGCCTTCATGCTATCCTTGTCGCTACCTGCTGTTGTCCCTTCTCCCCGCCCAGTCCAGATGATTGACTCACAGGCGGTGCGGTACCGGCTTCAAGACAGCGGCTCCCTCCCAATCAAGCCACGAACTGCAGACGGCCGTTTCTGGAAGCATCGATTCGCTACCCCATTCGAGAGACCAGGCCGCGATGTCAGCCCTTGCAAGCAGCAAAGGGGGCCAACTGGGTGTCCTATTGGCAGCCGTCCCCGCGATGGTGTGGCCAACAAAGAGTAGGTGATGATACGTAGCAGGCATCAATGGATGGGATTTGAGGTCAGAATAGTGGCATTGGTCCCCCTCTTTCCTTCGCTTGCCAGCATGAATCACGGTCGGCTGGCTTCCATTGGTGGCAGCGTGTGTGATCAACAGTAAGGTGTAAGCCTCACTTGACCAGAAACACGAGAAACAGGGTCATGTCTGATATTGCTGTGGTTGCCAATATTGATGACAACGCGTCGCGTCGCGCCGCAGAAACGGTGTGAGCACACCTCCCGTCAGCTATGACGCAGGAAGACCCTTGGGGGCGGTTTCTTGTGACAGGTGATTATACTCTGGCGGGAATCTTGCATGCATGATGATAAGTCTGACTGTTCCCCAGCATGAGGGAGCAGATGGTTGAGTGGTCCAGGAAGCAGGCGGCCCATTTGGGAACTGAGGGGAGGGTCTGGCAGGCGGTTCAGCATCCGTATGGACGTGTGGGATCATAGATACGGAGGCTGGATGGATCAAGGGTCATGGCGAGAATGACGACACACAGTTCTGAGAGGAAGAGATGGAGGAGATGATGAGCGGGCAGATCTCAACTGGCTCGGGGCGTACTCAGGCCTTCTGAACCCCTAAAAGGCGCTAATCTCCAGTGCCAGTCAAGCAGCTTAAGCACTGGGCTACAGGGGCCCAGCACATGGGCTCGTTCCCCTTCTCCGCGGAAGTCTTCTTCTTGTTCTACAATAAATCGAATACTCAACTGCTTTGTAGTCTAACATCTGCACAACACATCCGAATAGGTAAGAACTAAGAGCCTTGGGCATGAATATCTCTGCGTCTGTTGGTCTGATCGCATCTGGTCAAGTGAACGCCCTCCATCTCACTGTTCATGCAGTCCAGCCTCGATTATCTGGGGTGCGGCATGCAGCAACACCCAGCTCATGCGATATCATGTCCATCCGACCTGTCACCCCGTATCGGAGGCGTGGTGTGACACCAACCTCCCCATTATCTAGCCGAGAAATCAATACGTCACCTCAAGCGAAGCTCTTGACCACCTCGACCATCCGCTGTGCCATCTTTTCTGTGTCGCCGGGGAACCGAGCGCTGATGTAGTTGTGGGCTTGATCCTCAACGACAAAACTAATGGTTGAAAGATGGGCAACACTCGTTAGAATCAAGAGACATGATGGGATATACACCCGTATCATAGGAAGTAGAAACACTTACGGAGATAGTCCAAGACTGCACTTGTACTGCTTCTCAGGATCGGCCAGAACCTTCTTCACCTGCATTACAGTTAGTCCTCATCCGGCACATCTAGCAGCTTCCATTCTCATTGAACCCGGGGAGCCATCCCGGTCCCGCAAGAAGGAGAGAAGAGAGCAATCTGAAAGGGTCATCACCCACAGAGACCTCGACGTCCTCGCTCCCAGCCCCGTACGTCTTGTAGTAGTCCCCCAGGAACACCCTTGTCCCCCAGTATGCCACCTGCTCGAAGCGCGCAGGCAGCGTCGCCGTCGTACACTCGCGCAGTACGCTGTGGCCCTGGGCATCCTTGGCGTTCGCCAGCACGAGCACCCCGTGGCAGATGGCGCCGACGGCCCTGGTGGCGGCGGTGCCGTCGGGCTGCTGCTTGCGCGTCTTGGGGAAGTAGTCGAGCAGCAGCGAGTGCACGGCCGCCGAGTCCATGATCTGCACCACCGCCTTGTCGTGCCCGCCGGGTAGGAAGACGAGCGAGAAGGGGTCCAGGCTGAAGCTGGGGGCCGTCCACGAGAGAGGCTGCTTGCACTCGTCGGAGGCCACCATCTTGGCGTAGTCCTGCAAGACTGATCCCTTGGCGCCCTACATGTCCTCCCAGTCAGCCAAGCGATGCTAAGAAAATGGGAGATATGACATATTCGTGGTCTAGAACACAGAAGACGTCGCTCGCCATTCAAGTCGTGGGCCAGTGAGAGTCGCGTCTTACCAATATCTTCTGGCTCAGCCCCTCAAGCAGCAGCTTGTCGCACGCAGGCGCATTGCCATTCTCGGTAGCAAACTGCACGTCGAAGCCGGCGTCCTTGAATGCGGTATAGGGCACGGTGGCCTCTGTTGGTTCCCCCGGTTCCTCCTCATTAGCTGGCTGCTGTTATAACCTCCCATGAGGAAGCGATGGGCGTACCAGTGGGCTCGTGACCGTAGTCGGCCATCATGATAAGGACCTTGGGGGCAGCCATTGTGCAATTGCTTACTCTCCACTGATTGACATGTGTTCTTGTTGGATTGAGAAAGGAATATCTCTCAAGGCGAGATGCAGGAATTTGATCCTTCTCGTCGAAATTGGCTAGAGACACATCCCACCATCACATGCTACTTCCGGATCTCGCTGCCGAACTGCAGGGATACCCTCGAATCCATCACTTGGTCGCGTCCAAAACACTTCACGACTTTGGCTACCTGTCACTTCGTGGAAAGAGGAATTGTACGGGGAATACCCAACTTGATTGTTTCGTCTCTCCACATTCTCATGCTACCTAATTCCATGTAGCTCTTTTGCATTCTTCAACTCGAGGCTCGTATCTGGGCCAATGGTAGGTGGTCCCTTATTAGAGTACCAGTAATGATCATAAACCAAGCAAAGCGACGCAATTAGTACCAATCATTCATTCTCTACGATGAAATTTCAATCTATTTAGTGCTGCCAATGGAGAGCCATTACGCACCTCGATCGTACCTGTTACTGTTGTTGTCGTTGTTGTTGCTGTACGTGTCTAGGTACGTCAGCAAGCAGTGTTGTTCACGGTCTACAACCACTCACCCGGCCTGCACTACTGGTCTCCTTCTCTCTTTCTGCCTGGTCCCCGTGCAATAAATGAACAAGAACTATGTACAAATGTTGCAGCTCGCCTCGTAGCTTACGAGCAAATCTTCGGACCCCGTTAGCTCCGAGATGATTGCCAAAAATCTACAGCTTGGGAGCATTGCTCCATCAAAAAGACTGCTGTCTTCGGATAACCCCAACCTACAACCCAGAGTGCTGACTCTGTCAAGGCTAGTTGCTCACACTATGTGCCCCCACATCGGATCATTTTGATCAATTATAGAAAGGTATTGGAATCGAGGGAATCGGGAGCTCGTCGGGTGGCAGGGTCAGACCTGTCGAACGACTGCGAGCTACGCAACACAGCCATGTAGATCCAGCTAGTCGAGGAGGTTCGATCGGTATTCAAGTCGCAGCTCGTAGTAAAGGTTGTTCGTACAGAATTGTTCGTATAGAATGAACGGCGTTCGACGAGGTAACTAACGTTCAGCGCAAGCGAATCGATGGCAACAAACGCGCTGGAGCGATCGGCCAGCAGCATGAATCAGTGAGCCTGGGAGGGTCAGCAGAGGCTGTTCGGTTGATCAACCCATCGAGTGGATGTCAAATCGAAGATACCCGCCTGGCTCTTGTCATGGTCAAGTTCAATCTCATGTTGCGCGGAGCATAAGTTTCCAACGCTCGCTCTCCTCAGAGGCAAGGGCAGGGATTAGCTAATCATGGTTGATTAGTCATTGCAATATTTCTGTGCTGTAGCATAGATACCCTAGAGCTCTGCATCTGGGCAGTCGCATTACTTGACCCTTCGTCTATTTCTAGTTTTTACCAGCTGGTGACTAAATGATTGAGATTCCATTATTCAGTTTTTTTTTTGAGGTTTTTTTTTTGGTTTGTGTTTTTTTGAAATTTCATTTGCGACAAGCCACAACTCTTTTGGCTCAATTTTCATCAAGAGAAGAGCACATCATCCAGCAAAAGCGAGAGCTTCTAAAAATAGACACAGCCCTACCTTGATGCTTAAGCCCGTACATAAATCACCCCAGGAAAACAAACAGTCGAGAATAAAGCCTACCTCAATCTTAACCGCGCCTGAGATAGAGACGACTCGGCCAGACGGTAGGTCTCTCAAGCTCGGTGTGAGTGGACGGCCGTGCCCCATGTCACTGGTCGGACACAACTCGGCAATCTCTCGCGCGAGCTGACGCGAACAGGCCCGAGAGCTCTGTCGGCGACTGCTCGCGTAGTTTTGGCTTGCGCGTATCAGTTCTTCCGCCTCTATATCGAGAAAACGATTAGTTTGACGAGAAATGTCGAGTGTCTTTAGTTGTAAGCACGCGCAATGTCGGTATATTCTCGTGCTAAGCATAGGGTCAAGTCGGCGCATCTTGACCAGCATCATGCATCATGAATACCTTATAAACTGCCTTGGGCATGGAAAGGTTGGGAGAGAAATGCATAGCATCACAGGACATCATACCAAATCGCCTCATGCGACATTGATAGCAGTATCATTTTATTAACGCCATAAGCAACTGTACCTCATTTGTCAACATTGAAGCAATTACCTTTACAATGGCGACACTACCAAATCTCTGGATCCCACAATCAACCTCAACTGTCAACGTATCAATTATCAACAGCAGCGGCACCATCAGAGGCATTCCATTTAGCAGTTTCTACGAGCCTCCAATTGTAGGGCACGAATGGCTTGCTGCACCCTGCACCTCATTCTTCATTGAACATGACAACCGTTCACTCGTCTTCGACCTTGGCATCAGAAAAGACTGGCAGAATCTCCCAGAGGCATACCTAGACAGCCTCCGGGACAGCAACATTACCGTCAGCGTGCCTACCGATGTCCGCGGGATTCTTGACGAGGGCGGCGTGGACAGCAGTGCCATAGAAGCAGTCATCTGGTCCCATGCCCACGTTGATCATGTAGGCGACCCATCAACCTTTGACAATAACACGGCGCTCATTGTAGGACCCGGAGTCCAAGATGCCTTCTTCCCGGGATATCCAGCTAACCCAAACGCCGCGTTCCTTGAGTCCGATGTGGCCGGCCGCGAGATCAAGGAACTCAAATTCAACTCCAAGTGTGGTGGCCTGAAGATTGGCCACTTCGAGGCCATTGACTTCTTCGGCGATGGCTCCTTCTACCTACTCAACTCACCAGGACATGCTATCGGACACATCTCTGCACTCGCTCGCGTGACAAGCAATCCAGATAGCTTCATTCTCATGGGAGGCGACACTGTCCATCAAGCGGGCGTCTTACGACCGCACAAGTGGCACCCTCTCCCAGAGTCCGTCTCGCCAAACCCATTTACGGGGAGGCCTGCTCCCGCATGCCCCGGCGACCTGTTTGAAGGGCTGCTTCGCAACGGCAAGGACAGCCCGTTCTACGTCCCCTCCAGTACAAGCCAGATGAACTACAATACGACGGAGATGATTGAGTCGATTCACAAGCTGCAGGAGACGGATGCGCACGACAACATCTTTGTCGTCCCGGCCCACGACGAGTATATCCTCAGGGTCGTGGATCTGTTCCCGGCCAGAGCAAATGACTTTATGGAGAAGGGATGGGTGCACCAGACTCGCTGGGCCTTTCTGAGAGATTTCGCCAGGGCTGTCAATTACACTGGCGAGCTCTACCCAAAGCAGTCCTGGGATCCCGCGGGGAATCAGACGAGATCATAGATGAAGAGGCGAGGATGTGTTGGTCTCAGTGCAGTGACACGCATGGATCTTTTGCAACATGTTGGTCAATTGGGTATGACTTTAGCAAGCTTACGGTGATGGCGAATGATCTAAATGTAGGTAGACGGCGGAGAAGATGCGTTATTATCGGTCTTACTCTCACCAAAGATCCAAGAGGCAACATGCGATATTATCCTCCCCTATTCCCAGCCAAATACTCGTACGTGAGTGTTGGTCCTCGGTCACTTTTGCTCCTGGGTCGGTCCCTGAACTATGGCCGTGCTCTGGCACTAAGGTAGAGGAACGGCAACTGAATGTCTGCTCCGGGAAGGAGTTCATCCCCCTTAGTCCGAGACCGCCAATTGCCAGGACCAAGGGGCGATGTAATAGAGCCGTCATGATCCTTGGATATTATGTAAGTGCTGGGGACGAAAGAGGAAGATGTAAGATTGGTTACTGTCGCGACGTCGATCATGACAACTGTTCTGATGGAGCTGGTTACCCTAAAACCGGTGTTGATTGTTGTTCTTGGACATTGTTCCTATTAAATGGACAGGAAAGAGTGGGAATATACGATCATTGTAAAGAAGGCGGATGTATTATCAGATGTCGAATGCTTGGTGATAGGATACAATATTTGATGTTAGTATGGAATTTAATCTTTACAATTGTAACAATACTAGGTTTGACTCAACACATAAACAAAACTTCTCCATCCAACGTCGTTCATCAAGTTTCATTAATTCGGAAGCGGAAAATCTTCTTGCCACCGCTACTAAGATGACATCAATTTGGAGACTGTCGGTCAGCAGCCGTGGATGCGGGGAGGCGAGAGGCAGTGCGTGCGCGAATAGCAGCAAGCGGAGGGAATCCCTTCTGTTGGTGGAAGTGATCATGGCAGCAGCCTGTTTCACCTCGCGAAAGGATGGACCAACGTGGCTCACGCAGCGCTCGGCTCCCGCTGCAGCTTGGAGGCAGTGCCAAGGCACAGAGTAATCAAGAGGACCAACTGGTCGATTACGTGTGTCCTGGTGCGGATGCTTATTATTAGCCCGCCCAAGTCCTTAACACAGGCACGCGTGCCGTAAATCCTCATTTGCTCAGGCCGTGCGCGGTCCAGGCCTAATTCCTGAGCGAGGATCTGAGAACCACGACCCTGGCGATGGAATTACTGACATTTCTCTGCCATGGAACAAGGGCTTCTGTGCACAGGGATGGCGGGGATTGCTGGGCCTCAAATAGGTGAGACAGCACGACGTTGAACAGGGGGGCAGTTATTTTCGATCCTTCGACTCCTTGGCACAGTCTGACGACAGGCCTTTGTGAAATAAACCAATTTTAGGGGGAGAACATCGTGCTCCAGAGGTACGCGAAGGAATATTGTAGATAGTTGCCGGCGACAAGTGCCGTGCTGCAGTCAACAACATAGAACTCGTCTCTCCTCGCTGTCACTCGTAGAAGCTGGCCGCATACACGTCGATCTCAGGGTGGCTCCTCGTCTAGACGGACGCCAGCCCCTAGAAATGCACTAAAAATGAAGCTTCTATGGAGAAGTCTGCCGATGGAGTTGCACTCCGTCCGTCTCCGTCTGCACGGGGGCAGGGGTCAAGGCCCGCCTCGCTGAGATGCTGCGACCCCGAGACAAGCTGGGGAATCTTATGGCCATGTCCTACGCATGGAGGCGGTCATAGTAATACCAACCATGTAGGTTCTGTTGGTAATTTTAGAAGCTTTGCGACATTGGCCCTGTCTGACAGAGAGCCTCTGAGCTGTTGAGAACAGGTATTTAAGAGTCCTCCTCCTCAGTCCAGTTGTTCGACTTTCTTTTCTATCCAACCCAACAAAAACAACAAAAAAACACTTTCAGAGCTGGTCTCTTTCGATTCTTCAAACCTTTTTTATATTTTATTTTTCTGGATCACTGGTTGATTTAGTACCTTAATACTTTTTTATTCTAATAATTTTTCAGTTGTTTTTGTAACCCTTTTTTCAATCACCCCTTACAAAATCATTCAAAATGGTCAGCTTCACTCAGATCGCCCTTGCTGCTCCCTTCCTCCTCGGCGCCGTCACCGCCGCTCCCCTCCCCAGCCAGGACCAGAACCTCGCCGTTCGATCCGAGGGCGCCGTCGAGGCCCGCGACATCTCCATTGAGACCCGCGAGCCCAAGAAGGAGCACAAGCAAAAGTCCGAGGACTCCGAGACCAAGGACGAGGAAGACTCCGAGAAGAAGGTCAGCAAGAAGCACCACGGCAAGAAGCACGGCAAGAAGAACGGCAAGAGCTCCACCAGCTCCGGGGACGACCTGAGCAACAGCTCCAAGGATGTCCTGAAGGGCAAGTTCCAGAAGTTCCTCAAGATCAAGGCCGCCGCCAAGAAGGCCGAGAAGGAAGCCGCTGCTGCCGAGAAGGAAGCCAAGTCCGCCAAGGGCAAGGACAAGGCCTCCAAGGAGAAGATCGCCAAGGAGAAGGCCGCCGTCGCTAAGAAGGCTACCGCCAGGGCCAAGAAGGCCACCAACACGGCCAAGACCACCCTCAAGGGCCTGAAGAGCAAGCACGCTTCCAAGAAGGCTCACGGCAAGAAGTCTTCCAAGAAGGCCCACCACAGCAAGAAGCACGGCAAGAAGCACTCCAAGAAGGAGAAGGAAGAGAAGGAGGACAAGGAGAAGCGCGATGAGGAGATGATCGAAGAGCGCGACGACGAGGAGATGGATGAGCGCAGCCTCGATGACCTCGAGCTGGCCATGCTCGCCCGTGACCTCGACTACGTCCACGACATCGACCCTCGCGACATCGACGCCGAGTACGAGCTCGAGGTTCGTGACTTCGAGTTCGACGATGAGCTCTACATCTAAGCATCCCCTGGATGTAGGTAGCTATCGGCCGGTCTCCTAGCTTCTTTTTCATTTCTTGGGACAATTATACCCCTTCAGCATTGTTTTATCCTGTAATTTGCATAGCGATGGTAGCATACCCTTTGGCACATAGAGTCTAGCGATCTTTTGAATTGGAAGATTATTAGTTTAAGAACTTTACATTTCCCATGCCTTCAACGTGACTTGTCGTAACAAACAGTAAACACATCCGCCATCATCTAGCTGGTTCTGTCTCAGATGCCAACAACAATATATTCTAGCAAATTCCATCGTCCATATAATACTCCATGCTATCCAGAAGCATCCACCAGCCGGATCTTGGCTGGACTCTGGTGATTTGGGATTCACTTTCCCCTTGCGCCCCTTGCATTGCCACTAATCCTGCAACAACTGTCGTGTGATACGTCTTCCCTGATCCCATATCCTCCAACTTGATGGGCACATCTGACACAGCGTTAGGTATCGAGTGGCGGGAGATTACGGGGAATGAAATGCCATCCAGAACGAGTCTTTTGCGATCCACGCCCTGCCCCATTGGAATGTTCACCAAATCCTGGTCAGAGTAGGCATGGATCGGTCTGCCCTCTTCGCTCCAGAAGCAGAACGCCGTCAGCCATCCTGATAGTGTCGTCACCCCTCCAGAGCCACTCGCGCCCGTAGAGTGACACGCCCGCATCCAGAAATCCTTGATGTCCTGGTCATCCGGCCTGTCAAAGCTTGCAACCATCTTCTCTGCGACTTTCGATAGATAAATGCACCACTCTGCAGGCTCGCTCCCATACTTGGAGAACCTCTGGATCCTTGCCGCCAGCTCCTCCCAATCCTTCTTTTCCCCCTCCAGCGTCACCGAAGGAAAGCCGCACCCGAACATGACCACGTACTCGAAATATGACTTCATTGTCGCCATCAGAACCAACGCCGATACCGTCCGGTCATTTGCGGTCGTGGTGCTGAACTTGGGAAGTAGCCAATCTGAGAGGTCCTCGTCCACAAGGTATTTCCTCATCGCTTGCACGAACTTATCGGACATGACCTCAAAGTTGATGTTCTCAAGGGATGCCGGCACCAAGTTGATCGCCAGCGTCTTCTTCCCCTCGTGGCTCACAAATACGTCCCGCAGCTCCTCGGCATTTCCATTGACGTAGAAGCTGAACTGGACGAGAATGGCGAGCCACACGTCGTCGGGGCGCAGCACGAGGTGCAGGTCCTGCTCAAAGGCCCGGATGACGCCCTCGACGAAGCCGTTCCCGTAAGGGATGAGGCCCTGGCCGCTCGCGCCATTTCCGAACGGGTCGAGACGGAGGTCCTCGAATGACGTCCGCAGTACGGGGCGGTCCTCTGGGCCTGGCCGCTTGTTTGTTTGCAGGCCGGGGCTGGGGACTGAAGACTCGAGAGTCCAGGCCCTTGAGGTGACGGCGAGCAGTTCTTGGGAGGAGCTGACGACGCGGTCTGTGTTTGCTCCGACCTTTTCGGGCTGTGGTCGGATGGTGACGGGCATTTTCGCTGCTTGGAGAGATTTCACCTGCGCTTTGCGTGTTGTTTACGGAGAATACTATCCCTGAGTGATTTAACGGTACATGTTACTTCAAAGATTTATCAAGTTACGCCCATTAGGCTGATTTTCTCATGGCTGCCTTGCTTATTTATTAGCGTGAGGGTGATGTTCAGCTTGTGAAACGTCGCCTCAGCTCACCAACACCTTATATATTACTTCCCCGGGGATATCATTCAACAAAAGCCCCTGTGGTGCAGTGGTCAGCGCGCTCCGTGCTTTCTTCTCGTGATGTACTCGTACTGAGGACCTTACCGAGCACATAGGATAAACCCTGCCAAGGTGCACCTTGGAAGGGGGAAATCTTGCCAGTGGTTGGTGCTCCTTTAGTGTGAGTACATGGCGGTAAGGGAGATACGGAGAGACCCTTGGTTCGATTCCAGGCGGGGTGTTTTCTTTTATCTTTTTTTTTTTTCCCTTTTCCCCTCCTCTGTCCCCCTTTGCCCTGCAGGCCCTCGGCTGTGAGAGTTGTTGAAGCGGGGCCCTGCTTTGCAGCTTTGGAAACAAGAGTCTTGACGCTGACGGTGTGTTTCATAATTTTTCTCGCTGGGTGTCTCTGTACTGGCTACAAGCGATGAGTCTTCGCCGTAAGTCGATATTGCGTCGCATTCTCTTCAACTCTTGGAGGCACATTCATGGGTAATCTGGTTCGTTCGATCTCAGATACAAAAGCAGTTACTCCACGTATTTAACTAGTCTCACTACCACACCTTAGTCTTCTGCCGAGATGTTCAATAGTTTCATTGCATTATGTTTCTGTTCGATCTTGACCCGTAGGCCCTGCTCATCTTGACAAAACATTAAGACCGTGGAATGAGACGCCCGCTTCTATTAGGCTTTGTTGATGGGACGAGGCAAGAAATTGCACCCGGCGCAACCTCATTGCATTGCTTCTATGAGTGGACCGAAGCTTTTATCCCTCCCCAATTCAGTAGCCACTTGACCTGATATCCCAGAGATCTTCCAGGCTCTTTGACTAACATGAATTTGGCGCTGGCGAGCGACACACCAAATTTAATGATATGATGTGTTCCAGTTCTCCAAACCAAGTGTAGCTTGACTCCACCGATGACGGGTAAATCTAATTTGGTCAAGAGCCTCTCTGTGCTTTGGTTGAGAGGTACAGTATTATTCTTGGGCTTGCTGCAGTAGGCTCTTGCACCGATAGGCTGATATACTTTGATGAATATAGCAGTGGCCTTAATGATAAACATGACGACCCGAAAATACGCGAACCAATACAAGAAGGTTTGCCAGAGTCCTTGATCATCTGGAAAACTGGTCAGACTAAACCAACGGGTTGCCATTTCCAGTTGATATCTCAGCCGCCCTGGACAAATATTCGGTCAGTCTTGAACAAGAAATGTACAATAATTTAGCAAGCTTTGAGCATCCCCTGACCAGGGATCCTTTGGCATTCTAGACCAATTTTCTGGCCTAATTGCATGTGTTTGGCAAAAGTAGTTGTGTTGTTCGCAAAATACTTGGGAAGGGAAAAGGCCCTGAGGAAGAGTTCTCATTAAAGAGGTGTTTGCTTTGACAATTACTTACACAAGCGTAGCATTGCTTTACTTACTGGTTCATATTGTTATTCGATGGCCCTAAGAGGGAGAGGAGAAGTCAAGTGAAATCAAAGAGCGAGTGAGGTGCAGAGATCAACACGCAAAGCCTGCTGATTGTGTTTCCAAGGCGTGAGCTTCAAAATCTCTCCTATTTTGCAATCTCGCGGGTCTTAGTTTCTAATTTTCTTTGCTTCCTGTTTAATTTTCTCGACGATTACAGGTTGAGAAGATACTAAATAGGTGTGGATTTGCACTTGATTGTCATCCCGCACACCAAAACTGGTACGAGGTCTCTTAATCACACTCCATATTCTACCACCTGTTCAGAGCTGCGAACATAAAGAAAAAGTTCTTGAATAGGTGCGCCAAATTCTATTTCGTTTCTGAATCAGACGAACACCCGCATTTAGAAGTCATAAATAATCTAATTCAGGATAAACTTGGTAGGATGGAGATATAGATCGTCGCACGAGCTTGATGTTGAAGCTATTCTCAAGGAAGTAAATGCTATCTATCTTGAAATTTTATTACCTCCTCTAGTGTAACCGAATATCCCGTTAGATATCTCACTCTCGTTCCCTCCGAATAAAGTCCCTTATTTGCGAATAAGGCCAGAGATAGCACTCTCTCGCCAGCTCCAGAGGCTAGTTAAAGTAGCACCAGGCCCAATAACAATGTTACCAAACACCACTGCAAGGGCAGCCTTGACTGCATCTTGAGTACGGACATACCCATCCCTGCGAAGCTGCCAGATAGAGTACAGACCGTGGGCCGCAAGAGCGCCCATAGAAAGGAGCATGTCGTACTTGAAGAACAGCCCGGCCTCAGTTGCGCGGTTTGGCAGATTCCAGTTCTTTTCAAATGGGTTAGGCAGACCACAGAAGATCTTGCCAAGAGAAAGGTCAGGATGCGTGTAGATGTACGCCATCGTGACAATGTGGCTGGTGGCTTGGACCAATGTAGCATACGAGTAGGCTGACTTGAGGCCGGCTACGTCGTCGTCACTGTAGATGGCCAGACGCTCCTCTTTGGCCTCTTGCTTCTTCTCCTCTTTAGTCTTGTGCTTGCCCAAGTTCCTCCACCATCGAAGACCAGCCGAGAACACAGTTGTAAGAATGGGCACCATAGGCGGAGCGAATTGCCAAAGAGCTGTCCAGTCCTGCCAGGCAACGACATTGGAGGGAATCATCATGAGTACGGTGGGCACAAGATATCCCAGAGTAAGGGCCGGAACGAGCGAGTTGACAACGTCGGGCTTGACAAATCGGTAATGAACACCAGTGTCACTGAGGGAGGAATGGAGAAGAGCCCAGTAAGGGGCGATGTGGCCAATCCCCCTCAGCTGAATCAGAGTAAGGAAGAGGGCAGGCAAAGAGAGGATATTTGTCCTGTTTGCCTCGCGATTTCCCTCTACTGTCCAGACAAGAATGGATCCGACCAACTGAGAGAGAAAGTGGATTGCTTGGACTCTGGTAGCAAGATTCTCACTTGCGATGACGTCTGAGAAGACGGAAGTCATCACTCTGAGAAGATTTCCAGCACCCGTGGAACTAGCCCAAGGCCGGATGATGGGAACTGCATTGGCCCAAAGGGTCCTGTCTGAGACGTCGAGCCGCATTGACTTGCCTGCGAGATATATGGTAGCGCCCATTGCACCACCAAACGCAGCCCAACCTGCCCATGCAGCAATCTGACTAACCGGCTTTGCAGGGAGCTCGTCCTTGAAGGGTACCACATGGGGTCGTTGAGGCTTGGGCAGATAATGAAGGGAGGGAGCGTCAGCCATAAGCCCGCATTGCGCGTCGATCAAGAAGCTCTCCTTGACAAAATTGGGTAACACACGCAGTGCAATCCAGGTCTTGAGCGGGTTTTCAGTGCCATTAACAACCTGATTCTCGTATGATTCGTCCACAACCTTCTTGGCACGGCTGATTCTCGAGGACTCGACATAATCCATGATCTTTTTGACGTCGCTGTCCTCTAGACCATTGAGGCCCTGTGGACGCTCCTTTTGTACGTTCAAGATACCATTGACGAGCTCTGCAGCAGACTCGAATGCTAAATTGGCACCCATTCCGGTGCCAGGATTTGGCTAGGTTGTCTGATGTTAGCTGGCCGTCGTACTAAGAGAACCGGAAATTGTTTCATTACCTTGTGAGCCGAGTCTCCCATGGTGATAATTCTTTTGAATGACCACTTGTCGTATACTGTATGATGGAGAGGTGTCATGCCTCCCACGACTCTGTGGTCGTAGAGATCCTGGAATCGAACCTTGTCGGCGATTCTTGTATTAGAGTACTTCTTAATAAATGCCGCCTCCTCCTCGGCGGAAAAGCGCCTTTGAATATCATCTCCATATGGGGTTTTGCTGTATTTCTCATCAAGCAAGTAGAAAACTTGGCCATTGTGTCCTGGGAAGACGAAGTAACTGAAGCCCTTTCCTTGGGAAATATACACCTCCTCGAGAGAAAGGTTAGGAACGTCCTTGGCGATACCATAGGTGGCAAAGTAATAACAAGGTACTTTGGAGGAAGGATTTTCAGCAAAATATCCGGGCTGGACCTCCTTGGCGATGCGATACATGGTCTCTCTGACCGCACTGTAGATTCCGTCTGCTCCAACAACAATACTTCCCTCAAAGATCTGGCCGTCGTTGGAATGGACTTGGACACCATCCTTCTTCAGCTTAATATCAGAAACTCGCTTATTCAATTGAATATTTTCCTTCTTCTGGATCTTGTTGTGCAGTAGGCGCACGAGGGATGGGCGGTCCACAAAGAGCACCGGATATCCAAATCTGCAAACGGTTAACTGTGCTCGATATATTACTCCCCATGGTATCCTCTCTCACGCGTCAGCTTCTTACCTTTTCTCATAATGCTCGTAGCCATCGCGGCATACGAGATGTTGTCTCCCATCATAACCCTGGACCCTGTGAGTATGATAATGAGCTAGGCCCAAGGCTTTAATGGGCTCGTAGCATCCGATTTGGTCCAGAATGCGGCAGCCATTGGGGCACACAGCTATACCCGCACCGATGGCCGGAGCAATCTCGCCACGGGACTCTAGGAGAACATAATCAATGTCGAACTTTTCCAGCATGATGGCCAGGGAGAGGCCGGCAAAGCCCCCTCCCACGATGACCACCTTGAAGGGTCTTTGGTCTTTGGCAGCACCCATGTTTGCGTAAGTATAAACGTCTAGTGATAGGTAAAGTTGGAGAAGAATCAACGGGGTCTTATGAGATAGTCGGTGTAGTTTTAACTCCGGTCATCCCTTGATTATGCTGCGGGCGTTAGAAGGTGGTGTCTCGGAAGAGCGGTGTCTCGAAGAAAGACACTGAGGAATTCAACGCGTAGGCCTCGGCCGGCAGTCACTCTTGAACCTTTATTTGCGGGTACCATCAGCACAGTTCTTTGCTCGTCGACTCCGTAATCCTGGCTGTTATCTCCTTGTCAAAGTCAGCGCTTTTCTATTGTATGGCCCCGACGTAGCCTGCCTGAAACAGCCATCCTTGCTGCTCCACCTACTCAACCCACGTTGCGCAAGGATTCTTCATCACTCATTGCAGGAAATCCGAAAGGATCCATTATCGGAAAGGCCGGGGAACACTATTTCAACTTAGTGTTCCTACGTTTTCGAAATGGATCAAGCTAATATTGCTTATGTGCACAGGGAGCCATGCCATGTGCCTGCTGTATGTGGGAAGATGGGGGCGACTTTCAATAAATGGAGTATTTAAGACACCGCAGATGGAATAGTAAACATGCTAATTAGTTCACCAACTGCCCCATGTTCCGGTTGCGGTAGAGATGAACCACACGGCTTTCTCTCATCACACCACTTGAATACTAGAGGATATGATCTTTGACGTATGGAGTATAAGATTTTCCATGCCTTTCTTATCTACTGAACCACTCAGACGATATGACGGAGACATTGATGATTCATTGGACTGTCTGATCATTCGAGAGCTTCCCGCCCAGAATCTAAGACATTTAACGCCGGGACATTTTTTCACTCCTATCTACCTGTTCCAGCTCAGAATAAGCTCTCAGCTGGAATCGACTAATATCCTGTGGGAATTAGTACTGAGCGTATTTATGATGAGCTATCACTTATGAACGTGTAAAGCCGATACAAGAGCCCAGGCAGTGAACAAGGAACTGAATCACAACGCTCTGAGTTCATCTTCCACGTTGCAAAGAGAGCAGACAAAACGGCATTGGAGGGTTGCAGTCGGAGATAAAGCCACGCATTACCGGTAAGCAGTAGGATGTGCCGCAATGCTTTGTAGGGGTCCAATTGGTACAAGGATGGAGGTTGGGATGGAATCTGACATGCGGGGTCTCGAGGTGCGGAGTCATTTTCCAGACCATTCAACAAATGATCAATCATGGGCGTCGAACCGAAATCAGATAGCTCTTCCGAGCTCACAATGGAGTTCACAAAGGAGTCCCCTACGACCGCCGTCACTAGCGACGAAGCGAAGTTGCTGAGGGATCCTGAAACTCCAATGTTGCCAACGGCAAGGGTCGCGCAAGCCCCTGTGTCCAGCAGCTGGTTTGACCCCAGATCTTTCACAAACCCGCAGTGGGCGTCAAATGTATCTCACACAGTCAGTGATGCTATAAATTACATCGCCGGCCAATTTTCAGAGGAGACTTTGGGTTTGGCTGAGGAGGAGAAGAGGCGGTCCGAGGCGATCGATCAGTTTCTTGATCAAGAGTCCCACAGACGAGACCGACAACTGAAAGTGATCATGTTTGGCGACATCTGGCAAAAGCAAATCCTCTGGAGGCATTCTCGTCTAATTGTGCAGCCATTGTCAAGCCAAGAGCGGTCGGAATTGGTCCCTGAAGTACGGCGAGCTGTTCTTGACATGGCAATGACTGTTCTTCACTATCTGGATGAAGAAATTATTTCCAAGATGAAAGAGAAGAACTTGGAGGAAGACTGGACTCGCAAGATCAGAGCAATCAGATCACTCCACTGGAAAGACGAAACAGAAAGAGTCAACCAAATCCTGGCTTTAAACATCGAGACTTTCCACGCTCAATTGGAACATCACGGAGTTTCGATGAAGGAGGTATATAGCAAAGCCCATTTTTTCGATGAACCTGGATTTTTGGGCTGCCCATATTATGATAGTCAAGACATCTTCAAACAGGTAGAGAGGGTGTACGCTACAGACTACGAGCCGACAGACCACGACTTTTTCCACTTTGACCGGCGTTTATCCCTAACACTGATACGAGAAGTTAGAATCGAAAAGATCGGCTACTCTATCCAACTGCAAGATCCGGTTCGAAATATGGGTGAGCGACGAAAATGGATCCACCATATGGAGAACCCTACTGGTCTATTGTTCATTGCCGATATCAGCCATTACGATGAAGTACTGTTGGAGGATGACTCGTCGAACGTGTTAGACGAGCAGATGGTGGCTTACGAGTCAGTCCTTTCGTCCAAGTGGTTTTTCAAGGCTCCATTACTGCTTGTCTTGTCCAATGTGGTGTTATTTGAGTCCAAGCTGGAAATCTCACCCCTTGCCAAGACCTTCCCGGACTACGAGGGCACAAGCTTGGATGATGCAAAGGCATATATTGCCTCTCGATTTCTGAGTCGAGCCAAGGACCGGACAGACATTCATGTAGTCTATCTCAATGTGTGCGATGAGCAGAGTGTGCGCGAGCTTCTTGACGTTATGGAGGGAACAGTTCTCAAACCAGCACTTGCGAAGCTCGGTGTTATTGCGTAGATTAAGCTTTGGTTTTTGATATTATGATGGACCCATGCTTCATTTTCTCTCAATACGGGAAAGAAGAATATAGGGCATTTCTTAATATAACGTGGTGAGATCGGTTGATGGATGTGCGACTTCGTATGAATTGGGATCTGTTAAATTCAATCATCATGCTTCGACTACTCTCCATAATTTCCTCCCAGTCAATGAAGAGAGCCAGCCATTGAGACTCTTAGACCTGAGGGTAGGCCGTATAGTTCCATGGCCTGCTGTTCTGTAGCAACTGGTAGTCCAGTCCCTTTGCTCCTGCATTCATGTAGAAGAACTTGGTAAAAGGCACCATTCCTCGGTATGAGAACTCTACATTTTCGGGGATAAAGGCCACGTCACCCGCGATCAAGGTAGCCTTTTCATAGCCCTTGATGGCCAGTTCAAGTAGGCCGTCTTCCATCTGCAAGCCAAAGTGGTTGGGCAGGACAGTGACATCTCCGGTGGGCTTGGGTGACAGGATGACGGTGCCAGTGGTGAAGTTCTTTCCGAGCGTGATGTCGGCGGTGGCTAGCGGTTGAATGATCTTGTAGCCCGACTCTTCGTTCAGGTACTTGGGACCGTAATCCTTTGCGATGAAGTAGGGAAGCGTGGGGTCGGTCGGTATCTCGTTTGGTCCATCGTGCCAATGCAAAGACTTGTCACCGGCTGTTCCGTTGACAAAGTCTCTTCGAGGGATCCAGGGTGCATCGTCGTAGAAGGCATAGAGATCCAGACTCTGCAGAGTGGCATCCTCCTTGGGCGTAAGTGCGCCGAAGGGGGGCTTGTCGTTTTCGGCTGGGACAAATGACGAGCTGATTCCCGCCGTGCCGAAGTCGCCTGAGCTGAAAACCTCGAACAGATGCTCAAATCCAGCAGGGTGGAAAACGTGCGTCAGTGACGAGTCGGGGTCGGTGAGCTGGAAGGTGTGAATCCCGTAGGGGGGAATGCTGCCGTAGTCACCCACGGTGGCTACGCGGGCCTCGTGGCTCGCATTCCCCTCGTCCTTCATGCCCCAGAGCTGGACGCGGCCACGAGAGCAGTAGAAATGCTCTTGAACCTCGTGGTGGCGGTGAGGACGCGCAGATGTGTAGCCCTGGACGTTGCCAGTGTGCTGGAGGAGAGCAAACGCACCGCCGGAGGAGTTGTTGGTAATGGAGTACCGGATCACTTGGGTCTCAGCCAGCTTGGTCGCCTTGCCTCGGAACTTTGGTAGGACGTATGGCCTGACATGATCGGGAGCTTCCATGACGATGATACTCTCGTTGTTGACTGCAACACCCAGAGCAGGAGCGGCAACTGCAGCAGCTGCCGCCAAGACGGTAGGGACTCTCATGTTCGCTAATTGACTGTGAGCAGATCAGGATTCGACTCAAGAGAGCGAAGAGGACGCGTTCAATTGTTGATCCTGTTGAGCAGGACGAAACCTTCTTATAGAACCTGACTCCGGAACCGAAGGCCACCTTCCCGATTCGCTATGCTGACAGGGTTATTGAGAATGAATAATTAGGAAGAGTGGCAACTTTAGATTGTCGATGTTACGACATGGAGAAGTCCAAGAAGAGCTTTAACCCAAGGTTGAAAATACATGGCGGTTTGAGTAGAAATAGACAATCTGGCATATCATGAGACCCCTTTCGCTGGAGTAAGCGTGATATCTTTGGACTTTCGAAGGCCGTCCCATAATTTTTCAATTGGAGGCGGCGTATAGCAAAATGATCAACATACAAAAGCCGCCCTATGGTTCGAGAAGGCTCCGATAATCTGAAACTTGGATCATTCCAGTTCCGGAATATATGGTTGCTGGATGCATGATCGAAATTAGTTCCTGGAGCGGCATCCTACTAGGATCTATCCCCCCGGCTGCCAAGATGTGCATGTTGCATTCATCCCACGTACGTATGCGCTTGATCACTGGATTTCACAGGCACTCGGAAACTCTCCTATCATCTGTAGAATACGTGCTTACTCTATCAAGGAGGTGGCATTCCTGCGATTCGGAAAAAAGATCGATTGACGATGAGGGTAACGGAGTCACCGTTTGCTTTGTGGGGCTGGAAGGCGAATCTGATATTTATAACTTCCTAGTTCAGGCAGTTGTAGGATTCTCAGGGTGTAGGATCCTGGCGGTACGCGCGCCGAATGGAACTTTGGTCTTTGGGGTTTGACAGAGTGTTTCTTCGTGAGTTCTGAGTTCCGGCAGCTTTTGAAAGGCTTGTTGACAAAAGCAAACTACATATCTTTCTATGTTGCCCATGCCTACTATGTCTCCCAAGGAGTGTATTCGCTTCTGAATTTGCACATCTCCGCTTTCCAATGTTTACGCTAAAACATGCCTGGTGACTTCTTCGGTGAGCCGGTTTGCCATCGCTTCCAATCAGCATAGGGCCAAGTTGCGAGCAATTGCCCCGCCGGCAGATATTACGAGGCCATGGATCGGTGTACAAACGGTGATTATGGTATAAAAAACTCAAACTGCAAGCTCTTGCAGAGACTAGACAAGTGGGTGACATTGGAAATGGCACGCCCAGGCACTATCTCAGGTTACCACTTAGCAGAGGCCTACTTTCTAATCTTCCAAAATAAGAACTAAAGCTTATAAAGAAAAAAATTAAAATACAATGAATGGAAATTAGACTTTAGAGATTAGGTATATATTTTTATTCTATTCTATTTCTCTGAGTTCAATGGTTAAATTGAAACGGATGATACTTTGGTGTGACACTTTCAATGTCACCCACTTGCTAGATAATGCTGATATTGAGGAGGGAGCAACGGATGCCTAGACCTGCTTGAGTTCTCGACGTTACAACAGGGATGACGTTGCAAGCATTATAGTTGATGATCAAAGAAGAAATCAAGATTTCTTGGCTATCCACTGGTGGTTGCGGGGTACCAGCTAAGAGGACAGAGGCTCGGGACAATATCCATGTGATGGAAGGCAGACTACATCCAAATCGTTTACATTTAGCGACCCTGGCAATCCTCCACGAATCAAAATGGCTGGCTGGGATCTACGTGCTCTCTAGGGGTTAGATAGTGGTGTCTAAAGTCAATGCAACGCAACGGAATTCCGCAACTAAATGCTTACATGGTCCCGCAACTGCCGGCTTAGACTCTCACATCCTGGATGAGTCCAACTGATAGTAGACTCCTTTCCCCGCTTGACGGCACTCCAATCCCAATGAGTACAAAAAGGCGTCGCTTCCCAAGTTTGATCAGTTTTGTCTTCCACTTGCTACTTTCTTGATACCAGGTCGACTCATTTCCTCCTCAACCCCTCTTCGAACGCTCAACTCGACTCCACCTGTCAGCTTACGCCATGGGTCTCTACACCGATCTTCCTCCAGAAATCAATGCCGTAGACATCATCATCGCCGGTGGCGGCACCGCTGGTTGCATTGTGGCATCCAGAATTGCCGATGCCGACCCAAACCTGTCCATCCTGGTCGTCGAGGCTGGCCCCGACGGAGCTGGGAACCCCAGCGTGGATTACCCCGTCTTCTTCTTGGGGAATATCCACCCTACCTCTAGCGTGTCGACCTTTTACAAGAGTAAGAAATCCAGCTGCACGGGCGATCGCGATATTTTCGTGCCCACCGGCAACGTGCTCGGCGGTGGTTCGGCTATCAATATGATGTACTATAATCGTGCTCAGCGCTCGGACTGGGATTCGTGGAACGTGCCCGGTTGGTCTGCCGACGAGTTACTCCCGTACATGAAAAAGGTTCGGACTTATCTTGGAACAAGCTTCTCCGGTTCTTTTTTTCCAAAACTGGCAACTTTGAAATCTGACTTGGTGTCCAGCTTGAATCGTACCATGGCCCAGGCTCGATGGACGACCATGGAACTGATGGCCCGGTCCAAGTATCGAAGGGCACTTATGCTTCTCCCAGAATACAGGACCAATGCATCTCGGCGATGAATGAGCTCGGGTGGCCGGAGATTGATGACTTCTACAGCGCAGAGACCTGTAATGGGGTTCAGCGCCCAGTTCGATACATCTCTCGCGATGGCAAGCGCCAAGATACGGCATCGCGATACCTGAGACCTCGTCTCGAAGACAACAAGCATCCCAATCTCCATGTTGTTGTTGGCACCAAGGTCGTCAAGGTTCTGATTGAGGGTCGACGAGCCACCGGTATAGTGCTCAAGGGCATTGCGGCAGAGGGAATGGAGCGCACGATTCGAGCCAACAAGCTGGTTGTTGTATCCGCAGGCACGTTTGGTACACCTGCAATCCTGGAGCGGTCCGGAGTTGGCAGCGCCGAGGTCTTGGAGCGTGCTGGCGTTGCTCAGGTTGTCGACCTTGCTGGTGTTGGAAGGGAGTATGAAGATCACAGCATGGTAATGTACTCATTCAAGTCTGCTCTGGAGCCCGAGGAGACTATAGATGGGATTCTGAGAGGCAAGATGAACCCTGCGGAGCTGATACAGAGCAACCACGCGATTTTAGGGTGGAACACCGTGGAGGCTTCAATTAAAATCCGGCCAAGCGAGAAAGACATTGCTACATTTTCTCCTGAATTCAAGGAGCATTGGGATATTGTGTATAGAAACAAGAAGGATAAGCCTTTGATTTTGATGGCTCTTATCTGCACGTAAGTCCAAGGATCATTGACTCAAACGATGCCAATAGCATGCTGACTGAAACAGCTATCCTGCGGATCCCACTGGGGTTCCTGAAGGACAGTATTTTGGCATGCCCGCCTTCACTCCGCACTCTCTCTCGAAGGGTCACCTCCACATTACTGGCCCGGGCTTGGATGATCCCGTTGATTTTGACATCGGGTGCCTTTCAGATGAAAAGGGGATTGATCTTCAGAAGCACAGGTGGGCGTACAAGAAGCTTCGAGAGATTGCCCGCCGCATTGGTGTCTACCGTGGAGAGTACGCGCCTGATCACCCTCCATTCCCGTCTGACTCGAAGGCTGCGTGCGTTGAACTCGACGGACCACCTCAAAACGTGAAAGACATTGAGTATTCCGCCGAGGATGATGCCATTATCGATGCTTGGATACGGGATAAAGTCAACTCGATATGGCATTCCCTCGGTACATGCAAAATGGCTCCGGTCGAGAATTACGGTGTCGTCGGCCCCAATCTGAGTGTCCATGGGATCCAGGGCTTGAAGTTGGCTGATATGAGCATCGCCCCGAAGAACGTGGCTGCCAATACGAACCATACAGCACTCGTGATTGGAGAAAAGGCGGCGGATATTATCATCAAGGAGCTCAATTTGTGAACAAATGCTATACTTTTGACTGTCTAAACTGCCCTTGTCTCTCTTTTCTCTAAGGTCATCAAAACCATCGCACAATCTTGAAATAGCCATCAAAATGTCAAGAAGAAAAAATCATCATGGCTTGAAGCCGCTACGCCGTACCATCTCTAATAGTAATTTGTCCACCATTGCGGACTCAACCACTGCTCCGAATCTATCAGCTGCGTTAGTTTTTCGAAGCTCATTGGAACTCAATCGATTTCCATAAGACAGAAGAATGGTAACATACCCATGACATTTAGCCGCGTCTCGTAGTTTATCCGCCAGCAGGTGCAGTCTTTGCGCGTCGATCTGACCGGAATATGGTTGATTCTGGATGTGCTCCCATATCTGGACCGGCGTCTGCTCCGTCCCGGGACACAGCTCAGGCGAAAGACGAAGGAGTCGATCAAGGATTGCTACTGGGGCTGCTTGTGACGTTTTGTCGACGTGTGGCATGTTGCATGATTCCAGCATCACTGTTGCCGTAAATGCATGACCGTGGGGATCATCTGGTTGATTTGGGTCGCCATGAATATGACCAAGGCAGATGCTTTCGAGCCTTGTTGGGGGGGACATTAGCGTTTGGACCGGGTCTAGATTTCGTCTGGCAACAAGGCACTCACCTGAGAACGAATTCCATCCTTATCCTAGCTAGATCAGAATCCTGAGGAGAATGGCGGTTGGTGTCAAGTGTAGCTGGTGTTACCATATTGAAGCTCTGTTGATTTGAGAGTAGCTCGTCAAATGTACGAGCTGGAAAGGCTCCCGCCATGTTTGGAGTGTGGCCGCCATTTGGTGGACTATATTGCGTGTGCACCTCACCCCGGGCCGAGCCGAGCGATAGACCAGGAGGGAGTTCAATGCCTTGCTGGGACAGGTAGCTCATGAGAGCATCGGTGGTGCCACGAAGCCTTTCAACCTCCTGAGTAAGGCCGGTTTCGCGAAGTGCCGCCTGTGCTAGCTGCTGTTCGAGGCATTTGGTGTACTTCTCTTTCCTCCGATGCGTTCTGGACGGATCGTGAGAATGGTGATGTCTTGTTTAGGGGCATGAAAACATACTGCTGAGCACGACGGAGTTGTCCCCGGCGTTTTGCTACAGGGTCCTCGCTTTTTCCTGCCCTCCACGTAAGCATTTGATCAAGGGATCGGCGGAGCAAGTCATTATACGAACCATCAGGCTTGAAAATCCGGAAGATATCGCGACTCATTGCTGATAAAGCGCCTGAAACCGTGCCAATTAGGGGAGAAATGGAGAGCGCAATCCTGGTAGACTCCCGCTAGGCCAATAGGGGTTCGCACAATCCGGGATCGGGAATTGTTTCTTCAGGTACTCTTCCTGAATCCACGAGAGTGATATTGCCAGTGGTCGAATGCGTGCGTCGGTGTTGTGTTTTGGAAGAAACTGTGCTGTCATCACTAGTTCAGCTTGAAGATGAAGCAGGGTTGATACGAGACCAAACCAAATCAAGAAATCTTGATTACCGCCCCTCATAATCAGCCGGAAGAGTGTCGATCCAAGCCCAAACTGGAAATTCTGATTATCGGCTCAATGCCTCCACAGTGATTGGCAGTAATGACGGTTGTCAGCCCAGCATAGCCCGTCATCAAATGTTTTCCAGGATAGGAAATCTTGATTAACTTCCATTTGGGTTGAGAGCAGAGCATTTCGATATATAAGGTTTGACTATCTCCGGTGTTTGTCCAGCCAGTCTTTGCATCTCAACAGTTCATCAAGACAACCAAGAGTTCAAGAGTCCAAGACGACATTCATTCACTCACCTCCGCCCACTTTTGCTTCCCATTTTCACCATGTACACAACAGTTCTAGCGTTTCTCTGCCTTCCCCTGGCCATGGCAAGCCCGTGCCAGGGAAGAGATCCCTATAAGACTGCAATTTACCTTACAACAAACGAAGACCAAAACTCGGTCGTCGCCCTGCCCATCGGCCGCAATGGTCTCCTCGGAAATGGGACAAGTATTGCAACTGGCGGACGCGGTGCAAGTGGTCTGCTTGCAAGCAACAACCAGCCTTCCGCTCCTGACTCCCTTTTTAGTCAATCAGCTCTCACGGTGTCTGGCAAAGTCAGTCTTCTCTCTCTATTTTCAAATCCGAATTACGTGCTAATGATGTGCTATTGCAGTATCTCTTTGCTGTCAACGCCGGGTCCAATTCCCTTTCCATGTTTCTTATTGACCATAATGACTCCACCAAACTCACCCTGGTGCAAGAGCCTCTGTCTCTCCCAGGAGAATTCCCCGTAACCGTCGCAGCCTCTCAAAAGAAGAACTTGGTGTGTGTGGGATTCAGCGGCGCCAAGGCCGGTATCTCGTGCGCTAAATTCTCCGCGCATGGTATCGAAGCGATGGACCAGTTGCGTCCTATCGAGCTGGGGCAGACTACGCCGCCTCACGGTCCTCTGAACACCGTTTCGCAGGTCTTCTTTGCTGCGGATGAGAAAACTTTGTATTCGACTGTCAAGGGTGACCCAATGGTCAACAACACTGGCTACTTTGCCTCATTCCCAGTCCAGGATGGCAAAGTCAGCAATGAGGGAGTCAGGTCATCTCCTAACGGGACAGCCGTGCTTTTCGGGTCCGTGGTCATTCCCGGGACAAACGATGTGTTCGTGACCGATGCCTCTTTCGGTGCCGCCATTCTGGATGTTACCAAGGATGGCAAGGCTATCTCTGCCCATCGAGGACCAATCGCCAACCAAATGGCCACTTGCTGGGCTACCTTGAATGAACGCACAGGTACTGGATTCGTTACCGACGCAGCTGTGAACAGGCTGGTTGAAGTGTCGCTTGCGGACGCCAGTGTCCAGAGCAGCATCGACCTGAGCGCAAACGGCGACCCTGGACTTCTCGATCTTGTCTCCCATGGCAAATATGTCTACGCCTTGAGCGGCGGTAATGGAACTACGGAGGCGGCTATTGTAGTTGTTGACGCCATCAGCAAGAAGCAAGTGCAGCATCAGGGCCTGACTTACTTGGGGGCAGGCAAGAGTTCGGCAGGCCTGGCTATCAACTAATCTTAGATCATCATTCAGCGATTATGATAGCATTGTTTCAAGTCGCATCGGGTATAGAGAGGTTATGTGGCTCAGATGCCTAGGGCCATATTCAGTGTGATTCTTTTAGACAGATAGATAGATTCTTCCCAATACATCTTGTTTCCAAGTTGGATAGCAAGTTATTCTAATTGCTCTTGATTGAAAAATAATGAAATCTGAACTCGGTGTCTTGTACGACTTCTTTCCGAAGTGAAAGAGTGTGTGCCGCTGGTCGGCGATATCAATCAATCGGGTTGTCAATGCGAAACAGTGTCTCGTGACAAATTCAAACCACTGGCTGACCAAGGTGCAAAACTCGGTCAAAGACTGGCAGCTTATTCCTCCAGACAGAGTCGAAATTGCTGTGGCTGGCTGGCTGACATGCCCATTGGGCACAGATTGATGCGGGCGCTTCAAAGTCCTGTCCTACTGGCCAAGAGAGTGCCATTGATAAAACGTACGTCACCCCATTCGAGAGCTCATGCATTGTGCACTTTTCATCATCACCGTCGCACCGCAGATGAGGGGTTGAAGTCGCCCCCTCTTCCATCGTTTCTCGCCCTGCCGCGAGTTTTCTTTCCTTGACTAGTCGTGGAGTGATCCTTCGTTTCAGCATAGAGACTCGCGCTCCTCAGCATACCAGCGCTTGTGAGAATACCTGAGCCTCTCAGCAGCCTGATTAGGCAGCCAGGCAGAAGAGTGTGTAACCATGGCTCGCTTCCGAGCGATGGTCAGCTACCCCTTCCGACTCGTCGCCTCCGGTGCCAAATGTGTCAAGAACATCCTCCAAGGCATCTGGGGCCTCTTCCCTTGGTCCCATCGGAAGCGGATGGAGCGAGAGGACAAGGAGCGGGAGCTCGCGCATAACCAGTACTTCGTCGACCACATCCTCAGACCGGCTGCCGCTGCGCCCATCAGCACAGTCCTGGACGAACCTCCATCGGAGAATACCAGCCCCCTCTTCAATCGGATCCCACCGGAGATCCGTCGCGATATCCTGCTGCATGCCTTTGGCGAGCACACGCTGCACATGGACCTGGGATTCCAAGCCCCGCCCAAGCGCGTGGACGAGGAGCCTACCGATCCTGATACGACTGCCCATGCGGGGATTGAATCCCAAGAGTTCATACCCTTCGGCGATATAAAGGGAGAGTGGAGATGGGCCGGCAGCGTCTGCCATCGCTCCCCGCCGGAAGACAACCCATTGTCGCTGGGCCGGCTTCGAAGTGATCCCCTCGTACGCGCCAGAGGTTCGGATTACACCGACGGGTGCTTGGTTGGCGAGGCCGCCTGTCCGCATTGGCCAGGACAGTGGCCCGTCAAATGCCAGATCGGCATCATGGGCTGGCTTTTGAGCTGTCGCCAAGCGTGAGTACCACCACTGGCCTCTAAACCGGCTACTTGCTTACTTCTCTTGTTACAGGTATCTGGAGGGAATGGAGGTCCTGTACGGAACAAACACGATCCAGGTCTCGTGCAAACTTCTCCTCCGTGGCTTCCCGGAGCTGGTCTCCTCGACTGTCATGTCGCACATAACGTCGCTCAAGCTTGTCATCAACCCACAGAAGTTGCCCCTTCGGCGTGTATTCATGGGCCACTTTGAACAATTTCGCTATCGGCAGACACCGCAGAAACCGCTTTTCCCATCCCTGATCTATCTCCACATCTGGCTCACCGGTCCGGATTATGAACTTCTTGGTATGGCAGACGCCGATGCGCTTATGGCTGCAAGTCACAATGTGACCAACATATACGCACCACCGGACTTGGATACTATGATTATCAGACTTGCACCGGCTACAGCAACCGTGACTGTGACTTGCCCGTTCACTGTGTGGTACACGGAAGTTCGAGGGGATCACTATAATAGTCAGGGGGAGGAGTGGACACAGCAGCGAGAATCGGACTATGGAGGCCTGGAGTTCTGGCGTCAGATGCCTGTTGAAGGGCAGCTGCCCAAGACAACTGAAGAGTGGCAGGCAGCCAAGAAGAATGGGCGAGGATTCTGGATCCATCGTGGTCTAACAGAAGATGCCCCTCTGATCCGGGAAGAGCAGCACTGAGGGAAATGAGCGGGCGAGAGTTGGGTTTGCAAGTCTACTTTGTCCTTTAGGTCTACCTTAGCAGCTCACCAGCTGATAAAAGGTGAGAGACAAGTTGTACGCTTTTCATAATATTAATCTTTTGTCTTGCGCTGGCGGCGATCCTTGTGACATGCCAGCGTCTTTAATTGGTCGCTGTTCCAGGATGGGCAACCATAACAGCCAAGAGTTGAGAACGAATTTCCAGGACCACCATGCCGTATCAATCATGAGGAGAGTATATCGGTGAAAGCCTTTCTACTCTGAAGGATCAAATCAAGCACACATTACTGTTGGAAGTTGCTCCCTCGATATTTCGGCATCTAAAGGATATGCGAAACGTCGAGGGGTAGTTGTTTGCGGACAGATACATGTAGACATCATTGTACGCGCTCGGTTACAGGATTGTTCGATTGCTCGTGGACAACATGAACTAAGGCAGGAAGATGTCGGCTTGGGCATGAGGCATGCTTTTTCGGCCTCCAGCACTTTGTCAGTTCCATATTGTCTCGTGTCTGTACTCCCCAACCTCCGTCCTTATATATTCGTGACGTACGTGACTAGTCAGACTATCCAAAGATCAAAGGGCCATGATGCCATGAACGAGTGGGAGATAGGGGAGGATCGACAAGACTTCGTAGCTTTCATCGTTCGCAATCGACCGCGGGAAATTTATCAACAAGTAAGAAATCCTAATAATAAGGGAGCCACTTAGTACAAGGGTCTTTGTTGTGTTAGCTGCCTTTGCCCAGTATCTTACCCAGCGGGAGTTGTTACCCTAGTTTAGTACGACAGAACGGCCAAAGACTGCTTCTCATTCCGCATTACTCACAAAGTTCAGTCTTCTCTTTGTTTCGTTGCCGCAAAACCGCACATGCAGGAATGGAAACAGACGACCAAGAATGCAACTGGAGAGAAAAAAAGGAGCCGGATTACGTGAACAAGCAACGAAGCCATCGTATCCACAAATAAGCTAAGAAAAGCTGCACGGGTCAGCTGATAGACGGGCGGGCAGAGGAGTGACACACGCGGGAAGTCTTTCATGCTGCGAGATGGTGACCCCCAACCGTGGTTACTAAATTTTGCCTATCCTAATTATGCTTCCGGTTTCACTGAACGGCAAGGAACGTGTCAACACGTCGTCAAAGGAGTTGTGAGACCTCCGGGTACCGGCATGTGTCCTGTAGGCTGATGGAGCTGGAATACCGGGGAATAAAGGAGAAAAATGGGGGTTTGGGCGGGTAATTTTGACATTCACTTCCCTAGGAGGAGACCCGAACGCTACCAGAATATTGGAAACGGCCAACGTGCCCAACAAATGAAGAACTCACGATGCAAGGCGGTATGGGAAAAGAAGGGCCTGCAGGAGGTGTCCCTTTTGGACAACCCGAGGGCAGGTCTCGGATATTGCTCCACCGAGAAGTGGAGGTGGAAAGATGGGCTTGAGCTTGTGCTCGGATGGTGGAGACGAAATCTGCATGCAAGCAGAGGCTAGATGGAGGGAGAAGAGACAGGGAGCAAGGGGAAGAAGCACGGAGTACCCAGAGCGGCAACAGGATGGGCACAACTCGGCCAACTCATCTGAGTGCGGTTACAAGTCACCTGGCCCTTCGCCCCTTTCCCGATGCATGCCACAGAGGATGGAAATGCCACGTCGCACAAGGGAGGTTACAGTGTCTAGAGTCACGAGGAATGGGTTTTCACACTTTGTCCGTGTTCTGATCATCCAGTGTTCTGCGCACACGGTGGTCGCTGCACAAACCTCACGATGGCTTCAAATTGCCGGATTGGTAAAGTGGACAGGACACGTCCCATACAGCAATGCCCCGTCAGCTGAGTCGAGTCGGGATCGGACCCTGGAGCCTGCTTTTATTGGTGCTGCCACAGGGATTGTGCAATTCAATTGCCCCACGGGAGGGAAAGGGGTGCTTCTATGAGAGTGGGTGAGTGCATACCAACAAGGTATGTATGAGGCCGAGCCCGCAATTGAAGTCGAGAAACCGACTACCCTAGATCAATGTTGCCGTCGTAATGGGCAATGGAACAGTCTGTTCCAATCACGCGGCTCGCCTGTGCGACGATGAACTGATGTTCTGTAGCAATCGATGAATTGGGTTTCTTGCATGCTGCGGCTTAGCTAGGGTAGCATCCAATGGCAACAACAGACTCGTAGTTCACTGCCAGCAGGAATGTGACTCGTGTACGTGTAGTTTATTTCCTCCCTCCATGTGGGAGGAGGATTCACACGGCAATGTGCCGATTGGGGAGCCTTTGGGAATGCAACACCACCCGGCTCGTCGTATTCCCTTTTCCGGGACGATATCGGGACTTCATCGGTCCATCGAAATACACAGTGGCACCAATGGGAGGCTCGCATATGGGTTGACAGGGGCGCTAGATGGCATTATTTACTAGTCTGGTGCTTGCTGCTGTGTCACGGAGGCTAGAGACATGCCCTTGCATGCATCCTCACCAAAAGGAGAGTGCGCTGGAGTATGGAAATGTTGCTCCGGAAGCGCCAGCGTACGCCTAGTGGGTCAAGACCGGTTGGTTGGGTCAGAATTCAGAAGGTGTGTTTTCGAGGGAGGGAGGGAGGGAGGAGTCAGAATATTGGACGGAAAGGCTGGTAGCCGGAGTCAGTCAGGGGAATTTGGGCGTTCCTGGAGATTCTCCCGTCACTTCCGTCGGGCAGAGGCTCGGGAGAGGCTGAAGCTGGGTCTGTATGACAGCAGCAACTGTCCACGTGAGCCGCCTCGTATGTAATAACTGTTGTGCTGCCTCGGGTCCCTGCGGAGGAGGAGGTACGACCAACGGATCTCGATGGCTGGTGGCCTCGCAAGCGTCAGGATCAAGTGATCACGAGGCCAGTTCCCTGTGGAGCGTTGCCCTGGATTAAGTTGGACTTGGGCTCTGGCCCCAGATCTCCACTTGTTCGGATTCTCCAGATCGATGTAGGGTCTTCTCCATCAAAAGTCAATCAGCCTTGGCCATCTATGGCAGTTCGGCTAGACAGCAGTAGTGACCCCCATCGAAGCCCCCAACCTTTCTTTCCGTGGCCCCCGTCCCCCGCGGTCGAGACAAGTCGAAGGATAACCCCTTTGGTGATTCCGTGATTACTTGACCCCTTGCTCCACCATCTGCACGCACTCCTGCCGTCCACGTGAACGACAAATTCTGTCCATTCCCTCTTCCCCACCAATATGCTGGGAGATTCTGTGCTTGTGCTCCCCTGCTACCTGGGCGCCGTAGAAACCGGGGCAGCAGGGCCCGAATGTAGGCAAAAGGGGAAACAGAATGCAACATGTCACATGGCGGGTGCTGCCTAAGCAGATGTTGAACAGAGGTAATCATGTAATGTAAGCAAACAGGCAGACGACGAGCAGTGTCGTTGATCGATGATTGTACGATGGATGACAGGAGAATGACGCCTGGAAAACGCAATGGAGCAAGCCATCATCAGCCACTGCCCTGAAATGCTTGATTGGCGCGGTTCCTGGTCAATTGGTTGATTCATAGACTTCGTGATCGCTTGATCTAATGACCGATCTCACATCAGACCCCGCACGACATTTACCCGTGGAGGAAGTCATCCAGGCGCTCAATCAAGATGCTGCTCGTGCCACCCGGCAGGGAAGCAGACCAGGGCCAGGATGCACCAGCACAGCCAGCTCTCTTCCAGTCGAAGAGGGTGTGGGCGGACTGCTTCTGGCTGGTCTGTCAATCTGTGATCCATGTGAGCTTCATTTGTGGAGATTACCGCTTTGGGCAATCCGAGGCAGTGTGGCGGGACTCGTCTAAGAGCCACCCTTTGGGGTGTGTCTCGTGGCATCGCATCGCAACTCTGCTCTAGATGTTGCCGCTCACACCGAATGGAGACTGGGACGAGGCGAGACGAGAGTGAACTTCGTTGCCCTAGACCCAGAATTTCACAATGATAAAAAGCCAGCTTGCGAACCCTCAGTCTGGTCGTTTGTCTATCACTCCCATCATCAAAAGCAACTATTCACCTCGAATACACACTTATAAAGACACTTTTATCATATATCAACCCACCTGAACTCTAAAAATACCATCACCATCACACCCACTTCATCAATCTAGCACACCACAACCATCAGCGATGGAGCAAGTCGAGATCCAGACCTGGCCGGCCACCCTCTCCCTCGTAGGAGAGCCCGCGCCTACCATGAAGGCCCTCCGCTTCCACGGCCAGAAGGACATCCGTCTCGACGACGTCCCCATCCCCACCGTCTCGGCCGGCAAGGTCAAGATTGCCCCAAAGTTCTGTGGCATCTGCGGAACCGACCTCCACGAGTACCTCGGCGGTGCCAACCTGATCCCCAAGCCCGGCAAGCCTCATCCCATCACCAACGAGACCTACCCCATCACCCTCGGCCACGAATTCTCTGGTGTCGTTGAGGAGGTCGGCGAAGGCGTCACCCACGTCAAGAAGGGCGACCGCGTCTGCGTCCAGCCCATCATCTACGACGGCGACTGCCGCTCCTGCACCCGCGGCCTCGTCAACTGCTGCGACCGCAACGGCTTCATCGGCCTCAGCGGCTGGGGCGGCGGCCTGGCCGAGTCCACCGTCGTCCCCCACACCGCCGTCAAGAAGCTCCCCGACAACGTCTCCTTCGAGGTCGGCGCCCTCGTCGAGCCCCTCGCCGTCGGCTGGCACGCCGTCGACATCTCCCCCTTCCGCGAGGGCGACTCTGCCCTCGTCCTTGGCGGCGGCCCCATCGGCCTCGCCGTCGTCCAGGTCCTCGCCGGCCGCGGCTGCAGCAACATCATCGTCAGCGAGGTCAGCAAGAAGCGCCGCGAGTTCGCCCTCGAGTTCGGCGCCCACAACGTCATTGACCCGACGGCCGAGGACGTCGTCGAGCGCGTCAAGGCACTCACCGGCGGCCGCGGCGCCGACGTTGGCTTCGACGCCGCCGGTGTTCAGATCGCTGTCGATTCTGCCTTTGAGGCTCTCAAGGCCCGCGGCACCCTCGTCAACATCGCCGTCTGGGACAAGAAGGCCGGCGTCGACATGAACGAGCTCGTCTACCGTGAGCGCCACTACATGGGCGCCGCCACTTTCAGCCTAGGCGACTTCGAGGCTGTGATCCAGGCCATCTCCGAGGGCAAGATCAAGCCCGCCGGTATGATCACCAAGAAGATCCAGCTTGACAAGGTTGAGGCTGAGGGATTCAGCGCCCTGATTCACGACAAGGAGAACCAAGTCAAGATTCTGGTCGATGTTGGCGCTGGCCTTGCTTGAATCTGAGATTGAAAAACCAAAAGTGACCATGATAATTAATGACTTGTACATATTTTCTTTTCCTTTGTCGCATTTAGCACAGCGTTGCTTTAGGATACTCGAAAAAGCTCTACCTAGATAATCTAATATCGCATTCAAAACAATTCAAGTCTTCCTTCTATTGATGTGTATGAATTTGTTATAATTTAATTTATCGTTGATAACTACTGCCATGAAAATACGAAACATGTATGCCACCAATAAGAACGTAAAACATGTTGCTATCTAACGATCGCAACAACGTTCAATCTTCTATGTGAGCGCATCAATTTCAACATTGTCTTGGTACTCTGAACGAATTGTGCTGGACCGAGCTTGGGCAATTGCGCTCTTCCTATGCCGAGCCTGGTAGATCCATAATATACCAAGAACCATGGCTTGTGGTATAAGCGTTGCAGGCGGAGGAATCGGAGGGTAAAAGATGGCAGAGAGTAGTCGAGCTACGCCCCAGCCCATCATCGACGAGAACAGGGTCACAGTTGTGTCAGTCCACGACTCGGATTCGTTTACGATTGATGCCAGGAAAACTATTGGGAAAGCCATGACGTTAGCATTGGGAAGATAGACTGTCGCAAGTGAAGGCAGATACTCACGGGGGAAAACGAATGCGTTCGTTCGGGCGAGGACATGCGCCGTGCTTCCAAACACTCCTCTAACACGGAACAGTCGGAAGAAGAAGCCTACCGAGGGCGAGAGATCGCAGAATATCATGACATAGCCTGCAGAGTGCAGAGTGAGTATATTAGTTTCATGTGGGATAGAGATTGGACATTTCAGTGGACTTACGATGAAGACGCGGCAGCATCGCGACAAACAGACTGATGACCAACATAGCCACCGTCACTCGGGTCTCTCCAACAGCTTTGCCCAGTCCCCTGGACCTATCTCTCCAAACATGGAGACCGCTCAGGGCAGATACAAAAAAGACGAGCAATGACCGGATCCATTGATACCGTGACATACGAAGTTGCAGAAAAGCCTGCTAGGTTTCAAGTCAGCTCGTCATTCCTGATACACACAAGACATGAAAACACACCTTTCTGAACGAGCCACTGGAGGCCTCATCCAAAGCTCCATTCACTGAATGCTTGGCTACTGCAGCCCGACGGGATTGCACCACTCTCTCCGCTGTGTCCAACCTCGGGGAGTCCTCAGGTAGACCAATATGGTTCGCTCCTACTGTTCCTATGAACAGCACTGCACCTGACAAGAACAGCTGACCAGAACGATAGAAGACTGGATTGTATGCATTCAAGAGACTGAAGACTTGGCTGCCAAGTACTGACCAGATAACCATACGAACTGGCTGCTGTCGAGCAGGAAACCAGGACCAGGTGTACATCACCAGCAGTGGGAGCATCAAGCCGGCCGATATTCCTAGCAGGCCTTCTAAGAGATGTTTATACTTGACAACCTCCTTATGATACGTCATGTCTGATAGCGTATACAGGCTGAAAAGGATCTCTAGTATGGTCATCAGCACATTGGTGGGAAAACTGAAGGGGGGGCAAGCGCTGCGGAGAACAACATACCGTACCAATACGCAGCGGGTACTATTACTCGCGTGAAGACCCGTCTGCGCACGAAAAAATACGCGAGGGGTTGGACGAGGAGAAAACCGGTGAAGTATGCCTCTTCTTCGCCCGCAAGCGAATGATAGAAGGTTAACCCGAACACCCGCGCCCCCAACTTCAAAGTGTCAGCCAAATTCACAGATGTTAACAGCTGCATCAAGTTCAACATACCAAGGTAGCCAAAAGAAACCCCGAAGGAATGAATCTTTTGTATTTCCGACCCGCTAGAAAAGCTGTCTCATTAACCGAGTCTGTATTCAAAAAGAGTGGTTGCACCCCGCCATCTGGTAGATTCTCTTGAGGTGGCTCAACATCTGGTTCTGCGTATTCTGGGATCGTGTTCAGAGAAAGCTTGGCGGATTGCACATAGTGCATCTTCTTGGCCACCTCGCCGTCCACCCTGAGGATCTGTTCACGATGATAAATACCCGTGTGATGGTCGTAGGAGCAAAGCACAGCACGTCGTGCATCACCCTCTTTGCCACACAGAAACACTGCAACTGGGGGTTTCCTGCAGCGGAAGTAGGTAATGGTGCTTCCATAGGTGTCCACAAGAGTAAAGTCTGACTCCGGAGCTGATCTCGAGCTCGCACTGCTGCCACGGATAGAGTAATGAGTGAGCTTGCCAAAATCGTGGCCCCAGATGTATCGCTCGACAGTGGCCCTATCAGCGAGTCCCTCGATGCCTATAAGGCGAGCCTTGACCGGGGCAGGGCGTGCTTTAGCCCCGAGCAAGAATGCAAGAGGAGTGGTCTGGAAGAATAGGCCCGAGATGAGGGAACCAGTCGCGGTTGGGTCATTCGCGATTTGCTGGAAGGCTGCAAGCCCAAACACGACCAGCAACTCGCCAGTAAGTCCCGACGTCAAGTAAAAGGCTAGGCCATGGAAGCCAAAGTCGATCCATTGTTCGTGCGTGGTTGACTTCTTGGCTTTGAGAAAGTACAGCGGTGCCACGAGCGCGACACCAGCTGTATATCGAGCGCCGACGCTGATCAGGTTAAATAGCACACGTACCAGCTCAAGCTCTGGGTTGGAGAACTGAAGATAGATATTTGCAAAGTATGCTCGAAGCAGTGGCATCGCCACTGCAATACTGAGAGAGATGCCGATGAGGCGACGAGTGAATTGGGAGCCAAACTCAAGGCCTGGTGCAGCGGGGATTCGGTCCCAGCAAATAGAAGCCGCAGGGACATAATCGAGGACTATGGCATCCGAGTCTGTAATGTCGCTAATGCGGAAAGTAGGTTGGATACCAGTGAGATCTGTGTTCCAGTCCTCTTGCTCCTTGCCGTAGGGCGCATCGCAGATAATGCGCTCAAGAATACTACTCCTTGGCTCAATCTCCGTCGCGAAGCGTGCAAAGAGTTGGAATGGCGAGTCGCTCGGGTACACATGAGGCTTCGGGTGGTCGGGAAAGAGGCTCATGATAGCATAAGTAACGTCCCATGAGTGGAAGGGGGTGAGATTCTGCCTGGAGAAGTAATTGAGAGCCAGCTGAATGAGTCGCAGTGGAGGCAAGGTGACAGATCCTTCGAAGTGATCGACCAAATCTTTGACAACAGATCTTGAATTCTCCCAGCCTAGATCTGCAACATCGCGTTTGGTGAGGACCTTTGGTTCCTCAGGATCACTGAGAATGTAGAGGTTGATGTTCTGCTCGCTTGGGGAAAGAAGCAGCTGCGGCAGGGACCAGTGCGAAGCCGCCCATTGCTGGAGCCACTGTGATGCCTTCTCTGAAGCATGTTCCGGAGGTTCCGAGTTGGTGATGAGAGACGAGATTCTCTCACTGATCGAAGGCCCTACCGCGACGACGATGGAGTGGGCTGCCTGGATAATTTGGCAGATTCGCTTCTCATGTCTGGCAGAGCTACTATCAAGGTCCTCTTCATCCCTAATACTCTCGAAATCAATCCAAAAGGCTTGCTTCCCAGCTGCGAGAGCGGCGTTGATCCCCCATTGGATCAGAGTCTCTCGGTCTCTTCTCGCTATCTGTCGACTGGCTTCGCGGGCATTTTCATTGGGATAATCGTAAGATTCAATCTCAGCATCCGAGATGACGTTGAATTGTGTCCTGGCGTACAAAACGAGGACAAATTCGGTGTTTGCGTCTGCTGCGACTGGAACGGTCTCGTACGTTCTTAGTTCAGCATCCTTGATGATGCAGAGACGGGTAGGCCGCGAACGAGTTTCTACTTGCCCAGACCCTTGCCTTATGGCGCTCTCCGCCCCAGTGTCTATGTCGTAAAAACGACGCAACGGAGCAGAGCCCGATGATGGGATGTGCACTTCATCATAGCGATGATCTGGTTCTGTGATTGGGCTTTTGGGGAGCCAGGATATGCGAAACGCTCCCAGACCATGCGTCACTCCCGAAAGCTAGAAACCTCATGTCAGGAAATGATAAAATGGCTCACGATTTGAGGGTTCTCGACGTACAAGTGCGATGGAAAGAGGGGTTGAGATGATGAGCCTCAGCGCAGTCCAGCCGATTGACGATGGCGTAAGCTCGAGTTCGGCATCACCCTCTCTCCCCAGAACCGGCGAAAGAATCCAATACGACAGAAGCTGGAATGAGGGCACCTGGTTTACTGGCCGACTTAACCGTGTCCATTGTGCTGTGGCTTGTAGCTGGCCCTCTTGATCGAAACTCTGGGTGACGAGTGGCACGAGCTGGCCGTCGGATGGCCGGAGATAGCGCAGATGGGCGTCTTTCTCGCTGACTGCCGCGAGATCCCGGTCGCTCAACGCTTCCTGGGCTTGAGTGGACATTGCTGAACGTCTAACGCACCATTAACGGCGAGATAAGAGGAACGGTTCAACGGTCTCGGGGCGGACAAGCGTTGATGTCAAGAGGGAGTGGGATGACTTAAGAATGATGATTAATCGATGCCTAGTCTAATTAAGCGCAGTGGCTTTGCCTGTGACGCGTGTGTCTGTGCCGCTACTGCAGCTAAATCCGGTAGTATTTGAGGATTCCAGATGGACTTCCACAACTACATTAAAGCCGATCCCTGCCTGAGTCGGAAAACATTAATTGCACGGAATCAACGAGTCTGAGCTCTAGAGGCAATGAAGGTCAAGAAGCTCTGTCAATTTAGGCATCTATCTAAGTGCTCTTTCCGGAAAACTGAGGGCTTCCCTCCGATCGATGGCCCCCCTGTTGTGAATGTCATCCCTCCACGTCAGTCACTGGGATAAGCCGTAGTGCTTAGAGCACACGGGGCACGTCCATAATTCCTCCATGGACCCTGTTTAAATGCTCGTAACAGTCTCTGCCACTTGTGAAACTCTCCAGGCACTTCCAGCAAATATGCGCTCCACAGCCTTGGCACGTCATGTGGTCACATCCATCTATCTTCTCCATTGACGTCTTGCACTTCGGGCAGTCCTTGATACCCAAGTTCTTCTTCAAAAGTTCAACTCTTGGGTCAGGTATTTGTGATTTGTGCTCGGCGCAGCTTTGGTTCTCATGCGATACATGGCAGGATGTGCAAAGGCTGATCAGGCATTTCCCACATGTGTGAGCCGGGGGCACCTTGACTCCCTCCTTGGCCACTCTGTATACCATGCCGCAGTCGGGAGTAGGGCAGTATCGAAATTCAGCGGCGTTCTTGGCGATATAAGATGAGAACGCGGCACCCAGAATGTCTTCCAGGGTTGTGGAGGAGAGGTGTTCTCGCAGTTCACTTAGAGGAAAGACTCGTCTGCAGGTGTCCTCGTCGCCCACGCACCGAATTAGCATATCAGAGTCGGTGGCAGACTTCGATGAACAAAGAGCTTCAAAGCACCCAGAGCAATATACATGGCCACACTGTGTTCGAACGGGACATTCTGCCTCAGTCCAGCATGCTGAACAGTCTTTATCGGTCGATGCTGCCTTGGTCAGCTGCTTCTTCGCGCCATGAAGCAGTGTCAACGCCTTTTCGTAATCTTCCTGGTTGCCGTGAATGATGATCCGTTTCGGATTAGAGACTACATCCAATGTTACTGGCTTCGGGTCTAGGGTCGAAGACAATTCACTATGCCCCCCTTGACAAGTCCATCGGAAACCTTTCGGATCGAGAGGGATCTCGAAGCGAAATTCATTATCGACATGCGTTAATTCCGCGAGACGCTTGGCAGCTTCCGTGCAGCTCTTGGGAGCGCCATAGACTCGAAGCTGCCGTCTGAGAGTGTCGCGGCAAATGAACACATCGAAAGCTTGCTCGACAGGCTTCAGTATGCTAGTGATATTCTTCATCTTGCCCCAGGCCTCTCTCCACACAGCCTGCCCGTTGTGTTCAACAACGCAACCTGCTAGCATCAAGTCAAGTTCCTGCTTGATGGACGCTACTTGCTTAGCATCTTGTCCCTCGAGCTTGAGGCATGTAAAAGCTGCGGACGAAGGGTAAACTCTGAGAAATACCTTCGAATCCATCCAAGCCTGTCTTTGCCCCTTAATGCGCTGCTCTACGGCCTGGTAGACCCGGTTGAGCACCTTGAACTTGGCTGAAATCACCAGCTGTACCGTGAGTCTCCCTCGGGAATAAAAAGGGAGCGCCAAATCGTGTAGTTTGGAGACAGCCGTTCGTGCATCAGCTTCGTGTGCGAACTTGGCCTGTATTTTTAGTCTCTTCAAGCTAGATTTTGACACAACTGGGTCTCCCTCAAGTTCACCAATGCCAGTGAGCAGCGACTGAATTTGTGCAATGGCCGTATCATCTTCCTCGTCGTAAGCAGGCTCCGAGATCTCCATATTTCGAGGAAGAAGGTTCCTCCCAATAAGGCATAGTATCTTCTCCTTCGTGATGCGAGGCGGAAGGTTGGTCAGGATGACCGTATATGCCCGAGCAGACCGCATGATTGTTCCACTGGGCTCGGATGCTGAGACCTCTCGGTCCTCGATTTTATATCTTCCTGATCGAAACCCCCGTGAAACCCTGTCCGCAATTGACTCGTTTCCAAAATCAAGCCAAGCAGTGCAGACTGGACGATGCCAAGAGCAATGGACCCTCCGGCAGTCGATGGTTTGGGTATTCGAACTTCGCGCAACGCGTTGGGGGATGCCCACAACTTCAATATCTTTGCCTCCTGGAATAGCAGCAAATTTCACCCGCATTTCCTCGAGGGAGGTTGGCTCTACTGTGTTGATTTCCGCTGATGAGCATACGGAGGCGTCGTTGCCGGTCACGAGAGTAACGCGGGTCTTGTTTGCCTCAATATCAACACCCGCATTAGCCAGTAGAGATGCAACAGATTTCGAAGTTGCCTCATCTGGCAGGCTGTTCAAGCGAAAAGTGTAAAATTCTGTTCGGAGCGAAACCGACGAGACTGTGGCTCCGTCTCCAAATTGCACAATCGCACCGCCCAGCTCTCTCGCTCCGCTGTCGCCATCTTCTGGCTCCTGTAAAAAGAATCATATATCAGCATACATCTTCAACTTTTCATCATATCTTATTCTGTAATATGGTAAACGGCCAAAGATGTAATACTCACCTCGAAATCCTCGTTCACTTGCTGGGAATGGTCTGGCGTGAGTGCGTGAGCAAAAGAGCATGCCAGGCCTCTCTTGCAATGACCCCATGCAAAGAATTTGCAGGGTATTCGTTGCCTGGAGTCTGACACGGGCTCATGATTTATCTTGAGAGCCTCAAATTCTTCGTCTGGTACCTTTCTGATTGGTTCAGGGTGGGCGTACCGGCACGCATCGCCATACTTGCACGCACCAAGGGCAAAGTAGCGACAAGTCATTTGCTGGAGCGGGGTAAATTCACGAGCCTGAGAGAAGATAGCCTCTGTTGACTGCATTTCCGGGAGAGCACGAAGCTGACAAGAGCTGCCAGCGAGCTGATAATGATGTTGTGAAGCAAGGCTACCTTGTGTGTCGGGTTGAATTTTGCAGAGTGTGAGGATGGAAGAGTGAAGTTTTTGATTGCCGTGAATGATATTTATTGTCTCAGAAAAGCAAATAAGGAAAGCCACAGATAAATGTGTTTGTGTGTGTGTGGCTGCCTGAATGTGCAGCTTTTCGTCAGTGGCTGCTCAGTGCATAGGGTTGCATGTCCACCTGAATTTTTGACCAATCTCTGCGGTTGAATATTGGCTCACACGATAGATATGCTCCTTACATCTTGAGAGGTATGCCATTAATGAGTGAAAGCGTCTCGCATTTTCCCCATTTTCCCCATATTAGTGATCCCGGTTTACAGTAATATCCAATATGTGAAGCTTAATTCTGCGCAGACAGAAGAATTAGTCATGGAAAAAGCCAAATCTCTTTCAAATAGAGCACGAGATAAGATATAGTATAAAATGAGGTATTTCTAGATCTTTCCGAGATACCGGTTTGTTCTGCCACTGGGCTTGGACGACAAACAAGTTTTTGCCATCTCTCAGAGACGCTCATGTTTTGCTCATATTTTGAATTTGATCAATTTGTGCAAGTGTTTCCAGCTTTTTTTAGATACTGCTGAAATTGGTACATAATGCCTATTGATCAGTCGTCTATGCTAAGATGTTGGCCGGATTATCACCTTACCACATCAAGTCTCCCAACATCACGATCATAGAAAGATTTGAATTGCATTTTTTAAATCAAACAGCGCTAGAACAGCCTTTATAGGCTTGCATACATATGCCTAAAAGAATTTTATCTAAAGAAAAACGAAGTGCCTTTGGCGACCGAGGCAAACATCTCGATCATTCGCCTTGGTTTTTTGGGGCGATTGATGGGGTGGTAAGTGTATGTTTGTTTTGGGTCTTTTCGTCCGTAGCCATAGAAATGACCTCGTGCATTGCGTTATGACACATGCCTGAGAACAGCATAGTCCTCTCCAGTAATGATATTCGTAGCCCGGAGGCACAAGGCGAAGGTCGTGCAGCTTCAACCACCTCTTTGTGACTTAAGCTGATACCCCCTCAGAGTACGATAAGCGCAGTGAGTAGCAGCTGCCTTTCGAATCTAAGTTTAATAGATATGCTTAAATTGGGAGGAAAACACGCGTCGTACCATGAAACAAATAAAAAGAAAAAAAGGATAAAGAAGACTAGAAGGTATGAAGTGTTGTGGTGGTGTTTCAATTTTCTTCATGATTTGCAATTCTAGAGCAGTCCATCGGGGAAACACGTTAGATGTAATAGTGGTAAGAGTGACCATATTTCCATTACTAAAGTAGAAGAGTAAATAGTTCACCTTGAGTAAAACTAAATATTTGATATTTAATGGATAGCATTATCCTTCGAGAAAGAGGAAAAGAACATCACTGGTATAGGGTAGGTACATCTCCTAGGGCTCAAACGTGAAGACGAAGACATCGCACCTCTCAACTGGTAGCATGATCACGCAATCCGTGTATTAGCAACTACAAACTATTGGACAAGACCAAATGATCGCCATATATGGGCTTTTAGATTGGGTAAATGGAACAATATTGACCCGAAATCTTCAGCTGGTAAAGCACGTTGGCAGTCTTCGTATCCTAGCCCGGTGAAAGATCACCGTACCCAACGGACTGGCAAGAGGTGCGAGCGCTGGAGTTACCGCATAAAGCGGTGAGCCAGAAACTGTACTCTACTTCCTGATCCGACCTGGCCCCTGTCCCTTCCCGTCGGCATTCCCGAGCCGGTTCGCTTAATGTGCAGTGGAAGATGCACTCTGGATTCTGGAAGAGTTTGTTTGGTGGCGCTACTCCACAAGGCCTGCGACAAGTCGGGCCAGTAGAATGGCTGGGGAATGAAAAGACACGTCGGGAAAGGTTTTCGGCCTTTGTATTGAGGCCTCTGCTGATATCCTTCCGTTTTGTTGCCAGCTAGACCTATCATATATGCACGCCAGGCACCATTAGTTGATATTCAGATCACTGCTATAAAGACACCTGTGTTCTTTCTGGACACCTAAGAATCATCAATCCAGAGGTTTGGCACAAAATGGGAGGGGAAGAATGAGGCTTTTCTATGAAACCTTCGGCGTAGGATCGGCCAAGGACGGGTACGACGGGCGCCAACCAAACGTAGCCACTACCTAACGGGAGCCTAGTTTCAACAAAGCAAAGCCCATCTTTAAACATACGATCATGACTAACGTCTGCTCCTGTTCAAACATGCTATTGTAGCTGTAAAAGGATGGTGTTTATCATCTTTATGTCATGTGTACATCTGCTAATAACTGTCCGTGATGTATACTTACATCACATCCGCAGTGAGGGTAATAATATTACCTCAATTCCAGATACATCACAAATAAAGCCATTTGGATGTATTGAACCACAAAGATTGCCTGATTTGCTGGTCATCAGAGGGATATATACCAATAGTTTGTGTCTCTTAGGGCACGTGTAATGATGCTGATATCTTATTGGCCCAACCGTGAGTTCAATTTTCAGCAAAATCGTCCCTTTCGAATGAAAATTCTTGCACTAAACTCCAGGTACATGTCAGATGATCTGGGAACGGCACAGGGTTCCTCCTGCGATGCTTAGTAACAGCGGGTGGTGTAGCTGTTAGGTATGATCGAGGCAATCAATAATGGACGTTTACGAAGCATCTTGAACTTTTCAAACGACGTAGGAGCTTGGAAAAATATTAGAGTGTGGTCGGTAGACACTTATGAAATTAGAAGTGTTCAGATTCGTTGAGAACGCGTTTGTTGTCAGACAGTGACCCAGATGGCTTAGATACTTGATCCGCCCTGTACGCCTCGTCTTATCCCTCCCTGTCCTGCCCTGCATGCGGGGCACTCATTGCGTGTCATGGAAGCAGGGACCTGCTTAGAACAACAAGAACACGGGAGGTCGTTGACGTTACTTCGATACGCGGTGCGATATGCTCGGCTGCCTCATGGCTTGCGTTTTTTGAGCGATGGAATATTCATGGACGAGACGTAAGCTGCGCCACCATATCCATCCCACAAAGCTTGACCGTTGACACGAGCCTGCGAGCACAGACACGCGAGAAACATCAGCAGTGATTCTAGATTTGCCGGATGAGTTACTGGTCAGGATTATCAAGGCTGCAATCCTGCCTCGGGGCGATTCTTGGCCAAAGTCCCTGAAGAGGAAGCAGTATGACAAGGACATGATCGCAATTCTGGCGTCTGTTTGTCAGCGGTTCGCGTGTCTGGCTGTCCCATTCAACTACCACTCAATACGATTTGAGTGGCCGACATTCGTGGCTCCCCCAAGCCGCCGGGTAAGGCTGCTTCGGGACACTCTCCTGATCAACCCGTCACTCGGCCACTATTGCCAAGAGTTCTGGTTCTATATATCAGATTTCACGACAAACGTCTCACCTGCCGATTTCTACGTTCTGATAGATCTCATCGGATTACTTCCTGATGTCAAAGTGCTCGGGATCCATGGGGGGTTTTCCTTGGAGCAAGGCGAATATACCTGGGAATCGATTCGAAATTGTGTTCAGCTTATGCGAAGGCTCGAGTACCTGGTCCTGAGCAGAGAAGCCTTGGCAGGCCTCACGTTGGGTCCCATAATGAAAGAACTGCAGATTCCATCTTTGCGTAAATTGAGAGTCGATGGAATATCGCAGTCTGATTCCTGGCACTCGGAGGTAAGTCTCACGCCCATCGGCCTAGCTAACTTATTGTCAAGCCCAAGTAGAGTCGACCACATTATGCTGACGTGAATGAATATTAGAACCTTGAGGAGGCCGATTTCACGGAGCTCGACCTGTCGGATTATCGGGAAACCGCCGAAGCATTGGCATGTTTACTCAAATGGCCCAGAAGACTGACTCATTTTCGCTTGGGAAGCTACTACAACAACACAAATTATATTGACCTACCCATGTTCCGCCCGATGCTGCTTCGACACCGAGACTCGCTCGTCAAACTCGACATAGGATACCTCGCCCCAACAGGTCGGGGAACACTCCTTGACTTGTCCGACTTCAAAGCACTTAGGGAGTTGAAATTGTCCCGGTGGCAGATTGGCCCGTCAGGAGCGCGGGGAATGCTTATTCTGGAATTTAAGCCGGGAGAGGTAGAGCTCCTCCTTGCTCCGAAGTTGGAGAAATTCACTCTCAGTTTTGCGCTCTGTGAGAAGAACATGGTGTCTTGGTCAGACTTCGGGCATCAGGAGCAGTACTGGCTGCAATGTTTCATGGAAATCGCGTTGGCTAAGAGGTCATCTCTGAGAGAAGTCTTGGTTCTTTTCAGTCCTCACAATGGAGATATCACAGCAGATACATATCCTTGGGACCGAATCATATCCTTACACAACGCGTTCGAGCCAAGAGGGATTATAGTAGCACACAGCCCGCCTTCGCTTTCACGAGAGGAGTGGATGAAAGAGGCTCTATGACTCAAGCAGAGACACGAGGTGATGTATGTAACTACCTGACTGATCTCAGTCATGAACAGGGCAGATGAGCCGGGGCCCATGTTCATCCCCAACACACCAATAATGTAGGTGTAGGCCACATCGGCCATTGTTAGGCGGATTAACCGCGCAGGTATTAACTGGCTATTAGGCGGGTTTTCCGCATAGATGTTAACCTGCTGATCAGTAGTTATCGAAGTATACCAGCTAGTGAGAAATTGAATTGAATTGCTCCTAGAAAATACCTCAAATATGGTCAATGGTCATCTGCAGAGAACAGGAAAGAAGTGAATGATTCGCCATCTTCAGCATGGAGTTGTTTTGTCGATCCTCCCGGTAGACCGGCTTGATGATGATATCTTCAATGACGTGAGTGATCATCACCAACTAATTCTCACTAAAACATTTGGAGATGTTTTGAGGACTTCTGGGCACTAATTGCGAGAGGGGATTGGTAGCTGAGCTGCTTGCAAGGAATAGAGCACATGCGCCTTTGTCCATCGGCTTAGGGATGAGCAGTTCTTAGTTCTTCGGACAATGCTCCTTGTATCCCAATTTCCACCACTTCTTGACAAATTATTGATTCATTCAATGCTGTAACAGATAAGCTAGAAGTTATGCATAGAATCTTGGACTTGTTGGCCAGAGGAGATGAACGCTCGCCTCGTGGGGGTGGCTGGTGTAATGGCCTCGGAAAAGATAGTTTCTACCCAAACGCAAAACTAGAAATACCACCCTAACCTGTCTCGCGGGTAATAGCATCATCCCGAGAGGTCGAGGCCCGATGCGTACCAAGTGGCTGAATGACATTCCGTCCACATTGTCCGCGACTACAAGCACAGGCGTCGACCAAGTTCAACTATGAGGGAAGTAACTAATACTCTCGACCAAGCCCGGAGTGTTGGAATCCATCTGTGATCGGTACCGCATCCGCCGATCGGCGCATTTGAAGATCCTTGCTGATGACCAGATGATCAATTGATATCATTGTTCGTGTATTTTACGGCATCATTGTCCAACGACAATGAATGGCCACCTACAAGTGCACCTCGGCGGCCTCCATGACCCAATGCTGCTGCTACTAGTAGATCAGCGGCCTACGGACTATTGGCGGAAGGATCCTATAGCTTGCTTGCTGCGGCAGATGCCGTCCAGCCAACCATCCATGTGTTCCCCGCGTCAGACGGGTGTTGTAGTTCCGATCGACGAGGCCAATACACCGGAGTTTTGGCTAGCCTCACGCATCCTGGGTCATGACACAGCTTCAGCTGGAACCGGACCTGAGATCAAGTTTTTCTGCAGAAATTTGCTTCATGATGCGGTAAGTTGGCTAATGGAATTCCGACAGCAGCTTAAAGCGTGCATTTGGCATTCGCCCCGATTCCTCTTCTGGTTATGCTCTGCATCCAGTAAACCTTTTTTTGCCTTTTCTTTCTCTAGCTATGCATACGCTAGCGATGTCGCAATATTGCCCGCGACAGCTACGCTGGAATGTTGGTGGCAGGGGGGGAGGCTGGACTTGACTGACGGGCCAATTGATCTCCCCGTTGTGCCTTTGGGGACAAAGAACGTGTTCATGGGGAGCTTAATCAGGTAGAACGCCCGATCCGGGGTAAATGGTCCTGACCCTCGTAACATCGATCGAGGAGCCAGAGCTTGAAATGGAAGAGGACACCGCAGAGCTGAGACAGAGATCCAGAACACACTTTCAGCCCCTTCGAGACCAGTCTAAGCGGTGCCGTAGAGCCGAACAGGGCTAAAGCCCATTGGTGGGAAGAAGGAAGTACGGCCCGTGGCTTGGTACCATTGGCAGAAGCGTATCACGTCAACAGGAACAACTGGCCAGCAGTGATCGAGGCAAGCTGTCATAGCTAGGAGGTGAGTAGCTTCACCTCTCCCTGTCAGAAACATACGGGATGTGGCCAATGCGAAGCGGAAAAGGCGGCTGACCGCTGAGACCATCGCCTTGGCCTCTCCTGTCTCAGACTCATCCTCGCCACCTTACCGGATAGGTGGCGGGACTTTTCTTATGAGCAGTTTATGAGCTTGACGCAAAGAGAATGAGAACGGAATGGCAGATCGGAGAGGCGAATTGAGTTTGTCCGTCGCCTTTGGTGCAATGCAGATCTAAAGCCTAGATCAGGTACTGCTCCCACACGGTTGCCGCATCGGATCAATCACCGTAAGGCTCGCACGCATGCGTCCGGACAGTAGAATCGGGTCGAATGAATAGCTTCCGGCCATACACTCAACCCCACATTCCATCTTTTCAACCAGTGGCTTCCATCGTAGCTGGGGCTACTAGATGTAGCTCTCGTCCGGTGGATCTCAGTCAGACCGAACCCGCCCATAGCGTGAGCATATCGAGCATCGAGCAACTGTTGCTGGACAACATGGTGTGTGGCTCTCGGACGACGCCACTGGGCAGTAGCGCTTGCGTTATCCAGCTGTTCTATTGTTTGTTGATCGTCGCCATGGAGGCCTAAAACCCGGGTTTGAGTTTGCTCACCGACCTTGCTTGTTTTGTTCTGGCTCAGGGTTCAAGGTATAAATGGCCCCCTCTGCTCTGCTCGATATCAAAGCCTAAACCATCAGTCTCTACTACTTTACCGCGGTCTATTTTGAGTTGATCTGTCTCACCGACTTACAAACTATCGTTAAGATGAAGGTCACTGCTCTCCTCAGCGTTGCCGCCTTGGTCGTGGCCCCCGTTGTTGCCCAGTCGAGGTACGTCTTTATACAACACGTCTTGAGGAGCTGTTGTTAGCTCTGCTTCTCATGGCGGATGTTGTGTTACACCGTGTAACCTGAGGTGATACTAACCGAACCTCAGTGCTCCAAACGGCATCATCAGCACCACCCGAGCTGGTGGCGCATCAGTCACCGGCGGTGCATCGGGCAGTGCCAGTGCCTCGGCCAGTGCCAGTGCATCAGCCAGCAGTCTCATCTCGTCAGCCGTTGCCAGCGCTTCATCCAGGGCCAGCGCATCTGTCTCCGGCAGCAACACCTCTCGTGCCTCTGGTTCCGCTTCTGCCTCTTCTCAAGCAGTAATCCCTTCCGCCAGTAGCCGTGCCCTCACCCCCAGTGGCTCCGCTGCCTCCTCTGCCGCGTCTAGGGCTACTGCTGCCGCTTCTTCTGCCGCTTCTGCCGCCTCATCGGCTGTTTCCAGAGCCACTGCTGCGGCCTCCTCTGTCGCCTCTGCAGCTTCGTCTGCCGCTTCCGCTGCCGCCACTTCCACTGCCAGGGCTGCCGCTCCCACCATGGATGCCCAGCGATACGGCGTCATGGGTCTCGCCGCCGTTGCCGCCGCCATGGCCCTGTAAATGGACCAGCTCGTTCAATTTATGAGTCGACAAGATCAATGAGGATGTATTCACATGATGGTAGCAAGAAGGCGTTGGCATCTAGCGCTTGAGAAGCCCCCCCTCAACGGAGGATATGAACAGAAAAGCACGAGAAACTTCCACGCAACGAACATATAATGGCCAATGTTAGATCCTTGGCACAATTTTCATAGAAACGAATAATACAAGTATCGTTTTCCTTAAAGAACGGCTTTTTGTGATCAAATGTAAAGCATAAAAAAATCCATACTTGCCAGAGATATCGCTACAGGCTGACTGATAAAATCGCGTTTGATCCGGTCAAAGATAAATTGCCGTAAGGTTTTTGAAAAGAGCGCAAGCTTAGCTGGCCAGTAGCTCTCACGCGTATAAAGTGTTGACCACGCTTATGGAAGTCTCATGTGTTCATAGACAGTGAACTGAGCTCGTCACTTCCCGCTCCCCACCACGCCCTGTACAGCTTCCAGGCCTTGTAATCTACACACATGGACATTTGAATGTGTAACCCCATCGTTGATTTCTATATTTGCTGAAGTGCTACACGACAGCTCGAGGTCTTAGTTTTTTTGATGCCGTACGTTGTTCAGAGACACGCAATCGTTGATCACCACATGAACATGAGCCTCTGGGATCCCACTGCGCTTCATGATGGATGGAACTAGTACTTGTCATTGTGGGTTTAGCCCTCACAGTGTTGAGCATCCATGAAGTTGATTTAAAAGTACATCTAATCCAGTTATTTAATTTGTGAAACGCGAACTTCGTGCCAATTGTTTTGGTTGCCCAGTAACACAAACCATTACGCGTTGTGGAGATCCAGCCTCCCGCATCGTACAACCTATCCAAGATGTGTTTTCACACTGATGCTTCGTTCGAGACAAAGGTTAAGCACCACAATCGTGTCACAGACCCCAAAGTTAACTCTAAATCTAGACCACCAGTACCAGTCACTTGTATTCGACGGGCATGCGCATTTAGTTTAATCCTTTACCGCCCCGCATAAGAAATCGGCTCTCAAGTGTTGGAATTTTTCTTTTACTTGTTATCATGAGCTAGAATGCTTCCTATTCTACCTCCCTTTTCTCTTCTCTTTTCTGTCATTTTTTTCCCCTTTGTGGTCACATAGTCTCCGCCTCTCTTAACCAGGTGAGGGCCTTGCTTCTCGATAAGTGTAGGGAGAGAATGTACTCATTACGGAATGATTGTAGTTGAAAATCAATAACACATTCTTATCTTAGAAAAGAAAGGCCTACTCCATTTGCCTCTCCTGTTACTTCATAAAATCAAGCCATGGACTTCCAAAGTTTCCAAAGCAAAATGATCAGCTACACGAATATTGAAGCAATGAGATATTTCAACTAGTTACATTTATGATGAGTAGGACAACAAAATTAAATATCAAATTTGGAGGTTAGGGCTCTATTACGGCTCTCTATTTGATGACGTTTAACAATCAGCACACCTTATTTACGAAATCAACTCAGTTCTCGTTCGTACTGCATCCCTTCCTCCTTTAACGACAACCTGAATTTGGTACTATTCGTTCCTGGAAGGTATCATCGTCCTTTTGACAAACAACCGAAACTGTTGGAGATCTCGGACGTGGAAACAGCGAATGGGTAGTCCACCCTCGCATCAGGTCGAAACCTATCTTTGCTTCTAATTTACATATTCAGCTGCAAATAAAGACGTGCTTGGTACATAAGACCGTATAATAGCAGTTGAAAAAAGGTACATCCATTTAACCAGCAAGCATTCCTTTCCCTGGTGACGCGTTGGAAACAGGTCGTGCTTTCTGAACGCGAAGCGAGTCACTTATGCATCACATGCCGGCATAGCAAGTTGGTGGTTGCACAGAGCTCTAGCGTAATTCCTCTTCCATCTCAGCCCTACTTCTTCCCTCAAGCTTCCCCCTCTTTCTTTTTCCAACTTCTTCTTTCCATCAATCCTCTACTTCTTTCCATCTCTCCGACCGCCACAACTTGAAGTTTCCATCTCTCGAAGACCTCACACGCATCCACTTCCATTGCGAAGAGCAACCCATCCTCGTGTGGAATACATCACGTAAGTAAATGCTTTCTCAAGAGTCCCGGACTGATCTGCTAGACCTACCCGCACCCACTGTCCATCTTCATGCTGAGAACGCAATAGCCAAATCACAACGTCTCACATCGACGAGATGGCCGAGATGGCTTTCACCAGCGACTTCCTCAAAGACGAACGGGAGATGATCACCACATCCCTGACCGCGACTTCGCTGGTATCCAGAGATGCTGAGCAACGCGATCTCCGCAAACTCCAAGCTGCTTGGAACCGCGGCTGGCTAACCTGGGGCAGCAACCCTGATCACGCAGAGCTTCTCCAATCCCTGGAACTCCTCGCCCCGAAGCTGCCAGAGATCTCGAAGGTGCTATGTCTGGGACTCGGTACTCTCAGTGGCGATCGCTTGGTCGATGAGAAAGCTCGTGATGGTCGGATCAACTACCAAAACATCACTCAGCACATGTTCGCTGTCACCTTGACCAAGACACTCAGCAAACTTCTTGGAACACGCATTCCTCTCATGGCTTTCGATCTCGAGTATTCAGAGAACGACAAGAAGATTCTTTCCAGCAACGAAATCGAGGTCATCGAAGGATACGTGGCCGTGACTGAGATTGACAACAAGACTCTAGTGGTCTCCCTCGATCCGACTTTCCCCCTCGATCAGGTGATTTCCGACTTTGCAAAGCCAGCCGCGATGATTTGGGACCAGGCTGTATCAGTTCCCAAGACTACGCTTCGAGTTTACTACGACAAGTTCTTCACCGCGCCCCTTCGATTCGGAAAGACCCATGTGGCCATCCGAAAGCCAATCATTGACGATCTTGCGAACGCCATGGAGACCGAGCTGGAGATGCCCAAGATGATCGGAATGGCCAAGCATGGATGCGGCAAGACCTACATGGACGATATGGATGGGGTGGTCATTGTGGACTATGAACCCGAGGATGAGTGGGTGTTTTTGGAATGAGAACCTGAGTATGAGTGGTTATTTCTAGAGTGAGTCAGGGGTCGAGAACAGAAAATGATGTACAACACGCGAGAAAAGTGGCGAGCAGGAAAAGAGAACAACTCAGGGAGACCATCATTCCTTGGAAGCGAATCACGGGGTGGAAAGTCCTGCAAAAGAAAACGACAAGATTTTTGGATTGATAAATTGGAACAAGAATTTGTTGTTTACCTAGCTCTAGTAAATTAATAAGAATGATACACTCGACTACTTTGCAACCTGGAGATAGAGCCTGATGCACACACCGGACGGCAAGAGATTGATCCCATCCAGGAAAGATGGCACGCAATTAAGTCATAAAAAAACAGTCTATATTCTATGCTTATCTATCGCACTCTTATGCAGTTTGCTCACCATCACTTCTCTGCTCCACCTTCGCTGGACGCACTTTTCGAAGCTCCCAACCCCCAGACCACCCAACCCACCCAGTCTCATGAGGTCCCCTGGCCAAGGCAAACAAGATCATAGCAATCACCAGGCCAACTAAAACAAATTAGTATAACGATCACTGGCTTCTTCATAGAGTGGGGAAACTTACTGCTGCAGTATCCGCTGTACCTCCAACCACCTTGCGCATACAGCCTGTTTCCAACAGCGGATCCGGTCAGTTGCCCTGCAAACGCGCAGGCCATATACGCCGTGTTGAGTCGGTTCCGTGCCTTGGGGTTGATGGTGAAGATGGCCGTTCTGTTGACAATGGCACCCATTTGATGACCGATATCGATGCAGATGGCCTGGATGATGGGACCGGCGATTGAGAACGTGCCTGTGAAGGTGCCAATGATGACGCCGATCATGGTGATGGCTCCGCAGCACAGGAGGGGTAGAAGTGGCTCGTAGCGGTCCATGAAGGGGCCCAGAGTTGGAATGACGATAACAATTACCAGAATGAGCAAGGAGAAGAGTCCGATCTGGAGAGATGAATACTCAAAGGGGGGCGAGGCGAGCAGAAAAGTCAACGTGGTCCAGAACGACGTGAAGACACCGGAGATGCAGAAAGCCATCAGGCCTGATTGAATGAGTAGCGGCTCCGTCAACATCATGTGAATGACGGTCCACAGAGCTTTGAAGTAGTTGAGGCCGTCCGGGTTGGTGGAAGGGTAGTCTGGGAAGAAGGCAAAGAGGAGGATCGCCAACAGGAACTGTATTGCGCATCCTAGCCAGTAGATGTTGCGCCAGGCGGTGTAGTTGGCAACCACTCCAGCCAGGAGTCGGGCGATGAGGATACCAAGCATGAGTCCAGACGAGACAATTGACAACGATGTTGCTTTGCGGTTCGGAGGGGCATAGTCACCAACGAGAGGAACCATGAGCTGTGGCGTCACGGTGGTCATGCCGCAGATGAACGAAATGGCTCTGAAGGCAGTGAAGTTGTTCGTTACACAAAGGGCAATCCACTATATGCCAGTCAATATTATGTCCAAACACGCAATTCAAGAGTCCAGAGGCTATTAAACTTACCATGGTTGCAGTGAAAGAGACCAGTCCAATGATGAAAAACCGCCGCTCCAGAATGTCTCCCAAAGGAAGAACAAAAATGAGACCAGAAGCATACCCAGCCTGCATCAGCGTAGGGACTTGGGACGAGGTCTCATAGCTCACACCAAAGGTTTCAGCAATCTTGTTCAGAATAGATTGGTTATAGTAGAGATTGGCGACCGTAAAACTGGCAGCCTGTAATTCTGGTCAGTTTGGCGAAGGATGAGAAATCGGGGTCACGCCTTAGAAAAGCACGTACCGTCGCATACAGTATACAGAGTGAATACGTCAATTCGTGAGGCACACTGGGATCCCATCGACAATTCGGCGGCGTGAGCAATCTGTGCACCCAACTGGTCTCATATTTCGACAGAACAACGGTTTGGTCCGGGTCGTCCTGTTTCTCCGGTGAGACGCTCGTCTCCGAGGTGCCTTTCCCGGATCCGGAGGCTGTCCGGATCAGATCGTCAGGCGATTCGACCTTTTCATCGGTCGAGCGGTCGGTAGCAGACATGGCTGCTACTCTCCAGCCAGCATTTCTCAGTGTCTAGAGGCAAAGAAAGGGGAGCTCGGGAATAAATAGCCTCGGAACAGGTCTGTATTTATCTTGGGAGCCTTCCGGTGCAGTTGGACCCTTTCCGCCCAGAAGCTAAGTTAGATGGGGCAAAGGACCACCAAAAGATTATGCATTGCCAATCTTATTGGATCACAAAGTTTTAACTCCCTAGAATCTACGAGGGCCCTTGTTCGCCGGAACATTTTCCGCAGGGCCTTGGTGAGCCCATCTACTGTCGCTGTGCAAATCCTGCGTCAAGCCCTTCAGATTCGGTATCTGCTACGGTTGCAATTGAAAAGCTTATTGATCCGCTGGGAGAGTAGCAAAATATGCAATTATCATGACCGCGTAGACTTTTCACGCATCACGTCATTCTGCGGGGACAATGTACCATCGCAGAATTTCACCTACCCTGTGCCTACGCCGATCTACGGAGGTCCGTCGCTGAGTGAGTGCGAGGATCGTGGATAAACGGTCGGGCGTGCTAAATCGCCAGTTCGGGTCCCTTTGCGTATCTTGTTGGCAAATTTGATTGAGCTCTACATCTCGTCTGATCCTTGTGAAGAGTAACTGCTGACCCTACTATGATTTTCTATGGAGACTACTGAGGTAGCGTATTCAGATACTCCTGGAGCTCAAAAAACTCGCATCTCTCGGTAAGATCAGCTGGTGTCTGGTCCTCCCCATTTTTAGCCCAAGGGTCTGCACCCTTCTTTACCAAAGCGTCATCTACCTTGCGCAACTCTGAAAATCTCTACTGCACTGCTTCTTGATGTTGACGACTCAGACCGTGGAGTGGGGTGTCACCGAATCGACCGACGTGTTTGGGCTTCGCGCCTTTCTCGATCAGCTTAGCAATTTCCACGTTGCCCATGTGAAGGGCCAACGACAAGGCTGTTTCGCCGCCATTGTTCGTCTTGTTCTTGTCCACAGGAAGTTCGAGAAGCGCCTCGACAACGTCCAGCTTGTCGTGCAACACGGCTAGATGAAGCGGTGTCCAGTCTCCTGTACTGGCCACATTAATGTCTGCATCCAGCTGTTGTATGACCTTCTCGTGGCCGTTAATCGCACCCCAATGTATCGGCAAAAGACCATTATAGTCTGTCATCAATCTCCGTTGTGAGTCTGTCAATCTCTGGTGTGCTTCGTGATCCAGAATTGCTTTGATTACTTCCACTTTTCCCTCGCGAGCTGCCAAGTGCATGGGATACATGCCATCGATGGCTTGATTGTCAAGCTTCGCATGGAAATGCAGCAAGACATACACATTGTTGTGACTACCAAGCGCACACGCATAGTGTAATGGGGTATATCCGCGGTGATCCTTGACGTTAACGTCGACATCTTTTTGCTTTTCTGAAAGGTGGCTCCCCAGAGCCTCGGAGATTTTTTCTGAAAGGTAGTCTCCCAGAGCCTCAGCATTTTCATCCTTCATTGCAGCATAATGGAGTGGAGTTCGCCCGCAAAAGTCTCTCGTGTCGGCTTGCTCCTCAGCGAATGAACCTTCCAATGCAAGAATGTGTGATGGAGCGAGGTTGAAATATGGCGGAAACGTTTTGGTGGTGAAGCCATGATGGCTATCAAAGCTACCATCTGCATTAGGATTCTTACCTCTCTGATCATTGCAAGGGGATGGTGATAAATCAGCAATCAGCTCTCGTCTTGATGTGTTGAAGAGCCTTTTAAGTTCACAGAAGAATTCGGGTTTCACTTTACGTCTTTGAATGTGGTTATGGATGCAGCTCTCGAGATCGAGCGCTAAAGCGGCCATGGGTCGATGCACTACTTTGCTGCCTATGTTCAGGCAACGAGCTTGGTGCGCGGCGTCATTATGCACTTCCAACACGAATGCTAACATGGACTCGTAAAGACCGCTATCCCCCAATGCATAGCTCCCCATCTGCGCTAAAAGGTCAAAGTAAATGTTCTGGGCAGACGATTCAACTCCCGATTGGAAACATTCTGCCACTTCATTGCGCACTAATTCGAGGAAAACGTGTGGAAACGGCAGGATCCCACCCATACTGGGAGGTGCAATGACGTTCACCAGGGCTTCCTGATCAGTTCCAAAACTGCTTGACGAGAAGAAATCACCCAGTCTCGCCAACTCTCTATGCCAAAGGATTTTGGGTGCTTGGTTGCTAGTAGCTGTTGTTTGTACCTCAACTCTGCCCTTGATGGCTGCACCAGGTGTCTTTGCAGCTGAACACATGAAGGAGAAAAGGAGGTCCTTGGCGTAGAGGTGTTCCAACGAATCCCGTGGCTCGATTGCGAGGGTCCTTTTGTTATTTTCCATGCTTGGAGAAAAAGTCCGAAAACTGCGTTTCTGGGCCTTGGTGTTGCAGGTGGAGGAAGAACTACAACTAATCACTCTTGCCGCGTGAGAGTCTTTGGAATTCGTAGGCTCCGTCTGTACTGCCTTCGGTCCTTCTGTCGTCGGTCCTTCCGTCGAGTTTTCATCTTCTTTGAACTCTAAAAGCCTTATATTGCTAGTTGAGGAAGGACTACAGCCAACCACTCTGGCCGCATGAAAGTCTTTGGAACCAGTAGGCTCCGTCTGCCCATGGGCCGAGTCTGCAATTTCTTCAACCTCCAATAGATGGTCAGTGCTTTGCGGCACCCACCATTCCAGGTCTTGGAGAAGTTGTGCTTTGGACATCTCGCCCGGGTCAAAAAATCTCAAACATGGCTGTGGGACTTTGCGACGGAGCCACTCGTCATTCTCTTTGCCCACGCAGTTGGTGGTGTCATCCTCACTTCTGTCTGACTGCTGCTTTGTGTAAACCCACAATGACAGTGCTGCATCAAGGCTGTCTGCCAGCACGTGCCAGGAATTATCAGCGTAATTCAAATCAAACCACACTTCCCCTTGAGTTTCTTTTTCCGGACTATTAGTCAAATCCGAGCTGTTGTGTGTGACATTGACCAGCCATCGAAAGCCTTCGCCCTGTAGGTTGTGCGATGTGGCTGATTTGGAAGATTCTCCAGCAGTCAATGTGGGAGGTGATGTGGCTGATTTGGAAGATTCCCCAGCAGTCAATATGGGAGGTGATATATAAAATTTGGAAGATTCCCCAGCAGTTGATTTGGAAGGCGATATGCTTGATTTGGATGATTGCCCAGCAGTTGATTTGGAAGGCGATATATGTGAGTTGGAAGATTCCCCAGCAGTCGATTTAGGAGGGCCCTTTGGAAATAGAGTTTGTAGCGCTGCTTCAATTGCCATGGCGAGATTAATGGCTTCTGTCGACGTCTGACCTTGGAATTTGGCGAGTTTGCAAAGCTCCCGGCGTGCAACCAGTACCTCGTGTGCTTCCGTCTTATTCCTCTCTTTTGTGAGTGGTTTCAGGGCCTTGTACTTAGACATTTCGCCAGTGAGAACAGCCCAAGATCCAGCAATCGGTTTGTCAGGCTTTTGTTGCTCATTGATTTGTGGCTGTTCATTTGATCTTGGTTGCTCATTTGATCTTGGCTGCTCGTTGGATTGCTGTTGATTGGATTGCTGTTGATTGGATTCTTGTTGATTGGATTGTAGTTGTTCCCTTTCTTGATCAGTTGGAGCATTTCTCTTCCTATCACCAGCTTCCAGGCTAACCAGTCGAGTTCGAATCCAGAGAGGAGCTTCTGTCTCTCAAAACGACTTGAGAATCTAGGTCGGGCGAATGCTCGACATGCGGTCATGAAGGCGACGGCACCCAGCTGTGTGAGTGGCGCAGCCGAGTTCATGGCTCTGAGACCGATGAATTGGAGGATGAAGCCAGACAAACCGAAGCAAACACCAATAATGGTCATCCATTGTAAACTCGTAGGCATCTTGCCGCTTTTTGAGGCGTTGCGAAGATCTCGATGCCGAGTTGACTTGATTATGCTCGCAAGATGAAGCTCTTGCTTCGGAAGCACAGCAAATGATTCGAAGACTTGATCACTGACGGTTTGGCTCTGCTGAATCCAGTAAATGCGGATCTCATGGCCCTCCTTAGCTTTATAAACCTCCTTTTCTGCGCTCCTTTCGACGACTAAACCACAGAGAAACATTCCAGTCACCAACGAGATCGTGCCGCTTAGTGCTAGCTTAACGCCATAAGAGGCGGCTGGCTTGCCGTTTTTCTGAAACCTGGGCTCAACCTTCGGAGCCCAGGTCATAACACTGTAAAAGACCAGGACTCCTACTTGAGCCAATGCCCCGATCGCTGCAACCCACCACTTCCGGCCAACGATCTTTTTCAGATCGGTCTCTTGAAGATTAGTCTTTTGTAAATTGAGGGTTATATTAGGCGCGTTGTCAGTGATTTGTCGGATGACTGTGATGCATTTTTGTCAGGGGCAAAAGGAATTGGCTAATTAGGGTACGCGGATAAGTAGGCCCAGTATATGAGGCTACTATAATAATAAAATAATATCACGATCTCAAGGGGTTTTAGAAGGGTTAAGAGTTAACTTATCTATTAGAAAGATATCTATTATTATATAGCTATTTAATTATAAGCCTCCTACTAGCTAGTATCTGCTTATCTTTACTCCTCCTAGTATACCCTATTATTTATCTAATAAGTTAACTCTTCTATCCCTTAGAGTATAAGAACTATTAATAAGTAAGATAGCTACTATCTAATAAGGATTATAAGAGTAAGATAATAAGAGACTATAAGGAGGAATAAGTAATCTTATAATAAGGCTCTCTTAAGAGATTATACCTACTATATCTTAAACCCTGGATAGATCTATTATTTTAAGCTATTAGTCTATCTAAATACTATTTTAAGCTCTAGATATATATACTCTTAACTATAATAAAGATAAAGAATATAAATATATAATAACTAAGGTATAAGCTTATAGTAAATAAATAGAAAGAAAGCTAGTATTTATTAGAGAAAAGAGAAAGCTATAAGAAATAAAAAAAAAGCTTAAAGAAATAGAAAATTATATATTTTAATTCTAGATTTATAAATTAATCTTTAAAAAGGAAATCTATAAACTAATATTTTTTAAAGTACTATCTCTAGTAATATAATAATAATTCCCTAATAATCTAATTATAATTCTTATATAGATTCTTATTAAGAACTAGAGATAAAATCTTTATTTCTATAGAAATAAGAATTAAACTAACTTCTAGATATATAAATTAGATATTAATACTTATATTAAGAAAAACTTATTATAATTTCTTATAGAATACTTAAAGATACTATTAGCTTATTACTACTTTAAAGATAAACTATAGTATAAACTTATATAAAAGAGCTTTATAAATTAAAACTATATTCCTAATTATATACTATAAGGATTCTATAAATTCCTTAAAGAAATAACTAAAGATCTAGTTATTTATACCCTAATAGCTAAATTAAAGCTAGCTAGTTTAATCTAGAAACTAGACTAATTCTTTAAGAAATTTTATACTAAATAGAATACTATAGAGACTAAATTTACTAATTAGAGCTTAGATCTAAACCGGATTATCTAAATAGTTCTTAAGCTAGTAGAATCTCTAAAATAGTAGCTTATTAATAATAGCCTCCTTATAGAGTAGAAGGATCTTTATAGTAAGAGAGTAGTTATTAAAGCTATTCTTAGAACTAATTATAACTCTTTTCTAATAGTTAGTAGAATAAAAAATAATTATCCTAGATAATTAAATCTAATAAGAGATATTTAAACTAATAATAAATCTATTATAATCTAATAGTAAAATAGCTTAAAAAGCTTAAAAAACTCTTAATCCTTAGATTACTATAAGTATAGTATTTCTAACTATATATACTCTAACTATAAATAATCTAACTACTTTATATATAAGAATAGTTAATATACTATAAATATATATTTAGATAGTAGTTTAGTTCTTATAACTATACTAAATAATATTACTATTAGTATAATTAATAAATAAAAACTATAGCTTACTATTATAAACTTTAGAATAAAAATATAGTATTATAATAAAGGAATTAACTAGATTATTATAAATATACTAGAAGACTATAGTATAGATCTATTATTAATTAATATAAAGATATTAACTATAAGAAAGAGAAAGAAGATAGAGTTTTTTAAGATTCCTATAGAGGATATTAATAGAGATCTAATAGAGATCTTTAGAATATTAGATAAGATTATTAAGATTATTAATAGTAAGAATTATATAAAGTATAACTAATTATATTTTCTTATTATAGATTTTCAGATAGAGAATATTATCTTTAGCTTATTTTAGTTTTAGAAAATAAATCTCTAGATACTAGATTAGATAATAGATTATTAGATTTACTTATTTAAGATATATAGTAATAGCTTTATAAAGATTTTAAAGTATATTTAATAAGTACTATATATAGTCTAAATAGCTACTACTTTTATATATTATAATTAAATAATCTTAGTAAATAATAAACTAAAGGAAAGATTACTATTAGAATAAGATAAGTAATAAGTTTATAGAGTATTAGTTATAATCAGACTATCTAAAGATCTTAAGAACTTTAAAGATATTTTCTTATTAGAAAAGATAGATAAATTAGTTTTATTAGATAGGAGAACTTATACTATTAAGTTAAAAGATAGAAAAAACTCTCTATAGAGCCTAATTTATAATCTTATTAAGAAGGAACTATAAGTTCTTTATAAGTATTTTATAGATATATAGAAAAAGAGCTGGATTTAATACTCTAAGAGCTTAGCTAGTACTTTTATTCTTTTTATACTAAAGCCTAATAGTAAATTATATCTTTATATAGATTATAGGGGTTTTAATATAATAACCCAGAAGAATAAGATTCTATTACTACTAATTATAGAAATCCTTAACTAGCTATAAGATATAAAGAAATATACTAAATTAGATATAAAGAATATATATTACTAGCTATATATCTATAAGAATAATAAGTAGAAAATAGTCTTTTACTATAGATATAGATACTTTAAGTATAAGATTATATCTTTTAATCTGATTAATACTCTAGCTACCTTCTAAGAGTATATTAATTAGATTCTTAAGAACTTTATAGATAGAATCTATATTATTTATCTTAATAATATCCTAATTTATAGTAATAATTCAGAAGAGTATAAGAAGTATATTTATAAAGTACTTACTAAGTTATAAAAAGCTAAGCTATATACTAATCCAGAGAAATATAAGTTTAGGGTTAAAAAGATTAGTTTTCTTAGTTTTATAGTATCTCTAGAAAGGATTTCTATAGAGTAAGAATATATTAAGACTATTATAAATTAACTATAATCTTATAGTATAAAGAATATTTTAATATTCCTAGGGTTTACTAGGTTTTATAAATAGTTTATTAAGAACTATACTAAATATATTATTCTATTAAGTAATCTACTTAAGAGTAAATAGAAAAAAGATTTATAACTAGTAAATAATAAAGTTACTATATTTAAAAACCTTAAGAGAGCTTTTATTAAAGCTTCTATTCTAATATATTTTAATCTAATAGTCTAGATCTATATTAAAACTAATATATTAGGATATATAATTAGAGCTATTCTCTTATAGTTATAGTAAGATTACTAGTACCCTATAGTATATTTATTAAGAAAGCTTATTAATATAGAGCTTAGATTTTATATATCTAATATAGAATTACTTATAATCTAGAAGATTATAAGAATATAGAGATACTATATAGCCTATAGCCCTTATATAATTAAAATCTTAACTAATTATCTAAATTATAAGTTCTTTTCTATAAAGTAGTAGCTAACTAGAAGATAGATATATATATTAAATATACTAAATAAGTTTAAATATAAGATTTTCTATAAGTTAGATAGATTAAATCTAGTAGATAGATTATCTTAGAAACTAAACTATTATAATATAGAAGAGATAGTAGAAGTAAGATAGAGCCTCTTATTACTATTTTTTAGTAGGTTTATAAAAGACTTATAAGAACTAATTAACTTAGAGTATTTACTCTCTAATAAGAAATAGATAGCTACTAACTATAAGGGTCTATATAAGAAATTAAACTATATTAATATATAAGTAGTATAGATAAGACTATAATAGCTTTATAATAAACTTAATATAAATAAAAGAATAGTAGCTAAGCCTATAGATAAGATACTAATATTATAAAATAGTATAGAGAAGCTTAAGTTAGAGAATAAAATAGTAAACTTAAACTAATACTTTAAAAAGTAACTAAGAAAATAAATTATTATAATATAGTTATAACTATTTAATAAAAAAGAACTTAAATAGATAGAGATTACTAATAATTTTATCTAGCTAGAAATATTAAGTTAGATATAGAGATCTAATATATATATATATAAGAGATTAAAAAAGATATAGACTTATAGTAAAACTACTATAAGTAAGTAGAAGAAGAAAGAGAAATAGTAGTATTAGTAAAATAATATTCTAATCTATAATAATAGAGTATATATATTAGACTTAATTTAGAATAATCTCTTATAACTATTTTATAATAAACTAATTAGAAAGTACTAGAGAGCTTATAAAATAATAAAGTAAGTTTATTTAAATTATTACTAGAAAGATATATAAGAGATAATAAAAATATATATAAGAAAATACTATAACTATTAAGCTAATAAAGAAAAATAGTATTAATCTTATAATAAGCTTATAGTACTACTTATTCTAAGTTACTCCTTTAAAAAGATATTAATAGACTTTATTATAGATCTATCTATAGCTTATAGTAAAGAAAATAAGATATATAATACTATTTTTATTATTATAAATAGATTAATAAAATATACTCTATTCTTTATAATAAGAAAGATTATTATAAGTAAGGAGTTTATAAAACTACTTTTAGATTAAATATATTAAGATTATAATTACTTTAAGAAAGTTATTAATAATAGGGAATTAGTATTTATAAGCAGATTCTAGTAAATCTTTAGTATTCTTATTAAAAGTAAGTAATTACTTAATACTATATATTACTCCTTATAATAGTTAGGTTAACTTATACTAAATAAGATCTAGAGTAGATTAGGGTTAAATTAATCAGAGTATTATTCTAAGTAATATAATTAGATTATCTTAGATTATATAATATAAGTTATTATTAATATATAAGTATTATAGAGCTAGTAATAATAGATATATAGATAATTATATTAATAACTATCTAAAG